ATTTTTATCGCCCATCATTCTATCCCTATTCCTCTATGTATCTACCCTAGCTCCAGAGCCCATACCTAGCCCCATACATCCTCCCCATACCCTGCATCCAGCTATCCTAGCCCTACTGCACAATTACCCCCCATTTTCCTACCCTATCCTACCCCCTACCCCATCCCCTACCCATCCCCAAACCACCCCCTACCCCGGGGCCACACCCCATACCTACCCACCCATTTTTTCACGCATTTTTTGCCTATTTTTTCGCCCATTTTTCCAGCCAGAATACCCACCAGCACCACTGCTCTTTAATAAAGAGCCCTTATTAGCATGGGCCAGTAAGATGATGGGCTCTCTGTATAGAGTCCCAGTCTTACTATAGGGACTCTTTATAAACAGGCTACAGCTACGCCTGATCAAAGGTGGCAATGAGGATGAACTCAGGCTTCGAGGAAGACGGAGAAGGGGAGGGTGAGATAGAGGATTTGAGTTTTTGAAAAGAGGACGTGGGAGAGTTATGAGGCGAAGAAACATGAACTATGTGGTGACAGATCATTATCTGGGAATAGACATTTCGCTCAGTGGAAGCGGTTCTTGCACACTTTGACGGGGGTGCTATTATTCGTATGAAGCAAAGACATAGAAATACGTACCTTTGTATGATCGCCGGATTTTATGGAAGGCCGTGATACATAGGACCAACGCAGATGTATTCCCCGGAACTTCCAGTCCCACGCCTACACAGAAAATACAGACCGGAAATAACATTAAGGGATAGTTGTCAGAAGCCATTTGTGAGTGGAGTAAGTTGGATAAAACACACATTGGACGCAAAGGACGTAGAACGCGCATTGGTCCGTAAACTAGCACGAACGTGAGATTCATCCTTCTTGGGCGACATGACGTTTCGCAACAGCATTTGACGTTCACCGACGGTAACAGTCCATTTCACCATTGAATCACCTATCCTAGATTATTAAGTCCACCCGAAAATTTCATCAATACATAGGACGTTATTCTAAGCCTGCGAGGATGGCGTACTCGAAGTCACCGACCAACTCTCCGTCCTCGGACCCGCCTCTGCGTATGCTGGTAATGTACGAGGATGGGCTGAAACAGTTTGAGTTTACCGAGATGCGATATAATGCATTTGGATCTGCCACATCCGAAGATGGAATGACGAGCATAAAGTTGGGGGAGCGCGAGGATAAGATATAATGCATTGGTACGGTTGTCTCGGCGTTCGGCGTATTGCATGCTCCAGGGACTGCAGACGGTGGTACAGGTAGGGGTTCCGTGGTGCCTGATTCCAGAGTCCTGACGGTTACGTTGCTCGCACTGGAAGGAGGGGTACTAGTGACAGATGATGCTCGGGAACGGGCCCGCGTAGCATTGACAACCCGTAGCCTTCGGAGATCCGTAGGTGTTTTCCGAAGAGTACGAGTTGGAGTAGGTGATCTGTCTTCGGTATGTGAGGACTCAGGTTGATAATTGACGGAGTCAGTGTCCGTCTTCGCTGTGTTAGTACCGTCTCCGGCGTCGGCATCTGCATAGTCAGAGTCTGGACTCCACTCCTCAGAGCAGTAGCTGCACCAAAAAAGCATTACCGTCAGTTCTACAACACTTAGCAAATTCAGTGGGTGACTGACCTCGGAGGACCCGTCGAATATGGGGGTATCGAAGTCAGATCCGAGTTCCTGTAATCTCGCGGAGCGGCATCTGTCTGAGAGAGGCTAGATCTAGAAGGCAGGATACGTCTCATAGTACAAAGATTTCAGTCATGCTAAGAGAGCAGGGGTAGGTAAAGTCAGGTCTTCCCTCTCAATACGTGCACTATTTGTATGTGCAGCGAGTGAGAACTTTGTACAGGCGTCTAGATAGCTACTGACTTGAAGAGGAACAAACAACGCATAATATACGACAGAATGCTGGTTAAGGACCTTCTGTAGATGGATGCAATCAATCAGACGAGTGAATCTTGATGGTAGAAAGCTACTACTTATGTACGACGCAGGAGAAGCTATCGGCTCATTGGTCACACGTACCACTGCCCCGCCGCCTAGTGGCTCCTACGTTCGCCACCGAGGTCATGCCTGCCACCGCGTAAGCATTTGCTATAGCTTTTCTAGGTGCAAATAGTCATGAAGACCGTAGAGTTCGAGGGTGGAAGTATCGAGACGGAACTGATAGAATGTGCGGAGAAAGAACGGGACTCAATGTGTCACCACTCCTTTCGGAACGACTGATGTAGATGCTCAGACGGCGCAAAGGTTACCGCAAAGTGAGCTGTGTGGGATCAAAGCACAAGTTAGTAGCGTAAACATATTATTTGAGCTAGCTGGCGTTAGCGGGCGAAGAAGCTGCCAGGGCCGTTATAGTTGTTCTTTCATGGGTCAGGATGTCGCATTTGCACCGTTTACTGGACGCACGGCATCTGATCTCGACTCCGGGTGGATTGTGAAAGGATTCGAGTCAGTTCTTTCTTCACTCAGAACAGCTCGAGATGGACAGGTAGCGTAAAGTAGGTCTAAGAATATCCAACGCTTTCATCCCCATAAAGGTCATGGAGAGATAAGCAGCAATTTGAACCTGCATGAGACTCTCTCGCCTATGCATGCTTTCAGTATGGGTCTATTCTACTCGATTCAGACGGCCGATATCGGATTGTCAAGGCTAGCCTCAAGGATCCAAAATGCCAGGTTGTGAGGAATATTTCTCTCGCTCATTCATGAGTAGAAGCTCTCTCAGTGCTTCTCCCAGATGGCCAGGCTCCAGTCCAGAGAACAGCCATCAAGGATCTATTCGATTTATTAAAAGATGGTAGGTATCTGGCGGCGTAAACGAGGCGCACTGGCCTGGAGCTCTGTATATCACCAACATATCACAGATGCGGTCGTGTCAGACGGGAGATCAACGTGCGAACAGCTTAGAGGATCGCACAGTCAAGTCTACGCCGGTGGGGCCTTACGAGTTCAACTGGACTGTGTCAAGAACGAAGGGAATACGATAATGATGCAGAATGCGCGACTGGCCACTAGTACGTCTCTCGAGACTCGTACTACTTACCCATTGGCAGCCTGAGGCGAGAGAGGACTGCAGTCCGGCGGAAACGATATGCATATGGGTGACTTACCTATCGATCATTAATACATAAGCAGGTGGATCCAAGTGGCAAGAGGGGAGGGTGCGGTTAACAGTATAATAGCCCAGCTGCCCGAGCTGGAGGGGCAAAACATCGATTCGGAGTTGCAACCTGTTGCAACGCATTCGACAGCGAGTGATCTTGATCCCGGTTACACCCGATCGAAACGCCACAGATCTCACAACATCTGACAAGGCTCGTGTGGCCCAACCACACACACATGCGTGCTTAAAGGCTGCCTGCACAACTCAGTTACTCGTATCTTCGTTATTCTATTTATTCATCAACATGACAATCACAATATTTTTACCTCTCAAAAATGCTCTTTCAAAAACTCGACACTCTTCTTGAACGTCCCCTCCTTCGCAGCTTGCACCTTCGGATCCTTCTAAATCACACATATTACCATGCCAAAAGACCGTCAGCTGTCCGATCCACGAGAGCAAGATTGAAGACAGATTAGGAACTATCCAAGGTACCGGATCACCTCGAACTGCATATCCATGAGTGCATCCCTCCCAATGCACCCTCATACGCAGGTTGAACTCTCGCCACCGAGTATCCTGTCTGCGGCCTCAATCTTCTCTGGTGGAGATTGAGGGTCGATAGTGCAGGCGTTGATGAGAAGGGGAGCGCGAGATACTTCAGCGTATTTCTGCGTATATAAGATGAACAGTTTTTGAGTACTCTGCACGATAGAGACGTAAAGGAACAAGAGGACCGACCTCGAGGTCTGCAATCTGAAGCGCAGTAGGATGAGCTACGACCGAGCAGGCGATCCTGTTCTCGAACGCGAGGTTGAACACATAACGCGCTTTGCACAAAATCGGCCATCAGCGTTCTACTCATGAAGTTGAAAAGAGTAATTAACACCTACCTCCCAGACAATATCCGGTCGCAGCTCATACCTTCACACCCTTGCTCTCCGCAAGCGCGCCCATAACCTTCTCGATAATAGGTTCGATCAGACTAGCGGGGTGCCTGGAGAGCCATCCGGGTATATCGAAGCTTCCCGGCTGGTCAAAGGCAGATTCGGGAACGGCATCTCCAGAGTAAACGTCTGGGAGATACACTTTGAAGCCGTTGGCGGCAAAGGCGTCTGCCAAGAGCTAACAGAAAATGTCACTTAAGGCACAGAAAGTGTTGGGAGGTGGGATAGTGGGAAGCCTACCTTGCTATTGTTGAACTCCACACCGAGCGCATCGGGAAGGAAACGTAGTGCCTTGTCTTTAGGATATTCCTTCGAAGGAGTGGCGACATAGGTTCTAATACTACCGATATTCTCATATGTACCTGTTCATGGGTTTGCACACGCGCCCATAAGAGGAAATCAACACGTTGGGAAATCGAGATACACGAGTGGGTCACTAACCTGTGGTCTCTCCCTCGTGGACGACGCCTATGAAAGTCCAATGGCGTGTCAGCTCTATAAAACTCTGACGAAACTCACCGGGATGGGCAAAGTAGCCCATGCAAAATATCCACCTACCGCTGATACAGTGTTCACAGAGAGTCATCTTGTAAACTATCGGTGGGATGTAATCTCGTTACCTTGAGGGATGACACGAAAGAGCTGTTGAACGTCCCACAGTCCCTCAAAAAAGACAGCTTTTTATACGATGTGTCCACTGGCCTGGGACGGTTATGCCACATGGTCGCTGATGCCGCATAAGCAAATGTTATTCAGCGGACGTCTGGGGCGCAGTGGATGTTGAGTTACAAATGGAGTTCCCTCAAAGGCCTGAGAATTCGTCAGTAAAGAAGTTTGAAAGCCGAGGCTAGCAACAGCAACACACAAGTCAATGGATAGCCAATTAAAGATCTGGCGACGCGAAGACACGGAATAATGCGCGATTTGCGGTTTGTAAGTTTTTGAAATTATGACGATCGAATGATCCACAGAGATTAATGTTACTCAGCATTAAGTGGACCAGAGACACCAAGATGAACAGAAAGCGTAGAGCAAACAAAGCGTCCAGTGAGAAAAGCATAGATCCCAGAGATCATGTGTAATCCAGGTTGGAAAGGATGTGAGGCTTGATCCACACCAAGGTACGCGTTTGACCGACTCCCAGTCGCTTCCGGTGGGAGTATAAAAAGTACAATGGATCCCAGCACGATTTTTCCAGTAGCAAGCTCTTACTCGCCATGTTCTCCAGACGCGAGTAAAGTAGCAGTATCTCTAACGGGCGTATAATTCGCAGCATCAACCTCAAACCAGAAGAAAAAGCAGAGCCTTATCCAATAAGTAGTGAGAGGGTACGAACCACAATTCTGTTCCTATCCTCGAATGCACCATCTGAGCCCCCGAGATTGAAGACGGATGATCGGAAGCTTACTGCGCCTCCCAGCTAACGCCCCACCCCCACCCATTACCCTTTGCCTGCGGGTTTTCCATGACGCAAAAAGAGGGTCCGATGGGTGCTGTTGGAAAGTCTATAGTAGATTCCTTTAGTAGCACGAGGGAGACAGCATCGATTATGCAAATTATAACTATCCTATATCCGCAGAAAGTAGCCGGTGATCAGCAAATTCAATGTAAGAGCATGAAGGAAACGCACCATTGACTACCATACCAGCGAAAACAAGGGCCCATCCTCAATCGAGCATCGCGTGGGGTCGTTTCTGAAGTACACCTCAACTTTATCGTCAGGGGAACATGGCGCATCCAGTCTGAGTTACAGTCAGGAGGATACCACAAGAAATAATCACCCGGATTTAGGAAAGAAATGGAAAGAAGACAAAAGAGAAGCACGAACTTCATTGGAGGTAAATCTGGTTCGAAGCCTTGCCACTTTCTCAGCTCGTAGTCGGCCTCGTTCTCGAACTCATATGGGGGGATAAACTCGCGTATGCGAGACCGCCAGTCATCGCCGTCAAGGAAGGAACCGTAATGAGCCTTGCAATATTCCCAATGTGCCGGATACCAACCTGCACCCTCCCAGTCGATCAACACTACCACTCGCCTGCCCTCCAACATCATGTTCCGCATGGCGATGTCTCCGTGAGTGAAGACGAGAGGATGCTGCCGGGAATGCGATTCGATGACCATGGACGGGAAACGATGGAGAGGGAGTCCCATTCGAAGTTGGTGGTTCATCTGATCCTCGTTCAAGTAAGGGCCGTGCGGAACGCCACAGAGTCTGTGATCGCTACTCTGCGCGCCATCTAGGACCGGCCCGATGACGGCACCAGGCCGTGGGGGAATGGCACGTATCTGCTGCACAAACCCCCGCAGCTGCTCCACAACTTTGTACTTCTCCTCCTCAGTGAATGTATCCCACAACGAAGCGTAGAGAGGGGCACCAGAAACCTTTTGCATGACAAGGAAAGCATCCCCGCCCCATCGAAATGTGCACCAAGGACGGGGCACGGGAATAGAAGTGTGTCTCCGGACGGACTGCATAGCAGCAGCCTCCGCAGATACCACAGCATTGACCCTCTTCACATACAAAAAGCGTCCAAACGTCACTATAGAATTTAATGATTATCTGTAGACGATGTCTTCGAAGAGCAATGCTGAAGTCTTACATCTCCAGAGCAAGCTGATGATCAGGCGACAAATGGCGCTTGAGACCAATCGTCGGCATGCGTCCCACTTCAACCACAAGAAGTGACTCCAGGTCGATGGAGGCCGCTTCGCGCTTTTTCGCAAGCGTTCGAGAGCCTGAGCAGCCCTTTGCCGCGCAGCCTGTCAGATGGACAATTGTCAGTCATGACTCAACCATAGCTGCCATCCTTCCCCAAGCAGCCGCGTCCTCACCTCGTCGACTACATTGTTCGATGTCATGTTTGTCGAATTGTTGATGAGAGTACGTGGTGTTATTGTCACTTTTCTGGAACGTGGAAGGAGAAGTGATAGGAAGTGGTCTTGCAGAAAGCGATGGACAAATACACGAGGTGACAAGTCTGCCCGGACCCGCCCGAAATTGAAAGACCGGACATACTTCTTGAGTATAAGAAGCATAATGGATCTGAACAAGGCTGAACAAGGTTCTCAATCAGAACGTTCTCATTCGCTATGTTCGCTAAACACAAGTGGGGGAGCAGATCTAACGGGCGTATGATTCGCAGCCGAAACCTGTGTAACGAGAGCAAACCGGAAGTAGAAAACAAAGTATTATCCCATAAGTAGTGAGAGGGTACGACGAACCAACGATAACAACATAGTTACACAATTCTGTCCCCATCCTCACGAGTGTCCCGAGACCTAATGCGAAGAATCCGAAGCTCACTTCGCCTCCCAGCTGACGCCACACCCGCACCCACTGCCCTTTGCCTGCGGGTTTTCCATGACGCGAAAAGAGCTTCCGATGAGTTCGGTTGCGAAGTCTATAGTTGATCCCTTTAACAGCGCGAGGGAGACAGCGTCGATTATGATGTTTGACGGCTGTATTGTGGGGTGACTGAAGTGGCTGTTATGATACGAGGAGTGCGGGATGAATCAGCGCGAATTGAACGATTGGCCAGAGGATTAAACAAGCGAAATTGAGCTTACTAGTCTTCAGGCTCCTTGCGTGTTGTCAGTTCCATCTTATATTGATAGCCGTGGCAGCCGCCACTCTCCACTGCTATCCTCAGCCCCGCATCCGGATTATTCTCTCGTATAGAGATCCGTTGTAGTTGCTGTTGATACCATAACCACAGATGCACGAAACACAATAGAATCAGAGACATAGAACGTAAGTCTAGTGAGCAATATGACTTCTATCTCATAGTGTTATAGGTGAAGTGTGGCGTTTGCGTACCTCAGCCGCACGGTCCGTCAATTCTATCTTAGCTTCTTCCGGTGGAATAGGTTCGGCATCCAACTCAGCTTCCTCAATATCCTTCTCTGTTGGAAACGTCAGAAGTATTGAAGGTTGCGCTGGGATGTGTTGTTGCTGAGCTAGTGATGATTGTGGGCGTGTTGTGGAGAATGTCCGATGGATGGGGCTCGACACGATACTGAGACGTCTATATGATGGTGGGGCAAGTTGCCTTGTAATTCTCCGGGGTTTTAAAGTTCGACAGACATTGGATAGGGACCGGAGGTGAGAGGAGGCGGCAGACATCGTTGGAAGTGAGCAAGGTGAAGTGGGACGCTCGGCGGATGCTGAGTGAGCTAACCATAACATTGGGTTAGGGCTCCCTGTGGCACCGGAATTTCCATCATCGCGTCACCATCCTCAGTGAGCTTCTCTTTCTTCTCCTCTTCATCAACTTCACTTTATCATCATCCTCATCATCATCTTAGAGCTCTAGTCGAGGTCCTCCATCTTTCAATTCTTGGCTGGGTCTTGCTGGTAACTATTGTGTGGCGCAAGGCCGGGTGTAACAGAATGAGCAACCTTGTCGAACTTGAACCAACCTGAATAAACTTGAATAGAGCGTATTCTAGCGCTGTTCAATGTATGCGTCTCCGTCAAATCTCGCAGGGGGGATTTAGTATGGCAACGCTACAAATTCTTCTTAATGACAAGCGAAAGACACCTATCCGTATCCAGCTGTCATCCTAGCGCTGTGCAAGATCGTAACAATTTATTTCCTATTTCTCTAATGACCGGAGCGTGAGCACCCCCAATTGTCTTTCCCGCTCAACTGTCCCGCATACTTACTGCGCGATCATGCTATCTCTATTATTGCATCCACTAGACACCGGTGCCCTATGAGGCGTGCCTTTGTATACACCTTATGGAAACGAACCATATTTTATCACCGAGACAGGCTTCTAACGCCTGGCCGCCGTTGGTACGTATACCCAAGGACACAGCACTGCTCAGGGTTCCTATAAACATTCTTCGGCGAGTTTTTCCTCATCAGATATGGTGGGTCTCACAGAGCGGAGGATCCCAGTGGTGGCTGTACGAGTGTTCTCCTTGGGCCCACATTAGAACCGTGGTAAGGTCGGCGGTCTGTACGCCGAGGGTTCGACTCGATTGGATATGCGTTTGCTCTGCGACGCGTACGATTCCGAAGGAGGAGCAATGCGGGAGTCATAATCTCCTCGCGGACTCTTCTATGAAATCTTTCCGCTGACTCCACGAGCTCATCCTCAAATTTTCATGCTGTGACCCGCAGACTCATTCGTGTGTATCCCGCGCTTTGAGGGATTGGTAACCAGCTCTTTTCTTCTTCGCTCGTGGAAGGATTCTATCGACTTCCCTGCATTCGTTTCTCCCGGTCGGCTAGACCAGTGGCTGAGTGGCGTTATTCTTGCTCGCAATCTATCTCCGCCCAAGGACTTACCCGCGGTTCGAGCTCAGCGGCCCTTCAACAATCAGTGTCAGAATAATCTTTGCGCTTCGGACGGGTACCTAACTCCCACGTTCATTAGGTTTGAGGTTGCCTTTGTGCCGTATCAGTGGGTACATCATCACCTTCTATCCAGAGCGAGTAAACATAGGGGAGGGGCAGTGGCACACTGACAGTAGTCCGCACTGTCTCCGCGCAATCTACAGCCCCATCCTCAGGTATGATCCGCACTCAACGATATTCGACTTTCACCTCCTCGGTTTCTGTCAGCTAACATTTCCAGCGGAAGTCATATTTGAGGGACTTGTGATCCCTAATATAATCCCAGAGTGGCAGCTCAACCGCTGTTGTCTTGGATCCGGACAATATCTGACTACTCCGGTAGGGACCCGTGGAATTTACTTGCTTCTATGAAGGACCGCCCTGTTTATTACCATCCAACCTTGCTGATGATGCTGGTCTACAGGCTATCCACGCCCTGCGTTCCATTCATCCTTATTCCACGTGGCTCTCCCTTTTTGTATGTCACTATCTAGACGCCAGCCTGTACAGGGTTTCTACTCACGAAATATAAACAAGACGGGACTGTAATGGGATGCGTCTTACTCTAGTCAACCTCAGTCCCAGGATCGTCTCTGCCACCGTCCCGCGATGCGACGTTTCCTCCATTCGAACCGAAGCACCACCTCCAGCATCTTTCAGATCGACCCCGCTCCGCAAAGCCTCAGAGACTCCGATGCGAGTTCGATAGCGTCGTGCTCGACAGCTCCACCGAGGTTAGTTCGTCTGTTACCTATCCCGAAACGCCTCAAAGCCAGATGTAGTGCTAACGATGACCTGTCTACCACATAGCTACTCCGAAGAGGAATGGAGCGTCGACTCGAGGTACGCAGACACAGATGCAGGAGACAGCACCATCGCCAACGCAGACACCGACTCCGAGCTCAGCCACAACGACTTGGACCCTCCAGCCCCGACCTACACCCCCGAACGCTCAACCACACCCACGCTCACACGTCCCGGAACCCCCGCGGACTTCAAAAATCCCCGTTTCGCATTCGTGTCCCATTCGCGAGCACCGTCCGGCGCCAGTACCGCGTCGATTATTGCCACCGCCAGTAGCAGCACCGTGTCCGTCGGAGAACTAATACGTCCTGACGCGAAAGCGTCTTTGCGTCCGTCGTCGTCTGCGATTATGATTGCGTGGAGTGCGCCGGATCCGGCGATGGTGACTGTCGAGGATGGGCCGACGAAATATGCTTTGGCACCGCGGACCCCGAACTCCATGCTCGTTCTCCCGCCTTCAGCGGACGCGGGTGCGGACTCGGGCGAGAACGCGTTATACCGCATCTCGGTCAACTCGAATTGTTTCATGCCGTCGTCGTATATCACTACCATACGCAGAGGAGGATCCGAGGATGGAGAGTTTGTCGGAGACTTCGAGATAGGCGATTCGATGGTAAAGTGGACGATAACTATCGGCGAACAGCAGATGTTGTTGCAGAATATAATGACGACGAAGAAGGAAGAAGCTCATGTCCGTGCTAGTCTTCGGACGAATGCGCGTGCTGCACCCGTGGTGGCCCAGGTGCGTTTGATTCCACTTTGCTTTATTTATTCCGTTCGAACGGAAGACCTGATAGATATATTCGTTGGTTGTACGGTCGCTTTAGGCTTGGGATTGGAACTTTCGTGGAATTCATCTTCAGTGGTCACACGTCCCAAGGTCAAAAAACCGCAATAGTTCAAAAGTACGCACTGTTCCGATTCTTCTCTTATCCCCAACGTCGTCATCTGTTCATCAACACCAGAACTAACGTATCCACCCATTCCCAGATCATGGTCTGCCACCACGTCCTCTCCTCACCCTCCAGCTCCAGCTCCAGCTCCGCCTCCTCCGCCGCCTCTAACACATTCCGAAAATTCAAATCCCCCATCGCCTCCTCCTCCTCCTCCCCCCCTTTGTCTTCGTCCGCCTCCTCCTCCTCCTCCTCTCCCTCTCCCCTCTCATCCCCATCCTCTTCATCCTCGGCAACGTCATCAAAAAATGAATCGGTCCTGATCGCCACCTTCGACCCCGCCGACCCCTCAAGCTGGACCGGCGAGTTCAAAAGACGGCCGAAGGAGCTGATCGTGTATCCGGAGGGGAAGGAGATGATGGATGTTGTGGTGATTAGTTTGATGGTGGCGGAGAGGATGAGGTTGATGTTGCCTTCGTGATTGGGTTGATGTTTTTGTGAGTGGGTTGGGTTGGGTTTATCTGAGTTATAGTCTGTAGTTTGTAGCTTTTGTAGCTTGTGGTCGTGACATGTATGAAGTATGTGTGTTGAGATGTTAGGATGTATTCTGCTGGCAGAACGACGGGCTTTTGTGTGTGGCGTTTGTATGGATTGTGTATGTATGGATAAGTATTGTACCCGACTGTTGTTGTAATGCTGCTGTTTGTCTCTTGTACGCGTAAAATTACCTGAAAGCGCGTGCGCACTTGGACGCTGTCCTAAACAAAACAAAACCACATTCACCCAAGTACCCATCTTGGCTTTCGAAATCCCGAATGACCTTGACAGAATCCCAATGACGTCTTGGACCAGATCGCCTCGAACGCGTCTAACGAACGTCTCTTCCTTCCTTGCCGGATCCACATACTGCACCCTCATCCCGCCATTCCCTTTCGCTCTTCGGCAGCGCACAATATCCATCCACCCCACGCAACAACATACAACACGGAGGTACAAAGCACCGACATGCATGGAAACATCACTACGGAAAAAGATACACATGCTATGAAGTCGATTTCCGCATATGGTCGGACGGACTTTTTCTTTTTCGTGGTCAAATAGGCTCAGGTCGATCGCGAGGTATGGCATATCAATCAATTGCGATGGCCGACGTCTCCGAGGGACTACATACATATGTAGTGATTTAATGATTACATAGCAACCGTTCACGGTGCTTTTTTTGAACGCAGAAAAGGGTTTACAATAGACTGTATCTGCGAGTGAATTTTTGACCTCGCTAAAGTTCGCTAAGGCCCAACGGGACGCGACGATTGGCCCGATCGTAGTTTTAAAACGTTTTAAACGGTTGCAGATACGGTCTAATCCGAGGAAAGTGACACACCTGTCACTTCAAAATGGCTGATTGAACTGCTATTATATGCGGTGCAGAGTGAGCGCGAAGCCTCAACGATGCACGCAGTTGCGAGTACTACTGTAGCAGGACTTAACAGCGGCTGAGTCGCCTTTGCGTTTCCCATCGCTGACCGATTACATAAAGCACTCCCAAACTTGCGACTCTGCTATATCTGAATCCTCCGTTTCGGCTGACAGTGACAGGTGTGTACCTATCCTCGAATTAGAAAGAATTTTTTGCGTTGAAAAAAGTCACCGTGAACGGTGCTATTGACATGTCCGTCCTCGATGGCGGCGAGCTCAAGGAAGGGAACTGGGACTCATCCATCGAAACTCACCCATCAAAAGATATTCCAGTTCAATATACAGAACACAAGACCATACGTGCAGTATCGCAACTTGCATGGTAGTCATTGGCTAAGTATGGATAACAGCGCGTTATATTGGGTCAGTGGGCTGCTGGTGTCGCAGAATTATTGATGTATATTATATCTACGCATGATTCGATCAGTCGTCTGAGGGAGGATGATCCGCCAGAGGAAATATATTTAACTTACCACAGGCCAGCGAGACTCGAAAGAGATCCTCCAACAAACACCGCTGCCGTCGAGCGCCGTCGCCACCGCCACACCTGATGCACAACCCTCGCATTCGTACCTCCCATCCCCCAGTGCCCACCCTCCCCTTCTTCATCCGCATCCCATCCCATCCTCGCATCCTCCCTCCCTCCCCCCCTCCATTCCCTCTTCTTCCTCCCACCCCTTCTCACTTCCCCTACCTCCTACCTCCCCCCACCCCCCCTAACCAACCCAATCCTCGCCGCCAACATCCTCGCCTGCACCGCCTTCATCCTCTTCCCCCTAACCCCCACCATTCCCAACGCTAGGACACAGAACACGAAGTTACAGAGGACGAATTCCCAGAAATCGGCACGTTCGACGGAGGTGAGGCGGCCGCAGGATTCCCAGGCGGGGGTTTCGCCTTCGAGGTCTTTGTGGGGGTTTGAGGAAGAGGAGGAGGGGAGTTTGTTGGAGTTGGAGTGAGAGGAGGGTGGAGGGGAGGAAGAGGAGGAGGGGGATTGTTGGCGGGGCGGTGGTGCGTGGTTGGAGAAATCGCGGGAGGAGGTGTGCGGTGGCGTATGTGAGGACGAGGTAGAAGAATCGGAGGAGGAAGAGTTGGAAGATGCGGGTACGCAATGCATTAACCGTCGATTCCCGAACGGTTCGCAGAAGGGTTCGTGTAACTACACCACACACCACCACCACACCGTCAAGATGCATTAGCACAGGCAGTCGATGAGTAGGAGTAGAATGAAAGAGAGCACGAATTACAGCATTGTCAGGACAGGGTTCGCAGTTCCCAAACGGCCGACATATCAATTTCGTGGCGTTATTCGCCGCTGCGCTGTGATCGTCCGGAATGACGTCTTGTTGTTGTGCGAAGATGGTCGATATGCATGAGAGGAAGAGTAGGAAGCTAGTCAGGCCACAACCATATCATTACTTGTGAGAAGGCGGACTAAGAGGCTAGGGATGGAGGGTGGACTGACCAGGTGGCGGGTAACCCGAGCATATGTATGCGACTACAGAGTGTAGTAGTCGAGGTATGAAGCTGAAGTGAAGTTGAAGGCGTGGGAACAGAGACTAGAATCGACTTTCCATCCATCCACGACCGACGCGTATCCCTCTCCTCGACCGCAGAGACTTCCCCATCCTCATCTCATTCCAATTCTCTGCAAGATAGATCGATATCAACGTACAAAGAAAGAAAGAACAAGAAATGTCAGGCCACCCAATAATCGAAGAATTCGACGACGACTTCGACCTTCCCCTCCCCTCCCGTCCCCTCCCCAACACCGGCACCCACGGCGCCATCCTCGAAGAAATCTCCTCCTCCAACTCCTCCTCCAACGCGGACGATGACGACACGGATGCTAGCCCGGGGTTCTCGAGAGGTCAGGGGCAGAATGTGTTGGAGAGTTGGTATGAGGCGCAGCAGAGTACGGCGGGGCCTGCGACGGGGAGGACGGCTGGGGGTGCTGGGATGGGTGGGATGGGTGGGGCAGGAGGGTTGGGAGGGTTGGGAGGGACAGGAGGGATGGGTGGGGGCGTGGGGGATATGAGGAGCGAGTATGCGAAGGGGGCGGAGGCGACGGATATTTCGATTTATAAGAAGTGCGTATGTTTTCTAGTGCATTTCTCCTATTCATCCTTTCCCTCAATATTTCTCACCACGCCCACCAAACCCACTCCCATCTCATCTTCCAATTCTAATCCCAATCCCGAACCCAACCACAACCAGATGGACATGCATCTACCCCATCTACATCGACGCCAAACAGCCCTACGGAACCGGCACCCGTCGCCTCCCGCGCGAAAAATCCGTCTGGTGGCCCCTTTCCAAAGACATCGCCGAGGCCGCCTCGCGGCTCTCGCTCTCCGCTCTCCATGAAGTCCACAAGCGCCACCCGAGGGACTGGGATAATCCTGGGCGGGTGAGGGTGCAGTGGAAGATGGAGGGGAGGTTGTTGAATCCGGGGATTAGGACGAGTAAGTGTTTCTAGTTTTATTACTCGGAATTGCTCGATGCTGACGACGTGGATAGAGAAACAACTACTCGAACGGATCTCTCAAGTCATCCAACGTCTCAAACCCGACGTCGTCCCGCACGCACCATACACTTATACTCTAACACCCGATCTCACCACCACCACCTCCCCAACCTCCACCCCCGCCTCCAAACCCACCCCCTCCAAATCCTCCGGCAAATCGAAAGCCACTCCATCCTCCACCTCCAAACCCTCTTCCTCTTCCACCAAGTCAGTGTCAGCTTCCCAGAAACAGAAGAAACAGCAGCAACAAAAATCCCCATCCCACTCCCTCCCCCTCCCCCCTCACCCCCTCCCCCACCTCACCACCCGCCTCTCGCCTTACTCCCCCGCCCAACCTTCCGGCGTGCTCATCGATACGATCAAGGCGGGCCTTAGTGCGGAGGCGGAGGGGGCTGCGGCTGGGACGCCTGGGACGCCGGGGGTGGGTGCGGCGGGAGGACAGGCAGCGGGGAAGGGGAAGAGGAAGGTCGTTAGGGTTAGGCAGTAGGTTGTAGGCGATAGGAAGATAGGAAGGGAGAGAGGGGGAGGGAGATGTAATTTAGGTTTTTTTTGTGTTGTGGCGTGGCGTGTGGCGTGGCGAATGATATGGAAGGTGTTGAATCCAACTTGTTTTTTCCTGCTTCTTCTTCGACTTCACGGGCAGAGACGAGGGATGCCGAGAAGTGAACGGATTCGTGCTTGTGCTCGCTCGCTCGCTCCGCATCACACATCCTCTCGCGTGTCATCGTCAAAATACATATGCATAATCTTCTCAACCCTGCCGTAAGGCCTAAGGATACACAAAACTCGTACCCGCAACTGCTTATTATCACGACTCAGACCCCTCAACCCCCCTATCCCTCCTCCACGCCTCTATCCATGCCACAATCCGCGCCACATTACTCTCCAGATCCTCCGTGCCCTCGCTCTTGAGCTCTACGACGATTTCTGCGGCGTAGGATGAGCGCGCTTCTTCGAGGACGGTTTGCATTATTTCTGCTTCGTTGTTTTCTTGGATCTTTTTTAGGGGGTAGGACCTGTGGTGGCGAGCGAACATTTTTACATCGGAAAAGAGGGGTGGTGTGGGGTGAGGTGTTAGGTGTTGTTCGACGAAAGGGAAGGTCGAATGTGAATGTGAATGATTGTTTGAGAGTCGGGACGAGTGGGTTGTCGCAAAGAAGAAGGGATCAAAAGAGGGGGAGAGGGAAGGAAGGGAAGGAAGAAAACGTACCGTTTTTCAAGTCGTTCCCATAATTGTGTATGGTCACACCGGAGCACGACCACCAGATCGACCCAGCGCTCCGGGAACGCCTCGCATGTATGCCAATCCAGAATCAATCCTCCCTCCTCCGTTAGGGGTTCGATCTCGTCTAGTAGCTATTCAACGCCAACGCCAACGACCAGCACCGCGCCACAAATCAATAAACCACACACACGACATGCAAAAAAGAGAACGATCCAGCGTGTAAAGGAAAAATGGCGAAAGAGAACTGGGAAACGCACCTTATCCTCATCAACCTCATAACTCTCCCACTCCTCATCATAGCTCTCATACAACCCCCGTTCTTTAACCAGCCGACCGACGTTAATGTGGCGTAGTGGGATGGGAGACTCGGACGCGAGCAGCTCGGCGTGGGTGGATTTGCCGGTGCCGGGGGTGCCGGTGATGACGATTATGGGGAGTGGGCGGGAGGAGGAGGGGGAGGGCATGGTGTGCGGGTTGGGTGGGTTGGTTTTTGAGGTGGGTGGTGGAGGGATTTGAAGGTGAGGATAGAGAATATTAATGAGAAAGTTTGGAGGGGCTGGCCGGCAAAGAGCGTGTGGCGTTCAGGGTGGTTTTGGATCGGCGGCGTCGCCACACCTTGTTCTTTGAACTCTTCCATTGTGCGATCGCTTCCAGTATCGTCGACTCAAACGACCTTGGTTGAGCTCTCTGTCTAGTCCCGAAGTAAACTCTGAGTTGCACACCGTTCACTTGCCACTACAGCACAAGATGACTCGCTGTAGAACGTCGACTCTTTCATCTACATACGTAAACGACCCTCGGTCTCGTTCATCTAACGATCTTCTCCCCACAGCAGCATCTCCGCGGCGATTCTAGTCTCTCGCCTACCACATGCAGCTTTGAATGTCGCCATGAAACATCAACCTTCCTTCTCCGGTCATTTCCTCCCTTCCACGACCCAGCAAATGAACCTGACCCAACAAATGAACGTTGAACCTGACGCTTTGACGCCCCGTCCGCCTTGCGCATGCGAGTCCTGACGAGGCTGGGGTGAGGCAATCATGAACCTTGAAGGCACGGTTAAACCAGCTCTGATCCACGCGGTTCCTCCACGTTTTGGCACGAGCGTAATCCCGTTTGTTAACTGTAGTCTGTCAACGTTCCAAGTTCGTACTTGGCTCGCCTATCCCTCGTGTACATCCTGGATGCAAGTGCTATAAAGGTTGAACTTATCACGCCGCTACCGTCTGCTCAAATCTCGTTTTCGTTCTCACTGCCTCAGCCGCAAGTCTTCATCCCACACGCCTCTCGATATTAATAAATAATAATCATGATTCCCTTCAATCTACTCCTCCTCCTCTCATACCTCTTCTCTCTCTTCGTCCACCTCCCAGTAACATCCGCCGCGCCACCCACATGCACACTCGCCAAACACAACTCCTCCAACGCACTCTCCGGAACCGATCCCGGGCCTGGGACCTCCTCCGGCAGCAGCAGTGTGAACGGTAACTCGACCTCCTCGGCAGGGTCTTCGTTGGTGGCGGCGGCGTGGTGGGAGAACTGGATGAGCGCGCAGTTTCCGCTCGAGGACGTTAGTTGGGAGAAGTATAGCCATGTTTTGTATTCGTTCCTGTGAGTCCTGAATCTTCTGGGTGCATTGGGTTTGTTGGTGCTATAGTGCCGCCAGGATTGGATAGGATCGCTGATATATATATACACACACGTCTGTGGACATGGGGACGAAAATTGAAGCGTAACGCAGGCGGATGGTCTTATTAGCGTGGAAGGAACAGATACGACCCTATTACCACAATTCGTGGAACTTGCGCATGCGAATGTGAGTGCCATGGTCTTCATTCATAGTCTCTCATTAGGAGGTAGTATCATGATAGTGTGCTGATGGCAATCGCAGGGCACGAACGCGATGCTCTCGGTCGGAGGCTGGGGTGGCTCGGTCTATTTCTCTTCCTCGGTCGGCTCAGCTGCCAACCGAACCGCATTCGCTCAATCTGTGTTGAGCGTGATCAATCAATATGGCCTCGATGGGGTCGAATTCGATTGGGAATATCCAGGCGGAGGGAACGGAATCGGGTGTAACGTGAACTCCACGTCGGACACGGCCAACTTCCTGCTCTTCCTCCAAGAACTCCGCGCTCAGTCTAATGGAAGCAGTCTCATCGTGTCTGCTGCTGTGGCGGACGCTCCGTTCGCAGACGCTTCGGATGATGATATTGCGGCTTTTGCGGAGGTGTTGGATTACATCGGTATGTCTTCCCTTTCGCCATCCCACCACCCAACGTCCCCTCCCTCCCTCTTCTTTCACTGACGTTAGCGAGAGAGTGGACATGGGACTGATCTCGTTCCACCTCTACGGATATGGTTTATGATCATGTAGAAATGATGAACTACGACGTCTGGGGCTCTTTCTCCCAATTCGTCGGCCCCAACTCGCCCCTCGCGGACGCTTGTGCGCCATACCAAGACGGCTCCGCGACGTCCGGCGTTCAAAAATGGACGACTGCAGGTTTTCCGGCGAATCAGATCTTGCTCGGCGTCGCGTCCTATGGACACTCGTTCCTGGTCTCTCAGGCTAACGCCCTCACATCTTCCTCCTCTTCCTCTTCCTCAGGCTCGGGCAACTCAACCTCGGGCACGCTCGCGCTCTACCCCTCCTTCGAACAAGGAACCCAACCGCAAGGAGATTCCTGGGACGTCTCTTCGGCGGGCACGACGGACGTGTGTGGGAATAGTGCGTCTGGGTCTGGGTTCAGTGGGATTTGGGACTTTTGGGGATTGGTGCAGGAGGGGTGGTTGGAGGTTGATGCGAGTGGGGGGAATGTGACTGCTCAAGAGGGGATCGATTGGACGTACGATGAGTGTAGTCAGACGGTGAGTCGGAGTTGCGGCTAGTATGTGCGGTGAAGTCGAATGGTCGCTGATGGTTTTTTTTTGAAGCCGTTCGTATACAATCCGACTAGTCAGATTATGGTCTCGTACGACGACCCCACGTCTTTCGGTACGTCCCTCACCGCATAGCAACATCCCTCTCGCCTTTCGCGTTAATCATCACCTTTGCCCGTGATTCTGACTCGTCGTGTTCGTGTGCATGTCTACGTAGCTGCGAAAGGGCAATTCATCGTCGACCAAGGATTAGCCGGGTTCGCGATGTGGCAGGCCGGTGGGGATTATAAGGATATGCTGCTGGATAGCATTAATGGCGCGATGGGGATTGATACGACTATATGCGACGCGTGAGCTGTGGCACGACTATATGCTATGCGTGAGAAGTGGGGAGTGAACATCGATGTTAGATGGGGAGCTTATATGCAAGTGTTACTGTATGCCCAATGCCTACGTCGTTCGTGTTTTGTATATATTTTTGCGATTTTCATTTCATTAGGGTGTAAAAGGGATAGATGAATGTATTTTATTCTAGAATTGACATGAAATATACCTTTATCGCGTGACCTGTGGCGGGGGATAAGATCTCTTAGAGGTGGCACAACAAAATGACAGTCCTGAGACTCATATGCATTACATGACATGTTCAACAAATAGAGAAGACACAGACAAAGAAAGGACAAAAAAGCGTCTGTTGGTTTCCCCCGAAGGGTACTCGTCCTCTGAGCCACGAAGAGGCCGACGCCGGGAGACAGCGTCTCCCTATATCAGAGGATACGTACCTTGGAGGGTCCTGGACCTTGGTATTGGCCGGCTACGCATCATCTTGAGCGCTCTTGAGCCGTATTGTTGTTCGCTTCGGTGTCCTCTTCGTCGTCGTCGGCGCGTCTCTTGGTGACGCTCTTCGGGCGATGTCTTCGCGTCTTGACGCTATAGGGGGCGGTCCTAACCATTATCAAGATGAATTCAGCCACTTAGTCGCGAACGCTGAGAAGAAGAAAGAGATGACGCACCTTGGGCAGAGCCGAAGCTAGCCCTCCGGAGATATCTCCCGGCACACCCATGTATCTAGACCACACTTGCACTGGAGAGAAGCGGACCAGTCGAGTATGACGGACGTCGGTTGGTCGCGAGGACCTCCCTAAGTACCGTATCCGCTGCGTCGCACTCTCGATCCAGCAGATCCTATGGGAAAGCGGACCAACAGCCGTCGCGTTGACTCCCGAGCTCCCGGCGCGCCGACCGAAGTCAAACATTGCCTGTAGGCGATAGGCACTTATAGCCCCGACTGGGCTGTCACGGCCCAGCCAGAACCTGTCAGAAGACAAGCCACCCTCGTACCAACGTGCGACAGAGCCAGCCTGATATACGCCTTCGTGTCATCGACGCGCCGAGCCAGCCGGAGCCGGAACGGACACAATCTAGACAAACGTCTGTTGTTGGTGTACGACAACCGGTTCGCAGACCTCGGGTGACTGGGCCAAAAGTGGTCGTTGAACCGGAAGCCTCCCGCGGTGGAGGTTAAAACAACAAAGTCTGCCAGGTTTCATGCAGTTGACTCGGGGGTAAGAGCTTGGTCGCCAGGGTCGCAAAGCGATACAACCGTGCCAAAGTTAACCCGCGGGTACTAGACATGTGGCCTCTAAGGACCATGGCGAGACAGAGAAGCTGATAAAGAGGAGAGGGGAAGGTCGTCAGTGGAGGAAGGATATGAGATGGTTGATGGGAACGCACCACGACCACCATCGTGGCCGCCGACGATCCCCAGGATAGCCAAGTTTTTCGTGCAACGACTACGCCAGTACCGACCTCGCCATGACTGCACGAAGGCAGCAATGGCCCACGAGGGGACCATTAACGAGGAGGGCTGACGGTGTTGAACACGCGGTACGAAGACCATGGCCAGAGCAAGAGGATGCCCTGTGACGAGGCTAGATGAGTGCTAGACAACCATGAGCAAGAGCTGAAAGACGTACGACGACCAGCGCTAATGAAGCTGCCCAAGGACTACCAGCCTAAACTTGATGTGTCTTGATGTTGATGTGTCTTGATGTTGCTTAGGCTTGAGGTCTATCAATCGAAAGCGCAATATGTCAGCATAAGAGCAGATACGAGAGGGAGATGGAAGAGAGGAGAGGGGAAGAGTCATCAGACGTTGAAAAAGGAAGGAACGACGAGGTCAACGAGTGGCGCAAACAACAACAGCGAACAGAAACAATAGAAGAAGAAGTATTAGAAAGGAACTACGCACCCGTCAATCTGTAAGCGACCGGTGGGCAGAGGAGAGAAATGCTAATTCATATGGACGTCAGCGCAAGAGATGGGAGAAACAGTAGGAGGAATGCGACGCTTATTATATACTCTTGGACACATGCATGTTCAAACTCCGCTGCATTGTTCGCCACCATCGATATCGCACAAAAGGGTACGTAACGTGCCAGGTCCTGATGGCAACACTGATCGAAGCAGATACGAGAGAAGCGCATGGAACAGCCGAGAAGGTTTCCACCTTCAAGAGGATGTCTGCTTTTGGCCGAACAAAGGCCATTGTCAAGAGCACCGCCTCGCTCGTCCTTTGTGTACTTTTTGGGAGACAAGTCCAAAACAAGTCTGATAACAGGCTCAGATAGCATCTAGCAGATCGTACTAGTAGTGCTTATGGTATGCTCAAATGAGCTGTCGCAGACCCTCTATCCTCCTGGGTGTGAACGTGGTTTGAGTTGGTAAGTTATGGGAGTGAGAAAGGAAAGACCCGATTAGGACCGATCTGGGCCTGGAGATGCGCCACGTGGACGACCCGGCATATTCCGGTAGTCATCTTCACCCCTGACGTCGACTTTTGGTCGACTTGCACTTGACTCTTGACTTGCACTAAGCCTTGACTCTCCTGTATCTCCAGCGACGTGCTACGTTGCCAAAGACTCTAAGCATAGTCTTCACTCCGGCCGACGACTTTTGGAAAAACCTGCCACTGTCAGAACCAGCCTGGAAGGCGTTGATCCTGTATGACTCGGAACTGCCTGTGCAAGCAATTCATACAGCTTGAATAGGGCATATATGTAGCGGTTCACATCGCGTTTTTGCGATGTGAACTAAACCCATGATGGGTTCAATACTTCGCAACTTTGTCCCGTTGGATCCTCGAAGCTCAATTCACACTCAGTGCGATTTCGATGCGAGAGGAGCCTCCTCCGGCCTCTGCCCGTTCACTGACATCGTTCGGAACAACACACACTTTGGCGGAAGGCCCACGTACTGTAGCTCCCAAAAGAATCACTGTATCAGAGGCCATCAGGAAGGGGGACGGGAATGAGAGCAGGAGTAGTCCCGTCTCGAGGATCCAAACCCAATGTGAACTGAGTATTATATCTAGCACCACACTCGAGATTCCGAGTTCACACTTTTCGTTTTCAGGATGATGAACGAAACTGATGTGAACCGCTACATATATGCCCTAATGAGCTCATTTAAATGTGTAGGACACCCAGTTACACTTCTTCGACAATCTTTATGTGTCCAGCCTCGCTCCGAGTCGCTGCGTGTATAGATGAGACAGCCACTAATACTTAGACCGGCGGCGCGATGTGATGATGCTTCAATACTCGACGATGGTCATGTTCTCCGTCCGCTTTTTCACTTGCTTTTTGGCCCTCGAACGTTTTGTCTCCAACTCGGAGAAACATCGGATTACAAGCAACACTCCTGTAGCCACCTATATTAAATCACCTTCTTACAATGTCTTCTGACCATATGACGTCGAGAGGATTGCATGCATAAAATACCCAACGCACCGACTTGTATTTTTACTACTCACCCTCAATCCCAGAACAGCAATGACAGATTTCAAGCTGCCACAGTCCTTTCATTGGGGTTTTGCCACCGGTATGCCTACTCGACTCGGGTCGCACCTTTATCTCGTTGATTTAAGTTTGACATAACGCTTCCTCCCACTCTATAGCCAGTTATCAGATCGAAGGCTCACCCACAGCCGATGGACGGCTACCCTCAATCTGGGACACATTCAGTCACACGCCTGGTAAGACCGCAGACGGTCTGACGGGAGATCACGCAACGGAGTCGTACAAGCTATGGAAAGAAGATGTTGCCCTTCTCAAGTCTTATGGAGTTACAGCTTACCGATTCTCTTTCTCCTGGTCGAGAATCATCCCTGAAGGGACCCGGCACTCGCAAGTCAACCAAGCTGGGATAGACTTCTACAGACGATTCATCCAGGAGTTGCTAGACAGCGGGATCACACCGTTCGCGGTGCGTCTCTTACATCATTATATCCCAGACGAGACTGATTCATCCTTCAGACCTTATATCACTGGGATCTGCCAGAGAAGCTCGAGACCACTTATGGTGGCTGGCTTAATAAGGAAGAAATTGTGAAGGACTTCACATTCTACGCAGAGGTCAGCATCCATCGCAGTTACATCTCTCGTCCGGTTTACTCACTCTAACTGCCACTTATCGCAGACCTGCTTTCAAGCATTCGGAGATCTCGTCAAAGACTGGTAGACTTGCCTTGAATGTTCAGCATTTCATCACATTATTCACCCGATCCCTATAGGATTACATTCAACGAACCATGGTGTATCTCATGGCTTGGATACGGTAACGGCATTCATGCGCCAGGACGTACCAGCGACCGGAAACGATCATCTGTAGGCGATTCATCCACAGAACCATGGATGTGAGTGGCCATCGTCTTCCGACTCTCACACAACTCTTTGACGTGCCCCCACTTCTAGTGTTGGTCACAACGTCATCCTTGCCCATGCGTATGCCGTTGCTGCCTATAACGGTCGGTTCAGGGAATCGCAGGGCGGCCAGATTGGAATCACGCTCAACGCATCATGGCTCATGCCCTACGATCATACGCCTGCTAGTAAGGACTGCGTTCGATCGCAATAAACGGAAACATTCCCTGATGATACTGCAGATGTTGATGCGACCAAGCGCGCGATGGATGTCACTTTGGGATGGTTTGCAGTATGAGCTCTTCTTTCACGAATTTTACGTTCTCCCTGATATGTACTGTATCTTCTATGCAGGATCCTATCTACAGAGCCGAGTATCCGCAAGCCCTGAAGGCCATGCTAGGAAGCAGACTCCCAGAGTTCACAGAACAAGAAATCCAACTCCTCAAACATACCTCGTCCGACTTTTTCGGTCTCAATACTTACACGAGCCACCTCGTTCGTACGTCGCATTCGTTTCGCTAACGACCTGCGGAGCCCCCATAACTAAGGAAGTTATAGTGGAAGGCGGAACGGACGAGTCGAATGGAAAAGTCAAATACACATTCACGCGTCCTGGTGGGAGCCAGCTTGGGACTCAAGGTCCGTATGACTGTCGCGCTCGTCTCTCGTCCTATTCCTGGCACTGAATTCGATGTCGGGCAGCGCATGTGCCATGGCTTCAGGCTTGTACGTTTCATCACACCATTATACATAATACGATAGGATGATTGAGAGAAGCCATTCACCAAAGACGCTCCTGGGCTCCGTGAGGTACGAATATTCTCCACCATACTTACAACAATTGTCTCATCACATTGGGCATCATCTAGCTTCTCAAATATGTTTGGAAGGTATGTCTGTTTCCTGCTCGCTTCGTCTCAGCGACTAATCATATATGCACCTCGCAAGACATATGGAAAGCCAGTATAGTAAGTCCCTCAACGCCTCCTCAACACGTAAATCGCTCATCCACCCTACTAGCGTGACAGAGAACGGTTTCGCCATCAAGGGAGAGAAAGACACGACTATCGAGGAAGTCGTCCATGACGTCGACCGCGTCGACTATTACAAAGGATACGCTGGCGCGGTACTGGATGCTTATGCGGAAGGAGTCAATGTGCGGTCGTACTTCGCTTGGAGTGAGCGTTTCAGATTGTCCCTACGCTTGGTATGTACTCTACAATGCTGATATCTCGGCACATAGGTCTGTTGGACAACTTCGAGTGGTGAGTTACCAGGAGGGTTCTGCGTTGGTTTCCCGTGTTGACTTATCACCTGTTTTCGTGTTCTCGCAGGGCCGACGGGTACGAAACAAGGTTTGGGACGACTTATGTCGATTATTCTACCCAGAAACGCTACCCGAAAGACTCGTCCAAGTTCCTGACGCAAGTGAGTGTCTCTTCGCGCCAGATATACCTCGTCCGGCTTCTGAAGTTGTCAACTGTCCAGTTCTTTGAGGAGCATATAACCAAGTGATCTGCATAAACCGGCGAACAATGAATTGGACGAAGAGGCCTCAAGGGAACCACCCGTATAAGTGTGCTGATGGAGTAGAATGAGTCTATATTGAAGCATCTTGTCTCTGTACATCACAATTTCAAAAGATTCTTGGGTCAGAGATCAAGTGGTGATGTTATCCACAGGCTGTTTTGCGTACTCCAGTGCCATCGATTGAAGACCAGCATATAATATCGCAAACCGAATGCATAAGCGAAGGAAAAGTTGATGGATATATCATTAAAGGCAGCGCATAGGTTAGTCCAGTTTCCCACAAACGAAACATTCATGGTATCAACCCCCTGTGAGAGCGACAAATCGATCCATTAGACCCGGCTCTCTAGACAGGCACGGAGAAAGTCACATACCACACTATTGCTCGCCACTCATGCCCTCCTCCTTCAACGCCTTTCTCAACTCCACATTCCTGAACATACTTCCCCTCGATTCCCACGTCCCCTTAACCGCCTCGACCGCAAACTTAGCCATATCATTGACAGGCGTATACCACCCCGCTGCAGCCGTAGCGACCACAGGACCGAGAACTACGTCGGCCCATCTTTCGGCTGCACCACGCTGGTTTTTAGCGTCGGCAGGGTACTTCGGCGAAGGGAAAAAGTATCCGGGTCGGATGATGGTTGCTCTGAAAGTCCCATTAGAGTTCTCCGCGAATTTGAGTAGTGTGTTCTCTGCTTGACCCTATCACACAATTAGCGATTATGGAATCAATAAAGGTGAACATGGAAGATGAAACGCAATGTCTGACGAACCTTGACCCTCGCGAACAATGTCCGACTCTTCTCTGTGGAATCCACCCCCTCTCCGCTCACGAACAACAACCTAAACGGCTTCTCCACACTACCCGTTGAAGTAGCACCTTCTTCGCTCTGCATCACCCTTCCCGAACCCTTCAAATCCTGCAGGAACGCCTTCACATATCCCAACGTGAATTCTGTATACTCAGCCTCCGTCTTTCCTCTTTGTGTCGATCCTAACGCCCATATACACGCATCGTGCTCAACAAGAAGGTCCTTTGAGTACGAAAGGAAAGATGTTTGAGTAATGGCGGTGAGCTTGGGGTGAGTTGGCGAGGCGTCGGCGGTGGCGCTGGTGCCACCGGGGAGTACGATCCAGGAGGGAAGCGGACGACGGGTGAGGGTGGTTACGTGTGTTATAGAGTCATCTATGAGGAGAGCTCGAAGCATTGGGAGGCCGGCTTTCAATAGTTGTGTTATCGTGTCAGAACGAGATTGTACGGAATGTGTTGACCGGGCGTACCTGCTCCCGTCGCGCCAGTCAAGATGACCTTCATGATGTCGGCAAGTTGTTGTTGAGGTGGTCCTGGTAGCTGGGGAGATGAGGCGAACGCGAATGGTGCAGTGTATCCGATAGAGAACCTAGAAATACTAGCAGGCTTTATAGTTCTAGCAACGGGTGAAGATGTGGATCCTGTTTGAGGACGTGGATCACGGCCGATTCAGAGACAACTGGCAAGCGCTTGCGCGTTGCGCCGGCAGGCGTGCAACGATAGCCTTGGTTATCACAATCACTTGCATCGCCATAAGACGAAATATACAACATATAGCCGTGAGTTTAGGAAGCCCAAGATTCTAGAAGTTGTCGTTGGCACCGAGTGGTGTACGGAGAAGCGAAGGAGGAAATACAGGCATTGGATGATTGGCTCGGCGGAACCCGGCGTCGCCGTGGGACTACTATATATTATTTGTAAGTACTTCAACAACAATCTGAGGATGGTGGAAACAACATGCGGTAGTACTAAGATCACAAACAAGTACGATAAATAACATAACGAACATAGAAATCTAAGTAAAACACTTATACTCCTGCCACTTCGCAAGTTTTGTCTAGGAATCTAACGGCCGTCCGATGCTTTCAATGCCCTCTCCCTCCCTTCTGTGATCGACGTCTCTTCCACTACACCATTCACAAGCTCACTCTCAGCCACCATAGACTCCTCCGGATGAGGAGGCTTAAAAGTCTTCAACTGAGACTCTATCTGTGCTTCCAGGATGGAAACGCCACACGACGCGGCGACGAACCCGAGGAAGGGAGGTGAGGGGTTCAGAGGGCGGGTGCAGAATTCCGGATGGGCTTGCAAACCGACAAAGAAGGGGTGATCTGTAACAAGACCACCAAGTAAAAGCAGCAGCATATTAGATAACTGATATAAATGATGAAGGTGATAGAGGTAGTGAACGCACCGGACAGCTCCAAAATCTGCATCCTCTCCCCTTTCTCGTCCTTCCCCACGAAATCCAATCCACTCTCACTCAACCTGTCCACAAACTTCGGGTTGACCTCATACCGATGCCTGTGCCTCTCCCAGATCTTGCCAGACCCTGCGTACAACCTTCTGATCTTAGTGTGGTCAGTATTGGGTTGGAAGACGGTCGGGCGGAGACCAAGACGCATGGTGCCACCCATATGGGTACGCGAGATTTCGGGCATGAAGATGATGACGTCGTCCTTCAGCTCAGAGTCGAACTCGGTCGAGCCGGCACCTGGTAGGACGAAAGTGAGTTAGTGAGGCCTGAAGAATGAAGGTGAACGGATGGAGTCTGACGTCCGGATGGAGGTAGAAGAGATTAGTTACCTGGTATATTGAGCACATGACGAGCCCATTCAACAACGGCAAGTTGGAAGCCAAGGCAAATGCCCAAGAAGGGAATCTTTTGTTCCCTGGCCCACTTGATCGCGAGAATCATGCCGTCTGTTCCTCGTTGACCGAAACCGCCTGGTACGAGGATGCCCCTGTCGTCCACGAAAGCAATCGATTTAGTCACTCGAGAAATGAGGTCGGAAGAGAAGGATATAAGGCGAGACATACCGAGCACCAACGATCGTCTTCCACGCGTCGTGGTACTTGCCTGGGTCAGTTTCTTGTGTTTGCGGCTCCAGGTCTGAGGACTCGACCCACTACGCCACACCGAAAGAGATCATCAGCAACCAGAAGCTAGTAGACAAGACGGGGGAAAGCACGGACCTGGAGGACGAGTTTTTGGTGGCAACGGAATGCCGAGTGCTCGAGAGCTTTTGTGACGGACATGTAGGAGTCCTTCAAGTCCGTATACTTTCCCACCAATACGATGGATACCCTGTCGAATAACCTTTCCTGACTACAACAAAGTGTCAGTTTCTTTTGATCTAGAGCACGATCGCGAATGACAAGGTGAAGAAACAGGAATGAGACGTACTCTCCCGTCAATGCCCGCCATCTGCTCTCCAGGTCGGAACCCCTCTGTTTCATAGCAGGGGTATACGGGATACTGGTGAGGTTCAACCGCCTCTGGAGGAACCCGACTATGCCCTGAGATTGAAGAAGTAATGGGACATGGTAGACCGACGAGACATCGTGCACGCCAACAACCTGTTCTGTCGATACATGGCAGAACATGGAGATTTTCTCCTTCGTTGCGTTCTCAAGGGGTTGCGGGATGATCAATCGGCATGCTATCTGCAATAGACCGCGAATGTAAGAACCGTAAGTGAGCTTCGATGGGGAAGACGTACGAGATCGGCGGATAAGCCGAGGCCACGCAGGGCATGGATGGTCGTCTGAGTCGGTTTTGTCTTTTGTTCGCCGTGCATGTCGGGGACGAGCGAGACATGAATGAGTGCGAAGTTTTCGTGGCCGACTCTGAATTGGAATTGACGCATGGCTTCGACGAATGGGGCGGATTCAATGTCACCGACAGTACCCCCAAGCTAAAGAAGCAGTGGGCCACATTTCATCCACCGATCGTGATTAGGATGTTGTCGCGCAACAAAAGACAAGAAGAACATACCTCGACGATGCAAACGTCTGGCTCTTCTCCAGTGTCATCAACGGGGACTTTGGAGACTCGTTCGATCCAGTCTTGGATTGCGTTCGTGACGTGTGGCACGATCTGTGCTCCGCCCTTCAGAGCGGACGAACGTGCCGAGACAGGACATACTCACCTGGACGGTCTTGCCCAGGTAGTCTCCCCTTCGCTATAAGATCTTCTTCGTCAGACAAGAGCAGATCCTGAGTGATAGGTGCGGTGCCACAATCGATTGTGCGCCCGGACAGAGGCCCTTCAACTCCACACAACCTTTCGAGGGTTCCAATAGGACACCGAATTCGATTGCGGCACCGCTAAAGCAAGACGGACGCACCTCCCGCTCGATAACCTGTTGGTAAATCTTTCCCGTCGTAATATTGTTGTCCCTCGACAGCGTCACGTTAAGATACCTCTCATAATTGCCCAAATCTAAATCAACCTCTCCGCCATCGTTCAAGACATACACCTCGCCTATGTCCAACGTTAAGCAAACGTTGACTCTCCCTTTCGCACTCAATTTATAACAGCAAAGAATGACTCACCGTGTTCAGTCGGTCTCATCGTGCCTGCATCCACATTCATATACGGGTCGATCTTAATGGCGGTGACCTTCAGACCTGTCATCTTGAGCAAAAGACCGGTCGAGGATGCTGTGAAACCGATGTATAATTTAGACGCGTCCAGATGGAAATAAAGATGCGAAGAGGTGCGTGCCAATAACACCCTTCCCGATCCCGCTAACGACACCACCAGAGACAAGAATATACTTCATGGCCTGTAACACAGTGGAATGAGTTCCCCTGTACTTGCATAACATTCTAAGGTGCTTACGGTGGGAGAGGGGTGAGTCAAGTATGTGGCGAAGAGCAAGAGCAAGCAGTCGAAAAGTGCGAAAATCATGGCGGAGACCCGGGAGATAGGCGCTGACGATCAGATCTCCAGATCTGTGTGGCGGTGGCCCAAGCACTCATATCCACGAGGTCTTCAGTGCCATTTTGCATCGAAACATAGTCTAACGCTGGCCGGCCATGAACAAACTGCCTCAAGAGGACACAAAAACATGAGGATATGTATAGGATGCGTATGCCATACTTTTAGTCTATCGAATGAGAGAGAGCAGTGAGTGTACCGTACGAGACCGAGAAAGCATGCGGAGACGTAAGTAAATGCAAAGGAATTATAAAATACAATCCAATCATGGACGGGAAAGCAGTAGCTGTAACATAGGAGGACCACCTACCGAGGAGCCAATAAGCTCCTCACCGACGACCCGAATGGACTCATTCCCCCTCCTGGCGCACCGACCAACCTCCACCCCTCTGATTCCCAGTCGCACCTCGCGCTGTCTGCGATGCTGTCCTCCGATCATACAGACGACCCCTGTGTTCATCGGCCCCACTCCTCGTATCGTTACCTTCGCGGTCGTTCCCGCCACGTCGGTCATTATCATACCCACGATAACCAGACCCCCTCTCCCTCTGTTCCTTACCCCTCACGCTTCCACGACCCTGCCAATGGTTACTCGGCGGCGCGTTGAATCGCTGCTGCTTCGGTCCTTTCCCAAAGTGCTTGGTCCTATTATCCGAGAAACCAAGCCTGTCGAGGAAGTCCGGGGAGAAATAGGGTGGTTGGGGAAGACCGCAGGCTTCTACGGACCAAGCCTTGATGCCCTCAATCATGACACCCTTCTGAACACGAAGCTCGGACTGTTTGGCGATATAGTACCCGAGCAACGACGCTACGGTCTCCTTGATCGCGTCCTCTTCAAGCTGCTGGAAAAGAGCCTCGATATGGTTCGGGATTTCCTCGAGCCTCGCCGCGGTATTGGGCGCGAATCGATTCAGTCTGCGGACAGGACGACCAGTGGGGTCCTTCCAGAATGCGTCAGGATCGGCGTCATGCTTGGAAGACAACTCTGCGACCTCTGACTTGAGCTCGTTGGTGTGCAGGGCCTTGATGGGGAATTCCGTGAGCTGCCATGAGATGAAGCCGATCTCCCAAGGAAGAAGGACAAGGTCTCCACGACCGCTCGTACCCGCACGACCTGTACGACCTACGCGATGGATGTACTGCTCTGTCCCACCGGGGATACCGACCTGGATAACTCGCGTGACGCCTGGGTAGTCAACTCCACGAGCAGAGATGTCTGAGGAAACGAGGATGGTGGCGCCTGACTGGTCTTTGCGGAACATGTCCGAAACCTTGGATCGCGATTCCTGTGTACGCTTGGAATGAATCTCGTAGACGCGGGTTTGTTTGCCTGCTGGGACGGAGTGGGAGAGTTGACGAAGGAGAGTCGCAAAGAGCTGCGTCATCTTCGTCGTTGGCAAGAAAACGATCAGCTTGGACTTCCCCGGGTTGGACAACTGGTCATGAGCGATGAGACGGAGGATGTGAGGAATCTGGTCGGCGGCGGAGGGGAGAACCGTGTGGAATTGAGGGATGTGTGAATGAACGGGAGAATCATCCTTCGGGACGACGTCGATGAACGTGTGACTCTTATCGAGAGTTGAACGAGCGACTTGGCGAATGGAGGTAGACAATGTGGCAGAGAACAGGAAGGTCTGGCGCTCTGGGGTAGGAGGAAGGAATTCCTTGATGGCGTCGATTTCGTCACGGAAACCCATCTCCAAAAGCGTATCGGCCTCGTCCAGAATAAGCTATAGCGCGGGTCAGTGATGCGAAGTTGAGATGTCACGATACAGGAAATACGCACTGTCTGGGTCTCCTTCATAGCGCGTCTAACCTCAGGCTCACTCTCCAGTAAATCACGAAGACGGCCGGGAGTGGCGACGACGACATCGCGCCTGCCCCTGATGAAGTCGCGCAACTGATTCCTCTTGCTGGTACCACCGGTGAAGAGCCTGACCTCGAAGTCATCGTGCCAGTGACTGAGCCGAATAGCCTCGTTGGCGATCTGGGTCGCGAGTTCACGAGTAGGACTAATGATGAGAGTACCGACAGAGTTCATCGCGAACACGCGTTTGGCGCGGTTCTCGACGGCAGGATTGCTCGTAACGCCTTCAGCAGCGAGAGCCCTCTGACCGGCCTTGTCGATAGCTTTTAACCGTGCTTCGATAGCGGGGACGAGGAAACCGAGTGTCTTGCCTGTACCTGTTTTCGCCTTTACGAGAAGATCGCGAGGAGGGCCCGAGAGTTGTCCGTCGCGGTATTCAGCTGGGTCGTACCCTCGCGCGAGCTCGGGAAGAAGGGGGAGAACGGCTGCTTGAACGGGTGACATATGCTTCAATTCCATGGGCTTGACGGTGATAGCCTTCAGAGTCCTGTCCGAAATCTTGCCCTTCAATGTAGAGAAGTCAGGCTGAGCGTCATATGTCGCATCTGGGGAATCATGCGCGGTGCCGCCCTCGGCTGCCGTCTCGTCTGCCTGAAGAGGAGCAGGTTCGTCGCCATCCTGGAGCTCGTTCCGCGATGAGCGACCACCTCGAGAGTCTCCACGGCCTCTGCCGCCCTCCCAGGCCCTATGAACGGGAGCCCGCCGAGCTGCATAACTGGCGAACCGCACAGAGTTGAAGGTGGGATCTAAAGGAGCGACTATGAAAGCATCAGCATCGCCAAGGACATGATGAGAACCTACTCACCATTCTGCTTGGGCAAGCGAGTGATTAGAGAGCTACCGTGTGTCGCCGAGAGTAACGACCGGCAGCAAGTTCTGCTCGCCGTCGACCACAGTGAAGAGGACATCGAAGAGCTCTGACAAGTCGCGTTTCTGCCGCCAAAAATTCTGGGCAACGAAAATCCTGTCGCGTGGAATCACGTGTACAATGAGTGGCGCCGTTGTGGCGCGTTCCACGGTCATTGAGTATCGATTCTGAGTGGCATGTTACATGCTTGGCAAGACAGGCTTTCGTGATGAGGAGAAGGTCTTTTCAAGAAGAAACGATGCAGTAGTGTAATACAAAAAGAGAAGAAAGATAACACCATCCTCGATCTTTACTCTGCGCCAGCGTGATCGTCCATCTCTACATCCGCCTCTTCCTGCTTTTCCGCTTCCTCCACGCTAATATTACCAGCAGCCCGCCAGACATTCCCAACAGTAGCTTTCCACAAACGAATACGACCATCATTTCCGGCAGAAGAGAGAACAGTACTAAAGATGTGAATGAACACAACGTCAGCGCTGGCCGTATCATTGAAAAAGACATGTCAACGAACCCTGTTATGTTCCATTCGACACGACCCACCGGAGATCTGTTCGTCGCATGGTAAGTACTCAGATAGAGATGTGCATTGTTAGCATAGGAGACTTACTTATGGTGATCGAAGTCTGCCACTACAACAGCAGTCCATCTGGCATCATCGCCGTCGGTCCTCTCATCTTCTGCGGTTGCAGGTTTGATACGCCAAATACGTACGTGGCCATCGCGACCACCCGTTGCGACGAGATGATAAGAGCGGCCACACGAGGGAGCCCATGCAACACAGGTTATAGAGTACGTCGTCGGTCCATCCTGGTCAGTAACGCCCGTAGGAACATGGTCGGGCGTTGGCGAAGGGTCCAAGACTAGTAAAGTCGTAGGGCGACGTGAGGGCGAAAGCTGAATGATCTGTAGTTTATATTTTCGTCAATTCATGGAGATGGGTCAGAATAAGGATATGAGGACACAAACCTTCACAAGACCGTTCACTCCACATCCCGCCGCGATAACCTCCCCCCAATACCTCTCCTTACACCAAGCGAGACACCATCCACCATCAGCCTCTCGATTACCCAGACCTGGCCGGTTAGCTGGCTGATTTTGATGCTGTTGTAGAGCTGTCGCAACAAGTGAGGCAGACGGGCCATCCAGCGAGGTATTGGTTTGAGTGGGTGTGGCCATCGCGACGGTGTGTGCGTGCGATGCTGAATGTGGTGAGACGGACGGAAGGCTCATGACGTCAACTTCTTCGGAAATTTGCCAAGTGGTGAGGTTCGGTGCTTCAAGGCATTCGTAGATGCGCAGATGATTGTCTGAAGCTATTGTAGCCTAGAAAGATGTGCCATCATGAGTGATCAACTTTGAGATCGAGATATCGTTGAAGCGAAAGGCAACCTACGAGTTTCAAACCAAATTGATGAGGCGCGAACTCGACCGCGCGGACGGTACCTTTCGCATCCATGTTTACAGACCGTTCGACCCACCGAGAGCTTGAAGTAGACGCAGAGATGGCGGCACCATTGACTTGTGGTGGGTACTGATCTGTATCTGCATTGGTTTCTTCCCAAATTTTGAACGTGCGGTCAAAAGAGGACGAGGCGATGATGGAGCCAAATTCTGGATGTGCCCAGCTAAGATTGGAAACTGCTGCGTCATGAGCCTGTTGGGATGCATTGTGTGTCAGCAAGATGTTCCACATCTCTGAGAAAGAAGGAAGTAGTGTGTAGGTGGTCGCTTTGCGCCGTAAGTCGCTGCGTGTGCCAGGCTCGATGCCATCAGGCAGAGACCCTACAGCAGCCGTTAAAACGTGCACACAGCGCCCCTTCACCTATATGCGGGCAAAAAGCCCAAGCCTACGCAATAATGTCGTTCTTCCAGCATAGAGGAGTCGGGTCTGACATCCAAAGTTTGGGTGTCCAATAATCGGATTTTTAATTCCCCAGAAATATGCAATCGTGATAAATCTATCCATTGCGCGATGCCTATCCCAAACAGCACTAGTACTGATGAGTAGCCATTGTGTGAACAAGACCTACCGGAGCTACGCCCCGTTTGTCAATAAATATATCGGACAGTCGGCCTACAGAAGCGAGATGATCAGTGTGAAACTCAGACTGGTCTCACCAAAAGAGGGCAATCTTTACGGCCAAAATGGTTAACCGCCGTCGTCGCTTGAAAGCACTAACCTTTAATTGCAGGATAAACGTCGATGCCTTCAAAGTGCGTTAGCGCACTGGCCAGAATGGCAATACCTGACTATTTTAGTTTCGAACCTCAAGAAAGCACCTCAAAAAGAAATGAAAACGGCAAACACAACCAAACGAAATGGAGACATCTGCGTTATAAGAGGGTTGATATGACACGAATTTGTGGCCCACGCCACATCGCAGATTTTGCAAGAACCTTCCAAGCGGAGTTTGAAAAGCGTGTTGAACGGCGCGTCGCGTTATTTGCAATTCCTCGCTTTCCTTCTTCACGTTCTTCTTGGCCGTGTACTTACTCACAGAGTATCACCAAGCCTCGTCGACATATACGGCTGCGGAATAATTGCTCCGAGAAAATGCAAACGGGTCTCATACAGGACGCTCATAGCGATCTGGTGACGGACGCAGCTTACGATTTCTATGGCCTGAGGCTCGCGACTTGTGGACTTGATCAGAGGTTTGCCTGCTCGTCCGATACTTGATATCTGCGTGCTGACATAGTTTTATGCTGTAGAATTAAAATATGGCAGCTCGATGAAATCAGTGGAAACTGGGCTGCTACGAATGATTGGAAGGTGATTACCATTACAATACACAATACAAAATATGTGATGCACCCTTCGATACACCGATAGAAGTATTTCTCCGCAGCATTGCCTTCCTACCAATCAATCAAAGTGGATTCCACCGTCTATGATGGTGCTTTGTCCTGGTGGTACAAGAGAAACATCAGTACCGGAATACTTATAGTGAGTGTGAGTGTCGTTTTGAAGGGTGCCTACCGGTCATAAATTGGGATTGAGGAGACGCCACATAGGAAACCCAATTAGCGATATCGTCCGGAACGCCGAGGGTGGCATTGAAGAGTCCCATGGCCTGCAGAATAATCGAATTTCACATGCAAGAATTATGTTCAGTGAATGAAGCACGTAGCAGTATTGAGAGAATAATGAAGAAGTTTTGCATACCTCCTTCACCGCATCTGCGCTGCCGGCGGCATGGGCTATATCGTGTGGAATTAAGATAGCCTAAGCTGTGGTATAATCGAAGACAAAAGGTTAGGAAATACATACCCATCGGGGTGTCGATGAGACCGGGCGCTTAAGCATTGACTGTGATTCCAAACTCATCGAGCTCTTGCGCTAAGCCATGGTCACGGAGGGAAGCTATCAGTACATGAAATACCTCGCTACAAAGGTTAACGAGAGATCAGACAGACCGGAAGTTTGTGTCAGCGCACGTATCGCAAACTTAGATGTTGAGTACGAGCCGAAGTTCTTGTATCCTAGAGAGAGACAGTCAGACACCCCAACCAGTAGGATCAATCGGACAGCATGACTTGAATTACCTTTCTTGCCTACGATGGAGGAAGCGCCTATGATGCGGCCGCCATTTCCCTGCTTGATCATCTGGATAGAGGCATACTTATAGCAGAAGAGTACACCTTCGACGTTCACAGACCAGACGCGTCGATAGTTTTTGATAGTTGCTGTGGATGAAGTAGCATCGAAACCGTGAGTCGATGACTCTTTCTCCAAAGGTTTCGAACAAGATTGGTTTCATACCGCCGACGTACCTTGGTATATTGGCTCAGGTGCGGCACCGATTCCGGCATTCGCTACCATCTGCAAAACAAAAGCACATCGTTAGCAGAGCACACAGCCAAACCGATGTATAATGTAAGTGAAGTCACTGAAGGACAGAGATGACTCACCACATCCAACCTCCCCAACTCCCTAACACAACCTTCGACCATATCCTTCACAGCATCCTCATCTGTGACGTCCGCACAAAGCACAGCTACCTTCTGGACCTCCCATTCTGGATGCACTGAGTCCTTCTCGCCGCCAGTGATCTCGGCCGAGAGCGCCTCCAGAGCCTCTTTGTTCCCAGGTATGTCATTCAACGCTACTGAGTATCCGTCACTTGCGAGACGAAAAGCTATGGCGCGCCCAATTCCTGATCCTGCGCCTGTTACGAGGGCGACGCGGCGACCCGCGAATGGAGTGAATGTGGAGGGTGGCATCTTAGTGTGGAAGGAGTAAGAACAATAAGGAAATATCCCATCGAGACTATACTTATAGGTGGGACTGAGGTGAGAAGGTAGGTGCACGCTTCTCCGGTCCCGGATTGCATTCCAGGAGTTGGTAAACCGATCAAATCTTGAGCTACATAAAGGTAGATATGTGGATCAGATGGTCGTAGGTACGATACCTTTCGTATGCTATCTGGTCTCAGGACCAGATAGTGTACTCGGAATTCCCTGGGACTTCTCGGCCATTCCCATGCTGCTTGATGATATATCCGGAGGAGACATCAACACGGGTGAATAAGTGATGCAGAAATCGAAGTAAGCGCACAAAACAGAATATGGCCTCGACCTTCTATCGAAGAGGGCCGAGCGTGCTAAGTATTCCTCAGTCACCAAGTCATCAACAGAATGAAAACAATACTTATCCGTCTGCTTCGCTTCACGACAACTCGCTGGAAATTATTCTAAGGAATGTGAGCGAGATGAGACCCTCAAAATAACATCAGCACACGTCCATGGCCGAGTATGTTCCTGGTCAGGAACTATACAGAGGACATCACACTTCAGCACTAATATAGTAGTGCATGGATTGGGTACATCGTGTCACGTCTATTGGCATCATATTAGAGCGACCAGACTTTCTTGGCAGAAGTTGCTACCTTGAACGCACCTAGTTACATACAAAATTCATGCTCGTCCTTTCAGATCCAGCTCGGACGGCATATCCCCTCCATCCAGGGCCGCCAACAAGTTCTTCGCAGCAAGCGTAGCCATCCCTCTCCGCGTCTCGAATGTCGCGCTCGCAATATGCGGCAAAATCACACATCTAAATCGCCACCGAGAATTAGCCTTTAATGCTCCATGACTTCCACTCAACACTGAATACTGATTCCCAGAATCAGTAAACGCACCTCGGCTCCTTCAGCAAAACGTGATCCACGCCGATCTTCGGCTCCCCCTCCACAACGTCCAATCCCGCCCCCCAAATCCACTCCTCCCTCAAGGCCCTAGCTAATGCCTCCGAATCAACAAGCGTCCCTCTCGCAGTATTTACCAATACCGCACTCTTCTTCATGCCCTTCAAGAACTCTTCACCCACTATATGATGTGTCTCGGGTCCTCCTGGTGCTAAGACGAATAGAACGTCGGATTCGACGGCGAGGGTGGGGAGGGGGACACGGGTAATGGATTTGAGGGAGGAGAGAGGGTTGGTCGCCGAGAGGTAGGGTTTGAGAGTGGGGTCCTCGTCGGTTTCTGAGGAGGAGGAGGAGCGAGTGGTATATATGCAATGAGTTATACCGAAGGGAATAAGACGGGCGAGGGTGGCGCGTGCGATGCGACCGAAGCCCAGGAAGCCGACGGTGCGCGTTGGAGAGAATTGAGAGGTGCTGAGTTGGGGGCCGCAGAATTTAAAGGGAGCCCACGGGGAGTTCGGCCACTGTGTACAGAGGATATATTGTAAGAAAAATGAATGACAAGTGAGGACATGGGATAGGTACATTGCCGGCTTGCACTATGGATGCGGTTTGGCCAGCATTGCGGCTAGCCATCAAAGCGAGCATGACAGACAAGTCGGCAACTTCACCATTTCGTGAGCAAGTAGAAATGTGTGGGGCTAGATATCGAGGTATTTATACCTGCGTCCGTCAAAACATCGGGTGTAAACCCAAGTCGTACTCCAGCTCGTGAGATAGCCCGAAGGTCGACATGCTCTGATGGATGATAACGCATTCGTCCTCGTACGCAAGTGATATTCGTAATATAACCTACCATATCCAACTGACATAGTAGAGACGATCCTCAGCTGACGTCCCGCTTTGATTGTACAACGGTCAGACATGAGAGTTTCGGACAACGATTCAGTGATCCGTCCCTACCTTTCTCCAGTAGCTCATCGTCGACCTTTTCAGCATAGTAATGTAAATGATAAGCTCTCAACGTCTCACACACACAAATCTAACCTTGTCTGTGAGCATGACGATTATACCAGACGCGCCGGGAATATTGTCCAGGAGCCACTGTCTTTCGCAGGCTCGATCCTCCGGCCAAGTCACAAGCTATGATTCGTATAATGAGCATATATTCACAGAAGCACTAACACACACTGTCCACAGACCTCTATGTCGCCCCATTGCTTCAGTATTGGCATAACATCTGGACCAAGATCGCGAGTTACAACGACCTTGAGTTTCCGTTCTCTGCGAAGATGAGACACGACCGCGGTTAGCCGCTGCTGAGGAGACGCAGAGTAAGAGGAGCTGGACAACCCAGAGGAAGGCATGACTGGCTCAGACACGACCTATGTGGGCAGTTTAGAAGAGCAAAGTCTACGAACACTCACAAACCCCCCAAAGACTTTCGAGAGCTGGTTGATGTGGCACCTGAGGAAACGGCGGTCCGGCGGTTCCGTCTTTGCAAGATCGACCGTCCGTGACTCCGAAATTGATGACGCACGCGAACGATTGGCCACAACACTACGCCACACGAACTTTGGATAATCCTCTTTTGTTTTTGCCCTTCACCCCTAACGCTTTTCTTTACCGCCACCTTCATCCATATACTTTTCTTCTTGTCATTACCTTGTCTTTATGCCGAAGCCCACCAAGTCATCCGCATCTTCCGGTACTCGCAAAAAACATGCGCGTAAATCAGGCAAGAATGATGAGGGCCAAGCCCCTCCTCCGAAGGATAAAAGATTGAAGGGAAAGGACAAGGCGAAGGCGAAGGCAGAGCCGAAGAAGAAAGTGTACATTCCTCCTTTGAAACCTGCGCCGGTTCAGCAGGACCCCTTAGATAGCCTTGGACTAGCAAAGGTGTTACCACCAGACCTCGTCGTCGTGCTGAGAAGGCTGAGTAAGAAGGATGCAGTGACGAAGGGAAAGGCTTTGGAGGAGTTGATGAGCTCGTGGGTCGGGAGAGGTAATGATACGGAGTCGACACTGGAGGTTGCGATGCCGGTATGGGTACGTACTTATAACTGCTCTTTACCACAATTCTTTTGCCGAAACCTCCTGAGAGGTGATCTGCGAAAGTCGCGGCTCTATAGCAAAGATATGACCAGACTATCACCTGTGAATGGGTCCATATTTTGGTTAGATGTGCTCGTCGGATCTGATTCTCGTAAAGGTAACTGGCCGAATGTGGCGTCTGAGGAGTTACTGCCATGGCTTTTAGTCGACTAATGAACACAATGTCATTTAAACACTTTGCACCAGCAGTTCTCGTTGATCTTAAATCAGTCTCCTTTATGAAACTAATCGTTTTGTCTTCTCATTTCTGCTAGCTACACCACCTCCCATCCCTATTCCTCCACCCATCTCGCCGCATCCGTCTGCTCGCCACATCTCTCCATGTCTCGTTCCTCCGGCTCACACCACTCCGGAACACTCTCCTCTATCATCTCCGCGAAATATCAACTCAAGATCAGGCTGAATCCGTCCTCGGAGCCTGGTCAATGGCTTCCAGAGATGTCGACCGTCAAGTAGCTTCCTACGCCCGCAGATCCTGGACCGACTGCATCTCTATACCTCTTCCCTCCTCACCGGAAACGGAATCAGACCCAGAAAAGCCGAAGGAACAGGAAAAGCCGACGTTATCTTTGGAAGGAGAGTTCGTAACAGGATTGCTGTCGTTCGTCCAGAGAGCGGTTATGGACCCCGCTGGACTGTATCTATATTTGAATCCGGTTCAGGTGGCAGTGTCGCATTCTTCACATCATCACCATGGCGCTGGACGCCCAAATAGGGGCAGAGGGCCGGTGCAAGTGAAGAGAGAAGAGCGGGAAGTCGAGGTGGAAAAGAAGGCCGATGTGGATGAGGAGAGTGAGGTGGATAGGAGGGCGAGGTTAAGGATCGGAGGACTGGGAGTGTTGCAATATCTCATAGGTATGTTTGGTCAAGTCCTTTCTAATTCGCAACTAGAGGCCTAAACCTTCCCATCTCAGAGACTCGCACATTCACGACACAACTCATGCCGATTTTATCGTCCCCCGAATTATGGTCATCGCTACATCACGCTTCACCATGTCCATTCGCTGACCCCGGTGAAGATGGTTCCTTTGGTCACGGGCAACCTGTAGTGAGGACAGCGACTTGGAACGTTCTAGCAGCACTTCTCACCAATAAAGGTAGGCGTCGATTTCCCATCATTCATATTTTTCCACGACATGGCTAACTCGACTGATGTATTCGTAGGTGCTATGGAGAACGAGCTCGTCGAACTTCTGAGTGTTGCTGTTCTGAGGTCAGCGTTCGTGGAACCAGACCCACTCGTTCGGACCGCTATGTGGAAACCTCTTCTGCTGTTCTTGAAAGGTACGCCATTCTTTATGCTTCCTCCCTCTCCTCGTGCTCCGTTCGTCATGCTCATGCAGCACCTCGTTTGTAGACCATCCTACCGCTTGGGAGCTAGGAGCCAAGCTTGATGCGGCACAGTCAAGTCCACGACCGGATGGGGAACATGAGCATGACGAGGATGAGGACGGCTCGGACGATGAAGATGAAGCCCATGCTGAACAATCGACTCAGCCACCGGCACAACCAGAGCCACAGCCAGATGCTCCACCACACCGCTCAAAGGCCTACTCCGAATTCCTCCAGTTCCTCGAGCTGGGCTGCTCGGGTTCTCCGACACAAGGTTACCCGACGATCGTTATCATCCTTTCGACAATACCCTCTTCCGTGGGTTCTATATCATCCTGAATTGCGCCGAGCAGTCACTGACGGGCTTTCTTGTCATGCGTACAGATCCTTTTGTCTAGCGACAATGCCGACCCGTCGTCTTCCACCTCAACTTATCCCGCCTCCGAGCTCTTCACATCCTTCTGGGCTGCCATCGATGGTCGTGCCCTCTCCTCCCTGGATCGTTCGACCACCTCCGCGGCCTTCCTAACATCTCTGCTCGAATGTCTCTCATTCATCATCCGGAGACTCCGCTCTTCGCAACAACCCGAGTCAGACGCACAAGTTTCCGAGACCCATGGCGCAGTCACGGAGATGGTGAAAGATCAGTACAAGAAGGTCTGGGAAGAGGTCAGCGAAGGACGACTCAAAGTCGAGGTGAAGTCGTTTGGAAGGATAGTTGCGGAGGGCTTGCAAGGTCTCGAGAAGATGGATGCGACTCTGTTTGAGGCTGCTTGGGAGGCATTCACGCATTCGATAAGTCACGCCCCATCTGAGCCCACAGCAGAGTCATCGCCGGCGTCCTCTCGACTCGTCACAACTACTTTGAAGACGATGTATGATGTTTTCGAGGAGGGCACAAAGGCAAAAGAGAGGGTGAGCGAGATGGTGAGAGAAGTCGTGATACATGCTGCGCAGAGGTGTAAGGTTGTTTTGGATGAAGCTGTCGGTGACGCCCGGGCACAGGAGAGGGCGCGTGCATTGGACGGGTTGAAAGACGTACTTCAAGTGTTTGAGGGTATTGTTTGGGGCGACAAGGAGTTTTCAGAGGTCAGCCAATTTCCCATTATCTCTATATTTTTAGCCCATTCAGATGCTGAGTCCATACGTATAGCTCGTTGACGACACCATGAACAAACACTCGGCTCATCTTCTCCTCATATCTCCCTCCCTTCTCATGGCGTACCTCGCTTCTCGAACACCTTCAGATATGCAGCTCACGCTCGGGTTGTGGCGCTCGATCCTTATTTCCTTATCGTCGGCTCCTTCTATGGTGTATGGTGCTCTTCCTGCTCTGCTTGATGCCGTCGAGAAAGGTCATGCTCAGGGTAGGGAAGGAAAGGGTGATGGTTGGGTGGCAGAGATGCACCCAGAGGAGAGGGAGTTTGATGAGGTCTTGATGACGCTGTTCGGGGATGCTACCAGCGGTGGAAGCGCAGGAAGAAGTCGAGAGGCAGTCGGTTTGCTGGAGAGGATCATACGATCTTCGAGTACGTATTTCTTCTGCGCGTTTACTTCCATTTTTGGCGGACACTTATCCAGACTGTTCTTTTTTCTTTATATTAGAACCCTTCGTCACACCCTCTTCCTTCGAAACTTTGTTTCAACTCCTCGTCGGTTCCTTCACTCAGCAGTCAACCTCGTTACTCGTTGTCGACACCATCCCGTCCGATTCTACCACTGCCTTTTCCGATGAGTCCGAATCAGAGTCACTCCCATCGCCAATCTCGTCGTCCTTCAGTCAACTCGAAACTTTACTTCGGCTCGTGGCGGTTTCACTCAAGGTCCGTCCGGACCTTGGAGAGCAGAACCCGAGCTTGTTCGTCGAGGCCTTTATCGTTGGCTACCTACTACCGAAGTCTTTGGACGAGCTGGTAGGCAGCAAGATGGAGAGTACGGCGAAGAACGTTTGGGTTGCGTGGGCTAGCGTGAAGGGTAGTGAGGGTACGGTATTGGATGGTTTGAAAGCGAAGTTGGCGGATGTTTTGGGGGATGTGAATGTGCGGGCGAGGTATGGTCACGTTCCGTCTTCTTCACGAGTGCTTGGCCATGCTAACTCTTCGATTTTAGTCCGGAAGATATTCTCCGAGTGGCGTCTGATGATATTCCAGGCATTCCTTCATCTCTGCACAGTGATATACTCCCCACTGTCCACCAATTGGACATCAAGCTTTCCTCACTACGCTCTACACCCGCCCACCCTATACTTGCCATCACACAATCACTCGTCCCTCCGCCTTCAACATTCTCATCTCCCACGCTCGAGTCCGGTTCTACATCCTTCGACTCAATCGGCTTCAGCTCATATGCACGCCTCGTCTCCGCTCTCCTTCAGACCTTCACATCCGACCTCTACAAAGCCAGATCAAACATCTGGGCACTGAAGCACTTCATTGCCCTCGCAACTTACGCCGAGGAAAGCATCCAGCTTCCGGTCATAGAAAGCGAAGTATTCCGCACTGGTCTGGACAAGGAAGTCCTCGAAGGCTTGAGGGAGAGAGCGAAGATGATGCAGGCTTATTTACTTGTTCCGCCGAGCGATACGGCTGGAGGAAGTTGGCATGTAAAAGTCGTTAAAGCTGCTCTTCCGGTTGCGGAAGGCAAGGGCCGGGTGACCACGAGTCAGGATGGGATAGAGGACTTGCTGTTGAGTCTGGTAGAAGACGGGAAGAAGGAAGATACATATAGGACGTCAAGGGTATTGTTAGAAGTATTGAAGCATGTGCTTGTCGATGCGGGCAAGGCGGATACTGAGCAGTGGATGATGCTTGCTAGGAGATTAGAGAGAGGTGGTAAGTCTCATCTCCTATCAATGCGCCCTTCGGAAATTCCTTTTACTCAATGTGGTCTTGTAGCCCCTCAAACTTCCCTGGCCATCGTCCATGCCATTGCCCGTCAAGGCTCTGAGCCACCTCTCCTCGCGCGCTACCGAAACGAACTCGCCGCCGGAATCCTCGGTATATCTCCCAGCAAAGCTAATACCGAGGGTCTCACCCTGCTCCGTCGTCTCACCGCCTCCGCACCTGATCCTGAAAGCGACGTCGTTTTCTTGCCGCAGCCCCGAGCCGTGAACTTCATGAAGACATGCCAGAAGTGGATTACTGGGAACGATGATGAGGACGAAGACGAGGACGGTATCGATGACGATGTGCAGAGTGAGATGACAGGCGTCTTCATGGACATGGTGCCACTTTTACAGAACGTGCCCGGGAGTCATTGGGATCTGATCTTTGATATCATCGAGAACAATCTCGAGGTGAGTGGCACTAGAATAATAGTGTGGACATGACCGATGGGCTCATCGTAAATTCATGACAGAACGCTTCGTTCGAAGATGACGAGACTTTGGTCGTCCTATGGAGGACGGTCAGGCTTATTCAGATGATTCAGGATCTTGTGGTGTACAATAAGGCCCTGAAAGCGGACTGGCAGGAACGACAGATGACGATCCTTGGTCTCCTGCGTGACCTTGTTGCTGCTCAGCCAAGTCAGTCTTCTCTGGACTGGCTTATCCATTCACGGTACTGACGCGGCCGCACATAGAATCTGCCAAGCCTTCGACACCGCGCTCATTATGCCGTGAAGCTGCGCTCTCAATCGTTCAGACACTCCCAACTTCGTTGATTAACCAGAACACACTTGCAGAGGTACACGCACATTATCTCAAAAACTCAGCAATTTCTAACGTTTCTACGGTCTCAGATGGTCCATCTCCTGCTAGATCCCTCGCCGGATGTACAGAAGATGGCCTATGATCTACTGCAAGAAGCGGCTAAGAAGCGGACGGAGTACCTCGTCATCGAGGTGGGCGTCGATACCGAATCAACTGTCAAGCCTGAGCTGCCCGCAGAGCTCATCAGCATTCTGGAGATGACCTTAGACTCGAGTGATCTTGAGGATCACAGGGATCCTGTACGTGTCTTCGATTACTCCGTCGTGGATTCGTTGCTTATTATTTGACTGGTTTGTAGAGAGTATTCGCATGCCTATTAGGATGGATGATTGCATTCGATCTTTTCACAGATACTGTAGGTAACCTTGGATTCCTGTGACTTTTATTACTGCTGATAAGTACGCATAGTCCATGAAAGTCCGCTCCGGATACACCGAGCAAATTCGGAACCTTGATCTCGTAGCATCAAATTTTATCCCCCTCGTCCTCAACATCCTGAATCTTTGGAATGGACTTGGCAAGGCATTCAAGCTCGATCTTTGGTCTATCAACGAACATTACCTGTCATGTAAGGCATTCTAACATCTATGCTTTGCACAACCACTGATCCACGCCATGCAGCTTACGATCCGGACGATACACTCAGTTTGAAGCTACTCACTGCACACCTTTACTACCGTGCCCTTCTCACCATCCCGTCACTCATCCGTTCCTGGCTTCACGACTGTAAAGATCGCAATCTTTCAGCGTCAGTCACCAACTACACCTCTCAACACTTCTCTCCCGTGATTATCAACACCGAGCTCGTACAGCTCCGGATCCGGCGCGTCACTTCCGAACTCGACGACGAGAACCTCTCAATCAAAGTCGCCACGAATGTCAACGAGGTCACGGCGGTATATACAGTGGACGAGCAGCATCTGACAATCACGCTGAAGGTTCCGGCTGACTGGCCTCTCCATGGGATCGAGGTTAAGGATTCGCAGCGCGTGGGCGTGACGGAGAGTAGGTGGAGAGGTTGGTTACTGGGCGTGCAACAGATTGTTTGGGCACAGGTGAGTGGAGGACCGCTTGTCGACCCTTTCTCTAGATACAGTCGGCGAGTCTCTAACTCCCGTTACAGAATGGACATATCATAGATGCCTTGAGCCTCTTCAAGAAGAATGTATCCTTGCATTTCGAAGGGCAGGGCGAATGTGCCATCTGTTACTCGTAAGTACTCCCCCGTCTTCTTGTGCTGTCCATTGAATGAATCATCTTGGTATATAGCATCATCAGCGTCATGGATGGTGCTCTACCCAACAAACCCTGCAAGACGTGCAAGAATCGTTTCCACTCATCGTGTCTGTACAAGGTCCGTACATCATTATGCTCATGCATCTCATCGTCCGAAGCGTATTTTAACGTTGTATTACAGTGGTTCAATACCAGTCACTCGTCGAGTTGTCCTTTGTGTCGTTCAGATATCATGTAAAAGGAAGTTCAGCATGTATCATTAGCAGATCCTTATCAAAATAAAACTTGTATATCATAAATAGCGTAAGATCGAATATCCTCCTCCTCCCACTTGCTTGTACTGTTCTCACTCATCTGTGTCTCAATCTCCGCAGGTGATACTTTTCTCTTCTCTGAAGCATGGAAAGCTGTATACTATTCAGCGTGTGTTTTATAGCCAGTGTTCGGCATCATCGCGTTGACAGTGCTCAAAATCTTAACGGGTATCGTTCGAGCCTCCTGCCACTGTATCATCCGTCATGCCTGGCCGCCCAAGATCGGAAACCCGCTCACCTAGAATCAACTTCCTCGTGTTTCTTCCTCAAAAGGTATCGCAACAATGACACAATCGCCGCGCAGCCCGTCAATTATGGTGGTTCCGTAGTATGTCTCTTGCTGTCTCTTGCAGCTCGGTTGGTGGCCGTTGGATCAGATTACCGACGTTACCAATTGCAATTGGACAAGCCTCTAATCATGAACCCAGCTGACTTACATCTAGATCTTCTGCTGTGTATGTAAGTCAACCCAGTTCCTGGTTCTCCTCGGTCTTCCAGCGAGCATGTCGTAATTCAAGAACCGTAAAACGACCACGAGGTTCAAACAAGGCTTGTCGATTCCACGCCCCTCTCAGACTGCGAGAAGCCATAAGTACCATTCGAGTCTTGCATGATATCGGACTAGAGCTAGTCGCCTCTCACATTCGAAGATGTCCGAATCGCCCGCTACTACAACATTCACACCCTTCACCGGCCGTCGCGTCGCCCTCGTCACCGGATCAGCACAGGGAATCGGTCGTGCGATAGCCCTTCGTCTCGCTAGCGATGGATATTCTATCGCGCTCGGAGATATTGCTGCGAAGGTTGACGCTCTACGGGGGCTTTCGGCTGAGATCACTGAGACCTTTAAAATAGACTTAGGAACGGACGCGAAGGAGAAGGAGAAGGAGTGGGAGGCGAGGAAGGTGGTCGTGCTTTGTGTGGATGTGAGAGAGGAGAGTGAGGTGAAGGAGATGGTGGAGAAATGTGTGACTGAATTGGGTAGACTAGATATTGTGCGCTTAGGTTTGGTATCTTCTTGACCCTTTGTCGCTTGCTTGACTTTATGCATGCCCAGCACACTGACCCATGTTTTTGTGCAGATGGTGGCGAATGCTGGCGTAAGTTCTTTGCCTCAAGCAATACAGGACGGTACGTCCGAGGTCACCTGAAGTGCTACCCATATCCTGCCATGAAACTCAGAAGCAATTTCTTATCCCATGTATAGCAAACCTAGGGGACTACCGACGCGTCTGGTCCGTCAACGTCGAAGGCGCGATTCTATGTTATAAATATGCAGCGATACAGATGATCAAGCAAGGCAATGGCGGGCGTATCATTGGGGCTTGCTCTATGGCTGGCAAGAAAGGTGCGTGGATATTATTATAATTGGGCTACCAAGAGGTCATATGTACTCGAGATTGATTGATGTGCGGTTGCTCAGGTTTCGCCAATCTTGGTCCATATTCTACGTCAAAGTTTGCGGTACGGGCATTGACGCAAGTATCTGGTTCGTGTCGTATAAAGTATCTGTCCTCGGAGTCATCGCACAAAACCTAATGCGGTTGTGATAATGGTTCATGAAGCGCTTGACCTCGCAAAATACGGAATCACGGTCAACGCGTACGCACCAGGTGTCATTGACACTCCAATGAGTATGTTTCCTGTCAATATCTCCCCTTTCAGCCATACCATACCATAGCTCCTGAACCGCAATCACAGCAAACTTCCCGGGGCTAGGACTAGATCCTCTCAAACAGGTGCGCACACTTTCCCTTCCTCTTCACTTATATCACGATTCTAATATCCTGAACTTGTTTTAAGCTCTTGGAAGTACCTAACGCCAAAGTCGGATACCCAGAAGATATCGCTCATTGGGTTTCGTATGTGGCATCTCCTCAGTCACAATATATGACCGGTGGGCTAGAGTTTTTATTCGTGTGCAGTGCCTTTTGGCTTACGTTTCGTCTGTAGGGCAAACTACGTTCTTGGATGGCGGTTTGTTCTTCGATTGAGCGTGTCTGCGGGGGAAGTTTGGAGGAAGTTTGAAGTTGTATGACGATGTAACTGTACTCGCTCTTGGAAAATTGGTATTTTTGGAAGCGCAACATACAATGAGCTTATCGGGTTTACTTACAGCCCTGTTCATGTTGTGTATATTCTGCTCGTATTTTTGGAGGACAAAGCATTCAACATATCTAGTATGATGAAAAGACAATCCTTCCCCGTCGATATAATCATGCGGTGGGAGGGGGTCAATATATAGCGACGTAGGTACCGCACTCACGAATCCATAGCAGCCAACCGATCCACCAAATCCTCCATCACATCCTTCACCCTCGTACCACCCTCTCCCTGTCCTCCTCCTCCTTCCCCACCCCTCCCATCCTTGCCTTCTTCTCCACCCCCTATCCCCATCCCTCCAAAACTCGCCCTCATCGGACTCGGACTAGGTACCAACGGCCCCCCACTCGGCTCAAACCCGGGTGCGATCTTCCGCAACGCCTCCATCTTACGCTTCTGCTCCGCCTCTTCCCTTTCTCTCTGCCGACGCATCTTGTCTTCTTCGCGCAGATGGAGGTAGTTTGTCCGGCGTGCGGCGTGCGAGGACAGAGTTTGGCGACGGGAGGTTTCGAGGGTTAGGACGTGGGGTTCGAGGGTGAAGGGGTAGACGAACTGGGGAGGGACAGAGAGGAAGGAAGGAAGGTGTGTTGGTGTTGGTGTTGTTATAGGATTCAAAACGTGTCAGAGGATGAATACGAGTGAGAATGGGGATGAAGGGGCTTATTACATAGGCGTTCACGTTGTCTGGTAGAGGATGGATGTCTGGTGGAAGTTCTACCTGTGATCGCGAGCGCGAACATCCTGTCACTAACCTTTGCCTGCGAATAATACCTTCTCCAAACGGTCAGAATTATAAACGTACCGGTTTCGGGACACGCAAGCTGGGGGATTGTATGAGGGGTACGTGAGCTGCGGCAGCATATTGCGACTTCGCTGCATGACGAGAATATCAATATCAGAATTGGTTGTTCAGGAAGTCATGGAGATGGATGACAGCACAATCATGAGAGGCCATGTTTGGTCGATTGTTTCGTTCGTGAGGCAAGAGTGTGGTTGACGAGAGCACCGGAGTAACTTGGAGTAAGGCAAGGAATGCTGGGCCACTTAATCAGGGGCTAAGTTCGAAGGTGATGTTTCCCACGATCATAAACTCTCCCAAGTTGCAGGGACAGGCTCGCTTGCTTTTCTCTCGGACTTCCCTTCTCCTGACGCACTGGTAAATGCATAATCTACGGAGAAAATAGACTGAGTTCACCTTGAGCTGAATCGTGATGCGCCATATATGATACTTATCATTGATCACCTTTACTCTCAAATGCCGAGGCTGTGAGTGAAGCCTAGGTGTCTCCTTTATTCTCGAAATTCCCGTCTACTCAGGCTTCCCCCGCTCTATAGCCTCAATAAATGTTAAGAATATATGGTTCATCCTGGACTGATTCACGGCATGCTATACTTATAGAGCACCTTGTAAACGTTTTGCTCTCAAACACCGAGGCTGTGGATGAAGCCTGGATATATCTTTTCTTAGGATTCCCGTGTCTGTACTGCCTCCTCATCCCCACGCTACTTACCCTCAGCCCACAGCGCCTCAGGCCCATGCTCAGAGACGACACTTTCGGCGCTTCTTGCCCTTCGCATTAACCACCGCGTCGCCTTCCTCAGTACATCCAGAGATAGTTATCACTATGCACAAGATCAAACCAGGTCTAGTTGTCGAGTACGTCATGTCTCTGTTCTGCTAGGAGCCGTCTTTACTGATGTAAATTGCAATATTCGGACTTCCTAGGCCTGCCAACGCGTCCCCATCTCTAGCCGGAATAAACGCAGATGGAATGACGGTGACACTATCCGGTTCGCATATCTCCAACCTTTCCTCACCATGGAGCTGAAGCGCGTTCGCTATGTGGTAGATTTCGCGGTTACGGCTGGTCTGGATGAGAAGAATTTGCCCAGGACGCGCCTGGAGGTCGACATCGATGGCTTGACTGCTCAGAAGAGCGTTGGAGCGAAGGATTCTGCCAATAAGACACGGCTCCAGGCAATCCAAAGCATGAAATTGTAAGATTTGGACGTCATGTCGTCTCGATGGAGTTACTGATACGGTGGTTCTCAAGCACGAACGTCCGCCCTTCATCGATTCTCCACGTTCGCATTCTCTATAAGAGCCGCATCGGGAGTATCGGAAATCGTGCTCTCGGAGAGTACGAGGGCTTAGTTATCGAGCTTCTGCCGGAAGGTACTTGCACCGTCATAAAATCCTTACACCCACAGACTTCTAACAGGACAGAGACAGGCAGCACAGGGAAGACGATCAAACTAGTACCCGTCGACTCAAAAGCCGATCCCATCGAGTGCTTCTTTCGCATTGTCATCGACGATACCCCGCCTACGTTTCTCGACGACCTAGGACTCGACGCTGCCACGTCTTCTCTCGCAAACTCTCGTCTGACTCTTGCGCAGCGGGACGCTAGCAAGTTCACCTCCACGGTCTCTGGCACTGTGGATACTGCGGTGTCTATTGGCACCCAGGCTCAATCAATCGCTGAGGGTGCAAAGAAGCTCGACAGCGAGCAGGTCATTGGGGTCTTGGTCGCAATGTTGGACGCTGTGGTCAAAGTGGGGGACGAGCTATCAACGGTACGTTCTTCACATGGTCAATAGTAGCCTGGGCCAAGATAGTTTAGCGCTCATTTTTCCAACTGGAACAGGCCCATCCGATGATCAAAGTCGCCTGGACTGTCGTAACCTGTCTCTACAAGGTTGGTCTCAGATTTTGTCGATATTATGTGCCTCATGGTCATCTGTTTGCGTTTAAACATGCTTCATAGGCTGCTAAGGCTCAGCAGGAGCTGGATGCAGATGCTCGACAGCTCGCGGAAGAGATTTCTGCCATGCTCGCCTACGTAGCCTCATGCAAGGATCTAGCACCAGTCGGTGGGAGAGAGAGTATAGTCTTACGAGCTGTGGTATTAACTCAAGAGGGGGCTTGCTTGATAGACACATGCATGGCGCACCGATTTGCAGGTGAGATGTCCACACCTTTATCACAGGGGAAAGCAACGGACAGTTGATGTTCGATTGAAGCACGTGCAATCGTAGCACCGTTCACCAATATGAAGACTCGTTTTGAAGAATGTCGAAGAAAGGTGCGCGAATTGCGACAAGAATTCGACACCGCCGTCATCGTTGATACCCGGAAGGAAGGTGAGTGTTATGCTTTGGTTTTGGTCCAAATCTCTTACGTTTCAATTTGGTATAGTCCAGGACAGCAGGAAAGAAAGTGCTTCTGCAAGACAGGAAGCCGTGCTATTACAGCTGCCCTTCGCCCGCGACGCAACTTGGAATCAAAGCCGGGCCTGCATGCGCGGAACTCGGACCTCTTTGCTGCAAAATTTCTCGTCTTGGTTCGACACCGAGGATGACAAAGCGAGCATCTTCTGGCTCACTGCACCTCCCGGCGCAGGGAAGACTGCTTTTGCACATACAGTCGCTTTCGATGCATCATCCAGAGACGTCGTCCTTCTTTCGTTCTTCTTTGAGCGTGCTGTCAGCGATAGGAACAACCCACGAGCCTTCGTAGGCACCCTCATGCATCTTCTCAGCGGCCTCAATCCACAGTTCAAGGCCTCCATGTGTAGCACTCTAGACGAGAAGCGAGAGCTTCCGTCTGCGCCACCTATACGCCAGTTCAACGAACTTCTAGTACATCACGCTTCAACCTTTGCCAATCAGCGCATACTGCTGATCATAGATGCTTTGGATGAATGTTCGGATTATTATGACGACCTCATGACCATTCTTCGCGACCAAATTCCTGCACTTCCTCCGACATTCCGTGTCTTCGTTACTTCCCGTCCGGAGAAGATTCTCCTCCGCCGCTTGCGACCACTGCAGCATGTTCGCCACATCACAATCGAGCTCGAGGATGCCGATAACCTGTCGGATATATCGACCTACGTCCGTGAACGATTTGCCACAATTGCAATCGATCACGACTTGGACGGCTCCGATTGGCCTGGCGACGAACGATGTCACTCGTTCGTTGCAAAAGCTAGCGGTCTATTCGCGTGGGCATCTGTAGCTCTGGACTATATAGGGCGAGTCAAGCTCATTGGACGAGATGCGAAGCTCCAAGAGGTCCTCTCACAAAGCAGCACACGTGTCACACCCGTCCAGGAAAGGATGGATGAGCTATACATGACCGTCCTCGGGACGTGCAAATGGGACGATGACGAATTTGTCCAAGGTTATCAACTTGTTGTGGGCACTATAGTTGCCTCACGGCAGCCCTTATCGAAATCGTCACTAGAACATCTTCTAGGTGATACAGCCGGTGTCGTCGCTGAAGTACTCAATATTCTTTCGCCACTTTTCACTGAGTGGAAGACGGATGATACACCGATCCAGCTCCTCCACCTGACGCTCTATGATTTTCTCACACACCGGGAACGATCAAATAGATACTTCATCAATGAGACTGAGCATTCACGTCGGATTGGTTTGCGATGCTTAGGCATTCTAACTGAGACATTGAAGGAGGGAGTGCCCGGTTTGGGATACTCTAAATTCTGGGATGAATACATCTTTCGACCCCTTCCGGTGGTTGATGTGCCTGACAGTATCGCGTATGCATGCCGATTCTGGCTTGAACACATCTGTCTCGTGCAATCGCCTATGGAGAAGCAGTACATCGATGCACTTGACGCATTCTCTCCCTATGTTATCTCCTGGGTAGAGCTTGTATGTCTTAGGAATGTGTTTCCAGCTCTCACCAACCTGCGGCAATGGGTTATGGTACATGTCCTTGTCTGACCTCTTATTTCATCCCTATTACTGATGTGAATCCGGTACTAAATAGGTTCATCCTGTATTACAAACCACATCAATTGCACAAAACCTTGCCTCCCCTAATTTGGCGTGGTCTCTCCACAACCTCTCTAACCGGCTTAGAGATATCGGTCGTAGAGAGGACGCGTTAAGTGCAACAGAGGACGCGGTTCGCATCTACCGCCAGCTCGCACAGGACCACCCTGAGGCATTCAATCCCGCCCTCGCTGAGTCTCTCAACAACCTCTCTTCCTGCCTTGCAGATGTCGGTCGTCGAGAGGATGCATTGAGTGCCATCGAGGAGGCGGTTCGCTTCCGCCGCCAGCTCGCGCAGGACCGCCCCGAGGCATTCAATCCCGCCCTCGCTGAGTCTCTCCACAACCTCTCCGCCTGCCTTGCAGATGTTGGTCGTCGAGAGGATGCATTGAGTGCAATCGAGGAGGCGGTTCGCATTCACCGCCAGCTCGCGCAGGACCACCCTGAGGCATTCAATCCCGCCCTCGCCGACTCTCTCAACAACCTCTCCGCCTGCCTTGCAGATGTCGGCCGTCGAGAGGACGCATTGAGTGCAATCGAGGAGGCGGTTCGCATTTACCGCCAGCTCGCGCAGAACCGCCCTGAGGCATTCAATCCAGACCTCGCCTTGTCTCTCAATAACTTCTCTATCCGGCTTGCAGAGGTCGGTCGTCGAGAGGATGCATTGAGTGCAATCGAGGAGGCGGTTCGCATGCGCCGCCAGCTCGCACAAGACCGCCCTGAGGCATTCAATCCCGCCCTCGCGTCGTCTCTCAACAACCTCTCCAACCGGCTTGCAGATGTCGGCCGTCGAGAGGACGCATTGAGTGCAATTGAGGACGCGGTTCGCATCCGCCGCCAGCTCGCGCAGGACCGCCCCGAGGCATTCAATCCCGCCCTCGCTTCGTCTCTCAACAACCTCTCTTCCTGCCTTGCAGATGTCGGTCGTCGAGAGGATGCATTGAGTGCCATCGAGGAGGCGGTTCGCTTCCGCCGCCAGCTCGCGCAGGACCGCCCCGAGGCATTCAATCCCGCCCTCGCTGAGTCTCTCAACAACCTCTCCAACCGGCTTGCAGATGTCGGTCGTCGAGAGGAAGCATTGAGGGCAATAGAGGAGGCGGTTCGCATCCGCCGCCAGCTCGCGCAGGATCGCCCCGAGGCATTCAATCCCGGTCTCGCCTTGTCCCTCCACAACCTCTCCAGGCGGCTTGCCGATGTCGGCTGTCGAGAGGATGCATTGAGAACAATTGAGGAAGCAGTTGACATCTATCGCAAGTTCATGCAGGACCACCCTGACGCATTCAATCCAAATCTGGTCTTCTTCCTCTGCAGACTTTCTTGCAGGTATCATGATTCCCATCGCGCTGAAGATGCATTGCAGTCTGCAAGGGAGTGTTTTGCACTCTATCACGCCTCGCCTCACATGAGACCGACTGTACTCGTAAGTGAGGAAATACATGCTCTCGAACGAGTAGCAGATTGTATGGGTCAGTTAGGCCATGACGAGGAGATGACGAAGTTCCGTTCTCTGGCAGAGGCGTTGGGGCAGAAGTGGGGAGTACAATCGGCGGCAGGAGAACCTGATGCCGCGTCTTCCGATGAGTAGACAACGTAAGTCCACAGTGCACACCGGTTCACGCCAGGTTATCCTAATGTTATATATTATACTATCTGACCACTAACACCGTAGATATATACGGCTCGGTCTCTATCACGGGTGCTTGGCAGAGGAGTCTACAATATGGTATGATGTCGAGTCTAGTAATAGTATCAACGTTCAGACCCAACTCCCGATTATACGTCGTCGCTTCTCTATAGCTAAATGGATGATTCGCTGGAACGCCCTATCATTACCACCGACAATTCAGTTTCGCAGAACGAACTCTTTTCATTCTTGATCTTTCATCTTTTCAAAATCGAAATCCACTAATCTGAGTAAGGGGTATTATAAACTGTAAGTATAATCGATAGAGGTATGGTTCAGAGTAGAGCCCATCACACGGCAGTGTACGCATGGAGAGCCTACGCTATGTATACTGTTTTCACGTCGTCAAAGTCGTGGGTTCGTATATTGTGTAAGTCATGAAGTGGTGGATGGTGAATGGTGAGGTGAAAAGCGAATCATGAGTAAGTATTGAATGGGGAATGATGGTACATTGTCTGGACGAAGAGAAGCCAAAGAAAGCACGAAAAGCAACGGAAAGTTCAGTCCAGGAGTTCAATTACTTAGTCCTATGAGCTCGACCAAGTCGTAGTCTACAAACACAGACACACGCATCAGTACAACAGACGTCATAGTACCATCCGTCTCATAACGACAAAGACAAAAAACGTACCAAAGGCAGATCACGCGAACTCGCACCAACAGAGATCGTGAACTCCCCATCAGGGATATACCACGTCTGCTTCTCGACGGACCACACGCTCAAATCCTTACGACGCAGCTCGAACGTCGCGAGACCCGTCGATCCAGGCGTTAAATCCTTGATCTTGGTGAAGCCGCGGAGGACCTTCGGGGGCTGGTCGGATTCCGGGATGGAGACGTACTACAGAGCAAACAAAATATAGTCAACGGCTATCCTCACAAGAGGAAAACGACAAGGGGACTCACCAACTGCGCGACCTCACTCCCCGTCACATTCCCGCTATTCGAAACCGTCGCCGAAACCGTCGCAAGCACATCATAAAGACTGTTCGTCCCATCGTACTCCTCGAACGGCTCCGCGGTCTCCTGGATGGCGGTGTAGTCCGCTTTGAAGGTCGAGTCGAGGCTGATGTTGGAGTAGGAGAAGGTGGTGTAGGACAGTCCGAAGCCGAATTCTATTCGATATATATAAAGGAAGGGGGAGGGAGGGAGTAGATGTAGATGAGTGTGTGAACGGATGTGCGGTGAGTGAAGGTGAAAAACGTACCGTAACGAGGAGTAATGTTCTTAGCGTCGAACCAACGATAATCGATGAAAACGCCCTCGGTGAAGTTCGCCTGTGGCGCAACGACAGGGTCTGAAATGATCCCGTTCGGCTACACAAAAAACCCTTCAGTTCACCACTCACACCGCACCACACCTTGAAAAAAGAAAAAAGCAAAGAAACTCACAGGATAATCACTCAGATTCTTCCCCCACGTAAACGGCAACTTCCCACTCGGCGCCACATCGCCCCACAACACAGGAACCAACGCCGCCCCGCTCTCCTCGCCGGGCAACCACGCCGCCACCACCGCCGTCACATTCTCATTATCGATCCACTTCTCCACATCCACGACGGCTGGTATATGCATCACCACTACGACGTTCGACGAAGAGTTGACAGCGGAAGCGATGAGCGCGTCGCCGGAGTGGTCGAGCGAGATGTCGGCGCGGTCGCGGCCTTCGGTGGAATAGTCGTTCACGAAGACGAAGGTGACGTCGGAGGTGGAGACGAGGGCGGTCACGGAGTCGTAGTCTGTGTCGTTGAGGACCCAGCCGATCTGGTGCCGAAACGGAATATGGCGTGAGTGTCCGATTCAAGTCGTGAAGTGGATGGAAGGAGAGGAAGAAGCGCGTACCTCGGCACCTTCTTTCCTGACACGAGCTTGAATAGCTTCAAGAGGCGAAACAATCCAAGGGGCGTATGCGTATCCACTACCACCGGCCATGCTGAGCGTTCCGTTCTAAGGTGGCGCCCATCAGTCAGTAACGTGTGGCTTCAAAATAAGGTGGAAAGCTTACATTGTTAGTAAAACTGCAACTGTTGAGATCAGATCCACATCCCGAAGGACCCAGCTCATTGTCACCAGCATCGGTACCTAATCACCGACAAGTCAGCTCTCCACACGATCATAACGCTCTATTGTGATAAGGGTACGAACCGAGAACCGCGATCCTCTGCGGATTTTTCACCGGTAATCCGCCCGTGTTCTTCAACAGTGTAATCCCATCCGTTCCGATCTGGCGAATCAACTCTGCCGTCGAAGCCTGGCGGACATTCCTGTACCCGACGGTCGAGGGGAAATATTGCTGGCCCATGGCGTTCTACGAACATGCCATTCAAATCGTCAGAATCGTCCATATCGAAACATGCATGAGATGACGGGAAATGCATGAGATGACGGGAAATGCATGAGGCCGGAAAAGTGAGGGAATAGAGTGGAGAGAATGGATGGAGAAGGGAGAAAGAGAACTCACAAACAAAACCTCCGGAGGTGGGTTCGTGTCCTGTCCCAACGACACAAGCGGCGTCAACAGCCTGATGACCGCATCGTCCAGCCTGTCCTCCGTCACGGACCCGTTGTTCACGAGGGTGGTGAGCGAGTCGCCCCAGAAGGTGCCCCAGAGGCCGTCCCAGCCTGAGCCTGGCATGCTCTATAAGACGGCAAAAGGAGAGTCGTTGATATTAGTGAGTGAACAGGAAGGGCAGGAAGGAGGCGAAAACGTACGATGTCCATGCCTCCGTTCATAGAATTAAGATCATCATGTTGTCCTCCCCAATCGCTCTACAACCCCACCGAACGAACGCCACAATCAGACCTTTCTCTTTTCTTTTTCTTTCTTTTAGAAAGCACTGGACAGACTACGCACCATGATACCTCCCTGGAAGTTCAACTCCGTCTTCAACAGATGATTAAGCGTATACGCATTATTGCACGCTTGCGTCTGGTTGACTTCGTTATACGAGCACCTGTTTCAAGGGCCTCGATCAGTCCCGTCCCCAAACACTTGGAGATACTTATGGACGGGGAGAGGTAGAGACGTACATCACGTAGGCAGCACCGGCACGGACGGCCTCGGCGAAACTCCAGAGGTATACTTCATGTGTAGTCTTGTCGTCGAAGTTCGAGGAGATCCTGCAATGCACGTTCAAGTTCAAGTTGAGATGAGCGCTCGATGACGTCATATGTTGAAGTGAGTAGGTACTTACGAGCGTTGTTCGCCCGCGGGGAAGACGCTGTACGCTGTTGATCAGGCCAGCCCAAATAAGTACGCGAGTCATTAGGTATCTACCAGAGAGAGACAGAGAAAACTATCCCCACCTTCGGTCTGATTATATTGATTTCTGTAGGTATCTTGCTCGTAGCCGATGAACTGCACGGGGCCCAGACTCAGCAAGGGTAAAAGTGTAAAGAGTATGGTTCGGGTACTTACGTGCTTAGAGGTAGCGGCGACGCCTGAGTCTTGCAGACCCTTGATGCTTTGATAGCTGGCCTCGCCGGTAGCGTACGGGTCGACGAACCATCCCTGGAGTCTACTCGTAAGCAACGATAGCTCCTCAGCTGCAGGGATGCTAGAGTACGAACCTCCCAGTTACGACCCGCCAAGGGCGAACGACCAAGTGGTCCACCAGTCACAGGCGCAAGCGCAATATTGACGCCTAACATAACCGGCAAAGTTCATCCCGCATTCGAAGTTAGAGCGAAATCTAAAACGGGCGGAAGTATGATCATGACATGACGACAGACAAACAAACCTTCATCCAAAAACTCTTTTCCCATCGCATAACTCCTCTGATACATCAAATCGCGGTCCCAAGTAGCCGCGGTAGTCAACCCAGCAGGGAACTGCGACGCGCCATGCACAGGCCGGATACCGACCGGTCCATCCTCCAAGCATATCCCAGAGATGTTCAAACGGTCGATCCCGTTGAGGTAGCCGACACATCGTCCGTTGTCGCCGGTGATGAACTGAGCTTTCTCGTCGACTGTCATTTCGGCGACGATGCTGCTGGCTTTGGACCACGCGCTCGACCAGGCCTTGCCACCATCGGAAGTTTCTGAAAGTACGAATGAGGGTTGGAGTACTTGAAGGGATTAAGGACAGAGGAGGCACGTACTGGCAGGCCATTTCTCGTAGTTGATACTGTCTAGGTCATCGCGTCGTTGAAGAGCATGAACAGCAGCAGTGGAAGAGAATATCGCGAGCAGAAGACTGAAGAATGCGGCGGACTTCATGATGGTCAAAGTCAAAGGTGCGCCTGGGACGAGTGATCACGAGGGGGCAGGCAAAAGCAACCTTGGGGGCCCATGTCGTACGCCCTCCCCCCTTATATATAAACGAACCGATGATGACTGTAAACGGTGCAATGATTCAAGGGCGGCGAAGACATGGCTCGACTAGGAGTCGGGCGTCGGTATCGAGCGCGTCTGTTTCTTGGTACGGCCTTTGGGTAAGCCATGTTCCGTGGACGGACAGGAGGTGGGACGGACGGACGGGTCGAGCGGGAGAAGAAACGAAAGTCCGGGGTGCGACGTCATGAAGTCCTTTCCCCGCCGACGACTGCGCTCCCCTTGATGGCCAATCCCCCACGGAGGGCTTATCCCCCGCACTCGTAGTAAAAGGCTCCGTTAGAACGATGGGGTCGGTTGGGGAAAGAATACCAGCTAGAGAATACCAGCTAATGTCAGCCACACTCCTATGGTTTGCGTGGAGGAAAGTCAAATGATGATGGGGCTCTGAACGAGTCGGGAGATGGCGAGTACGTATGCGTGTAAGTACTTCAAGCTTCATCTCGCCCCGTTCCAGATGGCCTCGCATCCAATTCGTGTGTACCGTCATCCAGACACTTCGAGGAGCCCGACGAACACCGACGCAATCTAGACAGACAGCCAAACGAATACACATCGAGAGCATCGGCCTCAGGGGTTGCAGGATACCGAACGTCGAGGAGCATGAACGTTTCTGCAGCGGCCATCTCCTCCTTCCAAGGCTCGGAAAACGGACTTTGAACTGTCCACTCGTTCCGAGTCCCGAGAAAGCCCCGAGCGGCCGCTAACTGCTTTTGGCAGGTTTGTCTCGGCTTCGGACCGAAGACGCTCGTTGATCACCGCCAATACACTAGACATTGAAGTACGGTAAATAAAAGACTTGATGGTACGCAGTGGTTTGAAATGACTTTCCTCTTGTCTACCTCGATTTGATCTTGACAGTCTTCGTTCAACATCTCCGGAGTCAATGACGAAACGGTACCGGGAACACTGAGCAGGAACAAGTTCGTCATCCGGACATTCCAAACCCGAAATTTCATCCAAACGGGAGGATTTCAGACGAATTTCAGAACGACGACTCATAAGGAATAATAAGCACAGGACGCCCACAACCCTTGTTTCTACTAGTATCTCTCACATAGTATCAGCGTAGGCTTGACGCATCATACTTCCTCCTCTGTTCGTCTGGGATGCTATCGTTCATCAGTTGGGGCACCCTCACATCTCGTACGCACACGTATGTAGATCACAGCACCGCAATATCCCAAAGAAAATGGATTCAAAACTAAACATACATTCTTCCCGACGTCCACGCAAGAAGCCACACATCTCTTCCGTCTCCGCTCGAATTCCCAAGAGCTTCTTGGATATCTAAGAAGCAGGCCACACAGCAGGACCGGGCTAGAGCAAGAAGTCAATAACGATGTATCATAAACATTTGGTGGAACAGCAGCGAAGGAATGAATGGAAGTTATACTCACCTGAGTGTAGTTGGCTGGGATGGGGTAGTAGATGTCGATGCTAGATTTAATTCGAGAATTTGTGAGTGATCAGAAGAACCAGAAATAGATATGACAGTTTACGCACAGAATGCCGGGCTCCTGTTAACGAAGCGGATGTTCAAGTTGGTGGTCAGTAACGTATACCATACCCGGAGCAGACTCGGAAGCTGGAGTTCAACTCACGTAGCCCTGTTACGACGATAGAGGTCATATCAGCATTGCAGGCGGCAGTCAGATTGAGTATGACACGCACAGTGTAAGCTCCTGGGAAGGAGACGAGAGGACCGGGTGTACCGCTTCCACCTTGTTTTCAATTAAAAAATAATATCAACTTCTGCGACTCATCAATGTCGAGTGAAAGCACCGTTTCGTACCTCCAGTGACCTCGACTTGAGCGCAGCCGATGTAGAACTGTGCGATATCAATTCAATCGGGAATATATTTATATTCAGCATGACACTCAGGAATGTGCATACCTGAGCACCTCCGTAGTAAGACGCGCTGTGGATGGCGATGTGCTCGATGCGGACCAAGTACCTATCCAATAGTCTGTCAGCCATCTCAGCGCAGTATAAAGGCAGCCTATACACGCACTGTCCAGAGGGAGTCTCAGACGGAATAGGGAACGAGACGGAAGACATATCTGGTGCCAATTAATGGTACCGGTCAGTGGCATTCGACACCGGCATTGAACGTTGTGGAGTACTCACTTTGAGAGGGGAAAGTGATGGTCGAGCCTCCGTCCGTGACGGCTGAGATTTCAAAGATCTTGACAACGACAAGTCATGCCTATCAGCCTCATACGCAGCGAAATATAATATGTGCTTCGTAGATTTGTACTACGTACCTTGAACCAAACATCTCCAGAACCGTCCCAGTCAGCGACGTCGGTACCAGATGGAGCTTGCGCCATGTAGACGTTCACGACCTAATGTGGCATCGTGTCACACAAAACAAAACATAATCAGTAAGGTACAGTTCACGTAGGAGAAAACAACACCGCTTTGAACTTGAAGAGCGTACTTACACCAGGGTGGTAGAGGTTGGACGGGTTTCCATGGACGGTGAGTCCAATAGTGTCACCTGCGGCAACACTAGCAGTCGAAGCCGTAGTACCCGACATCGCAGTGTCGTAGCAACGAACGTCATCAGACGTAACGTCCGTCATCTAATCATGTTGAGGAAATGACACGAAAGTCAGTGGCATAACTTGTAGGACTGGAGTAAACGACCATACAGGGCCAAGGTCCTCATAGTTGTTCGTCTCGCTAATCCAGGCATGATCCCGAAGTATGAGCGTCAGAGCGTGCCAACGAGACGTCTGTATTGCGTGTCGACGCACCGAACGTAGTCCCAATCAGAAGACGTAGCGCCAGAACTGATGAGCCCAGGCCATGTATCTATCCAAAATCCAACGGGGAGCCATAATACCATCAGTCATCATATACCACACGCTCCGTACTCAACAAAAACGTACAGTGGGCAGAGGCCTGGATAGCAAGGGCAGCAGCAGCGAAGAGAGCAGCGAAGGACTTCATAATAAGTGCCAGAGGGAACCTAACCACCCATACTGTGAGCCTCCGCAGCTTAAATCAAAACTCGTGCAGTTAATTATATCACCTACCTGAGGTCATTTCAGTAATGAGCATCGCTGTGCAAGAATACCGGAACACGAACCTGGTTCGGATTTTCCGTCCAAACCCCATACATACTTCTCTTGAATGATGGATGGCTTCCGTCATGCCGCTAGACTCAACGGAACGTACAAAATAAGCCTGGTCCATCCGGGATCGCGAAACTGACACTATAGCTGGTGAGGGGAGAAGAAGATGGCATAGGGTAGGAGAGTCACGCGAGAGGGATATTGTTAGGACGTGAGTGGGTTGAACAGAGGTTGAGCCGAGAAATAAGCCGTGGGCGTGAGGAAATGACCGGTGTTCAGCCGCTTTATGAGATTCTGCCATATGAGCAGAACCGGACGAACGAGACTAAGCATTGACGCGCATTGCGGTGCTCGTTCAATGCAAAAGTGTAGACGATACAAAAGATACCATCGCCGCGCCAATGAGCACGTACTGCGTATAACAGTAGGCGAGCTTGAGATACTTATGAGAGGTTCAGAACTTGCTCGGAAGGTCATTGGTATGATTCGTGCAGTCATGCATCGGCTGCTGCAGAATCTTCCATAGATGAAGAAGAGTAAGGCAGAGCAGGATGGTGGTCGATGGGCAGGCGTCGAGAACAACGACGCGGACGTCGGAGCAAGCCGGCTACAAAGCCTCATCGAATTTCAAATCCATGACGGGCCACCGCCACTCAACCTCTCCAATTGTCAATAAATACTCGAACAGAAATCTGTGTACATTCTAGTGGGTAATGAGGTACATACGATGTCTAGTTGTCTGCATGGCTCAAAAGGGCTACATTGAGAGGTGTATAGTCTATAGGTCTAAATGGTCCGTTAGGTGGACATAGCCAGGCATCTACGACCATTCTACGTTGGGGCTTCAACAGTGAACGAGTATCAGAGTAAGTCAACAACATGGTATGGGAGCAGATAATTTATAATATGTGGTACAACATACCAAGGACCAATTCAGACTCGTCCTGTCAAGTCCAATTCTGCTGGCATCTGCTGCCCATCCAGCGCGGCCAATGCGTTCTTCACAACCATCGCAGACATAACCTTCCTCGTCTCTGTCGTGGAACTACCAATATGCGGTAACACAACGCATCTGCAACATAATCACGGAGCACCATATTTTATCAGCTTTTTTTAACCACGATGAGGTGAAGTCAAAGCGCCATGACATACCTCGGCTCCTTGATCAATACATGATCAGCCCCAACCGGCTCCCCTTCCACAACATCCAACCCAGCCCCCCATATCCACCCCTCCTCCAACGCCCTCGCCAACGCATCCGAATCAATCAACGTCCCCCTCCCCGTATTCACCACCACCGCCGTCTTCTTCATCCTTCTCAAGAACGCCTCATCAACAATATGATACGTCTCCGGTCCTCCTGGCGCCAACAGGAACAGAACATCGGACTCAGCGGCGAGAGTGGTCAGAGGGACGCGAGTGATGGATTTGAGGGAGGAGAGAGGGTTGGAGGATTGGAGGTATGGTTTTAGAGATGGGTCGTCATCGATTTGTGGAGGGGATGTGGTGGACCGGCCGGTGTAGATGCAATGCGTTATTCCGAAGGGGACGAGGCGGGCGAGGGTTGCGCGTGCGATGCGACCGAAACCGAGGAAGCCGACTGTGCGTGTGGGTGTGAAATGTGGGGCGCTGATTTGAGGGCCACAGAAAAGGAACGGTGCCCAGGGTTTGTTGGGCCACTGATTTGTTTATGGAGTGAAATGGAAAGATGACGGGATGAGGGGTTGGCACGGATGATATTGTGGCATGGTACTTACATCACCAGCTTGCACGACAGATGCTGCCTCGATAGCGTTACGGCTCGACATGAGAGCGAGCGTGACAGAAAGATCAGCAACTATAATTCAGACAAGCTGTCAGCCGAGAAGTGATCTGATATGTGATGATAACTGGGGTATTTGCGCTCACCTGAGTCTGTCAGTACGTCTGGTGTATATCCCAGGCGTATGTTGCCTCTTGAAAGCGTCTTCAAGTCGATATGATCTGATGGATGTCATTATCGCTGTCGTAGAAGAAATTGGATAGAAAATGACTGACCGTAACCGACCGAATACGTCGAAACGACTTGCAATTGAGGGCCAGCTTTTTGTTTCGAACATCAATGAGATTTTTTGAGAATACCGTGATGCTGTAGCCTACCTTTGTCCAGTACCTCACGGTCGGCCTCACAAAAAAATCGAGTATCAGCGCATGGATGGATAGTACGAAAGCGAAACGATCACCTTCTCTGTGAACATGATTATAACACCGGAAGCACCGACGATATTATCCATGAGCCATTGTCTGTCGCATGCACGATCTGTATACGGCCACAATATTACCTAGAATCAATACCGCAGTAATTAGTATCTGTCAGCCAAGGACGGAGCCGTGTCGCGAACCTCGATATCGTGTCGTTCGTGTAGTAGAGACATGGCATCGGGACCAAGATCGCGGCATACAACAAGCTTGCGTTTCTGCTGAGGGGTTCTATACGGATGTATGTCGAAGACTGTCAGGGCATTTGTACCAAGAACCGGAGCACACTGCCAACTGCAGACTAGGACTTACACAGTCATCGTTGTAGATTTATAGCTAAGTATTCAGACAGGAGACTGGAGTCAAAAAAGGACAGAGGTAGAGGAAGACTTCTACTAGAAAGTATCTTCCCCGTTTTATAGTCGTCGATATGAAAGTCTAGGATCCGGGTCTCTCCCGAGGCACTCGGACGAGTCACTGTGGCGAGCCAATGACAGTGGTGGAGGTTGTTGGAAGGAACCTAGGCTCGGGGAAAACCGGCAACAGGGGCTGAATAAATGCGGCGCGTCGGAGTTCGATCCTGATGCACGGTGGCCCGCCACTTGCGCCACACCGAACTCTCAAAATGCCTTTGAGACCCACCGAACCTATTACTTACCACCGTGGAAATTAAATAATATAGTGTAGCGCTAATTGTAGAACCGTATCCTGCACCCTCTCTCACGCATATACAGACGTTCCTGTACTAAGTATCAGTAATTCCATTTCCAGCGAAATGATCAGCTTCCAGAGCTCAACTAGTATCGACCAAAATCACAAACTGGCAGCAGTACTAGTCATGTGGGAGACTGCAACCATCATCCTATTCACCAAATGTGGACGTCAAACAACACAATCCTTGTATGTATAGCAGCTGGTATCTATCGACTTCAGGGGTACCCCGATGATCGTATACAAACATGAAAGTTCCTGGCAAGCACTGGCATTAAAGATCATCTATACTGGCATGTAACCTCAGGAACGAACATAAATAGCTTGAACAATCACAACCTGCTGTTCTCGTAAAAGTCTCTCTACATATTACATACTCGAACAAATGAAAAAGTGACGATCAAAACTCCCAGGCATTAAAGATCATCTTCACCGTGACGCAACCTCAGACTGTAACCTCAGGAACGATCGTATGCGATACTGAAAATACCAATCACAACTCACACTCACACTCACGCAACAACACCTGCCATTCTCATCACATTCCTAGTCAGCTCTCCATACCGTAACTCGAGCAAAAAATAAAAGGGACGATCAAGGAATCGAACCCGAGCAGAACGAGATCACCGACATCACCCTGCCTGAGTGCCTCACGCTCTCGACTATCACGATCAGCGGAAGTTCGGTGTCGATGGTTAAGTGTGTTACATCCTATGTCACTGTGAGTACGGAGTTACACAGGATAAAAGGGAAACTTACTATCAGCGATCACCGGGGAGTACATACGCGAAGTTGAGTGTTCCGAGTCGCTTCTGTGTGCCAGTGAGCACCGAAGGGATGTCAATGTAATGTTGACCCATGAGCTGAAATCATGATGAAAATACCGGGGACACCGCGACCTCCCGTGACCATGCATCTGCTATGTAGCAAGAGCCAAGCCTCCGACTGCTGGTGTATTAAAGAAAACTCGACCGAAGAAAAATCGGGTACAGGCGCCAGCACCCCCGATATACGTTGTCCTGTACCATCCTAGTATGCAACTTTCAAGCCAAGCGAGAATCCCATTCAAGACCCAAAACGGACTAAGTACATACTTACTCCGCTTACATTTTATTTAAACGCCAGGACGAGGAGGTGTGCATTCCCTCCGCCCTCCACGCATCCCCTCCGACACGGCCGGTGACTACTTACGGTGAGTCATGGGCTTGTTCCGAGTCTATGCTGGCAGTAATGCAGGTCCAAGTATGCGAACCACCAAATTTTCACTGGCGGGAGACGCGAACAATTGCAAGAGTCAAGTGTTCAGAAAGAGATTCGGATGTAGCCAGCCAAGACGCGGCCGCAGAGCATACAACTTTAGAAGGCAACGTACATATGGACCAACTTGTTGCGTCTGACGCTCTGAAGTTCAAAGTGAGAGCGCGATTCTGGGGAAGGTGATGAAGAGTGCGAGGCTTCGAACGTTCGAAATTTCGCGGTCCCTCGAAAGAGAGTTTGAAGGTCACGGTTCCAGGGCGCTTTGTTTGTTTGTTCATGTAAGTTACAATTCTAGTGCGCTCATTAGAATATTAGCAGCCAGACCGCTGTGGAAGTTTGGGCGTACTTAGTATTCAGCCATCACAGAACAACCTGCTCTATGAACGAAAGATATGAGAGGCAAATCTAGACATGGTGAATATTTAATTGGGGTAATAGAAAGGTTACGCGTCCAACATGTGCGCATACATAATGAATAGGGGCTCAACTCACAAAATCATCGCCCTACACGAGCCTACACCCTCTGAATCACCGGGCTCTTTACCTTTCCTGTAACCTTCACGAGTCAGGCACATAACATAAAGTAAACAAGCATCTCCTTCCATCCATCTCCTTACATACATACATACATACATCGGGTCTTGCACACAGCGCAGTTCGAGCTGGACCCTGTATGTACGGCAATCTCGATACGCTTTGACACAGATCGTGATTTCATAGATATAGATAGATAACTAGCTATAGTACTTACAGGTATGTAATGTTGTCCTCGAGGCTGAATATTTCGTGTTGTGGGATTGTATGTAAGTCGCAGGATACGTATGTATGTAGGGTCTATCGATGGACTAGTACTTACTGTGGGTTCATGTTCCGTGACGTGTTGGATGGTGGGGATGGTTGAGATGACGGGGACGGTGGGGGGATTTCGGTGGTCGAGAGACCGCACAATTGACGAATTATGGAGTTTATGGTTCGAGTTCGCACCCTACTCGTCAATAACGAGAAAGAAACAGCCGGACCAACTACAGCTGCGTCCAGTCAAATCACCGCGATTACTTACCCTAAACATATGTCTGTCTGTTCCTGGGCGCCTGTACTCCCATCCTCGAGCGAGGGGTCTTCGGCACTTGAAGAGTCAAAGCAGAGTAGCATGTAAACCGGCGACCCACCACTAGCACCCGATACGCCATATCCGGAACGGCGCCTGTCTGTCTCGCCTCGTGGGACGCCCTGCGGGGGATAGGGGATCAAAAAGGCAATCGTCAGGCACGGGTCGGAGCAGCTGCCTCAGGATTGGGCGGTGGCGGTGATGTGTATGTACTGAGTCAGGAACGAACGAACTGAACGGTCGGATGTCCGAATTTCCCATTGACACAGTGGATGGTGCGTGATCATAGAACGGTCTGAATCCTCGAGGGATGAAGTAGACGAGGGAAGGAGTGCGTGTGTGGATGATTCAGGATATGAAGAAGTGGAAGAGGAAGGATAGCCGAGGGGAAGTGATGGGACGGTGACGCGGTGAGTGATGAGGCCTTATGGGACATGGGCCGGTGGGATGTGGGTATGTATGTAAATGGACAGGAAGAATCGGCGGTGGATGATGCAGATGCAGATGGGAGAAGCAAGGCGGAAGATTGGGCGGTAAGGATGATGATGATGGGGCATGGAAGAGCGCACGCAGGGGTTCTAAAGATGGAGAGTCTTAGTGCAGTATGGAAATGGATGGGACAGAGGATGCGACCGTTCTGATGGATCCTGGGAGGACGAGGAAGAGGACGCGGCAGGACGCGAGAGGACGTTCCGGGAGGTTCGGGGTGGGGCTTCGCAGGCAGGAAGCGAGGACCGATAAGTGCAAGGTCGGCTGATGGCGAAGCTTGGGAGAGACGCAGCGGGCAAAGTAAGCAGCGCCGAGGACTTGCTCCGTGAAAATAATGATATTTAAATATGGACACGAAAGAGAGGTGGAGACGATCAGGCACACGGTCGTCGGAAGGAAGTGCTCGATGGGGATCGTTATGCAGAAAACGCTGGAGAAATGAGAGCCAGAAATTCACGCTCCGCCGCTACCAGACATTACTTAACCGCGTCAACCTGTCTGCCCCGCCCGACCGTCCCTCCCCTTCCGTCCGTCCACATCAACTCTCCACCACCGTCCCCCTTCGAGCTCGTCGCGTAGTCCGTCGTCGTCGTCATTGTCGTCGTCGAAAGCTCCAATTCGCAATACCTCCCGCAGATGTTGCCTTTTCGCTCTGCGCAGCAGGACGAAGACCCGCTCGCCGTGGCACTCCGACCGCCTCCAGACGAAACCCCCGACATGCGTGCACTACGGACGAGGCGAGAGGAGGAGGCAAGACAGGTGTCGAAGAGCATAGACGATGCTATTAGGCTCGAGCGTCAGATGAACAAGAAGAGGAGAATCATCAGAGTACTGCTTCTCGGCCAGTCGGAATCCGGTATGCATCCTTTTCCACCTTTTCGCTCTTCTCTTCCTTCGAAAAAGAATTGTTTGCTCAACGTAACTAGGCAAATCGACAACTCTAAGACGTGAGTCTAATTCTACCTTTCTTTCTCCTTCTTCTTCGTGCTTCGTTTTTCTTTTCTGCGTGCTTGCGTTCTGTTCCGTCGTCGTCATCCCCGGGTCATGCGGGTCCTCGATATGACCCAGTCCATGGATCGGCCAACGCCCTCTCCCCCCACCCGCACTCTCAAAACCACCCCATAATCCTCCTCATCACGCTCTCCACTCCCCGACATCCCCAAACCCACCAACCCTCCTCCCAAAAAACCCACATCATGCACCCTCCCGACCCTCCCGACCTCCCGACTCCTGACCACCGAATCCCAGCATCGGACGTATACCACCCCGTATACCGTATATCGTATATCAAGCATCACCTTGACGACATCCATCCAGCATTGCGCGTTTACGTTATGTTATACCCTGCCCGTCACGCTTGCGTGCAGGGATAAGTTATAACTGCAATCGAGATGCAGGGATAGCTGTAATCGAGATTTACAGATACTCGATGAGTCGTCTTCGGGACATTGATGCAATCGGTCCGTGGGCGCGGACTTCTTTGATAACGAAGGCGAACCCGAACCCGAAGGCGAACACGCTCAAATTTTGGGCGGGCTTTGAAGGCATCGCTCGGGTGATAGACATGCAGAGCTAGAGCCTTGCGAGTCTGATATGTTTTTGATTTTCGGAGGAGGTGGTCCGGTGGGACGCACGCACGCACGCGTGCATGCATGCATGCTTATCCACGAGCTAATGGACGGACGGACGGACGAGCGAAGGATTGCAGATTGCGTTTCTATTGGAACGTTTGGCATTTGTTCTAGTCGATGGTCAATCCGAGTGGACTGTTGATCACTTGTTCCATGCTTATTTGCCGAAACGGGCATGTCATGATCATGTCTGCTATGATCACGCTATCCAGTCTGCTTGATGGTCCCAGACACAGACGCATCCAAATCCCACTACACTTTCTTTTCTTTTCCATTCATCCATCCCTCTCCCCACCCCCCTCCCCCGCAAAAACCCCAACCCAACAACTAACCCCCCTCCCCCCTAGAATTCCAACGCCTCTACACCCCCACCGCCTTCCGCGACGAACGCATCCACTGGCGCTCCATAATCCAACTCAACATCATCCGCTCCATCCACACCATCCTCTCCGCGCTCTCTGACGTTCGTAACACTCAGTTTTTGACACTTTCGCCGAGGTCGAGGGCGAGGACTATTGATTCGGGGTGGGACGAGACGAGTACGTTGGCGCCGACGGTGGGGAGTGGGAGCGGGAGTGCGAGGCATGGGAGGAAGGAGTCGGGGGTTGGGGGGTGGGAGGGGGGGAGTGGGCGGGATGGGGGACGAGAGAGGGAGAGGGAGAGGGAGAAGGAAAGGGAGAGGGAGAGGGAAAGAGAGAAAGAGAAGGAGTGGGAGAGGATGCAGCAGTTGGGACAATATCCCGCCTATGGACATTCTCGACAGGATTGGGACCACGGGTACGGACCTGGGCCTTCGAATGGGCATGCTCATGCTCATGGTAGCAGTCATGGACATGGGCGTGGATATCGAAACGGGAACGGGAATGGGAACGGGAATGGGAACGGGAACGGAAATGGGAACGGATCGAGCTCACCGGTTTGGGGTTCGCCGCCGTCGATGTCGTATGCTCATGCACGGGCTAACGCGTCTGGGTCGGGGTCTGCGTCTGCGTCTGGATCGGGGTCGGGGTCGAGTATGTATCCTACGCAAACACAATCTCAATCACAAACACAGGCGAACGCGAACACCATGATGTCTTCCTACGGGAGCGTCACAAGCACCACCATCCCCAACAGTCCGTACCAGTCTCAACAACACCACAACAACCCGTACGCCCACACGCACTCCATCCCCCTCCCCTCGCACCCAGGCGAAGAAGACAACGAAGACCTCGACGCGCTCGCGGCTCGTTTATTACCGCTGCAACATATCGAGAGTTTATTGAAAGCGAAACTCGTACCGCCGAATGAGGAGGAGGCGGTCGATCTGGGGGCGACGTATGATGCTGTTTCTCATTCCAATTCAAATGGACGAGGAGGTGGAGGAGGGGGAGGAGGAGGGGGAGGAGGAGGAGGGTATGTGAATGGGCATAGTACGGCGAGCGGGATGACGAAGGAGATATACGTGCGTCCGGGACGGTGGAGGGCTTCGTTTATACGGACTGTTGGTAGTACGGCCTCTTCATCATCATTATCACGACATGGGAACGGGAACGGGAGGCTGAGAGGCGGGGATTTGGGGGGGATAGGGGAGGAGGGTGGGGATATGGATGCGGAAGATGACGAGGCGCAGGCGGTGTTGTGGGAGTGTAGAGAGGATATGATAGCGCTGTGGAGGTCGCAGAGGGTGAGGGAGGTTTTGGCGCTGAGGAGGGTGAGGTTGGAGGATGAGAGTGGGTTTTTTTTGAATGATTTGGAGAGGGTGACGGAGATGGGGTATTTGCCTACGGATGGTGCGTTTGTTTTCCTTGTTCTGTTCTTCACGTCGATTCTCGGGCGGGGAACTGATTTTATGGTGTGGGTCGTGTAGATGATGTTCTCAAGGCACGGCTAAAAACGATTGGGGTGTCCGAGTATAAGTTCGAGATGGAGGCTGGGCCACAGACGGGGACAGAGTGGCGAATAGTTGATGTTGGCGGGTCAAGATTTCAAGTATGTATTTTCTCTTCTCTTTGTCCCTGCCGTCCTTCTTAGTCGACTTACGCGCAATTTTATTTTGTGTGGTGTGTTATGTAGCGACGTAAGTGGCCGTTCCATGTTCTAACCATGGATAGAACGTTTTGAGCTGAGCTCGGTATTTTCTCTGAATAGCGACATGGGTTCCTTTCTTCGACGATGGTACGTCTCCTCCCTTCTCAAATCTCGTGTGAGCCCGCAGACCGACTTATTTCCTTATTCATATCATCATTAAAGTCGACGCCATAATCTTCCTCGCCCCCATCTCCGCCTTCGACCAAGTCCTAACCGAAGACCACAAAGTGAACCGTCTCGAAGACTCCGTGCTCCTCTGGAAAGCGGTCTGCTCGAACAAACTGCTCGCGAACGTCGATCTCGTGCTGTTCTTGAATAAGTGCGATCTGTTGGAGCGGAAGTTGGATGCGGGGGTCAGGCTCGCGAAGTATGTGAAGAGTTATGGGGATAGGAGTAATGATCTGGAGACGGCTAGTAAATGTGCGTGTCCTTGCCCCCTCCCTTCCCTGCGCTTCTGTCAGACAGACACTGACTAGTCTGTCTGGTTGTCAAACACGACCTTATCGATGACGGTTTTCGCGCAATAGACTTCCGGAGTAAGTTCAGCGCTATACAGAGGGCGTATAGCCCGACACCGCGGAAGTTCTATGGGTTTTGTACCTCGGTCACGGTACGTCGTCTGATTGACACCATCCCCATATATCTTTCATATTGTCCACGATGCTTATCTCCCCCTCTCTCTCGACACGACGTGACCTATCAGGACACTGCTACGACAGCAGGTATCCTCGCAAGTGGTGAGCTTCTTATTTTTATACACCTTTGGCGGTAATCAGCCGGACCTTCAATTTCGTTTGCTCATGCTCACCCGACCGTCCTGACTTGTGACAGTGCGCGATATCGTTCTCAGGCAACATTTGAGGCAGTCCAAGCTTGTATAACGACTTTCGGCCACAGTGTTGCCTCGCGTTCCGACTCTTGGCCTCGCGCGTGCGCCTACATTTATTACGATTGGGCTGTTGGATGACATCTTATGACCCCCTACTTACTCACCCGCCTCTTGCTTTTTGTCGACATGTTGTTTTGAGATCATCGAGTCCGTTGTCCGTCTTCGCTTCTGTTTGAGGCTTGTAATGCACTGTCTGTCAACATTAAGCACCCCACCCTCCACTGCCCATCATCCAGCTCCCATTTACACTTTTTTACCCCTTCGCCCTCGTCCTCGTTCTCGGCCTGGCTCGTCGATCCAGATATATCACTCATCTTTATGCTTCAATTCATACAACCACCCACCCACCACCCACCATGCGCTACCCACCTCACATCGCTATAGCATCCAACCTCTCTTTTCTTTTTTCCATTCACAAGTCACTGATTCCCTGTTTCGTCCAATTTTTTCTTCCTTTTTCTTTTGCTCCACCGGATCTAACATATCTGTTTTCTTTTTGTGATTGCTGCAATGGGTCTCATTCTGTCCAGTCGAGCGCTCGTCCTCCATTTCTCCATTTTTCTGGTCCTTGATTTCTTCTCCTTTTTCTTCATTTTCTGAGTCATGAGTCAGGAGTCAATATTCACGGGTGTGTGTCGTTAGTTAGATCTATTTTCCATAGTAGTACATAGTGTTCTTGTCATGCATCATTTCCTCCTCCCCAGAGCTCAGACAGATTGGTGCCTTTGTCTTGGCGCGATTGTGTCTGCCCTGTCTATTTGGTTTCGCGGCTCCACTTCTGCGTGCATACTGCCGCCACTGTCCTCGACTTTCATCGATGTGCCGGCGATCTGCTCCCTCAGCCTTCTGCATTCTGCCCGCCTCGAGCAACTGATCTACAACTGACCCCCCTGCCTTATAATAGACGATGGTGCGCACAATGCTCTAGGGTATAGCCGCGGTCCGATTTCTCTCGTGTTGGTGGTACCTGGGAGTTTCTTTTGGGTTTGATCACGATGCTTTCGCTCAGTTCCGTTCGTCGTTTTCTAAACTTTACCAGGCTGGTTACTGATTGGCCTCGAACACATTCCATTGCATACAGGAAACCAACGACATGACAGGAACGGTCATCAGATGCAACAATTTTTTCCTTTTGTCCAACGACCTTCCGTGCATCTGAGTCGGTAGAACGGTTCGAACTACAACATGGCCTCTTAAGGCGACATAATCTATCTATGCATGTGTTCTGCGGGCCACATCACATCCATCCATGCATCATGTCATTTGTCTATCATCCGTCCCATCCTCGCGTAAAAAAATCAAAGGTCCTTGGACGCCGCTGTGGAACTCCTCTAGTCTCCTGACTTCTACGCGCGTCTCGATTACTGTGACTATAGGACCGTGCTAACCTATGCCAGAAGCTTTGTGGCGTATGTGTGTACGTCCTGCTTTCTCGAACGGGGACTTTGCGCCTATAGGCTAATAGGGGCAAGCAAAGAGAATCGTCATTGGCTCGACGATTATGGATGCTGATGCCTGTTGGCGTTTCGTTGCCGTCATGCTCCTTACTTGGAACACTTGGACCTGAGCGTGATGGCGATTCGCCATGGGCAACATACCGCTGAGGCCCAAGTATACCTTGATATGTCCTTGGGACCAGCGATTGGACCGTTTTGCTGCGGGAGGCCTTCATCATCGACTACAGGTCTGTATGGAGTTACATGACTTGATGGTCTTGCCATTATTATCTGCTTTCGGTGGATTCGTGAGAATGCTAATAGCTGTATGTAAGTGTTCCGTGGAGCCCGTTTCTCGCAGGCACGCCATCCATCCCGTCTTCTTCGGTTATTCTTGGGCCAGATCAATCATCATAGTAAGTCGCAGAGAAGGTCTTCGTTCCATCCATTACGCTTCTACCGAGTTCACGGATGGTAATCGTCGAGCCCCTGTCCTGATCATCCTCCTGATCATAGCCAGGCACGTCTTGCAGATAACGAAGAGTTACTTCTTTCGTTACGCGTCTATCTCGAGTCCTGAGCGCAACTGACGAACCACACTCGGGTCTGGAGTTCAGCTATATCTGTTTCTGAATCACGGGTGGGCCAAGTGGTCAACCGGTCATCGGTCTCAAGAAACTTTGTGTTGCATGATTGAGTTTGGGGGTCACGGTCAGGTTGGAGATGGTTTACGCTCATGCGGACCTCGGGATGCAAGTACACCGTGGCCACGAAATATCCCCCCAAAAAAACATAGCGCGATGAAAGGCGCTATGACGGCTGGGAGGAGTCACTGACGTTCGACGAGCGGTTCTGACAGGTGAGCTGCCGCAAAATAGTCCCAGATGAATATCAGCAATTCTACAAACCCAGCAACCGGCCTCTGAGACTAGATCATTCGCAAACACGGTGTCTCGCGGACCGGTCTCCGCCTCATAAGCTTGCAGAATCTCCTTGCGCGACGTATTCTATGGCTCTTGGTCCCCGGCGAGGATACCCAAGGTGCGGAAGACATCGGTGGAGTGGATATCCAACTTCCATTATTTTCACCAAGCTTTGCCTCCAGCCGTTCACGGGACCATTATTAGTGCACGAACCGTGCAACTTTCGGGGAGAAACTCACGGAAAACGAGTCGTGGAACAATAGACATACCTGATGGGTAACGTCGTAGAAAATCGGGACCATGGATGCAGCGCATGTGAGTGGACAAAGGAAAAAACCGGGCGTACTTTGTGTGCTGAAGTGTAGATTCGGAGGTTTCGCCACTCGTTTAGGGTCAATGAACGGATTTGCCAAGAACGAAGTTCCGTCATATTCAATCCGCTAAATTGCGTTGAAAGGTGTTGTTTTAGGAAACAATGGTCTAAAAAGCGAGCTTCATCTAATTCTTCTCGAGTATACGTAGATATAAGTACGGATTAGCGCTTGACGGTAAGTACTTTGCATTTCGACCACGTATGTACCGATGCTCACACTCAATGGGTTCCGGACCAGAACCATTGCATGGGTAGAGGGAGCAACAAGGAAACGGTCGGAGTCGGAGACATATATATCAATATGGAATCCATAATCTATGTGGGGCTTCTAACCAAGGAAATTTTAATGCTGCGTGAAGGAATCACCGGGCCGATAATAATTGTCCGTATGGTAAGAGCTCGACGAAGCCGTCACTGGCACGGGCACTGGCACACCACTGGCACGACGGGCCTCCACTGCGAGCAGTTGCTTCTTGATGCTTGCTAGTTCAGACAGCGTGTAATGCAGGACTTGCTCCATGCTCAACAACTTGTCCATGATGTCCTCATTCCGAATTGTAGATCTTGAGTAAAACGAGACCAAAGGAATTGAAAATCACTGGTTCATCGAGACGACGGCGAACACGTACCCATATTTTTTGTCGATATGACAGGTCTTTGCGGCTTCGTCTCCACGTCTGATACAGGGTCCACAGGGCGTGCCCCTACGATTCAGACGGATCCGGTCAGTGCGGTGCTGAATTCTATGTGGGGCCGTATATAGAGATGGGTAATGGGTACGGACCTGTCACATTTGACTTTACGTCGCCGACACTCTGTTCCCAGATCACCACGGAGAGTCACCACGTCAATAAAGATACGAGCTGAGCACGACCACGTAGCCGAAGACAAGCAAGGACTCGCAAACCGACACCTAAATCACTACTTACCTGTGCAATTCTTGGGGTCTCGCCTGCGCCTGTATATTGGGCGATCAGTCGTAATCTCATCGGCACTTTCGACGAGGCCCGTTTCGCCCTCGAGCGCCGTGTCGTTGCCTTCGCGTTCCACGTCATTGTTGGTGTCAACATCTTCGCTCTCCTGGACCATAGCGTCAACTTCATCATCATCCTCCAGGGCATCTACTTCTATTGGCGGCGCCGGTTCATAACGATGCAATAACGCAGTATTGACGCCCTCGTTATGTGATTGTGGTTCATCATGGCCATGTAGTCTAAGCGGCGGAAAGGACATGGGGTGGTTACTCGCGGTCCAATAAACGGGAGCCGAGCCAGGTGGTGGAGGTACGCGAAGCTGAAGCTCGTGAAACGACGGAAGCTGAGTGGCGTGTTCCCAATCATTCTGCGCGCTGGAGTGTAACATGGAGGGAAACATGAAGGAAGCGAGGTCAAGAGAGGCGAACAAAGGTCGCGTTGGACGCGACGGCAGAAGCGAAGCGAGGGTCCACGTGGAGGGATGACGGCAACCGTTGGCAGCCGTCGGTCCAAGTAGGTCCGAGTATTAGGCGTGCACGCCATAGCAATAAGTAGAGGACGTGGTGACTTAAGCATCGTTATAGTATAGTTGAAAGAAGGAATATGCAGCTCTAATACAGCGCGAATATTATCAGCAAGGGTGACACAGAAGAGTCTTAGAAGCCTACGTGAAAAGGACGCACTATGGAGAACTATACGACTTTGTGTCCTCGTCCTTGGAGGCGATAACTATACATACTTTCAAAGATGAAGAGAGGGTATGATGTGTTGAGAATCAATGGTTTGCCTGCCAATGCCATGACTGCTCCTACGCAAACAAAAGGGAGAACGGAGAACTAGTGAAGCGGGGACAGTGAGGGGCACTCCTGATGCGCTTGTCAAAGAAGTTGTATTGGCAAAGGCCATTGCAAGGCATCAGTTGTCCAAGCTCAGCCTCACGCCCAAGCCAGCCAGTAATAGTCTAATAAGAGACCAATAGAGCATCCTCTTAGTCCTTTTGCAGTTACGAAATGTCCGCCACTTCGGCAACGAAGAGGGGGAGCCTGAGGTGGGCTTCACTAATAAGCCATCCGTAGCACCCCGGAACGAGAGCAGCTTAGACCAAGCTCAAACTCAGGCCCAAGACAGCCTGTAATAGTCTAATAAAAAACCAAGAGAACGTACTCTCGTCCTCTTGCAGTTGCGAAAATCCGCCACTTCGCGCGGCAACGAAGAGCGGGAGGTGAACTTCACTAGTCTAGCAAGCCATCCGTAGCACCCCGGAGCCAGAGCAGCTACGAGCCCCGGCGAGACTCGTTACAGTGTTTACGAATAGGAAGAACCACAGACCTGCGAAACAAATCCTTTAGCCCTTACAAAGGAAGAGTTCAAAGCGGGCAGTGGCAAGATGAGAGCCCGAATCTCGGCGAGGCTCGAAGGGGGACTCGAAGCGCCCGATTGCCCCTGTCATCGGGTTAGGGTCCCACATATTCTCCGAAAGGCGCCCGAAAAGAGTGGACGATCGCTGTCAGTATCGAGATGACTCGAAAAGTTCTCTCAAAAGACATACCCGGTCACCCACGAGCAGTCAGCTCCTTCCAGCACCAGCTGCACTCTCCTTACCCGAGCAACCAAAATATATCCGACCGAAGCTCAGCGAATAGACCGTAGACGCTGAAAGTCACCGTTCGTATCGGACAGGTTCGTCATTTTTTCGCCTTCGTATAAGACTCCGCGCTGACGGCGAAGGATATATTTAATCCTGACAGCAAAACCTTGGGATTTTTTGAAACGAACGGTCTTCATCTTGTCTACTTCTGCAACTCTTTGCATAGACCATGTCAGACTTCAGCACACCCTCCCCGACAGTACCTTCGTCCGGCTCGCAGTCCGTCGAGGGTACACCCCCACCCGGGACGCCACCGAACCTTCACCAAAATAGTATAGACCCCGCGGCACTATGGCTTGTTCAAAAGTATGGCGGAACTAGCGTTGGAAAGTTCGCAGATAGAATCGCGGAGGAAATTATACCGTACGTCTCTTTCTCCTCGTTACTTTGCGCGTGAGTGTGGCCCAAATGCACACGGTCTGCCAACAGACATGGAGCATAGCGAATAACGCCAACGGCACACGATGTCACAGCCAAAGTATTGCTAGGCTTGCCTAATGACACCCATGCCGTTTTCCAACATTTCTCCGTGGTCGCCACAGCCACAAACCCTGCTTTTGCCACACTTACTGACCACTCGCTTCCTCTACACAGAGCATACCTCGATCAACACAAACTCGCCATCGTATGTTCAGCACGCTCCGGGTCCACTAAAGCCCTCGGAACGACCAACCTTCTTCTCCGCGCTGCCTCCGAAGCCCTCCAACGTACACCACCTGCCGCCAGCGTACCTGCGACTCCCGGTGGCGCAGTCACTCCCTTCCCATTCTCTTCCAGTCTTGGCTTCCTTCGCGAGCGTTCCTCACGTCCACCGTCCGTAGTCCAGTCACCCGTCATGACCGGAGCAAACTCTCGCTCCGGCTCACCACCTTCGCTTTCAAATTCACTCGTCCTCACGCCAGTCACTGAGCCGCCTGTGCCAGAAGCACCGCCGTTCAGTAAGACAGTGGACGTGATCCGAGACGAACACGTCAAGGCGGCGAGGAAGGCGGTGGTGAATAGTGCGGAGATATTGAAGGATCTGGAGGAGGAGATCGAGAGGGATTGTGAGGGGCTACGGAGTTTCTTGTACGCCACTTCTGTGCGTTCGCCCTTGGCCTCTGAATCACCCCTTAGGATTATACTGATTTGTAGGTGACACTCAGGTCATCGACGAGATCTCTCCACGCTCGAGAGATAGCATCATTGGCTTTGGTGAAAAGCTGGGCTGCAAGATCATCACAGCGGCTCTACGAGATCGTGTAAGTAGCACTTTAACTTTGTTCTCTCGTCACTCAGACTCACGAGCATATTTAAACACCACACAGGGCATCGACGCGGAATTCGTCTCACTAGAGAACATCATACCGCCAACAGACGACGGAGAAGGCACACTCGGCCAGCCATTCTACGACGCCGTTTCCGCCGTCTTCGCAGAACGGATCAGACAATGTGGCTCTCGCGTCCCCGTCGTCACCGGTACGTCACATCCACCCATCCATCCTCTCCAAATAAGGGTCATCTCATACTCAATCTAACCTCCCACCCTCCTCCTCCCTCTGGTCCATCCACCAGGTTTCTTCGGCCCCGTCCCCGGCTCCCTCCTACGCCAAGTCGGTCGTGGCTACACCGACCTCTGCGCCGCCCTTCTTGCCGCAGGCCTCGGGGCCTCCGAACTCCAAATCTGGAAAGAAGTCGACGGGATATTCACCGCCGACCCTCGCAAAGTGCCCACCGCGCGTCTCATCCCCATCATCTCCCCGGAGGAGGCTGCAGAACTAACGTATTACGGGAGCGAGGTCGTCCATCCGTTTACTATGGAACAGGTGATTAGGAGGAAGATACCGATTAGAATCAAGAATGTTGAGAATCCGCAGGGGGGAGGGACGGTCATCAAGCCGGATGAGGAGGTGGATGCAGCGGAGGGGGTGGAGGGGTCTGGGATGACTACGCCACCCTCGGCGGGAGCAGGAGGGACACCGGCGTTGACGCTCGCTGCCCTTTCTGCGCTCTCGTTTACGGGTCCGGACGATGGGACCCACCCTGCGCATCGGAGGCTTCCGACCGCGGTGACTATCAAAGAACGCATCATCGTGCTGAATGTGAACTCGAACAGGAAGAGCGTCTCGCATGGGTTTTTGGCGGGGATTTTTGGGACGTTGGATCGGTTTGGGGTCGTGGTGGATTTGATTAGCACGAGCGAGGTGCATGTGAGTATGGCGATTGAGGACGTGTTGGAGAAGAGGGTCGTGCAGAGGTTGGTTCGGGAGTTGGAGAAGAGTGGGAGTGTGAGTCGTCTTCCCTTCCCTTTATTTTTCGACCTTTTCTCATAGTGTTCTAATTCTGTTTTATTTGTTGTCGTACAGGTCTCCCTCCACCGCGATATGGCCATCCTCTCCCTCGTCGGCAAACAGATGCGCCACTCGATCGGAATTGCGGGCAGGATGTTCACTACCCTCGCCCAGGGCAACATCAACATCGAGATGATCTCCCAAGGTGCAAACGAGATCAATATCTCCACCGTCATCGAAGGGCGGAACGCCGTCAAGGCTCTCAATTTGATCCATCAGAGTTGTTTGCAGATTAAGAGAGATGAGGGGGCTAAGGGACGAGGTTAGTGAACCCTTTTCTTCTACCACCACCACCACCGCCAACACAGACTTCTGTCGACATCGAGATGGCTGACTTGGGGATGGGGTGATAGTTGGCCCTTGGTTGTTCTAGGATCGTCTCCACTCAATATCACAACGTCCTCGCCGCCACATGCAGCGTTCAACACCTGCCGCGAGTCGAGGACGTTCTTCCGTATCATTTACCACGACCACCGTCATCATCATCATCATCAACGTCCAACCGGGGATGGGAAAAGTTTTGCTTATTGTTGTATGTATGTATTCAAACCAAAATGCCGTGCCGGCGCAGTGCTTTCTCGATTATGTCCGCTCCTTTTGGCTGGAGAGTTAGTTTCACAAGGAGCCTAGCGCATTCCTAGGTGATCAAGCAGACTCGAGGCCTTCACCGCTTTTGCGATCGTTCTTGTCAGATTTCCGTCAGAGCTGATTCAGGCCACACTTGAATGACGGCTAAGATCTCCGCTCCTAAGGCTGCCACAAACACACACGTATATATACTATGCACCGACTCATCTTCTGATAATCTTCGGGGATACCGACACCGATGGTACGCGGTGAAACGAAGGCTGCTTTGCCGCTCATGGTTTCCTCTTTGTGGCACGCATCATGGATTAGTGCACGGGATTTGTTCCTCTGACCTGTATTTTCCGACCTGTACTTCTTCAAAAGCATCTTCACATATAGTTATACATATTGATTCCTACATCTGCCGAATAATACATACGCTATACGCAATCGAATCATCCCTCCATTGTATCCCATTCCGCCCGACGCCGAAACCTAAAGCCCCCTCCACAAATATGTCTTCTCAAGCGACAAACTTGCCTTACTCCTCACACTCCTCTCATCCGCGCTCCCACAAGCCTTAACGACAAACTCTCCCTTCTCCGCCACCCAAGAATCCTTCACGTCGTCCCAATACGAGAACGCCATCTTGTCCAGTACAATCTCCACTTCCTTGGACTCCCCGGGTTGAAGAGGACCAACCTTCTTGAAGCCTTTGAGTTCTTTCTTTGGGCGACGAAGGGTCGAGTGAGGGTCGGAGACGTAGAGTTGAACGACTTCGGAGCCGGGGAGGTGACCTGTGTTTGTTACGGTGAGACGGACGGTGGCGAGGATGGTCTCTGCCGAGGATATGTCAGAGGAGAGGGTGGCGGTGATGGGAGTCCATTCTGCGGGGAGCGACCGAGGTCATAGTGAGTTTTTACAAAATGCAAATGTGCTCGTAGGGAATTCACAAACCGAAAGTGGTATAGGATTCGCCGGCACCGAAGTGGAAGATCGGTTCGCGTTTAGTTTCTTCGTATCCTCTGTACCCGACCTATAAACGTCCGAGTCCAAGGTTATTGACGTGCTCGAACCGTATTCAAAGGAAGAGGCACGCACGAAGATTCCTTCTCCGTATGTGACTTTACCGTTCTCGGCGCCCCTGCAGGAACGGAGCACGTCAGGATCGAGGGAAGTGAGACACAGAGATGAAAGACAAACCAATTGAGGTGTGCGGTGCTACAAAAATGCGAGAATGTTGAGTGCGCTGGATAAAGGTATCACAAGATGGTACTCACCAATCTTCGATATTCTTTGGGAACGTCAGGGGCATCCTCGCCGAAGGATTTACCTTCCCAAATATCACATCCGCAATACCATTTCCTGGAAGTAATTGTCAGCCTCTTTGCTCGTGCTCTTGACTCGAACCGTGAACAACAAACCGGTCTCGTTTCCACCGAACCACGACTGGCACAAAGTTGTAGCCTTCTCAACCCAGGGGAATGCAACCGACGATCCAGACTGGTTGACAATGATAGCATCCGGCCTGACCGCCAGAATCTTCTCCACAAGCTCGTCAGTACGGCCGGGCAGGCCAAGACCTTCTCTGTCTGAGGCTTCCGCTTCCCAGTCCATATTGGTGCCTGTGTGGAAGGCGTGAGTTTTGAAGATCTGAAGAGCGAAAGGGAATCCAAAGAGTACAGGATTGGAATGTGAAACATACCGATGACGACAATGACAGCATCCTTCGACTTCGCGAGTTCTACAGCGTCGACGATAGCTTGTTCAGGAGCGATCTTTGGCGCGGCACCGACACGCAACGCGGCCATCATGAGCGGTGGTTGCTTCACTTCGCCTTCCTCTTCACTGGACAGCTGGACACATATTAGCTTACGGGAAAGTATCCTCAGGGGAGTAGCGACTTACAGGAAGCGGAACATTCGTATATTCCACCTTGACCTCATACTTTTGTCCCTTAACAAATTGGACCTCGCCAACCTCCTCGATTGTACCGAGACCTGATTACAGCAAATTAAGGCCATTTATGTCAATTAAACCACAAAACACCTAGAGATACTGAAGGGCGATGGAGCAGACGCACCATAGAAACTAGGTCCAGGAGTCTGCTTGTTATCAATACCATTATCGACAACAAGTTTCCCATCGACAAACACCCTCCCGCGACCAACGAGCGAGACGCCAAGCTCGAAAGGTCCGCTCTCTTCAGCGACGATGTAGCCGGTGATGGCGATATAGAAGTGTTCAGCTAAACCTGTCAACGGCACAACATGTTAGATAAAGCGGATTGAGGAAAGCAACAGGAGCCTGGACCTTCAGGTTTTTCGTCGTTGATACGCAGACGGGTGGAGAGCAGGACGTGTGTGGCGATCGGAGATGCCCCCGAGTCAAGCGGTTCGTTGTAGAACTCCGCTGTCCACTATCGAGAAACCATTCATGATTATCCCATAATGACAGAGATGAACAAGATATACGTACACCAGACTCTCCGTCCGCAGTCGTGATCCATCCATCGAGCATAGGCAAGTAGCGATATCCTGCAGCAAGCAAAAATAAGTGCTTTAGAAATCCCTTCCAATGAGGACCGAAAAGCTTGTACCGGAGCATCCTGTGGCATAGCTGATTTCGACTTCGTCGCCCGCCTCTTTCACAGCGTTCTGAATACCCTCGAGCGGCGTTATGACATAGGCACTGGTCAAGAATGCCGACCCGCCACCGCTGACCGTTCTCGTCTTGGCGTTCGGTCCAATTACAGCAATGCTCTTAAGAGAGGAGGACAGCGATAGGGGCAGGATTTTGGCTGTGTTCTTGAGGAGGACTACGGCGGAGGCTGCGGTGAGACGATTTAGCGCATTGTTGGTGGGCGAGGAGAGGGTGCGTTCAGGCTCGTGATTCGACGAAACTATGGAAGGTGAGGCTAATATAGATCTTTGAATGGTCTGTAAACAACATATAAGAATGTCAGCGGAGAGGAAAGTAACGCGTCTGTGATCAGTGGTTGAAGCTCCTACCTTCAGGACCGCGTAAACGCGGTCGTTTAAGGAGGAAAGCGTTATTTTGCCAGCGTGCATGAGGTGTGTGACTAGGTTTGCTCTCCATCGTGTGGGGCCAGGCCTGTCAAGACATTTTCAATGCATGATCTGCGAAAGCAATGAGAGAGGGGACGCGCACATCTCCAGATCCAGTCCAGCATTAATGGCCAGATCGGTCGAGTACGTCCCGCTCCTAGGCAAGTCAACCTGTCTTCAGAACATATAGTAAAGGCTTGGGAATTGAAGGCCTACCAATCAGACATGACCAGGCCATCAAATCCCCATTCTCCACGAAGCAGATCCTTCAACAACCACTCGTGCTCTGAGCCTGGGCGGATTCAAGGAAATGAAAGAGGGCGCGCGATGAGCATCCAAATTGTACACGATTGGAAAGACGAAGTCAACGTACAATGGGTTCCGTTCAGCTTAGAGTAAGAAGTCATGAATGCCCAGGGTTTGGCGAGCTATGAGTAAACGTCGAATGTAAGTTAACAAGTTCCGTTGGGCGTCATCGGCCGGATCCCGTCAGAAAGAGACACGGACTATTCACCTTTTGCGCAAGGTGAAATGGCATTAAGTAGATTTCCCTCAGAGCTGTGGGAAAATGTGTCAGTCGATGACAATGTATCAAAGCGCTTTCAACGTGACGAACCTCGATCTGGAATTACAACATTTACGCTAAATCTCTCATCCTCCATATCGTTCCCGACGAAATGTTTGATTGTGGCTTTTGGCAAAGTGAGCAAATGTTTTGAGGGTGTAGCATGGCCGAAAACTGCGCACCGCCTACACCACCGTCTTGAAGGCCATGTATAACGGCGCTCGACATCATTCCAGACAAGAATGGGTCCTATAATATCCAGCGTTTCATGTGAAGAAGGAAGGATGCGTGATAGAATTATGAAGAGCTACCTCAGAGAAGCTCTCAAAAGCCTACAATGCGGTGTAATTAATTCTTAACTTCACCGAAAGTGGACACGAGAAGCTCACCCGTCCATTCAGAGGGTTCCGCTGGATATTGCAGGTGGGGGCAAGCAAAAGCGAGCTTCCTTTTGCCTCACATTCCTCGGCCAGCAGACCACCAACCTTAGCGATGAGATCTGTGTCATACGTAGCTGCGAGGGCAGTCGCGCAAGGAATAGTAGCTGCCGGTGTCGGCAAGAAGTGAGAACTGCCACGAACACCATTCTAGTCAAGAAGGGAGAGATGTTGAACGAAGACCGTGTGGCGCGTTGCAAAACAGAATGGTGCCACCCACCGGTCCATCCGAGCACTTGATGCGCGGAACGCCAACTCTGTCGATGAGTGTCGTCGTCCACCAATCCGGGCCCTATTAGGTGCAAAGGATACACAGACTGAGTGTTGATGAAGCCTTCACCAGGAATATAGGGGTAACTCACCGCGAGAAGACTGATCTTCTCCGCTGTACTCAGTTTCGAGATGACTGCATTCAAGTCTGCTTTCCCGAACGCGTCCACAACCGGTGAAGAGTTCATAAACATTAGGGCTCTATCGTCGTGCTCGTTGTTGCTAGTGTTGGAGTCGTTAAGTAGGCAAAGAAGAAGGCTGCGAGCCCTGTGAATTTATATAAAGAGATGGCCATCGAACATAGGTTGGTTATGCCGGCGGGCAAATCAATGACATGGGAGATACTGAAGGAAACTGTCTGGGTCCTTGCACTTACCCCCATGTTCCCTGGGAGTGCAATTGAGCGTACTTGAAAGAGGGTATCACAATAGTCTCAAAACCGAGCATGACTGGAGGTTCCTGGTCCCTTTAGGGGACAAGGTCTGTTAGCAGCTAATTTTCGTCAAACAGCCAGACATAGTTAGTCTCGTTCCGATCGGCACTTCCCATGCGCCCAGACCGCACTACTCGCGTGCTTGCCACACGTTGCAATTGGCCACACGGCCGGCCGGCCTTCCATCCTCCTCCACTCTCGTCGTCTCGAGCTCATAAATAAGGCCGATGTTCGTGCATTCCCAATACACCCCTACTTGAATAAATACTGCATCTGCATGACTCGATTGGAAAAGAGGCCAACATCTGTGGATCGCCCCGGCAAGGAGGGTGGGCAGGGCGGTCCACAGAGGTTGGCATCTTCGTTCCAGTTGTCAGTGTACTAGTATATAGTATAATATAGACAATATTGCATGTCCCGGTGCCACATTCTATGTGGGATATAGCCCAATGTACATCAGGAGAGGCATAATCCTGAAGTAGAGTATTTCCTTCCCTTCGGCCCCCAGAACACAGAACGACTGGTAAACTTCAAGGTTTTTTTATACGCGGGGCGGAGCGTAGCGGAGCCCTGCGCGAGTTTACCGTCAGATTAGCATCCAAAGTCCATCAATATAGTTTCTATTACTGATAGCTAAAGGGACCAGGGTAGGGCCCGAAAGGGCAGTTTATGGTCACTTAGTGAAAACCATTGTACTGAAGTCGGGCGTAGCTGCCCAAAATCGGAAAAGGCCGTCGCAAGGGTTCCGCACCGCGCCCGGCTGAGCTCCGCAAGATTATTTATACGGACATCATGATTGGGCCAGAATTTAATTTCCAACTTCAAGCTGAAGCCATCTGAGCATTTTGGGAAGGGAACTTACGCCATATCACGGTCCTGTTACTTACCAGGGACGTCGAATGGGTCATTGTTCTGAGAATGTCGAAATAACTTCACTTCGGGATCAGGGCGTGTGTCGGAATATCTCCGCAACGCTAGGTTCTTGTTACGAGGTAAAAGCACTCGTCGTTAAGTTCGACATCGCTAGATATAGCCTGAGTTCAGATACTTTTGCGTTGTTCTGTGCACTTACATCCTCCTTTTCCGTCCCGAAGGGAGCTCAGTAACCCGAGAGCTACAAGATCTGCACTTCAGATCCACGTCGAGTACATTTCCGCGCATCCCTATACCATGACAAACAAGTAGGTTACAACCGAACCGATAAACAACGCCTATACCTATACAAAGAAAATGAAAATTGAGTGCATGAAACGAGAATGGAGAATGTAATGAGAGATCTCAGAAAAAGAGAAGAAGGACCCGCAAAGAATATCAGCCTAAAGTCTCCCCACATGGACATCTTCTTCCAATACCTCACCCGTCTGCTTACCAGCCTCATGCCTCGCAGCTGCAACCCGACGTGTCTCGCGCTCGGTGTCACGACAGAAGTACCAAGTAAAGAGAATAGCGCCGAGGGTGACTAGATGGAACACGTGTGTATGAATATCCTGGAGGACTAGAGAGATGTTGAACTTACGGGCGAAGAATATTTCACAGACGATGAAAGGAATGGTATATCTCGGAGCATATTTTGAACGCCATATCTGTTGGGTGTATCGGTTCGGCTCGTTAACCCGTACACAGAAGATGAACCGATGGAAGCTCGCTCACCTGCGCCGAAAACACGCTGGCCAACTGACCGATCGAATTTTGCACGGCATATGCAACAGCAGCATATGTACTTCCCTTCACAGTTTGACTGCGCCACGGGTATATGATTGCGCCAAAGGCAGCATGTGGGATAGACGTGAGGAGAATGAGCGTGTAGAGGCCAGCTTTGTGCGTTGTATCTAGGACAGTAAGACCAACAAAGAAGCCGATGAGGGCGAACATTGATATGATCTGATAGCCCGGTCGGGGGAAGCGGTACGTATTATCGACGATGTAGGCCATGGTCAGGGTGGCAGCGATATAGACGACCGCGGGCTGTTGCGTTCATGAGCGAAGATCAGGAGATGAGACAGCGAAGAAAATGTACCGGGATGTTGAGAAGCTGTGCACTTTGGGTCGTGGTGAAGCCAAACCCAGCGATAACTGTACAGCCATTGCCCAGTCAGAACCACAAAATTATATCAGAAAATGAGTACGTACTAGTTGGAAGCCATAATGAATACCCAGCCGTTGCGATTAGCTCAAACAACCTATTACGTGGTAATCAGCGAACCATCCGACTCCACCAGACTTGCAGCTCCCGTCTGTGAGCTTGGGACTCACATCATAAATCCGAATCCCCAAGTCAACGGATCCTCCACTGCCGCCCTGAATTCCTTCCATGAAAATGTCTCGTCCGACTGTCTCGCTGCGTTCGGAGGTAAGCGTGAGACGAGGAATGCACCTTCCTCTGGAGTGAGAAATTGACGGAAAGAGGGAGCAGAATCTGGGTAGTCGGGTAGGAGAAAGTAGATGGAAGCGGCGAGGATGACACCCATTACACCCTCTATAGATAGAAAATATCAGAGAACGGGGAGGGGAGAAGGTGAAAAGCAACGCACCGATGATGAATGCCCATTGCCATCCGGACTGTGTGAAAGCAGAATGAGTGAAGAACGAAGAAAGGTGGAGATCGAAGACATACAAGTCCACCACGGCCGTCAATGTAGGCCAATCCATAGGCCATCAAAGCACAGATGATTCCGGAAAATGACCCCAGCATGGAAATCAGAACCATCCGGACTAAAATATTGACACGTCTTAGTGTTATGCCATGAAGTGATAGACAATCCGGAAACAAACTCACCGGATAGCTCGTCGGGGCGATACCACATAGTCATCTGGACAAGTATACCTGGTAGCAGCCCAGCTTCAAAGACGCCCATAACTGTAATCACGACATTCAGGATGCGCCGAACTGGAATGTTACCAAGTAGACTGCGAAACCAACTCACAAGCCCGAGCCTGAAGACAATGGCACAGTTAGTGTGAGGACAAGCCCGATGAACAAGATTGATACAACGTACTGTGAGAAGGCCACCTGCATTCTTTGCTGCCGCTTGGCAGGCAGTGGCAGCTGACCAGAGCCTGCGAGGAGTCAGTGAGACTACCTGGCAACATAGAATAGTCGATGGAAGTTTACTCACAAAATTATGCGGAAATAATGAAGTCGGGGGGTGGACCATTTCAGCATCATATTCGACGGAAGTTCGAACAGCGCGAACGTGATCTACACAAATTAAACACATCAAGATTGCCGGGCATATCGAGATGGGAGGTTAGGAAAACATGAGTCATCTGAACAGGGGGTATAGTACCGTGTACACCGTGCTATTCCATGCCCAGTCGTTCGTCGACATACCAAGCTGGGTAAGAGCATTAGTGGGCTCGCCGGAGTTCATGATCTTGACGTAAGAAATCATGTTGACGTCGAGGTTCTAAACGACAGCGGAAGACATTGTCCTCGTCAAGAGGCAGGGCTGTCTACCGGAAATTCCTCACAAGACAGACCTTGAGTAAATCTGGATACGAGGGGTCAATGGTCAGTACACGAGCGGCGATTCACGTAACGAAAAGGCATACATGACAACATCAAGAGTGGAATAAGGTGCAGATCCCTATGATATAAGCAGAGTCAACGTGTGATGCCAAAGTTGGGAAACAAGACGCGTACACTTTGCGAAGAATCTTCCCGGTATCCTGGTAGGAAAAGTCGGCCCGAACTACCTTCACAGAATCATCACCTTTCTGAACAGTAGAGGATTTCTCGATATCGTCTACATGGCTACCTGGACGGTAGCTCAAGTCGGGCTCTCCTTGAAGACCAGTGGAAGCCATAATAGCGTATTATGGGACGAGAGAGCGAGGTGAGAACGAGACCGGAGGAACGGAAGGTGACTGCTAAGATGTTGAGTCGCCAACAGGAGGAGTCTTCCGCAGGCGTGGGTACCTGCATTATATAGAAGGGAAGATAGTATGATATGTAGGATCCCTGGCTCTATGTCTGCAACAAGCTCTTGCGCGAAGCAGCTGTTGCGGTAAGCAGCGGCGAAGGAAAAGGTGCAGCTGAGATGGCATCATAGACCAACCAAAAGTCGAAGTCGTTGGCTATGGGGAAGATGAGCCTGAGGCACGTTAAATTCATCAGCAGAACAGATATGGCATCATTTCGTTTTGGAATGAGGTGCATTCACGTTCAACACAAGTTCAACCTGCCGGGCCGCTTGGCTCTATTGTGACACTGTGATATTCTGTGGCCTGGCCAAGATGAACTGCTCTGTTGACACCAACTTACGGGCGTACGTACCTAGGATTCTTGAGGAACTGAACCTGGCCAACCATCTCAATCGTGCCTCGACCTATTTCCACTGAACCCCATTTCAAATTAGCCGGACAATGCAAGGTACATCCTTCAAGTTCTATACTGCCAACGAGACACGAGCAAAGTCATAAAACGAGGTCCAGGAGTTTGCTTATTGTTGGGAACATTATTGGCAATAAGTTTCCCATCGACGAACAAGCGGCCACACCGAACGAGCGACATTCCGAGCTCAAATGACCCTGTTTTTTCAGTGGGATGTGTTAGCGATGGCGGAGGGACTTCTGACCAAGCTTAGCAAGATGTGAATCAGGAATTGGTAGTTGCGAAATAAATAAAATCGTCCACCTTTGCACTTTCTGTCGCTGGTGCGCAGCCGGGCGAGGCAGGACTTGTGTTGGGATTGAAGTCACTCATGGAGCAAGATATTCGTTACAGATTTGAGAACAGCACCAACGAATATGCATTGGGAGAAAACCCAATTAGGCCCCCACGAAGAATGATGCGAGAGTTTTGGCGAGAGCAGTTTGAGAGGAAGGAATGTCGAAGCGCTGGAACAATGCCGACTGGAAGAAAGAGCCAATGGCACGCGCGCGATTTAGCCGCGGCGCGGATCCGGGCCTTTCCAGGAATTTGGTGCCGCTTGACGCCGACTTGCGGGTTTCATCAGCCAGTTTCCAGTGTGGCGTACAAGTGGCGCAGGACTCGGAACCCCAGGACATCAAAACACTCTGACCTTAAAAGTAGAAGTAGATTAGTAGCAGACTATAACCTCCGCTCGTCCCTCACCGAGATGTATGGTGCGAAGCACTTACTCACCGCATAAGTCGAACACCGGGAAGACCCGGTCACAGGAGGGTCAAATTCGCCTCTAAGAGTTATCTGTCTTGTCAAAATGCTCCTTTTGATGAAAGGAAGAGATCCCCAAGACAGATTTCCAAAATAATTAAAACTGAGGGACTTTCAAAGTTCCCACCCACCAGATTTGGCGGGTTTCGATTTCTCCCGCCAAACAATTAATATTTAATAGAATTGTTTATTATTTATGAGAGTCCCGGGTTTTTTTAATATGCTCCAGGAATTTTCTTTCAATAAACTGGAATTTCGACCTCCCGGGCACAAATTTGGCGGTTGAATATTATATGCGGTGACTAAGTGCTTCGCACCATAGCTCACAAACGCAGATGTATAACCAATATGTACAAACAACCCGAGGACATCTACGGACTAAACCAATGAAGCTCACACAAACCAAAGCGTAACGAGCGAACGAAGGTGAACAGGGAAAAGAAAAAGAATAAAGCATAAAAAGGTCTGAACTAGAGCCTTCCGACATGGACATCCTCTTCCAAAACCTCACCCGTCTGCTTGCCGGCTGCATGCCTCGCAGCTGCAATACGACGTGTCTCACGCTCCGTCTCCCTACAGTGGTACCAAGTGAACGCGACGGCACCGATGGTGACTAGATACAACATATGTGCATGAGCATAATGAAATATTTGAGAAGCAGGTGCTGTACTCACGAGCAAGGAATATCTCGCAGACAATGAAAGGAATTCTATATCTTGGAGCATATTGCGAGCGGAAGATCTATATGGTCATCCACTCAATCAGTTTACTGCCCATCGCGAATGACAAAATAATCTTAAAATGCTCACCTGCGCCGAGAACACACTGGCCAGCTGCCCGACCGAGTTCTGCACCGCGAACGCAACGGCAACGTACGTACTCCCCTTCACGGTCTGACTACGCCACGGGTATATGATCGCCTGGAACGCAGCATGGGGCATGGATGTGAGAAGGATGAGCGTGTAGAGGCCAGCTTTGTGTGTAGTATCGAGGACGGTAAGGCCGACGAAGAAGCCGATGAGAGCGAGCATGGACATGATCTGGTAGCCGGGTCTGGGGAAGCGGAAGGTGTTGTCGACGACATACGCCATGGAAGCCGTGGCGACGATGTAGACGATTGCGGGCTGTTATTTTCATAAGTTAGAATCACGTTTCGAGGCCGACTAAGAAAGGAAAGTGAATGTACTGGGATGTTGAGAAGCTGTGCTCTTTCGGTCGTGGTGAAGCCAAACCCAGCAATGACTGACAGCAAAGTTTTAGCTGAGTCCATCAGAACAATGAATATGGGACGTACTTGTAGGCAACCAGAAAGAGTACCCAGACGTTCCGGTCTGCTCGAACAACCTAGAAAGTGCTCATCAGATAACCGACTCACTACTGCTGACTTTGAGTAGTTTGAGAAACTCAAGGCTCACATCATCATCCCGAATCCCCAAGTCAACGGGTCCTTCAAGGCTGCCCAAAACTCCTTCCACGAGAACGTCTCATCTGACTGTCTCGCCGCATTCGGCGGAAGACGCGAGACGAGGAATGCACCTTCCTCGGGAGTGAGGAATTGACGGAAAGATGGAGGAGAGTCGGGGTAGTCGGGAAGGAACATATAGATCGCCGCGCAAATGAAGACACCCAGGATTCCCTCTGCTCATGTGGTGAGTATGAGTGATAACAGAGACAAAAAACTTCCATACCAATGACGAATGCCCACTGCCAGCCTGACTGTAAAAGAAGATAATCAGAAGATGATAGGTATAACGCGAGATAACCAGTGCGCACAAGTCCGCCGCGCCCGTCAATGTACGCCAGGCCATAGGCTAATAACGCGCACAATATACCGGAAAACTGTCCAAGCATGTTGACCAAGATCATGCGGACTTTACGAGAAGAAGAAAACATCAGCGAGGAGTCCTGTTCTGCGTGATTTGTACGCAGCTCGAAATATGCTCACAGGACAGTTCGTCAGGACGGTACCACATGGTCATCTGGACGAAGATGCCTGGCAGCAGGCCAGCTTCGAAGACGCCCATGACTATGATCATAATGTTTCAATAATAATGCTATTAGGATGCGGAGGAAGCGACTCACAAGCTCGGGCCTGAAATGGAACAATTCATTTAATATAAGGACGATTTCAACTGTGGACATCGATGTGGCTTACAGTGAGGAGACCGCCGGCGTTCTTTGCTGCTGCTTGGCAGGCAGTCGCAACAGACCAGAACCTAGAAGGAGTCAGAACGATTCCGCAGTACAGTATCTTAGACGGAAAGTCACTTACAGGATAATGCGGAAATAATGAAGACGAGGCGTAGACCATTTAAGGATCATGTTTGACGGGAGTTCGAATATCATGAAGGTGATCTGCGCGCATCAAAAGAGTGAAGTCAGTCAAAACTTTCGTCACAAGAAACAGAACTTCAAGAGATAGGGGGTATATTACCGTGTAAACAGTGCTATTCCATGCCCAGTCGTTCGTAGACATGCCGAGCTGTGTCAGAGCGTTCGTCGGCTGACCAGAATTCATAGTCTTGACGTAAGAGATCATGTTGACATCGAGGTTCTAAGCGACAAAAAAGATATTGTCCTCGTCAAGAGCTCATACTTTGGACAGGACTCGTGGAGCTGGACAAACCTTGAGCAGGTCTAAAAGCGAGTGACCGACATTGAGTACGCGAGAAGGAAGTTAAGCATTGCGAGAACATACATGACAACATCAGGAGCGGAAGCAGATGCATATCCCTACAACGCAAGCAGAGTGAGCGTGCCGCCATGAACCAAGAAAAACAAGAGACTTACACTTTACGAAGGATCTTCCGAGTGTCATGATACGAGAAGTCGGTCCGTGTCGCAGTGACCACCTTCACAGACTCATCACCTTTCTGAACACTGGAAGACTTTTCAACATCGTCTGGAAGGCCACTCGTCCGGTAGCTCAAATCAGGCGCTCCTTGAAGATCAGTAGGAGCCATGGTGACGGTTGTTGAGCAAGAAGAGCGCGCGAAACCTCAGGTGGGAAGTCAGAAAGGAGCTTGGAGGGTGACTGGTAAAGAACACCGAGTCGCCAACAGGAGAGCTTTCACACTGGGCGTGGGCACTTGCATTTTATAGAAGGTAAGAGGATCTAGTAGTGTACGGCGTTGAGCTCGCTAGCTCCACGAATAGGTCAACGATAAGTCGAAGTCATTATTTTGCGGGGAAGATAAGGCACCGATGAGCATAAACGAAATGCACTTGACGGCTGCGTTGCGAGGACCAGGCACTGCGCCCAGTGAGATCTGTCCGTGTCCTCGCTTTCGGTACTCCGCGGACTGTGCGGTGTGTTCCGCGCGCCTGCCTCTAGGGCTGTTTCGACACCGGTGTGAGATCCGTACAAACGGATTGGCAGCCCGTCAAAACTCTGTGGGCTGTGCCTAATTGTGGGGACGTCCAAAATGAAGCAGAACAACCTTGATTGGCTCCCTCGCAGCTGGACTTGAATTAGGCTTGAACCGCCGCGGCGAAAGAAAAGACACACCGCTACACACAACAACAGAACGTCGGCGAGGCTCATTGGGCGGTGGCTGGCCGGGGCGTACAATTAGCTGCCCAATGATATCTTGTCTGTCATTCCGTCAGAGTTCGTGAAATAACAACTTGCAGAGACTCGGTGGCGAATAGGGGCCACAAAGATTGCGGTTAGCTTGCGTTCTGACAAGCCTCAACGTCTCACTCTGAATTTCGAGCATCGGTCGTAAGCATACAGCCCGAGCCGTCATTTGAGCCTGGAAGTCGCTCTAGACATGGGAGGATCGAACGCTGAGATCATGAGCGGAAATGCCCCGATGCAACAATTGCTATAAACATACATACGACGAGTAACTTACAAAGCGTGGAACACAGCAAGGCGCAGATTACTCTGGACATAGTGCGAGTTGGATTATGCGGCCAAGGGCGGAGAAGAGTAGCGTAAAAAGACGTTTGGATGTTTGAGTGGTTGAGGGGAAGAAATCAATACAAGAAAAGGTTGAAAAGAAGATATCGTACATCACTTCAAGAGGCAAATATGGCTGTCCTTGTCAAGGCCTTGGTCTCCACCCAAGTGGCCCATATAGTCTTCCACTTCGGTCGTCCCCACCCACAAGCCTGCTAAAAACGCTATCCATCCTGGCCAGCACCATCTGCTGCCTCTTCCTCGACCACCGCTTCCTCTACACCGCCTACGCCTACACTCACAAGACCACCTGCCCCATTACCACTCCCGGCACCCATACTATTCCCTCTACTCCTCGGCACCAACTGCCCCGTCTCCGCGATCCTAGCCCCTCTCTCCACACTTTCCCTCCTCGACCGACTCCCCGGTCTGCTCAAACTCCCTCCCGTAAATCCAGTCCCATACGGCTCTCCACCCGATGGTACTCTCCTCTCAAACGATCCTCTTCTCGCCACTCCAGCACCTACCCCTGCTCCGTGTGCCAATCCCCTCCCCCACCGCGATGTATGAGCCTCAACAGGCGAAGACGACATATCCCTCTGATGATTGAACGTATGACTATCGCTCCTCTCCCTCCCAACCCCTACAGTCGTAGAAGTGGCACTAGAAGTAGAAGCGCCCGCACCAGTCCCGTTGATATACCCAGGCCCGTGCCACGCAACTGACGGACTCGTCCCACCACCGCTCCCACTCCCGTTCGCGGACCCGCCTCCGAACGAACTACTCAAACTCGGTGGCGGAACACTGGGATAGCTCAGGCCCCCTAACCTGCCCATATGTGTCCCTCCGCTCGGCGTCGCTCCATACCCATAAACCGTGTTCGGCATGAACAGTTGCGCCGTAAAGCTCGAGCTCGAAGGTGTCGTGAGATGCGTGTTCGCTGCGGAGAGGTTTGAGGTGTGAGAGAGGTAGGAAGCGGGGTTGGTGGAGGTTGTGGGGGAGAGGTAGGGTGATTGAGATTGGGAGGATGAGGGGGAGGAAGGAGAGTGGGAGAGGGGGGTGTTGGGTGAGGAGGGAGAGATGGAGGAGGAGAGGGAGAGAGACATGGACATTGAGGCGGAGGGACGGTGGATTTGGGAGGGCGGTCGGGGGATAGGGACACCCATTGGCGCTGATGGATGGTGGTTTGAAGGGTGGCCGTTAGAGGAGGCGGATGGAATGGGGAGGGGTGAAGAGATGTTGTTAGAGGCGGATGTTGAGCGGCGGTGTGTTGGTTGAGAGTAGGGGTCATGTGAAGGAGATAGACCTATGAGATTGTCGACAGGAACACCGAGCTGCGAATAAATGATTGTGAGTTACATGAGCATGTAGTAGGAGGACACCTCGCAGAGCCATTCAATAATGAACGCAGAAAGGCCGAGACTTTGGGACATTTTGAAGCTGGGAGTTCTATGTCCTATCGCCTTTTCATCGCAAGTCTTTACCTCGTGTACCGTCTATGCATGACGGGCCACACATTGTCCTTGTCTCAGTTGACGATGTAGAGGACTTTACTCACCCTCCGCCGATGATCAATCAATTCCTCCCTATAAATCTCGTTCAACCTCGTTATCCGAATATACTCCCTCTCCATATCCACTATCCTATTCCTTAACTGCTCATTCTCCTTCCTCATAGCCTCCAACATCAACTCCGAGCTGGGCGCCAACGGATTAACCATCATCCCATTCACCCTTCTCCCGAAATCTCCGTTTCCACCACCGCCTCCTCCCACTGTAGATATCGCATTGTGATCACCATTGGCATGGTTAGAATATTGAGATTGCGATTGAGCCTGGTTCTGAGATTGTGCTTGAGCAAGCTGTTGTGCGAGTCGTAGAGCGGAAAGTTCTCGCGAGAGACGGTTGACGTGCGATTCGGATTCAGCTTCAAGGACATTCTCGAGCTCTATCTTCTCCTCTTGCAGCTAATGGTATCCCAACCACAACCGATACAATGGAAATCCTAAGTCAACATGAAGGGGTCTAAGCTCCAAAACACCGATGCAGACGCACCTTCTCGAGTTTCCTCGACAAGACATTGATTATACGTTCCTCCTCAGCCTCATACGCATTGATCAAGTCCTCTTCCCGCTTACTGCTCGAGCTTGTCGTAGAAAGTCTTCGGATAGGGGGAGACAGAGACATCTGACTTTGATGATGACTCGAACAGCAAGACCAGAGTGTTTTATATGCGATTCAGAAGTCAGAACCAAGTGAAGTTATCTTGATTCTTCGAGTCGGAAACGTTCAGCTGGCAGCAGGTCACAGATTCGTGGGACCAAGCCGTGCGCTGTCGTATATAGGGCCTAGGTAAAGCGAAATATGGCGGTACAGCGGTGAGTGTTCCGCAAAGCCCCAGTGAAACGGTCATTATATAAATTGAACTATATAGCCCACACTTTGCGTCCGCATCCGTCTCGAATGTGTGCATACAGTGCAGTTTTCTCTACGAACTTCGCCTCAATCGGCAGCTTTGTGTCTGATTGTGTCGTCATCTCTAGCGCCACATCTGCGCCACATACCCTTGCAGTAGAACCGATCATTAAAGGCCTTTCGCTCGAAGGGTGATACGGAACGAAACAACCCATTGAAAAGAGATAATCATAAGTAGTACGCAAAGAAGCGATGATATCTTGAGAGCTAGACTCCTGAGCTCACACTAGGAACATCTACGAATCATCCGCGAACGAATAAATGGACAGAGATGAACGCAATTTTGACAACGGACACATACAAACAGTCCAAATAACAACGAAATCAAGGGCATCGGGACGTAAGGAAAACAGGGAGGCGGAAGCATACTCGCAGGAAGGGAAGGAAAGCAAGAACGCCGAGGTATCAGAAAGTCAGAAATCAGAAATCAAATCCTTCCACTTTGAATACTTGTCCGTACTGAAGGTAACTCTGCATGATGTGCAGGATCGGCTGTGGGAGGCCCATGCTGAGGAGGGTATTCCAAATCTTGGCGTGTCCGTGGATCTGCTCCAGCTTGAAGAAACACCTTCCGATCTGTGAGGGGTACTGTCATGTTCACATTTAGCATCTGATGATTCGTTAGTATGGGGAATAGAACGAAAGCTCACGACAAGCTCAGCGTATTCCGCATGCTGATACGCCGCGACCCGGATTCCAGCCTGTAACGATCTCATCAAGTCTCCTTCTTCTGAGTATGTCTCCAACAACTTCGACCAAGGCTTCAACGAGTATCTCGGCGTGTCCAAACAGCGCTGGTATGCCTCCTTGGCTTCCTCTTTGTGATGAAGTCGGAGCCCAAGGTCGCCGAGGATCTCCCATTCCATGCCCGTCTTGCGGTAAGCTACGTGCTGAGTCTTAAAGTGTGCGACTTCGGCGCGGAAGATGGTCCATACTCGGAGATCCTGCATTTGCCATTCAGTACAACTGCATGAAAGGGTAGAAATTGAGAGAAAAAACGAACCTCATATAATACCATGAACAGGTTATCCAACCACCTTTCACACAACCTTTTATTGCTGAACGAGAACGGCTCCTTCTCGGCTACGGCTGCACCACCCATCCCGTCATCCTTCTCCGACTCGCCTGCCTCTCCACCGACCGCAGCCTGTACAGCAGCCGGCTGCTGCAACGCCGCCCCATTCACATCCATTTTCGCCTTCTCTCCATGTCCATTCACTTCCTTTCCATCCTCATCTCCACTCGCCTCCGACTCCGTCCCCACCGTCGAATCTATACTCTTCTTCGACCGCGCATCATACTCCGCCGCCGCCTTCGCGAACTCATTCTGCGCCCTCGCCTCCCGACTCGACTCCGTCGAGATCCTAATCGTCGGAATCCCCATACTTCCTGTACTCGCAGCGCTCAACGTCGCCGAATGTCCATGCCCCTGTCCCGTAGACGGCGTCTTCATCGCGTCCCCATTCGTCACGTCGTTCTTCGACTCCGAGCTCCTCACGCCTCTAATCGACGCATCGTCATCCGCACCGACATGGCCCCCCAACGTCGTCTGCCCCGAAACCAACGTATCCACCACACTATTCTCATCGCCCGCTCCATTCGCGCCCCCCATCGTCGGCGTCGAAGTGCTCGCCACGGCCGCGCTGATCTCACTCTGCGCCTTCTGCATCCTATACTCCTCCTCCATAACAAACACCGCGCTCCGCGTCTTCAACAGTTCGTCCCACCCGATCTGCGAGACAAGCTTCGTGAGGAGGTTGTAGGCTCTGGACCAGGTGCCGCGGAGCCCTGGGGCGGGGAGGCGGAGGAGAGCAGGGTCGGCTTCGTCGTCGTCGGTTTTTTCGCGCTCGGGGAGGATTTCGGAGACGGTTTGTTTTATGGGGAGGTGGAGGCGGGCGGCGGTGAGTGAGCGGTGGGCGTCGCGGCCGTTGAAGGTGAACATAGGGCAGGAGTTGAGCGTTAGGAGAGCCTGTGATGTGGAAGGGGCGTATGTGATATCACGGTTTGTCGTCAGTCGTCGGTGATAAAGAACGGAGCGAGAGGAGCGAGAGGGGTGAATAGGAAGGGAGAATAGCGCACCGACTCATACTGCGACATGTCAATGTAGATCTCCGTTAACTTTTCCCAGGTCACGAACTCGCTCGGTGCGCAGTTGACGGCTTGTTTCGCGAGTTTGAGAGCCCAGTCGAGTCTGCCTTTTGACCGGAGGAAGTCGCATTGAGTGTGAAGGAGGGTATAGGATTGCGGAGTCTGCTTCATCGCATGAGACATGATCTGGACGGCTTTCACCTCTTCGCCTGTTTGCGTTCGTCGCCACACAGATCCAATAATAACAAACAGCACAGTCAGAAAAGGCGTAGAAGAAGTTGAAATGAAAGGAAGGCGCACTCATGCCGATGTAGCTCTTGGCTAATAGTGACGCCACTTCAGGCTCCCGGGCGGTAAGTTTCTCGAAGAGGTTGGCAGCATGCTGATACCGTCCGCTGTCCCCGAAGTACTTGAGCACACCAGCCGTGAGATGATTTGACACGACCGTCGCCACCTGAATCTCTGGATCTGAACCAACTTGCCAACCTGAAGCAAACAAGACATCCCGTATTCAGAACCATATTTTGACGAATTGCGAAGGGAGTACCACGCGAGCGGGATGGTAGGAGGTTCTGGACGCAAACATACCTTTGAGAAACAGCGCTTCAGCGGCCTGCAGGAACCTGAGCTCAGCTTCTGGAGTCGATATGGGGTCAAGGCGTCTGTATGCATCTAGCCAGTATGTTGGATCGTCGGAGTAGAGGATTGCACGGAGGAGAGCGGAGAGGTAGGTTTCTTGCCACATCTCAGGTGTGGCCTCGTACCGCTCGCCACGCAGGTCGATCACATACGCGACTACACCACCTGGGATCTTTACATCCACTCTGACATCGACTCTCGAGAATGCGTTGAATGTACTTGAATGGTGCGGAAACTAACATTAGTCTGCGACGAAGTTGTACATGAGGGATTAGACGCACCAGTAGCAACCATTCTTGACCTTCCATGATGGGCCCTTCGTGAACCAAGCTTGGGGTTCTTCAATAGCATATGTAAGGGAGTTAATATAGGCGGCCAGTGATGCAGACGAGGATGCGTCGACGCCAGAAACATAGTGGTATGAGCCAACCTGGATGATACAGACGAAGACGAGACGTGGCCACAGTTGGACACGTTAGCATAACTTGAATGATACGAAAGCTAGGGCACGCACGTCTCGCTGTCCGCTCTTCCCTGCTGTCTTCACCACATGACACAAATCCGGTGGTCCTAGTTCTCTGAATGTTGCTACACACACTAACATTTAGTACACTTCGGTGAACAAGTCGCGTGAAACGTACATAGACTTTCTGTCCGGGCGACTAGTGATTCTCCTAGCTCGATCTATATAACATGAGTATTGCTACAAACGTCGTAATATATCAATCTGACCTCGAAGATCTCTGGAATGTCCTTGAAAGCCGCGTCCGCCATTGCGCGGATGGGGGAATACTGAGGGAAGTCGGCCTGAATTGGCCAACTCGCGCCGGGCGTTGTTTGGTTCGAAAGCTGTTGCCAAACATCCCATTTAGGAATTAGCGGCACAGGGGACGCCCTTGTCTTATGCAGAACACGAACTTAAACCATCTTCGTGTATGCCGACTTCCTATCATCCTCATTCACGGGTACGATTATGCTCTCGCAGTTCAAAAAATGGATGTACGGATGCCCTTCCGAATGCTACCGTTAGTTTCCGAACTCGCTGTCGTTCTCTTCAGGCTGGCCTAGTTGCAGACCGGGTACACCTCGGGTAAATCAAGACCTCGGACGTCCTCGATTCTGTCTTGGATTCTCTTGAACTTGAAGCTCAGCGGAAGAGCGCCCGCATCCCCGCAAATCAGACCCCATGGGGGCATGAGGACATTGGAGATGTATGTGTCCGTCGGGAGTTCGCCTTCAATACGCCCCTATTGATGTGCGCAGAGCCTGGTCGTGCGTTTACGGAGCATATAAGACCAAGTAGGGCCACCGAGTGGCATCGCCCGCTACCGTCGCTCACGTCTTCGCGCCAGGGTTGAATCTACTCACCATTTTGACTTGCTCTGGTATGCGCCACGGCAGAGTGGCTCTCAAATCACACGATGATTATTGAGGAAATAATACATTCCCTCACTGTGTTATAGTACAGTATTGTGACATACTTTCAAGCCAAGTACATATTCAGTAGGTACATCCGCATTAGTTGGTGTTCACGGGAAAAGGTATAGACTCGGCTCTCGATTGCGATACAAGGACACTGAAGACGTAGCGTGCCATTCGTGTCATGCATATTATTTTCGAAATTGGGAAAGGAACTGGCGTAGTTGTCGACATGAGAGACCGACGGTGGAACAGGTGAAGGCATTGCGGAAATATAGCACGGTTCAGGCAAAGAGACGCATACTTATAATTATGAGATCGAGTGTCGCGACGCACAAAAAACCTCCAGATAACTTACGACGACTGAGATGCAGCAGCAAAGAAAAAAGCGACTTGACGGTCGGGACGAACGTCGTGGAAAGCGACATGAACATGGACAAGAGCCATGGGTTTCGCCGAACAGGGGTGAGAATCGAATACTGCAAAGGGCGAAGTCTGACATTAGGTAAGAAAAACCAGAATACTCGATCGCCTGCGAAACGGAAGCACTTTTCAGAGCTACCTAAGACCCACTACAGTAGTAGCGGGAATTCTTGTCGTACAAATGCATAAACCGTTCCATCTTGCATCTACCTCGCTCCAGATACCGTTTCAACGGTCCGACTCTTGCTGGTCGTTGTTCCTGCCCCCAGGAATCCTGGTCAGGGCCGGCGCATAACCAGCTGGGGGCTCGTCACTGCCCAGAGCCATCTCCGTCTTGATATATTTTGACACCTTGTCCGGTTCCACACGACGTCAATGCCGGAGCTCAAGTGTTCTGGTATTTTGATCATACGTTGACCTATAAAACTGGGTACACGACCCGCCACGGTTCTTCACAAATTCTCTAAACATAACCCTAACACTCTAACATATCGACGTCTATGGCTACGATTACGCTGAAGCGAACGGGGCAAAAGGTCAATGACTTGCTTGCAAGTAATCGAAGTTGATTCTCTGATGGTGAATGTTCATCATGTTTAGATGCCTCTTGTGGGGTGAGTTGACTACTATTTACTAAGACGCGGTGAAGTTGTAGGATATAACTAATCATCGGCGTTGATATTGAAGGCTGGGTTGTTGGAAGGTATGCAATGTATACAGCTGTGGTAGGTTCGGCCTGCGTGCTGACGACGGTTGATTACCCTCCTAGATTCCGAACGCTACATGTGCACAGGTAAGTCTCACAAGCTTCGTGTATCCTGCCTTGGTGAGCCACCAATTGAGCCACCCACGTATTGTATAGAACGTGTACGATGCGATCAAAGTAGGATATCGTCTCCTCGACGAGGCTGCAGACTATGGAAATGAGAAAGAGGCTGGTGAAGGTGTGCGACGAGCAATCGCAGATGGTCTGGTCAAACGGGAGGAACTCTGTGAGTCTTCTTCAGACTTCTCTTTCCTTGTGAAGAACCAGAACGTTTCTGACGTTGGATTCAGTCATAACTTCCAAAGTGAGTCGATCTGGTGATTGCTTCTCGCAAGGACCAAGGCTCCTGATACAGCATGAAACTTTATAGCTCTGGAACACATTCCACGCCCGCGAACATGTAAGTCTTTGTGCCTTGTCAAACCACAACACCTCCAAACAGAATCATCTCTACGAAATCAGGTTAAGCAGTCAGCGAAGCTTCAGCTCCAGCTCTGGGGACTAGACTACTTCGATCTCTTCCTCATCCACTTCCCGATCTCACTCACATACGTCGATCCCGCCCACAAATTCCCACCGGGATGGTTCGGTGACGATGGAAAGGTTCATCTCCGTGCGTACCACCATTATATACTTTGAATAAATAATACAGTCACTCAAGGGCTTCTCCGATCAGAGAACACGCCGATGTCAGAGACATGGGCCGCGATGGAAGAACTCGTTGACGAAGGTCTCGTGAAGAACATCGGACTAAGGTACGTACTCTACCCCCACCCATCTCTCTTTCTCTCAAGGGTGTGAGCAAGCTAACGATAAATGAATATATAAAGTAACACGGCAGGAGTCATGCTCCTCGACATAATCCGCTACGCACGCATCGAGCCCGCGGTCCTCCAAGTCGAGAGACATCCATATCTGAGCCAAGAACCACTCATCCAACTGACGAAAGAACTCGGAATTGCAATGACGGCGTATTCGTCGATGGGTCCGCAGGGATACTTCGAGATCGGAATGGGACAGAATGCGAAGAGTTTGATGCAGCAGGATTTGGTGATCAAGATTGCGCAGGCACATAAAGCCAGTAAGTTCGATTCCTTTTTGTCATGTCCATCGGGCCAGAGGTGGGGAGTGGGAAGAGTTCAAACCGACTAATACTTCGGCGCGGAATAGGTCCAGCGCAGGTGTTACTGCGGTGGTCGACTCAACGAGGACTCGCGGTGATACCGAAGACGGACAGGATCGACCAGCTGCAGGATAACTTGAGGTGCAATGACTTCGACCTGTCGGAGGAGGAGCTGAGCACGCTCGGATCCTTGGATGCGAATATTAGGGTGAGTGCCTTCAGATGTTCTACTTCGATGCTCTGCCTTCAAGAAAGAAACTTCATATTGATGCTTGGTGCACAGATGAATAACCCAGTCGAGATCGATCCTCGTATGGCTATCTTCGCGTAGAAAGGAACTGCATTAGCCTCGATAGTGGTGACTTGTAAGACTTGCGGGCGTCTGAGACTGGAGAGGTGTACGATAGTGATAATATTGAGGGTGGTGTTGTATCGATATTGTACTCATACGCGCATGTAAAGGATTCTGAATCAAACACTGTCTCCAACTATCTTCGCGTAGAAAGGAACTGCATTAGCCTCGATAGTGGTGACTTGTAAGACTTGCGGGCGTCTGAGACTGGAGAGGTGTACGATAGTGATAATATTGAGGGTGGTGTTGTATCGATATTGTACTCATACGCGCATGTAAAGGATTCTGAATCAAACACTGTCTCCAACTAGTTTCAACTCTCGTGAAGAGATTTGTGGACTGTTGAAAAGCAAAGCAAGACGGTCATTTCATCGCTTGGTAGATGACCGGATCGGAGATGCTCAACATCTATACGCGAGTCTTTATAGATCTACCGAGAAAAGGAACACGAGCGAAGCATTGTAGCAATAATGATCGATGCGGAGACTCAATGGAATGTGTGTACACAAATAGTCGTGGGTGCGGAAGAAATGCCTCGCAATACATAGTGAACTGGACTAACATGATCAAGATACACAGCGAAAATAGGCGATAAGAGACCATGTCAAACTTACTCAACCTCTGCACACTCCCTCACCACCAAACCTTCATCGAACACAAACGGACAACCCCAGATCCAGCTCCTCAGTCAGACCTATAAGTAGTATTCCCCGCCCGATTCGAACCCATATATACCTCAATCTCCTCCTGTAATCCAAGTTCCCCCTCACCAATCCGCTTCTCTTGCCTCCACGCCTCTTGGAACACCCCTCTATCTCCGTGTGCATTATCAGGGGCGAGCCCTACAAGTCGAATGGCAATGTCCTCAGGTAAGTCGTGGGCCGAGCTAGGAAGGCCTACACCAATAGCGAGCTTTGCGTCTACTTCGTCTATCAGTCGATCGCGTTCGGCAAGGACTTGGAGGGCTTCAGAAGCAGCGTCTACTAATCTGCGAATACCCGCTGTACGCAACATAAAAGAGCAGTCAGGACACACGATCGCAGCTGGCACAGAAGCTCGACTTACTTTCTATACCAAGGACGAATAGTGTCTGAAAGGGAGGTGTGGATGAATTTATCAGCATTCACGCTCACAGAGGATGGCGGACTGATGAACTTACATTCCTCGCATGGGCATCCTGCCACACCTCCTCTTTCAACCTGTCTCCGATCCCCTCCTGCGCCGCAATCTCATCCAACAGTACTCTCATTTCCTCAGGCACCCTCATCCCGTTCGTCACACCAGATCCAGCGACACTGACCTCTCCCTGCTCGTCCTGCGCGTGCTCCCCAACTACGACCATGGCCTCGGCCAAACCACCTGCCGTATGACCATTCGTCACCAGAAAGTACCTCAGATGCTCCCTAAACTTCTGGACGTGTTGAAGAACCAGTTCCGGCAAGATTTCAGTACGCTCTTTGATCTTTACTTCGGCTTCTTCGAGTGTGCGGACAGGGAGATTGAGGGTTATGTTCGGGTGGTGTGTCGAAGGCGAGGCAGGGGATCCGGCGGAGCGAGAACGGTTAGGGCTTGGGTGCGAGTTAGCAGAGGTGGAGAGACGAGCGAGATTAGCTTCTAGGGCAGGTGCTATACGAGAAACGGTGGGATTTTTTGACCCTCCTGATCCTCCGGTCCCTAGTGCTCCTGCAGCGGACGCTACGGCTGAGATAGAGGGATTCGGTAGCGCTGCCACTGAGCTGGGGACATCGATGCCACGAGAGTGGGAGCGAGCTCTGGGAGTTCTAGGGCTCGTATTGTATGAAAATGAAGTTTGGAGGCGACCGGTGTCAGGCTTCCCCGATCGATGTTTAGAGCTGGAACGATAGCGGCGAATGGCCTTTTCGAAGGAGCGGTCGTGCATCATATTGTGATATTTTGAAGAGAATGCATCAGAAATGACTGTGACATCGCGCAGGACATCGTCAGTATAAGGTATATAAGGTGCAATTCATGCAAAGAGCGGACCTGAGATGAGGATGGTCATGGCACAGACACCGAGGACGGCCCAGAAGACGAAGATCGCGCGGCCTATGGACGACAAAGGAGCAAAATCTCCGTACCCGATAGATGTGAAGGTGATGAAGCCTTATGACAAGGTTATAGACCGTTTCATCGGAACACGCCGTAGCAGGACTCACAAAAATACAGCCCAGTACCGACTGGCCAAGTCTCTGTATGCGCGAAGATGAGGGCTCCAGACTGTGACAATCGTCTATCAGAACATGTTATCACTTGGGCCGTCAAGATGACTCACTATCCAAAAGATGAAGAATAGAGACCATGCGACGGTCAACTATTTAGATGCAAGTATCAGTAACCAACCTGGAGGGACCATGAAAGGAAAGAACGTACGCGGACATAGAGATCTCTCTTTTTCTCTCGCTCCAGGATCTTCGCTAATTCTTGAGCCTCAAACTCTCCATTCTTCTTCTTGAATAGCCTGTCATAAGTTCCTTTCCACCACTCAGCCGACCAGGTCATCCACCTCTTCAGCATACTCCCTTCCGCGCTACTTGTCAAAGTGTTACTGGCTCCCGCATGACTCGAGTTCGAAGGAACAGGACTTTCAGTCCGGATGGGTGCCAGGATATTTGTAGCTCCTTCACTTATCCCGCTATTTCCCCTCCTCTCGCTGATCGCACCACCGTCTTCTTCATCGACGCTTTGGAGCCCTGTCGGAGACACCGGCGATCGAAGCGACATCTGGCTCCGACTCTCGTCCCTTCGAACCTTCGCCGCGCTCCTGACGATACGCTTCCAGCGATACTTGTCCAAGGACACACCAGCGTCCAGCGCAGCCTGCTCGAGGTCGCCGGGGGTGAGAGCCTCCGTGTTCAGCCTCAGCTCTCCGCCACCAACACCTCCCATAGTACCAGCCAAGTACCACGAAGCCCTCCTCAAGCTTGACCCACTCTCACTGCCACTCCTCACCCGACTTCTTTTCCCATTGGAACCTACTTGCCGATGGCCGCCATGCTGCCCTGGATTGGTATCTGACACCCAGACCTCAACTCCCAGCCCCATTAACTTCTTCTCCACAACTCCTCTCCACCGTCTATCCTCTCTCTCTTCCCTCCGCTTCGCCTTCCTCTCCCTTTTGAACCTCTGCAGCCTTTCCATATATCCCATCTCCAATCCTTCCACCACAGCCTCGCTAATCAGCCTAATCGCCCCACCGAGTATCATTATCCCAAATGATGCGTACAAGCAAACAACAATGCGTTGGACAGGAGTGTCGGGATGAATGTCGCCAAAACCGATGGTCAGAGTGGTGACGAGGGTGAAGTATAGACCGTCGAGGAAGGTGAGATGCATAAGGAGTGAGGTGAGCAAGGCACCGAGGGCAGAGTATGTGAGGAAGGTTATGGTGATGATGATCAATGAACGTTGCTGTTTTGTGATGCCGCTGCCTGTAATCAGAACAGGAATAGGGAAAATGATATCGATTAGATACCGGTTGCGCATCGTTGGGATCGCAGGAAGGGACGCACCACTATTCTTGAAGTTAGGTACGGTGAAAAGGTCCCAAAGCAGAGTAATGTTCGTGACGGTAGAGACGATCGTCGAGCACACAGTCAGCCAATATGCTGCAAGAAGTTCGAAGGTTAACATCCCGGTCAAGGTTAAAGTATAGTATGGGCACGATCCTACCTTCACCATAAGTAAAGCCATCATTGAAACGATGTTCCACACCGAAGACGACAACCGCAGTAATATTGATAACATCTAAAACCAAATGTTCCCTGATTGATAAATGTAACTCACAACAATGGAATCCAGCAAATAGTCAGGACATACCGTGAATCGTTAAAAACAATGCCGCAAGAATCGTCATGGCCTTGACCCTCCTCTCCAAAAACCTCGTCAAGATAGCCACATTCGCCGCCACCGCGCACATCATACTAAGCGCCAGTCCGACATCCAACAGGACCGAATTCGACCTCGTCTCCACGATGTTCACACCATCCGTCCTAATATACCAATGCTCCGTAATACCCGGAATCTCGAGCAAAATGGCGAAGGGCATGAGCACGCCGCTGATGATGGGCATGATGCGGTAATTTGGAGCATATTGAGAGGACGACGATGATGCAAGGCCGACCTTGGGGTACGAAGACCCAAAGAGTATGTTCTTGGATGCAGTAAGCCAGGAGGGGAGTGATGGGCGAGAAAACCTCAGTTGGGAGACGGAGGAACCGAAGGATGTGACGGTGTTGACACGGGGGAAGCGGCCTGTGTTTCTGTGGACTGCTTCCGGGGAGGTTGTGCCAGCGAGCTCGTCTTCAGCCGAAATGTCGTCCCGAGTATGTCGCCGAGGATGATCATTGTCGTCAACATCATCTATTTCGACATCGGTTTCGTCCACCTCCACCTCCTCATCCTCCTCAGGATTGTCCGCGGTCTCCAGCGGCACGCTCCTGGGCGTGCGCAACTCGCCATCGACACCCTCCTCGCCATGACCATCCTTCTCAACGTCCCTCTGTTCCGAGGCCTGAGCTTGATGGTCGTCTTCATATCGCTTTCTTCCAATACGAGTGTTCACCGAAGATGCAATCGCGAGTACAAGTGCACTCAACGGCGGCATGGGAATGGAGTACTGGAGAATGTAGTGGGTGTAGTTCGAGGGGTCAGCCAGAGTGATAGAAGCATGCAGTCCCAAACCTCACCCTCTTGTACGTATGGCCCATTGTCAGTATAGCGATCGCTGCCACAGGAAGACGAAGTTGCAAAGGGCATGAAAAGGGCCAGGAGTAACGGATAGGGTGTTTCTCGGCCGGCCAGGAGTGTGGAGTTAGAGGCATGGAGCAGGAAGGTTCTCGTGAGGCACACGATGACCAGTCCAAATTTCTGCACAAATTGAAGGTGAGAGGGCGACACTTAGGATACATTGGTCTATAGTTCAATTTTTGCCATCGAGCCAAATCTCCGCCGATTGGGGCGCTCGGTATCGCCATCTCTACGATCGAGGCTAGCATTTGGGCAGCAGGAGGGGGTTGAAGGGATGCATATGGCGTGTCCAACACGGTAGTACCATGCTCTCCGTTCTGTTTCCACCTCGGAGCAGTGCCAAGGTGGGCCATACGTAGACACTTGAGGGTGTGGTTCAACAGCTCCTCGAACGGAAATCGAACAATACGATTTTGCACCCCGTTGGTCCCTGAAGGGAGACAAACGTGTGTGGGTTTTACTCGTGGGATCCTGTGCGCTAGAGTGCTCAATATAGTGAAGACCACATGCACGACCTCACACGCATGTTGGGCAATCAGATCGAATGAACCTGGAAGAAAAAAGGGAACGACGATTGGAATGGATCAATGAGACTAAATATCTGTGATAAGACGGTCGCTAACCAGCAGTTTTAGCAATGCAGAAGTATATTTTTCAAATATCATAAATCGAGCTAGTAGTAGCCGAAAATTACGCCAAGAATACCGCGACCTGTTCGAGGAGCAAGGAAAGCTGCGGTTGTAGCCTCACAGATGAGTTCAGTGGCAGAAATCGCTCAGTGCGGTCGAACACCAGAGCTTTCGAGTTCTACATGCTGGATAAACGAGAAGAGAAGAGGGATCGATAACCAAAACATAGGGAGAGCGGAAGCTGTTTGACTGCGAGGTGCTTAAGACCATGCAAGAAGTGGTTATGCTGGGGGGCAACCTACCACAATGAGGGAAGAAAGGTCTGTCAGAAGGAAGAGCGAATATTGCCATTCGGCCGTCTGTCCAGATGGCGAATGGGTAGAGCACATAAATACTACCTCGAAGTGGGCGCGTGTCATAGTCGCGCTGCACATGGACAGTGCCAGAATGCAGGCCCCCTTTAGTGTTGGTAGCATGCCCTAGGACTCGTCGCGATGTTGAATCTGTCCTGTAGCTTCCTGGGTTCGGAACGCTACAAGAATCCAGAGAGGATCAAGATCTCGAAGCCGATTATTTTTACTCCCGGGAGGAAGGTTTATCTAAGAAGAAACGTACTGTCCATCCAGGCGTACAAGAACTGGATCTGAAGACGTTCATGGATGGCTCCTCGAGGCGGGAGAAGGGCGCTACTCGGTCGATGCACGTCAACGTCCCCTAGAACCAGCCATTGCACGATGACGGGCTCTACTTTGTGTAATCATAGTGAAGTATAAAGCGATCCTATTCGTGTTCTTCTCTTGCATAATTCATCTCCGGACGACTGGTCTGCCTTGGAATGAGATCGTGAGAGTGTGAAAGAAAGATGTTCAACAAACTCGAAGCGCCGCAACAGCGCCAAGTACGGGGACTTTCGATAAGATAAGATCGAAAGATTGCTCGATCCAAAAGAAATAATAATATTTGATTGCTCTTCTTCCTTTCTCGCCACAAAACGTTCCACCGCCACTCTTCTGGTAAGTAGTACTCAGTGAACGATGTCCGAAGGGCTTTATTCATGATCTCCAGCTGAAACGATCTTTCCTTTGAATCTCCAGCCCATCTCCCCCATGTCTTCATCCTCTTCTTCTGCATTAGAGCCCTACCAGCTTGAACTGATAGACCAGGCCATGTCTATCGGTGCTCTCACATTCGGCGAATTCACTCTTAAATCAGGCCGGTAGGTCTTATATCTGCTCATTCAGCTTCATCAACAACATATTTTATCCATATGTCTGCTAAATGTTGATATCCGCCCCAATATCAATAGCATCTCACCCTATTTCTTCAACGCCGGCCTCATTTCTTCAGGCCTTCAACTAAACATTCTCTGTTCCGCCTACGCGCACACGATCGCCCAAGGCCTCTCTTCGCCAACAGACCCCATTCCCCAATTCGATATTCTCTTCGGACCAGCCTACAAAGGCATCCCGCTAGCAGCCTGTACCTCCCTCCTCCTGCAAACAACCCACAACATCTCCACCTCCCTCGCCTACGACCGTAAAGAAGCCAAAGACCACGGTGAAGGCGGTAACTTCGTCGGCGCTCCCGTAAAAGGCAAGAAAGTCTTAGTTTTAGACGATGTGATGACGGCGGGAACGGCGGTCAGGAAGGCTGTGGAGATGATTAGGAGGGAAGGTGGCGAGGTTGTGGGAATCGTGCAGTGCCTGGACAGAGAGGAGATCACGGGTGGCGAGGCAGAGAAGGAGAGAAAGAGCACGGCTATGAAGCTGGAAGAGGAGTTGGGAGGTAAGGGGAGGGTTAGGGCGATCTTGAGGATGAGGGATTTGATTACTTGGTTGGAGGAGAAGGGGAGGAAGGAGGAGTTGGAGAATATGAAAGTATATTTTGGAAAGTATGGCGCGAATGATTAGGTTGGGGTGGATATAGGGTAGAAGTTGTTTCCGAGGTGTACGAGTGACTAAAGGATGCGCGGAAGCAATGCTGATGTGGAAAAAGGACAACGATCAGATAGAGAGCTTATACAAAACGACCATCACATTGCATCATCGGAGCCGGCTCACATAGGCGTTCTCAGCACGATTTCCGCAGAGTGAAACGTGAATGAAGATTTGCAGTATCGAAACTATACAGCCAGAGCCCAATACCCATAACACGAGGGGAAAAGGATGATCACCACAGCCTCTATTATATTCTCATTGTATTCCCCCGCCTATTCGGTCCCCAACCTGTTTCCCCTCCCCCAATTATACCCTCCACGTCCTCCACCTGCTGCTGCCCCTCCCCCACCCGCAGCCCTATTCCTCGGCTGCTGAACGTGCACCCCCGTGCCCCTCAAATTTCCACCCGGCACCTGTGGTCCATCACTCACAATCGATCTCACCCATCCAGGTGCCCTTCCCCAAGCCGCGAATCCTGGAAGCCCACGACCGTCGGGGCCGAAGATCGTCCACCACCAGAGATGTCCTACTACAGCACCTGTGATTGAGGTTGCGACAGCGGATGGACCGCCTGTGAGAAAGTCGAACCCTGTTGGGTATATGTGAGATGGGATTTTGTTCGGTGTGGAAGGTCAGCAGTGATAGGGTTCGTGATGCAATGCGTACCAAGGAGAACATAAGGGAAATATTTGATCGGTACGGTTACCATTCCGAATATCGAAGTTTGTGCACCTGGAGGTGCGAGTGCTGAAGAAAGATAAGCGAGACAGAGAAGAAGGGGTCGAGAATGGATGAAGGATCCCAGAGGGATGTTAAGAGCCTAGATTCAATACGATGCAGAGACGGTGTTGTTCAAGCATACGTTCGTGAGTATGTTGCAAGTGCGGAAATGACAGGAGACTTACGAGGATAGCGCCACAGGCAAGCATGAGTTGCCATGCATAGTCCGCCGAGCGGTTTGAGAAATGGTTTGATTCGATGTCATTTGAGTTTCGGCTGTTAGATAGGTGTAAGCATCCTTCGATAAATCCGTGGTGGCATGAAAAAGGCCAAGGTGTCGAATGGAAGAGAGTCAATTGTGTGGATGAAGAGATGAAACGCACTAGAGCATCATGAATTCGAAAATATAGCTAATTCCCGAGCCTGTGCAGACGAAGTAACAAATTCAATATTGTTACAGCCGTCAGAGGGGATAGAAATAGAGACGCACTTCCGAAGAAGAAACTACTCCATACACGCCATACCTATCACCACCGCCACACAAACTTCGTCAGCGTCCAAAAGCCCTCACATTCTACCTCCTGCATCCCGAGCCACCATTTCCATAAAACATAGACGTACCTCCCATTTCCTCGTGACCAATTCCTTCACGAAAACAATCTTGTACGGGCTCACGAGGTGCATCATGCTCGACACCGAGACTGAGAGGCTCGATGCGCAGAGAAAGCGCGTCACTGGTGGGATCTTGCGTATCTCGTCCATGAAGCTTCCTGACATCTTTTCAAGTAGTGGTACTGGGTGTTCCTTTGCGAGGAAAGGTTTCGTAGGTGTACCGTTCGAAGAGGAGTACTTATTCAAGTTCCGAGGAAAGCGGAGAAAGGCAAGAGGATAGACGAAGCAGAGATTCTAATAGTCGTTGGCCTTAGAAATTGTCAAAGTCGGTAATGCGCCGTCAAGTAGTCGTGGAGAAGGTGGACGCTCAGAAAAAAAGAGTACACGTATGTATACCAGGTCTTGTGGTTCGAATGAGGATCAAGAAAGTTCACGAAGCATGAGAAAGGGGGAACGCGTCCAGACGCGGCTCCTCCACGTCATCCAACATTTCTCACACGTGCCGTCCGTTTATTCATTTTTGCGGCCTTCTTACCTACGCCACATTGGAGAATTGGGTGGCCCGCCCCCTTGAGCTCGTCAGATGCATCCGGTATTCGGTTGGGCAACTAGATAGGTGACTCCCATGAGGGTGTTTCAGAATCCGGCAGATACAGACGCAAAAGGACTATCGGTGTGCGCATGTAAATAATAGCGACTGAGAATATTCGGAAAAAAGCCCAAGATAGATTCCAGAGTTGAATGACTTCGGACAAGAGCGTTGTTTACAGACAGGGAGCGTACATACTCGGTTGAGGAGCCCAGGATGCCACGAGTTCTCGCATCACGAGCTACACATCGCCATATTTGAGTCATAGAGCCAGTGAACTACCAGACTCTCGCTAGCAATGGTAAAAACACTTGGTTCATATTGTCCTAGAAGGATCAGAAGCTTAACACAAATTTTGAGGCCCAATAATGTCCAGAGAAGATGAAGAATAAAAGGAAGTCGGAACAATAAATAATGCTCGACTGATCATACTTCTTCGACGATTCCTTGTCCATGTCGTGACGGACAATCGCCGCTAGGCACGTACATGGTTTCAGAACGTAGACAGATATGATCAAGCGTCATCTACCAATGCAGCACTCTTCTCATCGACCAGTGCCTCTTTCACCAGTCTAGAAGTATAAACAAAGTTGAGCTCTCGCGACTGACCACAGCTAGAGAGGGAGAACATAACATACGGAGACGCATTGCCGTTCAGAGAGGTAGCAACAGATTCGGCGTCAAGAACGATAGCTTGACGGCGAGAATGATGAAGGACGATGAAGAGCCCGTAGATGATGTAGATCGACGTCTGAACAAGTCCTCCGAAAATTGAAATCACGTCGAATAGGCCCTGGTCAAGGTACCTGTCAACATGATGTGATGTCAGTTGAGCCACACTCAATATCCTCGAGAAAAAGATGGACACATACCGGAGAACCAAGTGAGGCAGGTATAGAGCACGGAATGCGAAACATAGCACGAGATATGCCGTCAATAACGTATCCTTCCTCTCCATCCTATCATACTCCATCAACTGAGGCACGTCTGCTACAGCGGCCAAGTAGACGGAGAAAGCCCATGCCACTTCGACTAAATCGGTATGAAGATGCAAGTGCAAGTTGGAGAATGGGGGACTGTAGCTGAGGAAGGAACCGAGCAACAAGCAGATGGAAGTGGTGGCGAATACTTGTGAGAGGATGGAGTTTGCCTCGTGGGTGGAAAAGGGGCGTTGGGCTGTAAGGAGAGAATGTACGGTGGTGATGGCGGCGATGAGGATGTATATCTTCATCCAAGTCAGGTAGGCTCCCAGTTCACCACCCTTGAAGAAGAGGTCCAGATAGCGAGCGAAAAAGGCGAAGCAGTGCATGAACTGGGTGGAGAGCGAGACACCTACACGACATGGTAAGTCACAGTGTAAGTGAAAGACGCACGCGCAATACGTACCAGTAGCACCCTTGGTACGGATTCTGTACAACAATACAGGAAACGAGAGAAATATACACATGTCAGCTATGAGAACATAGAAACGTCAGTGCGACTCGCTATAACTCGCGAATTGAAACACTAAGTACATACCAGACATTCTCAGCGGGCAGTACGTGAACGACATGGCTACAGGTGTGAAAGAGAGGCAAACGAGAGAAGGATGAGAATGCCAGTCCTGACCATGCTTGGCCCGGTTTATATGGATTGGGCGCCTGATAAATACACTGCCTCTGCCGCGAACACTGGCGACGATCAGATGGTTCCATGGCATACAGATGACCTTTCGTCATAGCCGTGGGTGTTTACTGTACGCATACAGTGCAATTTATACCGGTACTTTTGCGTAGAAAGAGAGCATCTGCATGCATCATGTTGAGGGTGGCGAACTCTGCTCAAAGTCTGCTGCAACCGGGAGGGTGTGGTGACCAGATTGGACGCTATTTATCAGGGCGTTCTCGACTCACCGTACCACATCCGAAGCAAATTGACCGTAACAAGAAGGACAGCACGTCCGTCGCGGTCGAAGCTGAGCCTGAGGCGGAAAATGGCTGCAGATTCGCCGCCCAGCGTGACTCGGATGCCGACATACATTTCCTTTTATGGCTAGTTGCGCGGGCGGGGCGCGTGTTGGCGCGACGCGCGCGGCACGTTGCAGGCCTCATTGTTCGACGGTTCCGGCTTCGCCGCCGACGTTCCCTTGCGAGTCATCGTCCGTGGGGAGGCGTATATAAGGACGCGTCGGGATGGCTCTCTTTCTTCACGACTACGACGACCACAGCGTCCACTAGACGGTTCTTGCTCTTTGGCGCGTTCCCTCGCGTCGCGTGTTGGCCAATTGCAATGTCTTACTATCCTCATCATGATCCCACTCAGCCTCCCCAACTCACGATGCCCACGACACCAAGCGCTCTCAGTGGAAGCAATCACAGCACACCTCTCAACTTCAACTCTTGGGACATGTCAGACCCTTCAACCGGCCATTCAGAACTCTCCAACGCATTCTCAATCCAACAAGAATACGGCTCGCCCACTCAAGTACAACCCATACATTTCTTTCAAGACTCAGCTTCGAGCCCTACAACGTCTAGTCATGCCCAGTCACCTGCCGTCATCACACTCGATGAACGCCCTGCTTTCCTACCTCATGAGAGGAGGGCCCTTGCGCGTCGCGAGCAAGCTGAGGCTCAGAGGCCTGCGAGGTCTTTACCCGGGGAGAGTCGTGGTCAGTCCACGACTGCTTTCGAAGGGCAAGAGACTTTACTCCCTTTGAACAGTCCAGTGGGTGCGAGCGACGCTAAGGGTAAGGCAGGACCCGCGAGGATGTCGCCTACTCATATTCATTCTGAGCGTGACAGAGCGCATCCGTATAACCGACCACAACATGCTGGTGGTTCATCTGCTATTGCACATTCTATGAGTGCTTCGGGGAGGTCTGATTCTGCTCGACGTGCGAGCGACCAGACACAAGTAAGATTTTCGAGCGGCATTCAAGCGACGTCGACTCCTGGTAGCGCGTCTGGGGGTGCAGGAGCGTCGCATTACGGTGCGCCGGGAGGTAGTGGGGACGTGGATGTAGGCATGAGCGGAATGAGGTATGCCGTGCTTATAGCCCACCACTACCGCTCCTTGCGGCATATGTCGTTATTATCTGACTGGTGGTCCTAGCCCGCCTACGATTGTGCCGAGCATGTCCGCCGGACAATCGTCTACGCACTTACTACAAACTTCAACACCGCTCAGATCTCGCGCGTATCCACCTGAAAGACCCCTTACTCGTTCGCGAGCATGGACAATCTGTGCCGATACCGACATAGACGACAACACCAACATCATGACAATCGTACTCGAACTCCCCGGTGTTCAACGCTCTGATGTCAGCATCCAGCTCGCGACCGACATTCGCACCAAGATTCGACAGCTATCTGTCTCTGGAACGTCAAGACCTGCCTTCCCAGAAGGACGCGCGCACACCGTTCGCGAACGCAAGTACGGTAATTTTTTGCGCCACATTTCTGTTCCCTTCGAAACCCAGGTGCGTGGCGCTGTTCGATATTTTTGCTTCCGGCGGCGAAGGACCTCAAGGGCGTCGTCGTACCTTTTCTTGGATCTAAGGGGACCGACGTTTATGCCGGAATGGAATGTGGTATTCTTACCATCAAAATACACCTCGGTCCACCCATTTCGTCCGAGCACGTCGAAGTTGTCCAAATACAAGAACCACCACAAGCTCAGTAGACACTTCATCAAATCTCTCAAGACATGTATCGCCGTTGTTTTTTTTATCGTTGTCCGCCGCGCCTTGCCCAATCTCCAAAGTACTTTTCATATTTCATGCCTTGTCCACTATCTTGCCAGAAGAGGTTGTTTATCTGTCATTCGCACCCTCCCCATCCTTCTCTCTCTCTGTTTCCAGGTCGCTCTAGCGTCCTTTCGTGCCTTCTTATACCTCTCCGTACCCAAAATCTCTGGTTCGCCTACCATCCCCGCTCGCTCATTTATCTCCTTTTCCGCTCGCCACCTCTCCGTCGTCTTTCCCGGCTTCCGCCGATGTGCCCTTGCCTTACCCAGTCTCATTGTCTCATCCCTCCACCCTCACTCATATCTTTCATTCTTCACTATCTGTACCTTACACACCCCTCCTCAGTTCCCCAAGCTTCGTCTGCGCTCCTTGGTCCTGACTGTCGGCTCTTCTCGCCCCGTACCGTCTCGTCTCGTCATCTATGCAATGTGTTACGCTATTTCTTGGAACTTCTCTTCCCTGCGAAGACGCCTTGCCCGGTTCATAATCCATATTCTTTCATCTCATCTCAACCTAAAATGTCCATACAAATTTCATATTCCGCTGTCGTCACAATCCCAATATTCGAATAATCATTATCTCTCGTTACTCCCTTATCCCTTGATAATGCCCATTCCTTCATCTCCCATGCATTGTCTCCATGTCGCTATGTCGTTCTCTCGAAGAAAATACCCGATCTAGGCTCGCTTTTGTCCTCCATGTCGTTTACTCTCTCCGTCACAATCTGTAGCAAATATGTTTTCGGTTCTGTTTTCGTTTCTTCGGTCGTGTCCTGGTCTGAGTCCTGTTGTTTGACTCTTCGTTGAGCGCGAGTCGAATGGAATAGATAGGGTTATCGAGGGACTCTTGGTCCTATCGCACATTGTCTTCTGCTCTCGTCGCATTTTCCTAGTGCTGAAGAAAACCGGAACTCCTAGTTTACATAAGAGCAACACACACCCTCAATACTAAATTTGCCCTAAGGACTGTGCATAGTAATATACTTCCTGTGATAAAATTACACCTGGCTCGTCGACTCCCTTACTTCACTGTCCCTCTATCCCGTAAAGAGATTACCTCGATACAGGGCCCGTCTGTTACTATCCCATCCCCACTTTTATTCAGCGAAGTTGTTAAGCCTCTCTCCAAATCAGCCCTCATCTCGTCAGAACTATCGTCATCATATGTCGTGCCATCGATTCGCCCTCCGTCCCTGGTAGCAAGGCTCGAGTCCGGGTGGACATCAGTAGTAGTCGTCACCCCAGTAGTGCGCGAACGTCTCATAAATTGCATGGTGCCTGCCATGCTTGTGTGAGTTTTTGGATACGTTTTTTCCTTGGCGGCTCTGATGATAATGAGAGAGAAGATGATGGCCTATATTGCGCGGAACTGTGAGTGAGGCCACCCTATAACCAGATGCAGAGGACGCAAAGAGGACGGCACTTGCCATAAGATGCGGCATCTAGTACGAACACATGGTTTTGGTCAGTTGGATGGTACGTACGATGAGAGGAATTAAGGAACGAACAAAATCTAGAATGGCAAACATGACGTCCGAATTCAATGCAGCGGTGGCTATGAGCACAACCAGACATGCACAGTATACAGCGGCTATAGTGAAGACTCTTCAAGTAAGCCATCATGCGTCGTACAGAGAAAATTCGTCATGAAAATGCTCACCAGACTCAACAATCACATTAATCACCATGCCGATGCGCATCCCAGGCTCGGGCCTGCGATTGCCGTTCTCCTTGGCAGTAACGAGCTTGGCCTCGCTTTCGACTCGCCATATTCTCCAAGAGATCAGGGCTATGGTTGGAGTCCACATAAGCAAAGGAATCGGATCGAAGGATGTGATTGATCCGTCACATACCTGAACACATAACATTGAGAGCAAGTGTAACGATGTAGAAATACTTGACTCGTACTACGACTTCGGCAACAATTGGGTCTCCGTTGACACCAGTGCGTGCTAATGTGAACATTGACCAAGTTCCCATGGCTGCTCAAGCGTGAGGAAGCTGAATCCAGTCGGATTTTGATGAGAACGCACCTATGTCAGCACACAACAGTGCGAGAGGGATAATGACGATCTCCCAGTTGAGACCCCAGACGACATACGTGCGATATACCTGTTATTATTAAATAATTGGAAGTTAATGTTCTGAACGAGATATACTGTATTGCGCGAGGGCATACCATGATTGCGTCGGTCAAAATAGTCTGCGCTATGAATGATGCATTTTTCAGAAGTGAAGGCAAACTCGCCACTCCCTGGAACACTTTGACGGCAGTTGAGATTCCGTCGGCCTTGAAAGAGAAGGCTTCCCAGGCACGAATAAGCGAGGTCACCAGGTGCTATACGCAGTTACATAAAGTATTAGTCCTTATACCAGCGTTTGCACTCGTCGGCTGGACTCTGTGAGGAATGGACGTTGTGACTTACGATGGCAGCGACCACGAAAATGAGGATGGTAGCCACCGGAAGCCACAAGGTCCCGTGGTGACCATCCAAGCTCCTACGACGAAATACGAGAACACATTGAAAGAAGACGACCAAGTATATACCTGACCAAAGTCCCTCTTCAGCGTCAAAGCCATCTAGTGTATTGGGCGTGTTCAGACGTACCATAGGTGATTAAAAGCAAATAGAGACCAAGAAGTTCAGCGTTGACCTCGTTGATCATTTTCGGGGTGGGGTTGCAAGAACAAATTTTGCAAATGCAGGGGTAAGGTTCTTATACAGAAGCCCGCGGGGAAGGAAACCGTGTCAATCTGTGATCGTCCACGAGACACTGCGACGAGAACGACTCATGGACTAAACAGGAGTATATATCACCCCGCGGCTTATGCCGTGTGCAAACGAGCTACATATCGGGCGTCATGCACTTGCAGAACCACCCTGGAGTTTTGTTTCATCAACAGGGTTCTAGAGTATAATCTCCCTAGCACGCGAAGAATGATCTGAAGAATATAAAAGTTAGCGGTCCAAATGGTTCAGTGTTCCCCGTTCCTGTCCAAACAAAGGTATATCGCTGCCAAGTCGGCGCTCACGAGAAAAGACAATGCACTCCATCACAGGATGTTGATCACATCTCCCAACGAAACTGCTTCCAAGACACGAAGACATCCAAGATCAAGACAGGAAGGCAATGTGGCGGATCAGCCAGAACATCAAAAACCTATCCGCGCTCACTGCCATTCCGTCAGCGAATCCTCAGCCCTCTGCGCCTCTTCGCGCACCATCTCTGCCACCTCACCGGTACGCGGTTTCAATGCGCATTTGAACGCAACAGGTCTACGTGTAACATTACTTGTCGAGGTATCTGGGTCGGGATATACAGACTTTCCGGATTCGTCCAGTGCGGGATTGAAGTCGAACGCCCACAGCATTCTACCGAGTTCTGTTAGGCAAACACCTCATATGTCGCGAGAATGACCCGGAAGGGACGTACCGGGATATCACGATGAATAGACTCTGCATTGCAACGGCCTGCCCGGGGCAAATACGTCTTCCAAAACCGAAAGGAAGGTTGAAGTCGACAAGTCGTGGATCTTTCGCATTCAGAAAGCGTTCAGGTTCGAAGGTTTCGGGATCCGCAAAGAGCTCGGGGTCATGTGAGATCGTGCTATCAAGAGGGTGCGCGTTAGCCAAAGGGCAGCAACACAAGTCTGTGAGAACACGGAAAGCCAGCAACACGCACTTGATATTCCCCCAGACAGTCGATCCTTTCGGGATTTTGTAACCCATGTACACGTCATCTTCCGTCGTTGCATGTGCAAGACCAATGGGAGCGACAACTCGCCATCTGAGGGATTCCTTGATCATCGCTTGCACATACAGAAGTGACGATTCATCATCAAAAGTTGGCATACGCGACCGGCCGACGACAGCGTCAAGCTCAGCTTGAGCTTTCTTGACACATTGCGGGTGAAGGATAGCAGACACTGGGGATATGCATATGCGTATCACCATGGAAACTGACGATGTTATGACGGAAGGGCCTTACTGAGAAACAATTCCATAGATCCGAATGTCTAGAGTGCACGTCAGTGAAGTTCTGCGTGCTACATGAGACGAATCTACGCACGGTGGATGTCCCAGCAGCGAACGGCATGGCCGTAAAATATGCCATCTCTGTTTCACTGAGACCTGACGACGGACCAGATTCCCATAACAGAGCGGAAAGACATGGACGTGCCGCACCCGCCTCCATCTTTACCTTGACATCTTGGAGGAGACGGGTGTACAACGCGGTATTGAGTGCGCCGCGGAACTCCATGGGCTTCCTGAACCACTGAAGAGGTTTCTGAGAAGCAACGTGTGAGAAAGAGAACATATATCAAGAGGCACAAGTGGACGCTACCGGAAGCCATAGAAGAGAAGGCCACTGAAACGAGGATCAATTGATGTGCTATTCCAGACGAGTCCAGGAGTACCTACCGACTCGACCAAATACTTCCCAGGCACCCTGCAGGTCTACGTGTTAGCCTCCAATTATGTGGTTCCAATTTGAAAGCGAAGAGATGGCTCATACATTGTACTGGCAAATGCACTGCCTGCGACTCTGTTCTCTTTCACCAGAGGGTCGCTTAGGTCTTTGATGCGATTGCCATAGGCAAGCGAGAAGGTCAACGATGTTGAGAACCTAAGTCACGTTCTAGCTTGATATGATACAAACATATGAAGAAGAAAAGGAGAAGGGAATACCTCTCGAAATGTTTCTTGTATCCATTCGGATTGTCCATCAGATCCTTTAGTAATACGGCAGACTCAAACGACTGGAAAGGGCGATATTGGAGAGCGTATTTTGAATTCATGAACATATGCTGGAACTATCGTAGCGGGGGAGATTACGGTCACGCACTCCATGGTATGAAAAAGAAGATGATCTCACCTTTCGCCAACGTCTCCATTTGTCTCCGTATGCCATCCCCAGCCCCCAATTATCTCGCGACATAATCTCCTGTCTGCGTTATTCATCAACGTGAAGCGTGTGCCGAGCTCACTTGTCAATCGATGTACACTATTGATGAACGAGAAACGCACCCCATGATATTGCGTGGTCGACTGGAATATATTTCACCACGCTTCTCAAGGAGGTCCCAGGCTACCTTTGCACTATTCACCACTGTCTCTAAGTCTCAGCGACCCCATCACTTGGAAGTAGATGATGCGACGCCGAACGCACCTATGACTGGGGTATGCCCGAGTCTAAACGAGAATATGGATCCATAGCTCTTCGCAAGTTCGGCAAACCTCCTGTAGGGTTCGTCAGGCATGTCAAAGCGGCCGTTCCCAAGAAATCCAGAGGATGGGCCTGGAGGGAGATTCTGAGCATGCCCACGACTCGCGAGGAAATAAAGCCCCAGAATTGTAGCAATTAGCGCAAGTAACGAGACAGCCTCCATCGTGAGGGTCGTGTGCGTAGAAAGAGGACATGATCGCGGTAAAGAAGAATGGTTTGCGGGACGCGTGGGGACTCTTGGGCGTCTGTTGTTCGGGTTAGCGACTTGTGGCGTGGAAAATGTGGCACCCAATTCTGGAGTCTACTTGTGCTAGTCAGTGCGGAACAGGACACTGAGTGCTCAGACTACAATCAGATCAATTAGTAGTGGCGACAAAATCACAGTTACATCGCAAGACGATATTATAGCAGATGGAAGTCATGAGTTGTTGACACCGTACTAGCACAGACAATCCTACTATGGCCTCATATCAATCCTGGCTCGGAGCGCCGAAAAGTACTTCAAGAATCATGCCGTATCTAAAGCAAGACAGCATTTGTAAAACAAAAAGTCTTATACAAATTTCCAGTCATTACTGACTCCAAACTAACTCCCCTGCCGCTTGAAGATCGACGACCTGATACCGTCTACAAATTCCTCTCCTCTGATGATGGCCTGACCCTGGAGCCTGACTTCCTCATAGCCTGGAGGTGTCACTACCTCTTCGTGATTCCAATTAAACGGCTTGCCCGTGCAAGCGCCGCGAGAGTGTACGAAGTTCAGAAATGCGCGCCACATAAGGTCCATACCGAGAACGCAAGGATCGCCTATCACGATAAGGAGGGCTTGAGGTCGAGTAAGAGCGACTGTGAGGAAACAAATATGAGTATGGGTCAGAAATAAGCACGAATACGAATGACAGAGGCAGGACTTACCATTTAAATGACAGCGCTCTGTCGGGAGGTCCATCGAGCTCAGTTGACTCAAACCTTCGTGACCTCTGACGGTAGAAAAGATGATGATTCTGCGCTCCTGCATACGGAGAAACATGAGACCGTACTTGTCATTCAGAACAACATATTTACCTGTCCCTGGAATTGTTCCACTGCTCCAACCATCACTTGTTCCAAGCCATGGCCAGCCTCGTAGAGTAGCGTCTTGATCCTCTTCACTTGCGCGCGATAAGGCGTGATGACACCGATTTCCGCAGGTTCTATCAACACACATACGAATCAGGGCACTGCACTGGGAGAACAGAAAAGTCGTATATTTAGCTTACCTACATGTCTTGCAGGATCCTTTACAAGCCGCAGACAATACTCCTTCACCAGCGAAGCTTCGCCATTATTATAATACAACTGGGACCGTCCTGACCGTTGACCTTCTCCAGATATTCCATGGAAGACAAGAGGAAATTGCAGGTCCTGAAGGATGGGCGAGCCGAACAAGCTGGTCGTTGTCTCCCGACGAGCACTGGCACGAAGTTCATCCTCATAGAAGAACCGGTTAGAGAACGCTATGATCGACCCATGCGATCGGCGATTCTGTATCAACTTGACAATACTGACCATGAGCAGCGTTAATTTACTGGTTGCTAGAAACGATAATAAGTAATGAAAGTGGCTCACGTCCTGCCGTGATTTTTTTCGACGTCGTAGACTCCTCCGATGGCCAGTAGACGCGCAAGATAGCTGGTCCTTAATCCCCGTCGCCCAGCGGTATGACATCTGATAACTGGTCCCAACTGATTCGTGTCTCCTGCCAAAATCACTCTCGTCTCGGACCCCACCGCGCCCAATATTGGAATCATCGCCAATGGTTCCTCGGCTTGATTAGCTTCGTCTAGAAACACATGACTGAAATGGCCTCGAGGAAGGTGAATACCAGAAACAAGGCCAGCCGAGCTGCATGTCGACACGATAACGCTGAACTTCTTGAGTTCTTCGCGAGGAAGATAGGCGAAGACATTGTGACCATTAATGTTGCTGTACGGCCACAGTGATTTAGGGCAATCGTGGATCGGTCTTGATATGGAGTTGAGACGAAACAACTTGTCTTCACTCAGATGGGAACATAATCGTCTAGTGAGAAGGTCGGCAGCGGTGTCACTAGGTGCACAGGCCAGTACCTTCCATTGAGGGTTGTACTTGAGCACTTGCAGTATTGCTTCGATGACGGTTACGGTCTTTCCTGTACCAGGGCTTTTATATGACGGATCAATCGAATGTGAATAGGATAAAAGAATTGAGAGATACTAACGGGCCAAATATAATAAAGGGAGCACTTTGACGGGGCTGATGGACTATAGAAAGGACCGCCTGAAGTTGTCTTGCGTCATCCAATATCCTAGGATTATATGGCTCGACTTCAAAGTTTGAGGGCACCACAGGCGACCGAGCGTCTCTAGACGAAGGGAATAAGAATCGAGTACACTCAGACCTGTGCGAACTAGACACCGCATCGTGCATACGGCGTAAAGTCAATCGGTCTAGCTTGAACCTCACGTCAAAAATGGCATTCTGACGTATGCTGAACTTGTCCGGCATCCAGAGCGTCAGGATGAGTTCGGTGAACCTTACACGGAATTTGTTTTCCATGTTGGTTATTCGCCCCTCGTACTGTAGGTCAGAGGTGATATCGTCCAAGAGGACATAATCTCCGATCTTTACTTCGTGGAGCTCGCCGTCTTTCTCGTCCGTCAATCGAATCCTGTAAGTCCACAGGTTCATAAGTAGAATGTTTGAGTGAGTGAGGGTTTTCGCACTTATATCTTGGGGAAGCTGCTTCGACTCTAATTCCGGGCAGCATCTTTTGACTGAGCTCACGTCTTTCAGAAATCCAAATCAGCATGCGCGTGGGTGATTGATGGTATCAAAACACGCATACTGAAGTGCGCCCTCTTCGAGGTATAACAGAGATTGAAAGAACTTCTGGTAAGTTTTGAGGTTGAAAGGTTGTGGGATCGACTTCCTGGCTATTCGTTCAGCAGCCTCGTCGTAATTGGGGTCCAAGACCGCTTTTGCCACCTCATCGGGAAGTGGAAATTCTTGAAGATGCGAATCCCCGCGGTTACGCGGCCAAGTAGACAATGCCAGAGGTACGAAGGTACGGGGAAGTTCGTGGCGAGTTTCTTGAGGGGTTACGTGAGTGTTTTGAGGTCGAAGATGCTCGTGGTCGTCCGCGGAACCAGCGATGCCACGCAGTATTCTTGCAATCACGATCTCCGATTGTGTGTGATGATCCCTGAAGACTAAGTTGAGGGTGTTTTCGAAGCGACCTTCGTACTGTGGTTGAAATGAAACCTGAACTGTAACGGTGTGATCGAGGAGCGCGGGCACGCCACCCTGTATGGTGGCAGCGAAGCTGAGGAAATTCATTGTTGATTTAGTGCAAGTGATGTTGTTATCACGAGCTCGAGGAGCGTACCTTTGCGTAATGGTAGCAGAAAAGTTTTCTGGGTCGACGGGGATGATGTCTACGTAACGTAGAGACAACGATGCCTGTGATCTCCTCTTCGTGACCATAAATTCCAGCGTCGTAGTCGGGAATGATCCAGTCACGGTATCCCTCCCAACTATCCCAAAGTCTCTGCCATCAATATGAGATACCTGGATATCATCTTCTGGATCTGATACACTGCCACCGCCACTCTTGGTATCCTGAGCTGCGCCGGTAGCAGCAGCCTCCGCGCACCTCCGATGGTCCTCCGACTTGACATGTGATGTCCAGCTCTTCTTCCACAGGACTCGATTACAAAGCTCACATCGTCTTTTCGCTCTGTGTATAGGCTCGTCGTGCTGAGAAGGAGTGGCCGCATCAGAGTGTCGCGCGCTAACAGGGCTTGGAGGAAAATGCTTTTTCACGTGGGCATCCAGCTCTTCTGTTCGAATATGAGCGCCGCAAAGAGTGCATTTCGAGACTCCGGGAACAGTGCGAGGTTGGGCGGGTGATTGTGGCGTTCGAGCATTCGAAGTGTCCGAAGGAGGCGCACGGTTCCCATGTCCAGTGTTTTTCGGTGGAGCCGCCGCTGCTCGCAGGGTACGAGGGGGGGTACTGGTGGTGGCAGGTCGAGGTGCAGGTCGAGATGATTGCGCAGATTGCGAGGTGACTCGTGTTCTGTGAGGCTTGCCCTGTACATGCTGGTCCATCCGGTACGTAGGGATATACTTGCCGCAGGGCGCACAGAGCACGATGTCGTGATTATAACCGCACCCCTGTCGAACGCATACACCGTTCTGAAGTTTGTCGGGACAGGCACGTGGAGGCATGTGGACGGAGTCCCTATGACAGAGGGTTAGCAAGAGTCAGAGTGAGGGTAGAAGGCAGGAGGAAGAAAAGAGCGCGTGTGAGCGAAAGTTAACCCGTGGCACTTGGCACCACCAAAGGCAATGTGTAAATATAGTTTCGGCATCGCATTGCCCATAGGCGTTTGAGGGATATCTTTGATTGACGAGACATTACCTCGTTGATTGTTTGTGGATTCACAGGAACTAGAAATAGGGAACCTCCGCCCCGTCGAACGTTAATTAATCACAGCGCTTTTGAGTCTTGTCGCCATTGAGAAACAATGTCGTTCATTACCCTGAGTATCTTTGCAAGGAAATACATTCCCTTTCGAGCCACTCAAGTTCCCGTCCTTCGTAGCGGTGGCACTTTTTCACACACCTCGTTATGGAATGCATCTAGCCACGTCCTCTCTTGCACTGACAGCAATTCTATATCAGCCAAATTCTCGTGGACCGTACATTGATCAAAAATGGCCACTGGCGAGATTGCCAACCACATAGATGCATCAGCTTCCAACATCACCAAAACTTGAAGGAAGAGGAGAGGAGTGAGAGTGGACGAATTGTGAGCAGGACATACCATTGTAACATGCTGAAACTCCAAGCCTTTCCCACCAAGGTCGCATCCCGGATGCTGAGGACAATCTCCCCAGTTCAAGTGTTGCAGAGATTGAATATGCCGTCCACGAGGAACGAGACTGAGAGATAAACGCGTTGTGGATCCTTACTATGGCGCGTCCGACCGGGGCATATACTTATACGAGCTTATACAGACCAAGTTGCTTTCGCATTGTTCTTTGTAGTCCAAGTATGTGCGACTTATAATAAGCCATGCAATAATATCGACGAGTGCACACATGATTGCCTGAGTACGCCCAAGTCGAAATGAATATGGGGCTCTCGGCAAGCTCCGCCAAGGGTTCAAAACGTTCAACATGCATACTTCCTAAAACTAGAGCGTCCCAAAGCCGTATGAGTCCAATAAATCACGAGAAAATAGTACCAGGACAGCGATGGCAACCGGCATATGCGTAGAAAGAGGACGTGATTGCAGCGAAGAAAAAAGACTCGTCAAAGGGGCGCGAGAATCGTATCTATGTTTGTTTAGTAACTTTAGTTACATAAGTCAGCTACAACCTTGTGGCGTGGCTGGAAGTGTGGCCCAAACAATAAGAATCGAATAGTTTGGAGGGGAAGCAGGTGATCCTTCCCGAGCAATCTTTCCATGTAACTTAATATTTATTAAGTATGCTGATAGAGTGAGGTTGGGGTTGATTCTGTGCTATGTGTTACTAGTAGGATACTATGAATTAGGGCAGTGTGAAGTATAACGCTAATGTAGAGAGCGTGAAGAGAAAAAAGAATAACTATGTTTGCAGCACCAGCGAGCCGTTTAATAGCGAGATAGATCATCGTTACCATGAAGCACGTTCAGCATAGGCGAATTGTGATACCATTCTCGAAGCAAATCTCAATGTGCTCTCTTCAAAACTGATGGTCTCCGCATCATTTCCACTATTGAGTGGTACAAGTTGACCAGACTCCTTCGTCCAGTAGCTTTGCGGTAAATCTATAGAGGAGCCGTCCGGTGTCAAAAGTTAGTATATTCGATGAGCGAGAGATCTGAGTCCTGAGTCGGACGTACGACGAAAACAGTCAAATGGAAGTATTTTCGGTTTACCATTACAATCCAAAAGTCGATAAGGGACAACGCCTTTTGGAGTTTCCACCGTTGTGTCGATGGGAGAAACTACGCACTCATTAGGGCATATATGTAGTGATTCACATCGTGTTTTGGCGATGTGAACTAAACCCGTGACGGGTTCAACACTTCGCAACATTGTCCCGTTGGAGCGTCAAAGCTCAATTTACATTCAGCGTAAACTTGACGCGAGAGTGGCGTCCCTCCTACCTCTGCCTGCTCGTTGTCGTGCTTCAAAACGGCACAGACACTGTCGCAGGAGGCCCAGGTACGGTAGCATCCAGAAAAATCGAGGCATCAGAGGTCATCAGTAAGGGAGAAGGGAATGCGAGCAGGAATAGATCCGTCTCGAGTACTCAAACTCAGTGTGAACTGAGTATTATATCTAGCACCACATCCGAGATTTCGAGTTCACACTTTTCGCTCTCAGCATGATGAACGAAACTGATGTGAACCACTACATATATGCCCTATTAGCAGGAATTAATACCCAAATGAATGTTCTTGGCACCGACGTACTCACCAGATTTATTTGATGATAGACGTTTAGTGACTATCCGTATATTTTCGAAGTCCGGTCTCACCGACGGGCGTGCATCCCAGCAAGATTGGATGAGAGTCCAGATCGAACCCTGGCCCGTGAGCCTTGCAGGACATTTCGGTCTGCGCTTCTGCTCGACTACCGCAATGGCCAAGACGCGCTCACTTATATCCGCGAACGGGACTTGACCACTATATATCTGCATGAAAATGAGGTCTCTCTTCCATAAGCCATTCGACCAATAGAATGACTGACCTCCCAGGCCGTCATGGCGAAACTATATATATCTGAAGCCATCGTCACTCGCGAGTCACCGTAGAGACACTCCGGCGCCATCCATCGTAAAGTACCGCGCAAAGATCCTGTGCGTGATTGATGGCTCCGAGTCGTGAAATCCTCGTCAAGTACTTTCGAGATTCCGAAATCGGCAAGCAAAGCTCTATGGTCGTTGGATACCAGGATGTTCGCCTGTCACGAAAATATGTGAGTTCCTGAACAACGGAGACATCTCAAAACGTACGCCCTTCAAGTCGCCATGAATGATCCTATTCCGATGTAGGTACGCCATGCCAGATGCTACGTCATCAACCTGCGAGCGCAAGGGGGGATGTTTTTTGATTATGAGGTTGTACATTGCTCTACCGTGGCGAATAACTTACCATGCGCACGAGAAGTGACCTGGGAGGGCTCGAAATACGGGCGAGATACTCGCAGATATTTCCAAACTTGCAGTATTCGCTGACCATGAATGGCTTTTCAAATCAATAACATCAGTGGAATAGAGGTCTACCAGATAGACGAGGACCGGAAAGTACCCGGGAAGTATCGAGGCAAGCTCCAAAGAGTCGCAATGTATGTGGATGTGCTAGTCGGGCCCTGCAGGACATTACGATGAAATAATTTTACGATATGCATCTAAGATAACTCACCATATCTTGACCTCTGACAGAAAGGCCTAAGTCATACTGTCCGCTCAGCTGAGTTCATATCGTGTTTGAGTAAATGTACCACACCTTCTTGCTCTTGTCATCTAACACTCGAGCATCTTCAACATACATCTGCTTCACGGCCACGGTCTATGACCACTGAATGAGCGGGGATGCGGAATTCAAGGTGAAAATATGATTCATAAAAACCGTACCTTTCCATCCCACTCTCCACGGTATAAGACACCAAATGAGCCCCTTCCAATTGCATCCTGATGGTCTATCGTAACTTCGAGGCTCGTGAGCATCCAATTCTCCAGCGAGATCATATTTCCCCGGTTTGATAGTCTTTGCATGGCGCCTACGGCCTTTCGGATAAAGATATCCTCTGGAGAGGTTGCGTTCGCAGGCCGAGGCCGTAGCGCAGCTACATGCTAGGAAACAATTTCGTTTAAGGTCTACACAGCGGAAGAATTGCACCAAGAACGAACCTTCGTCAACGCGATAAGCAACTCACGAATCTCCCTGTGCTGTCCGTTCTGATCCTCCAAGGCGGCCAAGATGCTGTGATCATTCTCGCCGAGCACTTGCAGCTGCTTCGCGAGTTCCCTATGATCGTTCTCTAGCGACTCTTTGATATCGTGCTGAAATCTCGTGTGATCTCTCGCAGCGCCAACCTGCAACAAGGAGTCGATACCGTGTTCGGGAGCAGATACTCATAAGAGGGTACCGACATTGAATAGTTGGAAGGCGTCTGTCAAAGCAACACCAGCGGCAACGACACTTTGATCAATCTGGTCACTGTGCAACAAGCACCACACAAAGCCCCTGCTCGCGAGCCTCTTTACAAGGTCTCTTACGCCTTCTACGGCTCTGCGGTTTCGCGTTTGTGTCAAACCCGAGCATGAAAAGGTACCATGAATTACTAGTACGCACTTGGTCAACGTCCTGACATGCCTCTCCATCGTCGATCCTGTAAATTTGACTTCGAGAGATTTGTCTAGCTCGAGGAGCATGCCTTTGCATCGATCTAATAGGACCTTGAGCTGGGATTTCCTGTCTTGTACGCCATTGTACGCCGTGTAGGCCGCGTGCAAGACTGCGAAGACGACACTGAGAGCGGGATTTATGGACGTAAGAGCACCAATGACCTCAGCCATGAGTTACCGGAAGACAAAGAGACAAGGACGCGGTCGGAAGTGATTGACGGAGGAGGGTGAATAAGATGAGAGAAACGCACAAATATGCACGATGCAGACCTGTGCAGACAGAGGACTGGAAAACATGAGGATAGATAGCGTCACAGGGTGTGTGCTCGATAAACAAGCGCCTACAAGGTTCGAGAGCCCGGCGAACAAATGCTTATGCTGGTCCTCAAGGTCTTCGATATGCACGTATAGAGCTTGGGTGATAACCGAGATCTCTCTAGCTTGGGAGCGACGTGTTTATGAACACCCACTGCCAGGGGGCCACTGGTGGCTGCATAAGTAATTGTAGACTCGGATGCATAGACGAAATCCAGAAAGACGTCTAGCACAGAATTCTTACTCCATAACATTGTTACAGTCGATCCAAGGTCGAACATTGGACTCGAGCTCCGAGTCGAAGGTTGGCCGCCGCCAGGTTTAGTTGAGGTGGCAATAAATTATTTCTCCTAGTCGTCGGTGGTGCCACTTCCGGCGTGCCACCCAGGACCCCGAGGACCAATTTGAGGCGTGCCACGCATGAACAATATTGTCGCCCGCTCAACTGGCAATTTCTTTCTACTCCTTCTTTCCTCCTCCCCTACCTACCGGTCCCCATCGTCAATAACCTGGCCCCAACCAGCCCCATCCGCTCTTTTCACCTTTACGACGACGAACGATCACGATGGAGGACAAATACATAGGAATAATACTCGCCATGTCTGGCACGCTAGCTATCGGCACCAGTTTCATTATCACCAAAAAGGTGCGCAGATTATACATCTATGGCAGTTTCGTCTGTACTCAAGCATCTTCCGTTGCTGTGTTGGACTATTGGATATCGGTTTGGTTTGTGGTCGGTGGCATGCAATATAGGGATTGAATGACGCTGCTGAGCATGAAGGCGCTTACGCCTCTGCGTCGGATGGACATGCGTATCTCAAGAACCCGATTTGGTGGGCCGGTATATCAACTTGTACGTTTACGTTTGCTTTTATTTTACTTTCTTGCATTATCTTTGGTTGAACCGGTGTGACATTTGTTGTGGATGACATGGAAAACATGGCGGTGATCAGTGGTACTTGGTGAACGTGAGTCCCATCTCAACGCCATTCTCTTTCTCGAACGAGATTTAGATTGACCGTTCCATGTTCAGTCGCGAACTTTGCTGCATACTCCTTCGCGCCACCCATCCTAGTAACACCATTAGGTGCTCTTAGCGTTATTATTGGGTGAGTGGATATCCTTCATGAATCGCGGTGGACATGGTCGGCACGAACTGGCGTTGTGGATGTTGTTCGGGTCGTGACTGCTATTCGGACACCAAGGATTTCGCGTATCGTATTCTCCCCTGCTTCGGGCCACAGTCTTGAGGGCCAAAGTATCACCATCCTCGACGCAGGCCTAGACACACCCAGTGATATACCTCCTATGTCTTGGAAAACCACAGCTGCCAGAACTGCGTATCTGCATTGTCCCAAAAATATAGCGCCGATCGAGTGTTGATTCCATGATCCCTGAATCAGAAGATGGTTGCGCTCTCGAGCTCAAGGTTGCTCCATCAAATCGAGTGGTGGTAGGATCACTTCATGGGCATGGCAGGGGTCCCAGACCATGGCTCGCTTGGAGAGTCATGTCTCGTAGCTGTCATCTATGAACAGCTATGATTGTGCTGTTAAACGGCGGTACACCTGAAGACGTATGATTAAAACTTGCGATCAAGGAGGTTGTGATCTAAACACCCTTCAGGATATCTCTGCATCGATGTACACAAATGAACTGACCACTCTCTTCATCAGTGCCATCCTTGCTTCCTACCTTTTGAAAGAAGAGCTCGGCCATCTAGGCCGCGTCGGATGCGCACTTTGTCTCATCGGTTCTCTTATCATCATTCTGCATGCCCCCGAGGACAAGGAGATCAACACTGTCGATGAAATTCTTCAATATGCAGTCCAGCCAGGTAATAGCAATTCACCCTGGCCTTCGGAGTTCCATTGAACTGACTGTGGACGCCATCGTCTGATCGCAGGCTTTCTAATGTACTGCTTCACCGTCCTCGTTTTCTCTCTGGTCATGATCTACGGTGTGGCACCCCGTTACGGTCGCACGAACCCCCTCGTCTACATCTCCATCTGCTCGCTCGTCGGCTCCGTGTCGATCATGGCCATCAAGGGCTTCGGTATCGCCGTGAAGCTGACGCTGGCGGGTAACAACCAGTTCATATACACGAGCACGTACGTGTTCGGCGTCACTGTGGCGGGATGCATCATGGTTCAGATGAACTACTTCAACAAGGCATTGGACACCTTCTCGACCAATGTGTACGTACTTCCACTGACTCCCATCCTTGCAAAATTCTCACCTACATTCGATGGTAGTGTCAACCCGATGTACTACGTCTGCTTCTCCACGGCCACTATCGTCGCCTCCCTCATCCTCTTCCAAGGTTTCAACACCGACAACCCCTCAAATACGATCTCCCTCCTCGCCGGCTTCGCGGTAACTTTCCTCGGCATCCATCTGCTCGAACTCTCTCGCAAACCCGAACAAGATCCACCACACGCCGGCGGCGCCCTCGAAGCGGGACTCATGAATCCTCGGCTATCTCTTCAAGGCCGTGCATCGCTTGACGGATGGAACGGTCCTGTACCCACTTCCGCTGGAGGTATCGGACTGGGACATACGCGTCGAAGCTCGAGGAATTCAAACCAGCTGTATAGACAGCAAACGGCGACGTTGTTCAATGCCTTTGAGGACGATGGAGGGGCGGGGCAGGATGGGGATGTGGTTGGGTTGAGGAGGCTGTCGGAGGAGAGGAGTGAGTTGGATCATGATGAGGATGAGAGAGACAGTGAGAGTGATGATGACGACGATGAGCTTGAGGCGGCGGATGAGAGGACACGGCTGAAGAAGAAAGAAGCGAAGAGGAATGTGCATCAGAGGAATGGATTGGGCTCCAGGAGTACGAGTGGGAGTTTGAGCAATGTGCATAGTCCGAGAGGGCGCGGGTCGCCTGCGCATGGGTAGGTAGTGGAATCCTTCTTCTTCTTTCTCCTTTTCCTCTTGGATGTGGATGTGGCGTAGGAGAGATGTGGATGTAATGCATATGGCCCCGCTCTTCCCTGACTGGTTGTGGCTCGAATGGACTGGCGTTCAACGTTATTTAGGCTAGATATATTTGCTTTTCATTCTGTAGAAGCCGCCCTCTTTTCTTCTTCTTTTTTTCTTTGCGTACTAAGACTCACTGGGACTCGCGATACAATATTACCAGGATTCACCGATCGCTGCTCAACTCCTTTCCTATTTGACCTGATGTGTGCAGCGGGTTCTTGGTTGACGTCGGACTAGAAATGTTGGGCCACACCGCTCAGTTTTGCCTCCGTTGCCGAAGTGCCACATGAGCTCAAGGAGTGTTGAACGTTCTAACAAGCTCCTCTATCTTTTGTCTCATACCTTCGGCTAACAGCCTCGTATTATCCTGGCTATCAAGCCGCACTCGAGCTTGTAAAACAGCTGTCAGGGCAGCATATACATGCTGCGCTCCATACGTCTGGCAGCATCCCCACCAGCACGTCGCTTCCATCTCGGTAGCACTCAGGCTCTCGCGCGAACAACCCGCATCCAGTCTCTCGCGCATCCTTCAGCTCGAAAGTCCCAGAGCTCTCTCTTTCTTCGCGCGTACTCTCAGACTCCAACACCCAGACATTCGACAGCGATTTCAGGAGGAACTTCGAGCAGCATCATGGGAGGACCGGCTGCGCAGACCGTGAATACGACGGAGAGGCTGATTGGATTGAGGAAATTGATGGATGAGCAGGGGGTGGAGGCGTATGTTGTGCCCAGCGAGGATCAGCGTGCGTTCTCCATTGTTGTTTGGCTTTGAATTTCGGGACTAGGAGATTGACGAGATTGGTTTCGTGTTTGGTTTGCGATCTCGTGTGGCCGTTCGGTTCGTGGGTAGATTCGAGCGAGTACTTGGCTTCTTGCGATGAGAGGAGGGCATTTATCAGTGGATTCAATGGATCTGCGGGTGAGTAATTCCTTATAACCTTCAGATTGAAACCTGGGTCGGTTGTGAAGAGAGATGACCGGGCGCGTTTCGGGAATGGGACAAGGCGTTCAGGGGCTAACGAGGTGGCGTCTTGTGGTTGGAAGGAACGGCGATCATCACGAAGGATAGAGCATTCCTCTTCACGGATGGGAGATATTTCCTACAGGCAGAGCAACAGCTTGATCAGTGCGTTGTTTTGTTGTGAGTTATTGTTGCATTGGCGGGATCTCACTCTGTTGCCGGGTACCGTGTGATGGTGATGTGTATGTGGCCATGCTGCTTTAATTTCGCAGTAACTGGACATTGATGAAGTCGGGCTTGCCTGGTGAGTCTCAAACGCATGTCACTATGATTGTACGGGAAGAATTCTGACCTATGAATGATTGTGGCCCAGACGTACCAACATGGCAAGATTTCATCGCCAAGGTTCATCTTTCACTCTCTCACTATGCTTCTTTCTTCCTATTGAACTCACCTCTTGACAGAGCCTTCCAAAAACTCTGAAAATCGGGATCGATCCAGAGCTGATTGGCGCAGGTAGTCCCCAGTACTTCCATCGCCACAATTACGCCACTGATCAACGTACTTAACAACTTTATATAGCCGAGAAAAAGGCCAGCTTTCCGGATACTCACTTCATCTTCTCCGAGAACCTCGTAGACAAGGTCTGGGGCTCCGAACGTCCACCACGACCGAAGAACCCTACATTCCCCTTGGACATCAAGTTCGCTGGTACGTTTTACGTAACCTCCACAAAAGTCAGATTTGTTGACTCACTCTGGACCGTTCATAGGCCAGTCTCACGCGGAGAAGCTTGACAAGCTTCGTGAGGAGTTGAGGAGGAAAGATGCGCATGCGATGGTGGTGACTATGCTTGACGAAATCGCCTGGTTATTCAACATGCGTGGATCGGATATCGACTTCAATCCAGGTAATGTTCCATCCTCGGCGTCGTCTATTACTTACAACTATGCTCATACGTTGGATGTTACAGTATTTTTTGCATACGCCGTCGTCACTCTCGACAAGGCGCTCCTCTTCATCAATCCGGAACAGGTGGACGACAAGTTGCGACAACATCTAGGCTCGCATACTGAGATCAAAGTGTACACCGGCTTCTTCAAGCACTTGAAGTGGCTTGTCGACGATATCAAGGTGAGAGATGTTGTCGTTACTCCAGCCAGAACGACAAGCACTTAGATATCTTCATCCTACTGAACAGTCGTTCACCACCTCGTCTCCGAAGATCCTGCTCGGTGACAAAGCCAGCGTCGCAGTCGCAGAAGCTATCGGAACCGTAAGTACTTCCTACGCCAAACCCTTCTCCCCAGACTCAAAAACCTTCACGCGCTTTCTTTCCCTTTCTTTATCAGTCCAACATCGAAATCACCCGCTCCCCCGTCGCGGACCTCAAAGCCATAAAAAACCCCACCGAACTCGAAGGATTCCGGAACTCGCACATCCGGGACGGGGCCGCCCTCGTGCGTTACTTTGCTTGGCTAGAGGAGAGGCTCAGCAGCAAAGAGGCCGGAGAGATCAACGAGTTTGATGCGGCGGGGGTGTTGGAGAAGTTTAGATCGTAAGTCCTCCTTGATGCTGCCGTTGTGGTAACGTGGTTGGTAAGTGTATTTATTTGGCTATTTTAGGGAGTTGGATCTGTTCAAGGGCTTGTCGTTCCCTACGATTTCGTCGACTGGGCCGAACGGAGGTACGGAGTTGTCCTCTGCTCACGGTCAGTCGGGGTGAAAAGTTGACCGTCGATTTTTACCAGCGATTATCCACTACTCGCCGGAACCTCACGGGAGTGCGATCGTGAAGAAGGATCAGGTGAGCTCATGCAATTATACCTGTAAACATGATAATAGCGGCACTAATATCGCCGTAGATATATCTCTGCGACTCCGGAGGTGTGTGGCATTATCCAGCCTCCTCGCAGAAGACACCCAAGACTGACTTAGTCTTCTCTTCTAGCTCAGTTCCTGGATGGGACAACTGACGTTACGCGCACATGGGTGAGTGCACGTCCTTCACCTTTGGATGAAGGTGAACTTTACATCACGCCGTAGCATTTCGGTACACCAACAGCAGAGGAGAAACGTGCATTCACAAGGGTGCTACAAGGCCATATCGCCATCGACTCTGCTATCTTCCCGAATGGGACTTCTGGGTACATCATGTATGTCTGCTCAGCTTCAATGGTCGTGTGAGGGGTTGACATTTCTAATCACGCACGGTATAGCGATACGTGGGCTAGAAGGCCTTTATGGCAGGATGGTCTCGATTACAGGTGAGACACCTGTGTGAGCGTCTGGGAAATCCATACTGATGGCAATGGTAGGCATGGAACGGGGCATGGTGTCGGACATTTTTTGAACGTCCATGAAGGTACGGGTTCCTCCTATATCATTTGTTTTGTGGTCTTCGCTAATTCCTCTACTCTTTTCTCCCACAAAGGTCCCCAAGGGCTCGGCACTCGGATCGGTATGAAACTATTGACCCATTTACACCTCGCCATCCATCCTGATAACATACTTCTGTCGCCTATGTAGCATACAACAACACACCACTGAAAACCGGAATGACGGTCTCAAACGGTCAGTCGATAACTGCACTAGCTCATTCCGCCGGCTGAGCCGTACCCGATGTTGGGTGTGCTTTACAGAACCCGGGTATTACGCGGACGGGCGCTTCGGTATCCGTATCGAGAACGTGGTCCTCGTCCGGGAGGCGAAGACGCCGAACAACTTTGGAGGGAAAGGGTTCCTGGGCTTCGAACACGTCACAATGGTGCGTCCGACTTACCCCCACACGGTGCTTCCCAGCCCACTCTGCGTTCGAAGTCCGATTAATCTCCGCGGCTGACCGTGTTGAGCAGTGTCCTATCCACAAGAAACTGGTCGATGCCGAGCTGTTGACGGTGAAGGAGAGGGAGTGGTTGGATGCGTACCATAAAGAGGTATGGGAGAAGGTGTCGCCGTTGTTGAAGGGTGATTCGAAGACGCTTGAGTGGCTCGAAAGGGAATGTTCTCCCTTGTAAGCTCTTGATCAAGATGCCCCAAGAATTGAACGACATGCTTTTTCGGTGGCAAGAGTGTTGAGTGGGTGACATTGAATGAATAGCAGGAGTTCCATTCTCGTGCCATACGGTGTTCTCCGGGACCTACAAGCATCGACGAGGCCCGTACGTTGTCGTCAACCAACATTTTCTCAGGCTGTCAGGTCGGCGTAATATGAAGTCCATATCTATACTTAATCGCATTTCGGTGGCGCTATGTACCTTGAGTGGGCGTTTCCCTCTTTCCTCTTCCTCTGTCCTCTACCCTCACACCGACCTCCTTCTATCTCGATAACACAGGTCCCGGGCCTTATTTTACAGTCATGCCGCCACAGCCTTGTCCTGAAATGCTTCGCAGTGGCGTATGCCTTCGACAAGGATGTCCCTTGAACCACGATATTGAGCATTGTGGACCATGCGACCGGAATATTCCCGCGTCTCAGATGCTAGAGCATGTCCAAGGTAGAACTCACAGAGCACGAGTCACTTCCAACGGCACGCGTACTCCCACTGCACCACAACCGCCACGTCCACCACAGCCGCCACCACGATCGACCCCGAGTGCGCCGCCGCCACCCGTTCCGAACCGTACCCGGGCGAGTCCCAATCCGAACATCCAGTCGCCCCGACCTCCTGCTCATCAGCGCACTGTCTCTGGAATCTCGATATGCAGCATCTGCAATTTGCATGTTCGGACGGAGGAGTTAGAGGCTCACATTCGGCAGCATGCTCGTCCTGCCCCTGCCCCCGTGGGAGGACCTGCTGGCACTTCACGCGCTCGAGCAGCTTCGGCTACTCCTGCGCAAAATGGCGAACCGGTGCCTCTGGGGAAGAGGATCTGTGAGGATTGTGGACAGTTGGTTTGGAAGAACAGCTGGGTGAAGCATCTTAGGTCGGAGGGCCATCGAATGAATGTCGAAGGTCACGCAAGTCCTGACCTGGATACAGCTCAGGGTGACGGAGATGGAGGTGTAGAGGACGATATTCAAGTCTCACACATCGATGGCAGGGATTTTGGAACGGTTGAACGGGATACGGTGACGGAGGAATTCCCGACCGTAACGCTCAATTTCTCGGTGACGAAGAGAAGGCCGCAGGCGTCGTTTTCTTTGAGGCGTGTAGAGGTTGTCCCGGTCGATGATCAAAACCCGGCCGCTACAATCACGCAGGGGTACGCTTTTGAGTGTCTCACGTGTTACATATGTTCTAACGAGCCTCGTTCCACGTGTCCTCTCAATAGCTTCACTGCGATTATTGAAGGCCGTCCACCCGTACCTATCGACCGTGTCGTAACAGTACGAGCCTCGTTTCAGCCGCAGTATGAAAGTCGTTTCGAAGATACTCTCAACTTCGTCTTTCTGGACCATCATACGCAATCAGACATCATCATCTCCAGAGCTCTACGGGGCATCGCTGGTTCTGCAGACGACCACGAGAATTTGCGACCTCGATATCCTCACATTCCTCCCCATCGTCCTCCTCCTGAGCCCCCGCGGGTATTCATACCTTTGACGCCGCCGACCTGGACGCGTAATCGCTGGGAGTCATATCTCGAACAATTCCCGCTTCCACAGGACGTTGTTGATGCGATCCCAGCCGAGCATTACGAGCACGCCGCAGAGAGAATAGCGAGGAACTTGGTTCCGCGATCATTCAATCTTCAATCATACGAGAACTTCTTTCATTCCTTGCTCTACATCGAAGAAGGCGCACAACAGTACGTGCGTTCCATATGTTCAGTAAATCTGTGTGTGTATTGACGTCGACCAATTGCAAGGCACGAGCTCAGTCGAACCAGAATTCCCGAAGTCAGCGTCGAATCGGATTTTCCTAGATATAAGTTCGTCAAATCTACATCATGATACTGTGATTTGATGACGCTTACCTTCATGACTCTGACCACACACAGAATCCGTCTGACGGATGAGAGGGAAAACGAATTACCTGAAGTTAAGATCGGAGACTACGTGCTCTTAGACGACATCGCGTCCGACTTACAATACGAAGGGTGTATCCACAAATTGGAAAGCAGATTTCGAGGTCATTTTACGGAGCTCATGGTAACGATCCGGATGCCCGAAGAATTCAACGTCTACCACAATAATACGTTCAACGTTAGGTTCAAGCTGAACCGGATGACACTCCGTCGTATGCATTCTGCTGTGTCCAGTCCGTACAAGCCGGAGTGCACACGCCTGTTGTTCCCTTCACGCGAGGACGCTCGACTTCCTGTGGTCCCTACCGATTTCGAATTCGAGCCCTATAATCCTAGAATTCTAGACGATCCACAACAACGCCAGGCAGTCGAGTCTATAGTTCACCAGCCTCGCGAGAGTGCTCCTTTCATCATATTTGGCCCGTGAGTGTCGCCATTGCGAATATTCTTATTCTAACTATATCACTACTAAACCGTCCTATGCTAGCCCCGGAACAGGAAAGACCGTAACGGCTGTCGAAGCCATCCTACAGGTACTCAAATACAATCCCGAGTGGAAAGTGTTGGCGTGCGCACCCAGCAATACCGCCGCAGATCTCCTCGCCATACGCTTATCCTCCCACCTTTCCGAAGACGAGATGTTCCGTCTCAACGCCATATCGAGACCATTAAACGAGTGCCCAGGAGCGCTGCTGCCGTACTGCAACATCAACGACCACGACGTCTTTGCCTTTCTCTCCCGAGAAGAACTCAAGAAGTTCCGGGTGGTAGTATCAACTTGCAGTTCGGCCGGCGTCGTGTCGAGCCTCAACCTCACTCGGGGCCATTTCAGCCATGTCTTTATTGACGAGGCGGGACAGGCTGAGGAGCCGTTGGCGATGATCCCGATTTTGGGTGCGGTTGGGCCGGAGACGAGGGTGGTTTTGGCGGGAGATACCAACCAGCTGGGGCCGATCATCAAGTGTCATACTGCCGCAAGGCTTGGTTTGAAGCTCAGCTACCTCGCGCGTCTACAGGCGATCGACGAGGTATATAATCTTGGAGAGAATCGCGGTAGAACGTGAGTTCATCTGTCGTATTATAATATGTTTGCGTCCTGTCGTTAATCTGGGGTGTGGTTAGCATCGTCAAGTTGATTCAGAACCGCCGATCGCATGGGTCTATCATCGCGTTCTCTAATCGATACTACTACGAAGACGAACTGAGAGCGACTGCTCGCCAGGAGGTGACGAATAGCCTGTTCGGCTCACCAGTCCTCCAGAATCCACAATTCCCAGTCGTTTTTCATGGTATATATGGACAAAACCAACGGTCAGGTCGTTCGCAGTCGTACTTCAATGTCGGGGAAGCTTCTTTAGTCAAGGCGTACTGTATTCGACTCGTGAACGATCCTCTGAGACATGTCGGTAAGTTGCTTCTTTTTCTACCGAGTATCATACTTGGAGCTGACTTGGTTTGAATACAGAACCCGCTGAGATTGGCGTTATTACACCTTATCGGGCGCAGGTGAAGAGAATCAAAACGCTCCTCTTCAGTGCTGGCTTCGGCTTGGAGGCAGTGATGGTAGGATCGGTGGAACAATTCCAAGGACAGGCAAGTCAATGTTCGCTCTTCATGGCTCCCAAAGTCTCACCTTCCTCTTGCACTTAGGAGCGCCGCATTATCATCTTCTCCACTGTCAGAAGCAACATGGCCACGAGCCAACAGGCCTCGATGGGATTCCTGGTAGATCGTCGTCGACTCAACGGTATGCGGTGCCCTCTGTTCCTTTCCACACGTGATACTAACACCTAAACTACTCTCAGTTGCTCTTACACGCCCAAAGGCCCTCCTCGTCGTGATCGGCGACCCATGCGTACTAGGCATGGACTTACTATGGCGCGCGTTCCTGAACTTTGTGCACTTCCGCGGCGGCTGCACGGGGAAATCATTCAACTGGAATCCACAGGAACAGATGCTCCCTCCTGGATATGAGGAGGTGGAAGATCAGGAGCGGGCTCTCATTGAAGGAGAGGAGTTCGTAAATGGGGTCAGGTCATCGATCTTCAGGTGGCGAGAGAGTTAGTATGATGGGAAAGTTTTCCATGCGAGATACCTGTAAATATGTCGATGGTGCCCGTTGATAGTTCGATGATCATCGTACATACAGCTCAATGGACATTATCGTCTTGAATCGATACACACCACTCAGCCTTGATCTACTTTTCCTCGTCATCGTTTGATGCGTCTAACGCGTATATCCTTGGCATTTTCTCCTTTATGTCGCGCAGTGACTATCGTAGCTCAAATAGTTCTGGGTGAAATTTCCTCCTGAGCGCATCATTGGAATTATTGAAAAGAATCACGCCCGACGTCCCGCCACAGGGCTTGGACATACATACTTCCGCCACAGTCCCTGCGGAGGACGGACCGTAATGACGTCACCCGACCCTCAATCGCGCTCAAACGCCCCGCGCCTGGCCTGACCTTGGTCACGTCGACGACCAACGTTGAATTGCTCGTCCAAATGACCAGAAATTCCAGAATTGCAGCCAGACATCCAAACAGGAGCTCGAGAGAAGAGTTCCGCCGTGACCACGACGCATATGGCCATCAGGGCGAGCGTGCCGTACGCAGTGGAATTGATATAAAGTCTTCCAAGCATTCCCCACCTCCGTCTTCCCCATCCCCACCTTTCACGTCTTCCCCGCTTTCTGTCAGATCATATTTGAAAAGGTCAACGACGACCACGATGACACGGAATTCGATGCTCAGACTTGCGCTCGGTGCTCTACCTCTCTTGGCTGGGATGGAGGGAGCTTATGCGGGGAGTAATGGGCTCGCTATAACACCCCAGATGGGATGGAACACCTGGAACCATTTTGGATGTGATATCAGCGAGGATACGATTGTTTCTGCTGCACAGGCGTTCGTGAATTACAACTTGACGCAGTACGGCTACGAATGTGCGTATTTCTTTCTCCTCGTTCTTTCGCGTTCGCGATGGAGTTCGTGGTGGTGCTGTGGGGATTCTCAAGTTAGCAAATAATGTGGTCACTGACGAGGCGGTTCTGCGCAGATATTCTTATGGACGACTGCTGGCAAGCGCCAGCGAGGGATAATGCGACTGGAGCCCCTGTGGCGGACCCGGACAAGTTCCCGAATGGCGTGAAGGATCTCTCGGACAAGATCCATGCAATGGGATTGAAGGTGTGGATACTGTTCACAATTCCTCCTCCGAGTGAATATCTCCGAATAAGCATGTTGCTCGGCTATAGTTCGGTATTTACAGTAGTGCGGGAACCTACACTTGTGGCGGCAAGTTCGGTTCACTTGACTATGAGGAGATCGACGCGCAGACGTACGCGGACTGGGGAGTCGACTACCTGAGTAAGTTCTTTCTTCTCCTTTCTCCTTCAATCTGGGAACGAGCCTTCTGTGATACATGCTTGAACCTGACATTGTGGCCCCTGTGGCACAGAATACGACAATTGCTACAACCAAGGCCGCGCCGGCACGCCTCTCATCTCTTACGAACGCTACAATAACATGAGCATGGCGCTCAATGCCACGGGTCGACCTATACTCTACAGTATGTGTAATTGGGGAGAAGATGGGCCTTGGAACTTCGCTGTAGTATGTGCATTTCCTTTGTTCTCCGTCCTTTACGGGCTGGCTGACTGACGGCGGTCATACAGACTATCGCGAATTCGTGGCGAATTTCTGGAGATATCTTCGATGTGAGCGTCTTCTCTGGTTTCAACTCATATGTGTACTCATATGTGCTAATGACTGGTTTGTTTTCGATCAGGTATATGATGGCTACGACGACCGCTGCCCCTGCACCTCCATGCTGGACTGCAAGCTCGCGGGCTTCCGTACGTCTCGCCTCCATCTGCTTCGCATCATTCTACGATAGTTGACATGATATTCTCTGTTTGCGCTGTACAGACTGTTCCATGACCCGAATCATCGACTTTGCTGCGCCGCTCGGACAAAAGGCCGGTCCTGGGAAATGGAATGATCTTGATATGTTGGAGGTCGGAAATGGAGGGATGAGTTACGATGAATATGGTACGTCCTTTTAATCTGAATCACCTCAGTGATGTCGACGTTGGAGATTTTACAATGTCACTAATTAATCCTATACGCACTGCAACAGTCACACACTTCTCGATGTGGTCCATTCTCAAGAGTCCACTCATTCTTGGGAACGACGTGACGGATATGGTACGTTCCACGCCGATTACACCAAATCTCCCTCTCGATCAAGACTGACAATCAATTTTTTCTATAGACCAACGACACCCTCGAAATCATTACGAACGATGCCATCATCGCTCTCAACCAAGATTCGTCCGGATCACCTGCTGTCAGGATCTGGAAGAAGGCTACGAACGACACGGGGAGTGGGACCGGGGATCTGAGTCTTTGGGTCGGCTCGTTGGCGAACAGGTGCGTCTGACCTGGTTTCCTGCACGCACTTCCCTACATATCCCACCGACGCTTTATCTCTTTCTATTCTCACTCTTGATCAATTGCTGATTTTCCTCTGGGATGCAGTGAATACGTAATTGCACTGATGAACACCTCGCCGAGCTCACAAGAGGTTTCGTTATCATTCAAGGAGATATTCGGGGACCAGGTACGTCGCTCCTTCCCTTCACCATTTCCTCCTTATTTTCCCTCCTCTTTCCTCTCCCCACATATTAACACGCGTTACTCTTTCGCGCAGGGTTCTTCCGCCCAAACAGCCTCCTGGACACTCTACGACCTCTGGCAAAAGGACAGCACCGGAGCCTGGGGGCTGAACACCGGGACGATGCAAGGGAGCATTCCGAATGTGAATATTGGGGCGCATCAGACGAAGGTGTGGAAGGCTGTGCAGGCGAGTGGGTCGACGACGAAGAGGAGGGGGAGTGTGGTTGAGTTGTAAGTGTGGGGGCTTACGCCGTAAGTCGTAAAGGAGAGGGAGTCAGAGGAAGTCGCGATATCAGAAAGGGTGGTTCAGTAAGGAAGAGACCATTGGACGATTTCTTGGACGTAAGTACGCATATGCACGAGAAGAGACAAGGATCTGTATGTACGAATGATAACGATATCGATGGCGGTTCTTAGCAGGACCGCACTTTTGGGCCACACATTGTCGCGATGTGGCACAATGAACAAAGACCGGAATTGGCCGACTGCAAAGCAGTCGCGTAGAGCCGCCCAGTGCTGCAGCCTTTGTCTTCATCCACAACAATCTCTGGACTACTGGCAAGCCCTGCATCTCTACAAGCTAATAGAACACACTGACATACTTTCCACCATCTACCGTCAGTCTTATACCGTTGTTTCTGACGCCAAAGAGCGAGAGGTACGTCAAGCCACCTCGACTTCATACTCACTCCTCCCGGCTCGGTAAGACAATCGTTTTATTGACATCTATGTGCCAAATTCCTTGGATAAACCTCAGCATAACCCTTGATCTTCACAGAAACCTTGGGGAGATAGACTACGATGTGAGTGACTCAAGTGGCTCAATGACTATCATTCTCCCCCAGACTATCAAAGTCTAACGCTCTAATATTGCCACTGCGTAGCATGGTCCATGTCGCCTTGCCAGTGGAAATGCGGAAAAACATAATCGACATGATCGTCGAGGGCCGCAGCGAGCACGATCTTGGCCCCAACACGACTCTGCCATCTCTTGCTCTGGTCGACAAGTGTTTCCGAGTCCTTGCCCAGAAGGAGCTGTACTCGCGCGTCTATGTAGGGCCCACCGTATTCGAGCGTCCGCTCGTGCGCACTATAGAGCTGCTAGCCAGGACGTTGATAGAGAACGTCTCACTCGCCGCACTCGTCGTCGAATTTCACGCCGGGACGATGGCCGGAGGCATCGAGGAACTCCGTCATCTTGAGACTTGCATAGTGCTATCACCAAACCTTCGCTTGTTCGAGCTACGTGGATGGCCTACTGATGGCATACAGGAGGAAGAAGTACCCGCGCCGCCGCCACCACAAAACCCGTTTTGGCCTGTTAGGTCTACTATCCTCAGGCCACCTCCCAGAACTTACGTTTACAGGGTCGTCTACAGAGGCTACCTTGACGCCATCTTCCTCTGTCTTTTAGAGAAACCTAGCTTGCGAGCTCTCATTCTGTCTCCAAAGAGACTTCTGCAGGGGGTGTCACCGCCATTATGGGATCGACGATCATTTATCACATTCATGAATCATCTCACCAACCTCGATACCGTAATATTAGATAGGCAGACCATAGGTCGTTCTAGCAACGCCCTTACCGCCAGAGTACTTGACAAGGCCGCATCGACTTTGGAACGACAACACCTTCGTCGTATAATGATTGACATGAATCGTACGCGCGCAAGCGTGTCGATCCTCGACTATCTAATCACCGAGTCTGCGACACTCCCTAACGCTGAAGATATTGTTTTCCCAACAGGGTGCAATCAGCTCAAACGTCTCTACCTCGGCGGTTGCTTGACGTGCGATTCAGATTTCGATCTGCTCTCTGAGGTCGCTCCCAATCTTTCAGAACTGTCGGTGCAGACATATGAAGGCTTTCGTATCAGAGACAGTCCTAGCATGTCCATTGCTCCTGCTCTCCGTATATGGTCTCCCTACCTCGTCAAGCTTGTCCTCCCGGACTATCACGCCTGGCCTGGCCGCTATAGAAGTGTATTCCCTGAAAGAGAATCTGAACTACCGAACCATACCGAAGTCACCTCTATCGCAGACATCATCACCCAGATGCCCTCACTGCGCGTTCTGGGCATCAGCAGACAGCTAATCGCTCCTCATCATTTCCGTCGTGGTCCCAAGGCCCTCGTTAGCCTCAATTATATTATGGCCCCGCGCTTCCTTGATGCCTTCGCAGCCGTTTTAGAAGATCCAGCGTGCCTTCCCAATCTGTGTCGTGTCTGTTTCTCTGTAAGGGATTATCAGTGTCCTACAAGGCCATCGATAGATGCGGTATTGGAGGCGCGAGACATCGAACTCTATGAGACGGACGCTGAGTGGGAAGCCTGGACGGACGAATTAGATCTTCGAGAGTACTGTATTTTTTTTGTCTTGAATCTCAGATCATATAGATTGACAGCTCCTTACTTCTAGGTGAACGCTGAGAGTCCGAGTGAAGGTGACGTATGAAGACAGCCGTGAGTGTAGTATAGAAATAGAAAATGCAGAAGTGCGCGTGGTACTGAAAGGAGAGACAGAAAATTCAGGCGACTACAGACGCCGCGCAGAGGGCCAGAGTGAAAGACAACTACCGTAGAGAGGAGGTCGGTAGTGAATTTGTAGGGATTGAGATTGTTGAACGTCGCAGACCAAAACGCATTGGCAGGTTGATTGTAAATCTTTGTATAGTGTCTCGTGCATTCTTGCCTCCCAGAGTCTTCGTTGCAGGTCCTCAGTCCTTGCGCGCAGGTATAGCTCTGACCCACAACCCTCCCTGGAAGTAGTCTATGAGCATCAAAAAAAAATGGCATGCAATATATCAATGAACGAACTTTTACAAACGCTGTTACGGAACTAGCTGGCCATATCCGCTCGATAGCTTGTCGTCCCTTGCCGTCCTTCCACCTGGGTGGCGGTAGTGACCCTTCAGGCTGAGCATCAGGAGCGAGGTCGAAACGTTCAATCTGTTGGAGCATTCTTATGATGAAGAACGACATTTCGTTGTACGCGAAGTTTTGTCCCAAGCACTGTCAGATATCATCTTGTTTTAAATATGCTTTTCCGGGATGATATATTGAAAAATTACCAGTCGAGGTCCGGCATGAAATGGATGGAACATGAATGGGTTCTCTGCAAGGCTCTTGGCGCACTCGGGATTGAGCCACCTCTCGGGGCGAAATTCAAGAGCATCTGCACCCCAAAGGTCCGACCGACGCTGGATCAAGAACGTGTTGTACAGAATAACCGTGTTAGGTGGGACAGCATATCTGGGGGTATCCCGAGTCGCCGGGTATGCGTGTGCCGTGTGGTCAGATAAACGAAGGTTCATGGGCACTGGAGGAAAAAGTCGCATAGTTTCATTGATGACTGCGCGTACTAGAGGGGTTTCAGGTCCAGCAAGGATACACAAAGCAACCAAGAACAGATGAGACGCACGGTATCTCAATTCCTTCATGTCCTCAGTCGATGGTAGGCCATCGTTCCCGTATGCATGTAATACTTCAGCGCGAAGTCTCTGGCAGGTATCTGGGAACATAGCGAGGAAGTACACAACAAAAGACAAGACAGACGCCGTCTAATGAAACTATTAGATTGCTCAGGCATCAAAACAACTGGTACGTACCGTGTCCCGTCCTGCCAGTAGCATATTGAGTATCTGGTAGCCAATCGTCTCCGGATCTAAAAGTAACAATATGTGGGTAAGTCTACAGGTAACCATACCGAAGAAATACAGTTGTGATACCGTCTGTGTTCTCCGTCAAGTGACTCAAAAAAGTTCCCTCTTCGCCATTCGTCTCACTACGAGGCTGAATGGGTTTCTGTCTCAATGCAGATTGTATGATCGGTTGAAGCCATTGCTGTACAATTCTTGTGCTCTCCGATGTCTTGTCTTTGAATAACTCGAATAGTGGCCATGGTTTCCCTATCCTCGTTCTACGAGCGATCTGAACCTGTATGTCCTGAAGTAGACTCGGTAAACATCGTGTCGTATTCAGTCTCGACGGACGAAGATCAACCTCAAATGCCCAAGCAAAGGTACCGAATTCATCATCAATTGAGCTTCCCTTCGGTCCCATCTTTGCACGGCCGGCGACGGGGAGTGACCCATGGAGAGTATTCAAGCAGTTACCAAAGAGGAACTCTGACGCGGAATCGATAGTAAAGCGTGCGAAGAGGTCCTGAGCATCGAACGCTGCATTCTCACGAGAAAAAGTCGACATGAGGCCCAACGTTGTATTTGTATGGTGATCGAAGATGGTAAAGTCGGAGACACGGTCTTTTGCAAACCAGGGCCTTGCAATGGTGCGATGCTGTTGACTGCTTTAGGCCAGATAGACTTCCGAGAACTTGATCGAATACACGCACGGCTTTCCACTCCTCATGATCTCTACATCACGATTAGAACCGTGATCTCCAAAATGTCTTCATCGAAAGGCAGAACCCACCTGTTAAATATACCGTTACCGAGAAGACTCTCGCTGCAGATTATATGAGCACGAAATATCAAAAGACTAGAATGGCACACTCACAAGCGCTCCTGCCAGTAGTAATATCCTTTATTGAACCACTCAAAACCTGGCCCAGTAAGCATATACTTGACATGAGCATCATCTATCGTCCATATCTGTAGATAGATAAGACGTTACATCAAAGGTAGGGCGAATATGTGTGCGCACCTGATCTTCCCATAACATTCGTAAATTGAGTGTCTTACAGCCATATTGCTCGAAAAGGTCGTCCATGAACTGCATTGGATAGTCATCATGGAGAGACTGGATGAAACCCAGAACAATGTCCAGATTTCCGGGCCACTTGCCGCGAACTCTCGGAATCGGAACGGCACCCAAAGCGGCTGCGTCGGAACATGGATGCGCGCAGTGGTGAACGTCCGGATACCTGGTATATATTTCTCGGAATGCAAGGCGACTCACCAAGTGCCGCACGGTCTCTGCGGTCCTTGTACCAGGTCCTCAGTGCTCCAGTAGCTGGAACCGACAAGGCATACACAGTCACTCTAGAGAACGAGCCTAGCTTGAATCTGCAGAAGGAGAACACGATGGCTAGAAGTATTTGTGGTGCGAAGACATTCTTGAGGACATCGATAGCGAATCGGAGACGATAGTGACGAGGATGCATAACGAGTGCTAACAAAAGGATAAAAATGAGTTAGACGTTAACTAGGGCGCCAGTATCGCGACCGACGCCAGCCACTTCTGAGCCACCATGCTATAAGAGGCTCTCGTCAGTGGGATGGGAAAATCGAAGCCTCTGTGATAAGTATTGGCGCGCAAGAAGGCTTGAGCTTGGAGTTTCGTGCTAGAAAGAAACAAAAAGAAACCGCTCGTTCGTGGGACCGGTTTCGAGTCTACCATGCGGTGGACATTGAGTTTATTATCGATTTCTCTTCTATCTCCTCGGACCTTGTTGCCTGAAGAGTTGTTGAAGAGAGGTGTGATACTGTGATGCGACAATGATGTCTTTGAGTACTCAGCATCTGAAGTCCTCGTCCAGGTTGATTATCGTGATTATTCCTAAGTTTTCGTCCTTGCAGAGCCTTCGTTGGATATACAACGCGGGCCGCTTCCTTGGTCCTCCTGACGAAAAAAACCGGGGTTCGCCGGACTACGACCCCGGGCGCGCGTGTTTGATGAGTCCAATCGATAAACGCCTTTTGCCCCTCCGCCCTCCACGGCGTTACTTACACTGAAGCATCCGTAGGCAAGTTAGGCAACCGATTTTTCCTCAATAACCTCGTAAATGCTTCAATTTAATGACATGCTCTTCGTATACACTTCTGCCAGACCCGAAAGTCTCCAGCCAAGAGCATACATTTCCAGGTGAGTCGACGCGAGTGAGACTCTCGTATCGTTGATACCATCTGTCTCTCGAGCTTCACTTATCGTTGTTGCTTTTGTTGCGGCGTGTGCGATCCTCGATTTCAAATAATAGGCGTCGCTTGCTCCTCTAGGGCTCAGTTGTGTACTTACATATATAATAAAATGTCCAACGATCGTAAGTAGGATGCTTGCTCATTCTCCGTTGTTTTTCAAACCTCACTTACTTTGTGTATCACTGAATCCTCATGGTGGTTTGTCGAACAGCATCCAGCATGAGGCTGCCTATCGAAATATGGCGATCTATTCTCGAGGAAATGCTCCCTAGCGAGCGCAAAAGGCAACACGACCTCACCCCCAACTCTTCCGTCGCGGCGTTGGCTCGAGCCAATACTTTCTTCAGAGATCTTGCACACGAATACCTGTACAAGTACATCTACCTTGGTCCAACCACGTTCCGGTGTATGCTTGGAGAAACCCTCGCGTTATTCAGCAGGACGATGGCAGAGAACGAGTCCTTAGCTGGACTCGTCGAGGAGATCCATACAGGAACCATTGGGGGAGAGCCTGGAGAAGCATTCCACCTCCTTCGAATCCTTCAATCTGTTCCTAACCTACGTGTTTTCGAGCTTCGCGGATGGGCCAGAGTCCATATAAGCGTCATGCCGATCTTTGAAGTCCTACGGGAGAAGCATCACTTGCGAGCACTCATACTGTCTCCCAATCGTCTCCTGGGCTCCTCCTCTCCTCCCCTCTGTGACGTAGAAGACCTCGTACTTATTCTTCATCATCTCCACGACCTGGAAACCGTCTCTATCGATTCATTTACATGCTGCTCTAGAGATGACGGTTCTACTCACGCCCTCTATCACACCACCTCCGACCTTCCATCGATGCGCGCCACCATCTCCCATGACTTTGCATCGTCCATGCAACGACTACGCGAGCGTCGTCAGATAATCATATCGGCATCACCACTTCAGAACTGGGATTCTGGCCTCGCACAAAACACATGTCCCACTATACGGCGCCTCACGCTCATCAATTGCTTGAACTCCGATTACGAGTTCCATATGCTATCGTCATTGGCCCCAAATCTCACCGAGCTCAATGCGGCATCATCGTGCACCCACCTCTGCGACCAACCTCCGACTACGTTCATAGCACCGGCTCTTCGCGTCTGGTCAGATCAATTGGTCAAGCTCGTCCTCCCAGAATTTCGTATCAAGTCAAACGTCATTTACCCGAACAATCCAGACGCCCAATGGGCATCACGCTTTCCATTCAGCGAGGACGATACCATCGCGAATATTATCGTCCAGATGCCTCGTCTTCGCGTCCTAGGGATAGCAAGAGGGTCTATATCCCCAAAGCATTTCGTTCGCGGGCCGAAGTCTCTGATGTCTCTCAATCTCTACCTTCCTTCGAGTTCCCTTCTGTACAATCCATCCGGACACATCCTTCCGGAAATCGTCGCTGTTCTGAGGAACGAGACTACCCTTCCACAGCTGAGACATCTCTGCTTGACTACCGAAAGGGGAGGTCCTAACACATCGTTATTGGAGGATGTTGTGAATATGCGGGGTATTGTGTTACACGATAGGCCAAAACAATGGGAATCGGCGTCCCAGGAGCTGTGCGGGTTATCGGATTAACAGGCCAAATCATAAAGGTGGATGTTCGCGTCACGAGTGGTCAATCATGTAACTGTGGGCTGCAAAATAGAACAATACTTCTTGTAGACTACAGCGCGAAAGCGCACACATCAACCTCATCTTACTCAAGACCCAACCACGCCACCTCAACCCAGTCGTATCCTTCCCTCAGCCACCCATCGCTCTCCGAATCTAACCTCGCCTGCGCATCAAAGCCATGATCTTCCCCTACATCCTCGTAATAATTCACCTCCGTCCCCTTTCCACTCAACTTCTCCCGTATGGTGGTGGACACCACTTCGTGACAAGTCTTGACTCTCCGCGCGGATATGTTACTGCTCGACGAGATTTGCTCCGAGTCCTTAGCAAATGCAGGAAAACACTCCTAGGGGTGTAACGAACAGATTGGCCGGACCAGTTTTCCAAAATTCCAAAATTCGGTTATCCCAAAATGGATTTGGCGGTTTTGATTACATAATACATCCATATATGGATGTGTGGCGACCAGCTAACCCTGTTGTTGATGTGGCGGGCAGCCAGACATTTTTCCTGATGCAATTGAAAGCTCAGATACACTTTCTCTGAGACTGACACCTAGATTCTATGGTAAAGCCTGTTGTTCAAACATATTTTCAATGTGTTAGGTAGGGTCTATGTCGGTGATCTCGAGTCGATTTGGCGGTTAAATTAGGGTTAGGGTTAGGAATATAGGATCACTTCGAAACAGCGGATTTGATCTGAAGTAGGGGTTACTTTCTTAGCAAAATTTTCTTCCCAGGTCGAGAAAAAAATATCTGCGGTTTGACATGAAGTGGTGTCCACCACCATACGACCTCCACGAACCTCCGACTCCCCACCGGTGGAACGGCGTGATCTGCACTCCCATGATAAATCCACACCCTCCTCGGTAAAGCCTCGATCGTCTTGACACTTCCATCTTCGCGCGCGGTTCCGCTACGCTCGATACGTTCAATGGGGAAGCACTCCTCATCATCCAAGCCTATCATCTCAGGTAATTTACCGTGCAAGACCGCAGCCATCCCCATCTCCTCCCTCTCATTATAGGTTCCCGGTTCTGGAAACGTCCCGTCTGTGACGACGCTCGGTTTCTGACCCGCCTTGACTGCAGCGACAAAATTGGTGAAGGTCGAAAGGGGAGCGGAGTTTCCGAAAAGAGTGTAGGATTTCGATATAGAAGATAAGGCCCCGGAAAGAAAGAATGGGTTGAGAAGGTCGAGGACGGGGTAGGCTGGGATGAGGGCTGTTATGCCGGGTTTGTTGGTCGAGGGAGAAGGGCTCGGGTGAGCAAGTGCGAGTTGGGTCGCGAGGTAGCCCCGGCCGATTCGCCTGTCAAGTCAGGGTCAGCCGTTCGAGTAATATCCCTGATCAAATTAAACATAAGTACGGACCTACAGCCATGATCCTCGTCAAATCCGGGGTCACGCCTGGGTGTGCCTTCGCGACGATACTCGGGAAAGAATTGAGTATCCATTCCCAGAGAGACACACAGATATCGGTGAGGATGTCTGCTCCTGTAGCTTCGGGGAGCAGGCGATAGTCTGGCGAAATGACGATCGCGTTCTTGGAAAGGGCGAATTGCAAGAGGTGGGAGGGGAACCAAGCGGGGCCACGGTTGCCTATGATCTGGAGGGTCCGACGCCGATGAGAAAATTATGACATGTATTCGAAGGTGGGATGGAAGGTATGAGACGTACGAGGAATCCGCCGTGAATGCGGACGATAACAGGGCACTGATGGCCTTCAGGAACTGACTTCGGTATGAGGATGTCAGTCTCGATAGGATGCCCTTCCACTACGCTATAGATTTCGGTGGACACATCGAATCCCTCGAAGTTGGCAATAGCGGTCATAATTTGATGTCAGTGTGGTCGTGGAGAGAAGATGTTGGTGTGGTCGAGTAGTGAGAGAGCAAGTCGTGCGAAGCATCAAGGTATTTGCTTTATACCCTACCCCAGTGGCGGGAGCAGCTTATGAATAGTGCATTCTTACTCAGGAATGGGTCGAGTAGTCATTTCTGTTGTTTAATTCGTCATCATGGGAGCACGGCGCAAAGAAGAGTCGGGAGAGCGGAAGCCCTTTCAAAGTTAGCAAGTTTGATTTCGAGATGATGGGTTTGTGAGGGGAGAAACACACACGGCTACGACTGGCATTGTGGCGAGAGGTGGCGACTCAGATTCATGTTTGGTCGTATTTGCTCTTTGTGGCACTGACTTACAGCTCAAGGCGAACTTGTGGCTTTGAACGCCCTGTCTTCGAAGCTGCAACACCAAGCTCCGCCTGTGAGAGACTATGGTTTCGTACGTGTAGCCTTTTTGCGCCTCAGTCTATCGGAAAATCCACACCTTTGAATTACTCATCGAAAAGGAAAGGGGTTCATAAAAATTCGTGGCAAGTCATATATCAAATGGTAAGAAAGTAATGGCGAGTTGAAAGCGAGGTCAATATACACGGAAACAGGAGAAAAGAGGAAGAAGAGAAGAAAAATATTTGAGCGATATGCAATCAGATCAGATCCAGGCTTGTCCGTCCATCCGTCCGTCCCATCGCCAACGATCGCCACCTCACCCCACCCCGAATCCTAATAACGACTGGACTCCCCACGCCCTTCCATCCCATGCCATCTATACCGATATGTATGCATGCAGCAAGCAGGGTAGTCTTGAATGTTGAACCAAACCCATAACGCCTATCCTCCATGATCCTCCACCTTCAATTAACGACCCTTCGCGGATCCACGCATTCCATCCTCCACCTCAATATGATGCAGCCTCCATTTCACCCAGCCGCCCTTCATATATACCCCAAATAACGCTCCCAAACCCGTCAACATCTACGCCACCTCCCAATTAAGCGCGCCGAACGCTTCCAACTTTATCAATATCCGCAGCGCCTCCCAACTCCAACTCGTCGATATCCACAACTATGCAGCAGCGGTGGCGGCAGAAGGCACAGCGGTCTCGGTCGAAGCGGCGCTCAGGGGAGGCTTTGGCGAAGTCGAAGTCGAAACGGCAGGCGCGGGCGCGGGCAAGCCTTCCCTCAACTCCTCCTCGATCGCTCTCCGTCCTTCCTCCGTCAGCATCGGCATACCGGACTCGATGTCCTTCTCGAAGTACTTCGGGACGAATCTAAAAAGGACAAACAAGGAAGCGCGACAAAACCACGATGTTCATTAACAACAGCACAGAGGGAAGGTGACGAGCTGGGAAAGGAGCGACTTACTCAACACCCTTCTTCTTCCTCTCCGCCGCCTCCTCTCTCTGCCTCTGCTCAATCGCCTGCTTATACTTATTCGCCTCACCAAACTCCTTCCCGACCAGCTTATTCGTCACTTTCTCCCACAGCTTCCTGCTCTCATCTGGTAACTGTCTCTCCAGTGGCCTTACTGTCTTCGGGACTACGTTCAGGTGGTTCAGATCGAGTAGGACGTTCCAGTCTTTGCTGTCGTCTGGGGATGAACCTATGCGGACATCGGCATAAGCATAAGGACGGGATAGACAAGCGACAAATGGGGGTGGGAGGAGAGAGTTCACCTTTCTTGAGTGATGTTCCAGAGGAAGAAATGAGGGAAGCGGTAGTTGAGCCGGATGAAGAGCGACGCCAACGAACAGTTCCCCGCCAGGAACCCTCCAGGTTCGCAAGAATGAGGGCTTTAGGAACATGCTTCACCCGAGTCCATTCGACGTGGTCGGATGACGAAGGGTTGTAGGTGTGTATGCAGCCTTCGATGAGATATTGCGACTTTCCGAGCCAGGACTAACGGCGCAAAAATATCAGTATGCAGTCAGGAGTTTGGAAACAGGGACGTGGTGGGGGTTGGGCGACGCACCTCTTCCTTGTACTCAATTATGGCCCTCAGCTGTTCGCCGTCCCCCACTCCTTTGCCTCCCGTACATGTAATGATTGTGCTCTCCGAAACTGTCACATACAGGCTTCCCCTCAACAAGCCATTCACGACCGCACTCGGATGCGTCACCTACAAAACCGAATCATCGATCAATAATGACCATCAAGCAAACGAAGAAAAAGAACAAACCTGGTACTTCTCCCCCTCCCCAGGTCCACCCTCGATTTGGACAAACAACCCCTTATTCTGACTCCCCGGCCCAATCCTCACCGCCGCCGTACTCGTCACCTTCGCCGAAATCTGGTCCACACCGGCCATCGCCATCTTCTTCGCCGGACAAGTCACATAGAAAGACGAAATCGGCGGATGATGCGACACCTGCTCCGTCAAATAAACGATCCTGATCTTCCCATCGTCCAAGACCCCACTCTCTGCCTCCCTCCCTGCCTCCGCCTCGACCACGACAGCAGCACCCTCACCACGGGAAGGGTCGACGGACGTAGACGTCGACACCGCGCCGTCCGTACCGACAAGACTGAGATTCGACATCTGCGCGTCCACATTCGACTCCACAGTCGATCCCGTTCCTCCAGAATTACTCGACGAAGTGTCCACAGCAGGCGAACTATACCCCGCCCCGCTCAACTGGCTGAACTCGGGGCCGTGGTGCGGGTGTAAGTGCAACTGGCCACGCGTCTCGCTCTTCACGCTTTCGGCTCGGTGTGGGTGCGGGAGTTTGGGCGCGGAGTCTGTGAGGGCGTGGTGTTGGATGGGAGGTTGGCTGGGGTCGGCGGGATAGGAGACGGGGATGACGTCCCAGTGGGAGCGGAAGTGTTCGCCGAGGACGGAGTTGTAAGGTTTGCATACTTTGCCGCGCTGTTGTGGATGTCGAGGATCAGTAAGGTATACGAGGGTGAGGGTATAAATGGGAGATAGGAGGAAGGTAATAAAAGGAAACATACTATATGTCTGAGGTCCTTTGAAAACGTGAATCGGAGAACGGCCAGCATTCGCTCAAAGGGATCTTCAGAGTCATTGATACTGTGTTTCGTGCAGCCGATAGGTTAGCAGGCTAATTCAAACTTGATTACCACGGGAACAAGACATACGCAGCGAAGAGGTCTGGTCGGTCAAGATAGTGCCAGTACTCGAGGTTGGGAACAGGTTCGAGCAAGGAAGCAGGTAGTGAAAGGCGCCTGTGAAAAATATATGGTTGGTTAGAAGCCAATACTGATAGAAGATAGCCCGAAATAGAAGATCGTGGGAATGCAAGTCAAAATAATGGATGAAGTACTAGAGAGTACAGATCCATACATCGACGAGTTCGTTCGTCGCTGGGACGGCAAGACGGTATGATATTAGATGCACCTCGGAAAGCAGCCTTGTTTTAAAGGAAGTCCCGTTGATGAAGGCTAATCGTTACAGGCGCCACTTGGACAGCTGCTGTTACGCCACATGCAGCAGCGTTCGGTTTTTGGCTAAGAATAGAACAAATTGATCTTCAACGAAACGGATGGACCACAGAAGTGATCCCAGATATTCCTAAGGGTGCGTTGTCCGCAAGTTTTCCAGTGACTGGATGATTGTACGGGAGAAGGAACACTAAAAATGTAGTAGAACCTAACCCATGGGTACCGCGCTAGGTATTTCATGGCTCTATAGCATTGCATCCGCTGTTCATTCGTTTGATGATGCACAGCAGAACAACAGTCCTGAAGCTGAGCAACACAAGGAAAGCTCCAAGGAATCCTCTCTTAGGATGAAGATTGACGAGAACGCGCGCCAATATAGGTTCTATCGGGGCAACGCTGCGAATTGGCTTAAAACTCATGTTACGCTTGTGGTGCCAAGCATCTATAACATGGCGCTACGACCCCTCCAGCCAGAACGCAGACAAGCTGCAGACCACCAAGCATCACCCCATGGCGTGCACAGGAGACAAAACGTGCTCAACCTTGGCCACACTCCAAACATTGCCGAAGGCAGACGTCAGCAGTGAGAAGAGTGTACTCACATCGACGCGATGTCCTTTACACCCATGCACTTCTTCACAAGCTGCATCAGCATCTTCAACTTGCCACCCTCCCCTGTGTCTTCGGGCAGGGTGACTGGTGCGGCCAGTGCGTCGTCTTCCGTCGCCGCAATATTTGTATCCTTCTTCGAGTCGGCCATCGTGATTCTTCGTGACAACGAGCGCGGATGGAAAGCAAAAACGAAAGCGAACAGTCAAGGAGACTAGAAACCTCTGGAAACTAGTCGACGAAGTGGGGTAGGAAAGGGCTACGGAGAAGGAGAGAGAGAGAAAGAATGAAGAGGGACGCGGATAAGCTGTGACTTTGTCTTGCTGTAACTGGCCTTCAAGCCAAGCCTAAGTGGCTGTAGCGGATTTCCTTTTCGAGCGACCGTACGGATGAAGTCATTTCTCTCCGCGGTTATGTGCGCGGTCCGCTCCACCGGAGGCTCAAATTCATTTTGGCTTAATTTTCTCCAAGCCTCCGTCGCGTCTTTTCGTCTTCGTCCCCGTACTTAGTCTCTTCCTTCCGTCTGCTTCAAAGAACTTTTTTTCTCTTGCTGGATATTCCCAGTCTTTGCTAGGATAACAGGTCGATGCCTCTACTTGATTCCAGCAAATTGTCCCCGAAACTTGGGCGTGTTGTGAACGAACGTTCGCCGGAAGCTGCGCCCGGTTTCCTGCAGCTACGCATGCGTGGTGACGCACGCCTGAGCGTTTTCCTCGTTCGACGTGATTTCCGTGCCTTGGTGCTAGGATAGTCTGAGACCAGTGGATAGATTTGGGAACGGCCAACTAAGGATATTTTTGAAGGCCATTATCCAGACCGGCGGGGAGCACTTGGCTTTAATTTTGAGGAATTCGAACAGCGGAACACGCGCTTGTTGTCAACACAACCGCTCGCAGCCCGTCTCTCCAAGTCCTCCAGCTTCGAGACTCTGCGAAAAGCACCTTGGCGCGAGCTTCGCGCCTGAACCGTCCCGTATCACGCTGTATCTACAAATGGTCGTGAAGGAAATCGTACCTGACTGTTGCTGGTTGCTCTCTTTCACAATCAGCATGTCTTTGCCTTGGAAACTTCTGTCTTCGGCTGCTCGAAGCCGTATATAAACAAGCGACCTTTCCTCTCGTGCTCGTACCCTTTCTTCTTTTCCCCCGTCGATCTGGTATCGGTTGTCCTTCGTCCTCGTCCCTTTGTCTTTCTGCTCGCTGTGCGGCTTTTGCTCCCCTGCTCTTCTCTGCACGTCTTTCATTCGGGCCTTTCTTCGTTCACTGTTTCCGTTCCCTTGCAATTGTATTTCAGCACATACTTCAGCACATACCGACCATCACCACCAGTTCCCACATATCGACAATGTTCTCCACCCGTTTCCTTACCCTCTCCGTCTTCGTCGCTCTCATCGGTAGTGCATTCGCGTTGCCCACTCCCGGGACTTCAATCCTCGCCGCTCGCGTACGTTCTCGTCCTCTCACCTCATCCCTCCTCATCCCCTCTCAACTAATCATTCTTCATTTATGAATCAATAGCACGGCGGAGCGCAAGAAGAATCCGAACTCTTCCTCCGCGAAGTAGCCCGCATCGCAGCCCTCCAGGCCCGTGAGCCCACTCCCGCACCCGAGCCCGTCCTCAAAGCCGACTTCTCCGGCTTCGAACCCGACTACAAACGTTCCCCTTCCCCTGAACCCGTCCCAGAGCCTGCAGCATCCGGGCCTGTAGACGATCTCTTCGCTCGTGAGATCTCTCGCATCCGTGAGGCCGAACTTCAACGCCGTGATCCTTCGTCTACTACGACCATCACCGTCGGCGATGTCACCATTAAGCAGCAGAGCAAGCGTGTCGAGGAGGAGGAGGAGGAGGAGGTAGAGGAAAGGTCATTGGATAGCGACGGTGACGACAGTTCCGCTGACCTGCTCAGCGCTGAGCTTAACCGTATCTCTGCTATCGCGAAGGCGAAGAGGGAGGCGGAGAAGGCTGAGTTGTTGAGGCGGGAGTTCGAGAGGATTGCGATTGTGACCAGCAGGCCAAAGTCCCAGGGTAAGAGGGAGGTTGTTGAGTTTAGGAGGACGGAGGAAGGGGAGGAGTTGTTGAGGAGGGAGATTGAGAGGATTGCGGGGTTGCAGAGGAGGAGTGAGTGAACGGTCGACGGTTACAAGTCATTGGTGAGTCGCTGTTCTTGGATGGTTCTTGTATGTCGTCGATTTACTAATTGTCGTATGTACTCTGCCTTAGCTCTCATATCGTCGCTCTCTTTCTTCCTGGGCCGGCGAGAACTTGGTCTACGTTCTTCTGAGCTGGTTTCCCCGATGTGCGAGTTGGTATAGCATGTCGTGTTGTATTTCATAAGGGCTTTTTGGTGTACACCGGAATATATGTGGGCACGTCAGGTTGACGTTGGACAAGGACTTTGTGAACCGTGTCGAGTGAAACGAACTCTAGTCGCCAGAAGCAAGGCAAGACATTACGCCACCGCCACTGGTTGAACAACTCCGACCCTTTCTACGCCACTGTAAGTATCTCATCCTCTTCTTTTCATCGGACGCATTGTGTCCCTTTCCGCTCTCCCGTTCGGTACAAGTTGGGTTTGACATCGACCACGCAGCCAGCGCTGTGGAATGATTCATCGCTTGGGAGGCTTGTAATCGCGGGTGCCACATTACCCTAGTACCATCCTTACACCTCAGATGCTCAAATCACAAAGCGATATATTACGCCACAACCATAAGTAATAGTCCATGTAAGTAAAAGATCGTGGTCACCAAAGTAAAAGTAAACCCTGTATCGTAGAAAACTTAGTAATAACGTCGATAACAAAACGAAGCACCGTCAAAGTCCACCCACACGAATCAGAGACCGAAAGATCCCGACAACATAACTCCAGACAACAAAACAGAACACGAAAAGACATATCACCCGCTCAATGAACCGGTCCCTCCGCATACAACCCCTCACTATCATGATACCTCTCCATCTCCGCTCCCTTCATTCCAGAACCCCCCGGCCCATCCAACTGTATCGGCCGATAACTCGGCGCCAGAGTCCTTGTCGCACCGACTCCAGCCACGCCCTTCCACCCATGATGCCTGATCATCACTATCGCAAGTACGAGCAGGACGAGCAGGAGGAGGACGGCACCGGAGAGGAGACCGAGGATCGCGGGGACGTAGTTCAGGAGCTTGTTGATCGACGAGTCGGGCGATGCGTCAGAGTCCGAAATAGCATTGGAAAGACTATCGCCCGAGACACCTTTACTCGATCCATAACCATAATCACTGCTGGAGCTCGAAGACGCATACCACGCCGAACTGGTATACGTCGACGTCCCCGCAGCGCTAGCAGTCGACCCAGACTCGGGGAACGACGCGCTCATGCCCGTCTGGCTCGTCGAGGCTCTAGCGTTCGCGATGAACGCGTCCAGGGTGTTTCCAGTGATGGGCGCGTTGATCCCCAGTACCATCCCGGATTGACAGTGCGTCGGTGCATCGGGGGTTTTGCCGAGTTGACGACAGTAGGCCCAGATGGGGGTTGTCGAGTCGTTCACTGTGACGGTGAAGGTGGGGGACTCGGATTCGAGGAGGGAGGCATTGCTGACGGGGGTGCTATAACATACGATGAGATGAGATGTTAGTGGGAGAAGAGAAAGAGTGAGTGGCGTTGAGAGAGGACGTACAAGCCAGAATCAAAGCCGCTGGGCTGATTGTAGGAGTTGACGAGTTTGGAGCAAGGAGAGGCGAAGGAAGATTGCGTGACCGTATGGTTATTCACAGAGCTACATAAATCGCGGAGATCAGCCCCTTGTCATTGTCATAGAAATCGAGAAAATGTGAGAAAAAACGACCCACAAATGAAAAACGACCTTCTCCCCCTCCTTCGCCGTAATATTATTCGGAATATAAACCAAATTCGGCGTAACCCCATCCCCTTGCAAGCCCCCCACAACAACATCATGCACCTTCTCGCCCGTAGCCTGTGCCGCCTGCGTCGTCGAGAATCGCGCAAGCGTCTGATAGTTCGCGAACGTCTTCACTCCGGACTCGGGCGAGTTGATGGCGAAGGTCATTCCGGATTGACAGTGAGTGGGTGCTCCGGGTGCGGCGCCGGTCTGACGACAGTAGCCCCAGATGGGGGTGGTGGAGTTGACGGTGATTTCGAAGGTGGGGCTGCTGGTGGCAGTGAGGTTGGTAGCGTTGACGGGGGTGCTGTGGGCGGCCAAGTTGAGTGTCAATGTTTTGTGTTGAGATGGGCGTAGAGAAGGGTGACTTACAATCCTGAGTCGAACCCGGAAGGGGTGCCATAAGCGTCTACGAGCTTGGAACAAGGAGCCTCGAAGGACGACTCTGTGACCGTATGGTTTTTCACCTGGCTACTCACACAAAGGTCCGTGAGCGACTCACTCTTCATCGACAGAAAATAAAATAAAGAGTACGACTTACAAATGGAACCTAACCTTCTCCCCCACCTTCGCCGTAATATTATTCGGAATATACGCCAAATTCGGCGTCACCCCGTCTTCCTTCAACCCACCCACAACGACATCATGCACCTTCGGCTCCCCAGGCATCACACCCTGCGTCGTCGAGAACTTCGCCAGCGTCTGGTAGTTGAAGAAGGTCTTCTCGCCGGTGGGGGGAGGGTTGATTCCGAAGACCATGCCGGACTGACAGTGCGTTGGTGCACCGGGTGCGGCGCCGGATTGACGACAGTAGCCCCAGATGGGGGCAGTGGTGTTCACGGTGATGTTGAAGGTGGTCGCGGTCGTGGCCGACGGGTCGATGGGCATGCTATTTGTGAGTGAGACAGGGGGTTAGAATTTATTTTGCTGTTATGAGAGCAAAGGGAGGGACGAGGAAGACGTACAAGCCAGAGTCGAAGCCAACAAATGAGCCTGAAGCATCGGTCAGCTTCGAACAAGGTGCGTCGAACGAAGACTCGGTGACGGTATGGTTCTTCACATGGCTGTTTTAGTATCAGAAAAAGAGGACGATGATGGGCCATCAGCGTACAGCACAAGGCCAAAAAATAAGTATTGAAGGGGGACGTACAAAGTGAAGCGAACGACATCCCCGGGTGTTGCGTTCAGGTAGGGAGGCGAGAATGCGAGCATCGGCGTGACACCGTCTGCCTGAAGACCTCCAACGGAGACTTCATGAACGGTGTAGGCCAATGCGGCGGGTGCCACCGCCACCGCGGCCAGGGCGCTCAGTAACGAGAAAGCCGAACCGAGCATCGTTCGTGAATGTCGCAGATTAGTCGTTATTCTAGTAGATGAATATATCTGAATAAAAACAGAAGACGAGAGAAAGGAGACGGAGCGGAGGAGTGAAGATGGGGAGAGGAGAGGAGAAGAACAAGAAGATAGGAAACGAGGATGAGGCAGAGATTCGCCAGAACGAACTGAAGTATTTAAAGGATTGTTGCAGATCCCAGCTCGCAGAAAGGCTGTTATCATACCTGAGCAGGCTGCCCGAAAAGCCCAGATTGATCAACAATGCTGTTTCATGCCCGTCAGACGTTTTGTTTCTATTCGCCGCGCAACCCAGGTAGGGGATAGGGCGAACAAGAACATGGGAAAGAACGCATCGCCTCCAGTGGCTTTCAATAGAATTTGAGCGACGAGGCCGGGATTGGGCAGATTGACGTGGCCGAGATCAAGAAAGTGCTGTGGTATGGTGTGTTCGGTGAACTCGATGACTTTTGAGGTATGGTCTTGTCTGTTGAGTACTGAGTTTCCAAATAGTCGAGCTTGTCGTCCATTGCGCCTACTTGTATCTGGTATGGTCTGAGACATACGATCGATCGTTGTACACAGACCGAGAAACTATCCTCCGCAAGTACTCGTTGTTGCCCTGAATACGAAAGAATATCTGTGCTCTACATCGTAGAATTCTATACTAGCCTGAAATAAGGCTAAACGCAACGATCACCGACGAGGAACAAACATCGGAGGTGAACATGCTTGGCACGCCGTGAAGTAGAATTCTCCGTCACCTCCGTCCCCACTCAACACCACGAGACCCGAGCGCATCGCTCGTTCAAAGCCCCAGGGGCAAAGAAATTTCAACCAGCGAAAGGCTGCTCAAGAGTCAAGACACAGGTTTCACCACATAGCGTAAAGCGCTGGCGTTGATCGACCCGAACGAGAGGAACAAGACATCGCTTTTTCTTATCCTCTCCGAGCTCCCCATCACGGCTGTAAACCATGCCGCTCGCGAAACTGAACAATGCACGGCACTATCACGTCCGCGGGGGAGGTGAGGCCTCAGGCTGAAGCAAGAGGGGCGTGCAGCCATGGTGCGTGGTTGGAACGAGTCTGTGTCCGAGAGTCAAATCGAATGGAAAGGCGCACGGGAAGTGGATCAGTCCGACGAGGGATGATTTGCAGAGAGGCTGAAACATGTGTTCCTCTGACTTTGAAAGTGAGTCGCAGTATAAGAGCAGGTCGAGGCAGACACTGTCGATAGTGGCCCGCCTCCGCAGGCTTCTCCCGACGCATCTGCACAACGTTATCTACATTCGTGATGCAAGGGAGAGTACAGCTCCTCGAGTATGAGTCGAGCGTCTATACTTGTCCGAGACTGTTACCCCGAAGGCCATTCTTCGGGATGATGAAAACGAGATGGGAACGAGGACAACAATGACAGGCTGCTACCAGCGTGCAACCGTCGACTCGGACCCGGTGATGGTGATAACTTTTTTCAGCGCCAATATTGCAGACACCGTTGCATGCATCTCTCCATGTCCCCAACCATTTCGCTTGTAGAGCATAAATGCAGCTACACTTCTAAGCTTCGCAGGCACGCTCGACGCGCAGAAGGTATAGGGCACTGGTGACGCATTACGGCGATTTACAAGATGAAGGTACGAACTTGAGAGTATGCATTAAGTGGATGATGCTGTCATCTGAGTGGGCGGTTTGTGGAGAGGAAACGGTATGACGACTGCCGATTTCGAGTAGACCAAATGGCAGGTTAGCATTAAGGGAAGCGAAATATGAATGATAAAGCCGCCTGCACTCCGGAGGCGTCCACAGGAAAAGAGCAGGATACAGCTGCAGTGGACGTTCAAAAAACAGAAAACATACGAAAAAGGCACGCATTTGCGAGAACATATGGACAAAATCACGCGAGTCCGGTGCCGAAGCCGAAGGTGGAGGGCAACGGCCCCTATTGCATCCGTCTCACCTCCGCCAGAGTTGCCATTCGCGGTATCCTGCCGGAAAGCCGTGACCCTCGGCCGGAGGATGGCTGGAAGAGGGCGCTCGGTTGAGGTCGAGAATAAGAAGCGGGGTCGGTTGACCGTAAGACAATAATATAAGGGACCATGAGAGACGCTCAGCCGTTCCTCTTGGCCCTCTCTCCCTCTTACCCCCATCTCACGACCCTCGTCGTCGTCGTCTTCGTAGCCCCGCAACAACTTGGGCAACGTCGTCGGCGTTTTTCTCTCGACAAGACTTAAAGGGAGTCGAACAGGCTCTTGAGCATCGTCCAATTCAGTTTGGTCGAGGCAGACGAGAGAACGGGCGTAAAACGCGTTCTTGATTTACTTATAGGGATCTTCGAGCGCTCGCACAGGATCTGTATGTCCTTTTTTTCTGTTTCAGATCCATGTCCAGACCTGATGTTTCTAACATCGATGGTTGCACGGCTTGCGTGGCCTATTCTCGCCGTTTCTGGCTGCAGCCGATTAGCACTGCCGAGCACGTCCTGGGATCCGTAGTGACTTGCTTGCACAGCGGATATATCTCGCCCTCATCCCATCACAGCGCAGGCCTCTTCTTTTCCGCCTCGTTTGCTCTTTGCTTTTCTTCACCATGGCGGGACTCAGTACAGGAGGAGTCCTCCCGACGGTTTCGACTTCGAGCACGGCGCCTATCGCATCTGCGACGCCTTCATTCGCGTTCACTAATGTTCCGACAATGTACACCTGCGGACAATCTGTAGTCACTTGGGATTGGACGTCCACCGACGACGCAAACCTTCATGCCACGGTCGACATCCTCATCACTGACAGCGGACTCGTTCAATCTGCCGCGCCAAGCAACACCCTCAGTCAACCCACACAAACGACCACAGCCTCGGTATCGAGTACTAGTCTCCCGACGATCAACACAGTGCTTGCGCAGGACCTGGATGCGGCAACCGAGACTTGGACATGGGAAAAGACGAACGTAACGCAAGGGTGGTACATCCTCCAAGCATACGTCTCTTCCATAGACACCCTCGTCGCATCCTCCAACTTCTTCATTTTCAACGGAACCGACACTTCATGCTTCGACGGCACCGGCTCCTCTTCTTCTGCTTCCTCCTCTTCGTCCGCTGCTGCATCCTCCACACCCGCCGCCACTTCCGGCTCTCTCACCAGCACCTCCACATCCACATCCACCGCAGTCGCCGCCATCTCCCCCTCCGCCTCCTCCCACGCGGGCGCAATAGCAGGCGGCGTAATCGGCGGCCTAGCATTCCTCGTCGCCGTCCTCGGTTCCCTCATCTTCTGCTTCCTCCGCCGTCGTCGCCAACCCACCCGTGCCCGCGCCCGCGCTCAGTCCGACCTCTCCTCACGTCGTATCCACGGCTCGCCCGGTGGTGGTGGTGGTGGTGCGATCGCGTTCGGAGGCGCGTGGGACGCATTGACGAGTTTGCCGAATCGGAATCGCCATGGTAGGAAGAGGAGTCGGAAGGTTAGTGAGGGGAAGCATGAGTCGTCGAGCGCTGAGGGATTGGCGGTGAAAGCTGGACCACCTGCATATGGGTTCGGTATGCCGGCCGATGCCTATGCGGTCGGTGCGGACGGGATGGGTATGGGTATGGAGGGATCAGGGAATGCGCATGCGCAGGGACGTGGGACTAACGCGGGACAGGGACATAACTCGTCCTTCAGCCAGAGCCAGAGCGGGGATTCACACACCGTTGTTGATATCGGCAGGATGGGCAGTTTCGGCGGCGGCGGAAAGGGTGGTAATGATAATGGTAATGGGGGATGCATCAGCGCACCCGGTGATTCAGACGAAGACCTCTTCGCGGAAAAACTCGAGCTCGGGGACTCTGTCCATCCCGACGTTTTGCCTCTCCATCCCCCGCTTCCTTACGCCGCCGCCAACCCTCACGTGTTCAGTTCTTCAACGACGGCGCCTCAGATTCCGCCGTTGGCGTTGGGGAGCATGAGCACGCGGAACTCATCGACCAGTTCCGTTTTCCGATCTTCGCAGCAACGGGCGCTGTCGAATCCCTCGCCTCCGATGTGGACGCCCAATGGGACTCCGAGGGAGAGCGTGCAGAGTATCGATAGCGTTATGGCCGCGCGACTCGTCCGACCCGCATCATTGTCCGTCTCGCATGCTTCCGCTCCGTCTTCGCCACACGGCCATTCGTTCTTCAGTGGGGGCTCGGATTCGCACCAGCATCAGAGTCAGGCGCAGAGGAGGAGACAGAGCGCGGAGGTGATTCCGTTGGAGAGGTCGGGGAGTTCGGCGACGAGGAAGGGAGCGAGGAAGCCGGTGCCGAAGTATGATTCGAGGGAGTTTCAGGAGATGGATGCGTATGATGGGATCGTTGGTAGCGGGGAGTCGACCGAGTCGGTTCCCCACCAAGCGGGTATGCCGACGTTGCAGCATCAGTCGAGCTTTGGGAACTTGAAGCCGATGAATAATGTCCTGATTCCGGATATGCCGCCCTCGAGTATGCGTTGAGGGAGCGGATGTGTATTGCCTGAAGATGGTATGTGTGTATGCTTGGGGATGGATCGAGGTTTGATGTGCTCACGGGTCTTCTGTTTGCTTTGCCTGACGCAGGCGTCACTATCCGCTTCGTCGTTCGGCGTCGATGATCGTTCTCGTCCCTCGCTCCGCCGGTTCCGGGGCAATTCTCTCTCCCAACTCTTGCTCGGACACTTGCTTGCTCGCTTTTCTTGCTTTTCTTGCTCTGCCCGTGCTCTGGACACTCCACTCCCGCCCAATATCAATATCTATCCTCCCGTTCCCCCTCCCCTCTGGTCCCACATCCTTGCCTTTCGCATTACAAAATTCCGTTCCCGTTTATTTGTTGCTCGCACGAGCATTGATGTCTCTTTATGCCCCTTCGCTTCTCTTCTCTTCGTTCCTCCCTTCTCCCGTCCTCTCGAGATACCACTTGTCTAGTATCTATCCCCACGAAGGCCTCTTCTCTTCGTTATTCATAACAATCAAACAAGACTCCTCACCCTATCCGTATCTCACCACACTAACGAACTTGTCCCACCACACACCACAACCACCCGCACCACTTATCACTTACGCTACGTTACGTTACATTGCTTAAGCACTTTCTGCTTCTTGACGAAGAGTCCTCGTTTTACTTGACTGTCATTGCTTGCTTGATCGCTTATTTCACGCTGTTGTATGCTTAGGACACAAGACTTTTGTTCAATTTTTCTTATCTTTTTTTTTTTTTTGAGAGAGAGAGTTCGCGAGGTTTTTGCTGAAGTTGAGGTTACAGTATTGAGAGGTGACGACGTATTGGCATTTCTTGGATAAATCAACGATGGTGTATATGACGATGGTTATCATTATCAAAAGCGGGCGTAACTCAAGTCATAGACACGACGACTGGTATTGAACCGATTATAAAACAGCTGTGTGATGTCGAGAGAGAGGATAGCGGGAAGGAGGTCTACGAGCAGGGCTCGACGTCGGTGTCGTTAATGGCAGGGGTAGGACGGGGAGGCTGCTTGATCCTGGCCTTAGTCTCAGTCTCAGCATTGGTCTTCGTCTTAGCCTTCGCCTTGGTCTTGGTCTTGGTCTTGCCTCCTACTGTGGGACCCGTCGTATCGGATGTCGCGTCTGGTTCAGTCTGAGTGGATTTGTGTTTCTCTGGAAAAGCAAACAAAAATCGATCACGTTAGCGATGTGAGGGCCACACAACATACTGACGACCGACACATGCGAAAACAACGTACTTCTAATAAACTTTTCACTGAATCGTCTCGTCCAAGTCCACTGATCCATATCCAAGTACCACATAGGCCTAACTCCGGGAGCGACAACCTCTCCAAGTCTCTCAATATATTTCATCGGAATAGCCCTATCATAAATCGTACCCACACTCAAACCAAGGTGAAAGTTCACCTTCCCCTGCTCCACAGGATTGGGAACATACTGTCCGTCGCGAAGAAATATAATTTTAATGCGCCGGTCGCTCGGTATCACGCCCGTCTTCTTGTCGAGTAAGTTAAGATGTACAGAGCCTCTAGGCATGCGCCGTAGTAATTTGGGGTTATGCCGCGTTCGTCGCTGACGGTGGGGTAGATCCCGTGGCTGTGGACGAAGCGGAGGGCGCGGTCTGGGTCGAGGATCCAGCCGATGTGCATGAGCGGGGGAGAGGAATTCTCGCTTTTCGGACGGTTCGTGGATGAGATAGCTTGGAATATACTCAATTGGTTGACTTCGAAAAGAACAAATTCGATCCTGAGGGATCAAATTTTAAAAGTGGTTTGAGCACATACTTATGAGGAATCAGTCAGACGCTATGGAATAAGAAGCTGTCCGTTTTGACACTGTAGTTCAAGCGACGGGGCTTGACCTTTGGTAAGAAGAGGGGAAGTTCCTGCAAGAAGGGAGATTGCTGGGTCTCGGACGCCTCTGACATGAGATGAAACGAGTGAGAAGCTGGTCGGTCTTGTGTGATATAATTCGAAAAGAATCCGTCGAAGTTGCAGGACCAACGCTGCCGTGGCAAGCTTACCGTATCACTGTATCAGTGCCACACGGAGCAAATAAGACCAAACAAACATGGACTTGTGTCGCCACAATTGCTGCTCGTGCCACCTGTTGCACTCAAACTCACTAAAGGGCCTCCGCTTCTCCGACTCTTCTATGCTCCATGTCCACAATAACGACGACCGAATCAACAGAAATAACTAGCCAATCCTACGCTGAGTCATAAATGTACTATCAATAGCCTTGGTCTCGAGACATGGGTATGAAACGAGCACTGGAGAGCGTCAATGACTCGTGCGATTGTAGCTACACGCTTGCTCTTCAACGGCACCCTCTTCGACGATCGCACTGGTAGAAGGATGACCGGCAACCATAAGTGCGATGGTTTTGACGTTTTGACTGAGATATATAGCATAGTCGACGGACATCCTATCCTTACGGATATCCTCATTCCGAAGTCACTTCCTGAGGGCTATCATTGCCCAGTCATCGTCCGTCTCCATGGCGGATTTCTTGTGCGTTGCATACCTTTCGCCTCAAACTTTCATATATGTTTATCATATTCCAATGATCCTCGGGGCCTACTACTACAGCTCATGGGCGATCGTGGCTCGGACTGGTTGGCCTCCCATATGATTCAATTCGCCCTCTCTAAACACGCAATCCTCATCTCTGCCGACTATAGCCTCCTGCCTGAAGCCTCAGGCTCAGACATGCTCACCGACATCTGTGTCTCTCTCTGGGAATGGATGCTCAACTCATTCCCCACTATTGTTTCGAAGGCTCATCCTGGTGTAACACCGGATTTGACGAGGATCATGGCCACAGGTGCGTTGACGTTGATCGAGAATATCTCATGAGTGACTGACACTCTCACAACAGGCGAATCAGCCGGCGGATACCTCGCGACTCAGCTCGCTCTCGCTCACCCAAGCCCTTCTCCGTCGAGTAACAAACCCGGAATCACAGCTCTTGTCCTCGCCTATCCCCTCCTCGACCTTCTCAGTCCATTCTTCCTTTCTGGGGCTTACTATTCCATATCGAAATCATACACAATCATCGGGATCTCTCCTCCACTCTCCACTTTCACCAACCACATTGCTGCAGTCAAGGCTGGAAGGAAACCAAGTGTCGTCACGAATGGAATTGATCCCGAATCGGGTACTCAGGATGAGAGGGTGCAGATGGGGATGGCGGCAGTTTTGCACGGTAAATTGCCGGAGCTGTTAGGATTGGACAACGAAGACTGTTTCCCGATCGAACGTATCGGGCGTAGCGGAACCGCGCGCAACGATGGGAGTATCAGGAAGACTGAGATGTTGCCGAGAAGAGTGTGGATATATCATGGAAGTACAGATCACGTTGTGCCTCCAGAGGGAAGTCGGAGGTTTGTGGATGTTGTGCGGGAGAATTTGAGTGGGAAGGGGACTGAGGTGAAGTATTATGAGGATATAGGAGGCGATCATGTTTTTGATGTGGAGATGACACTGGATTCAGAGAGCAATGGGTGGCTGAGGGAGGGATATGACTGGGTTGAGGTGGCGTGGTTGGGTTTCGAGTAAAATTGGGGTAGATGTGTGTGCTTTCACGTTGTAATCTCTATGCACTATTGTCCTGTTTTCCAGCCTGGAATTACGTGATTTGACCCGCCCCACCTTGCAGCAGTCCATCACCGTTGAGAGTGGTCTGTGCAGTCTGTGGTGGGCTCGTTTTTAAGATGTTCCAAAAAGGTGGCGTCGGCGCGGGCCACAGTCGCTCCGTGGTCGGTAATCCAAGCGAGTTCCTCCGCCATACTCCATAAAGCCAAACTCGACTTGCGACCTCCATCACCTCGTGTTTGAAACTTTTCAAAGATTCCCAGTCAGAGAAGCTGACTCTTTTCTGCGCCCAGTAACAACCCAATGACCAATAACTCCAATGTCGAGTTGATCGTTGAGTCAGAGATGAAATATCAACACTCGGGCTCGGACACTGACTTCCCATCAGTGTTCGTGTTGATTGGAATTTGTGAGCTGACAGTACAACTATATAGGGCCTCCGATGACGATGCGTTTACACCAGTAAACCACAACCTGCCCCGCAGCAATGAATACCCACCCCAAGAGCGAAGGTTTTGATGTCCTCACGGAGGTATACAGCGTCGTCGACGGACATTCTATCCCAACCGACATCTTCATACCGAAATCACTTCCTGAGGGTCATCACTGCCCGGTCATCGTTCGAATTCATGGCGGATTCCTCGTATGTCCCACACTTCTCATCATGCTTGCGTCCACTATACTCTAACGCACCGTTAAATCCTACTACAGTTCATAGGCAATCGCGGTCCCGGCTGGTTCCCCTCCCACCTGCTCCAGTTTGCCTTGTCCAAACACGCAGTCATCATTTCCCCAGACTATCGTCTCCTACCTGAAGCCACAGGCGAAGACATTCTCACCGATATTTGCGTCTCTCTCTGGAATTGGATGCTCAACACCTTCCCGCGTATCGTCGCAGACGCTCATCCAGGCATAACCCCGGATTTGACTAGAATTCTCACTATAGGTGCGTTTACTTGCTTAATTGATCTATGACAACCCACAGACGACAGGTGCTATGTAACAGGTGAATCAGCCGGTGGATATCTCGCCACTCAGCTTGCTCTCGCCCACCCAAGCCACTCTCCTTCAACCAACGTACCCGGCATAACAGCCGTCTGCGGATCCTACCCCGTCTACGACCTCCTCAGTCCTTTCTTCCTTTCTGGTGCCTTCTCTTCCATCTCGGAATCATATTCCTTCTTCGGCAATTCTCCTCCCTTCTCCGTTTTCACGGACCACGTTGCAGCGATCAAGGCCAGGCAAAAGCCAAGTATCGTCACAGATGGAACCATCCCGGAACCGGGTACCTACAACGAAAGGGAGCAGATGATGGTGGCGGCGGTCTTGCACGGTAAATTGCCCGAGTTATTAGGATTGGAGAATGATGAGTTCTTCCCGATCGAACGTATCGAACGTAGCGGAACCGTTCGTGACGATGGGAGCGTCGGGATGTCGGTGGTGTTGCCGAGGAGGATTTGGGTTTATCACGGAAGTAAAGATCATGTTGTGCCAGTAGAGGGCAGTCGTAGATTCGTGCAGGTCGTGCAGGAGAAGTTGAGTGGGAGTGGGACGGAGGTGAGATACTATGAGCATGAGGGAGGAGATCATGGCTTCGACGCAGCAACAAACTTCGCCTCGGATGAGGATCGGTGGGTGAGGGAAGGGTACGCATGGCTTGAGGTGGCGTGGTTGGGAAGTTAGCTTGCTGTGAATTGCCCTGGAAGTCTGGTCGTCGACGATCCATATAGACAAATACTTAACTCGTGTCATCTGAAGAGGAATTGATCAGCGGTAGCACCCTGCCGACTCGGGTGTTCGTCTCGTAGCACGCTCTTCGAATTGGCTGAGTTGTATCAGGGAGTTCTCAGAATGGGATGCGTTTCGCGCTAAACTTGCAGTAAACGCAGACAACAATTGTTTGCATAGTTAATGACCTACATACCGTACATAGGAAGCATTTGCTCGTCTTTGTACGATCTATACTCAAGCTGAGGGAACGAAAACCGAAGGTCTTCAAACCGCGGACAAGAAAGGTAAGACATTGGAGATGGCGAAAGGGGAGGCATATATTGAAGAGGAAGGGCTAAGAGACAAAGATGAGGGCAAGGTCGTCGTAGGAGTTTCGGTCATACTTATGTGGGGCAATAAGCCGCTAAAAAGTACGAGAACTACTATATTGCGTTGCGAGATCGTCAGGTTCAGTTGTCGTGATCACCAAAGTCTCTAATAAGGAACGCTGACCTGTCAGTTGGAAACGCTCAGCTCGTCGCAGGCTGTCTCCCATTCCAAAACGGTGCCGTAGAACTCGACGCCACGCGCACTCAAGATGGGTTCTATCAGGTCCGTATCGCGACGAGGGCTCTCGAGGGTTAGGCAAAGATGACGAAGATGCGGAAGTGTATCTCCATCTTCCAAAACAGCGACGAATTCCGGTAAGACGCTCGGGGACGTGGCAGCTAATCGTTCGAGCGGGAGGTAGTAGCCGAGGGCCACAAGACTGTTAGGCCCGCGACGGAAGTGTCTTGGAGCCATGGACCCTCTTGCGATTCCTAGAATGCGAAGTACCGGCATTTGAGCGATTATATTTGCGAGAGCGTCATCGTCGCCGTGGGGGAACAGCATCGACCATGTCTCAGCGGAATTCCGTTGCTCCTGCGAGCGAGCATAGATCATGGGGAGAACGAGTTTGACTAGGCGATCCGACCAAACACGAAGAGCTGGGATGATACAAATTCTCGGATGGTCCGCGTGGAAACGGCGATGGACACGATGAGCGGCGATCTCAGTGAGGTTTGGGGCGAGCGTCGACAATGTCTGCAGCTCGGATTCGGACGTCATACAGTCCACGAGCGAGGCGTGCCGTAGATGAGGGCATGCATTTTCGATAGGACCAGAACTCCATGTGATTATCGGAGATGCGCTAACTATGGCCTGATGAAATTCGCGGTCAAACTGGGCCTGCGAAGCATGGGGTGCGCGGAATGACTGACTCGTCCAAGGTGTTTCATAGAGGGCGTGCCGTCCGCTGTCTCTGATGATACATGTTCCCCGATGAACAACGACACTTTCTAGCATGGTAAAGTGCTTCAAAAGCAGGAAAAGGTCTTCTGCGTCGCATAGGGGGTATGAGTATCCTGCGAGGAGACGGTGAGGAGACAGGATGAGTCTCCGCAAGTGATGCCTCTCCTTCAAACTCTGGAAAATCGGAAGGACGCCTTCTTGAGCCCACCCGCGGAGTTCAAAAACCCGGAGGTTTGGGGTGCATTGAAGGATACAGCCCAGATGGTTTGCTTCGTTAGAAGATCCGCTGATGGTTCCCGTGTGGATTTCGAGGACGAGCTCAGCGAGATTGCTGTTCTTTTCCATTGTCCCCCTGAAGAGTGCCAATGACTCAGAGAAGTCGCATTTAAAGGTAATGGGCCCGAGATATACGCGAGAGTAAAGTCCCTCTCGGGCTAAATCGCGAAAGGAGGAGTCGACTCGAGCTAAGACCGCTAGGGTAGAGTTGGGGGTGAAGTTGGGGGTGAGCTCGTCCCTGCTTCCGATGGGTCGATCAAGAACGACCTCTTCGAAGATAGCCCGGCAAATTTCGACAGGGACTCTCATGTTAGATACTATTGAGACCAAAAAAAAGAACATCTAAGCGCGGCACAATATTCTGAGATCAATATCCCAAACATTCTTACTTCTTTGGATGGCCTGATTCCGGTAAGCAAGCTTGAGACAAGAGTTGACAGCAGTAACTAGTACTGGGGTATACCTGAAGGACTCGTTATCCTAGAGATGAGATGGCCAGGCTGACTGCAGCCTACCTGATGACCTTTCCTTTTCAGCACCGTGGAGACCTGCAAGACTTCCGGGTCGTAAACTGCTCTCACAGATGCAACGGGTCAAGTGTGTTGCGTTCGAAGGTGAGCAAAATGAGTGGTCCGCAAGTATTAGAATGTAGGGTAGGTGACGGACCTGTATGATGTGGTACAGATGAAGGACGCGAGGAGGCTTAGTACCTGTTGAGTCAGGCCGTACCTTCGGTGAGGCGAGGAGTTTGAAGTCCGGCTGTGTCCGTCGTCCGATACGACTTTGCTACATACTCCGATTCTCGTTCTACTCAACCCTCGCGATGGTGGACAAACGCTCTTGTATGTTACTGATTTATGAACAAAGAAGCTATAATAGTACTTGTATAACTCAGCTCACTCATCTCTGTCCGTCACACTGTTAACTACAGGCCTATGACCACAGGAAACATACTGTACCCCTTCCGCATCTGAGTCACCTTCCGACTCCTCGTCGAGCTACAATCGTACACTCACCCTCTTGGAAGCCTAGATGTCTCTTTCCTGCGCGTTCCTGTTTTATATGGGTCATCGTTCTGCAATATTTCTTTCGTGCCCGAATAAACAAACAAACCGTGAATGACCAATATATATTCGATGCTGAACACTGAACGGTCCAGGAGGCCGAAGCATTGCAAGTGCTACCCAAAAGTAGTGAAACCATCATCACATCCAGAAGCCGACCCCTTGACCGTTGATCGTTGAACATTGAACTGCCGTGCCATCATCCATGTCATGCGCAATAAAACAAATTGTCCTGCAAGAACTTGGGGAACTGAAACTCGGAGAAGTTGATAAGAGAAAAAGAAAAGGAGAAAATCTGTACAAGATATGAACGAAAGAGCTTCCCATCCCTTGCCATGCCTTTGCCATAGCTATCCACCCGACCTCGAAACCAGAATCCTCCATATTGACAAAACAGTAGAACGATTGAACGATTGACGACAGATGAGACGGTCAGCCACGCTTTACTATGACTAGGTATGAGACGAATGTACAAATTGTAAGGAAGAAAGAAGAGCGAAATAAAAGGGAACGAGACGGACGAGAAGGAGAGATTGAAGGATTAAGTCATTGACGAGAGAGAGAGAGAGAGAGAAGGGACAGAGGGCGGAGGAGACAGAGGCGAGGAGTAAAAAGGATCCACGACTGCGGCGCTTTGAGCCAAGAGAAGAGGGTGATAACGTGACGATGTAGCGCGAGGTTGCAGCGAGTTGAGGTGCGAATGTGAATATGAAAGTCCGCAGTCGGAAGTGGTAAGGATGAACACGATGGGGATACCAACATCACACCAGAGTGAGTCGATGCGACGTATTAGAAGTATGGGATACGGGGATGGACTTTCAATCACACCTGACATCACGACTATTCAGCCCACGACAACCACACGCCAGCCCGCCCGCTCAACGCGGGATCGCATTCTCTTTCGCTGCCGCCGTCCCTGTCGCCTGCCCCCCCTTCGCCGTTCCCGCTACCTGATCCGCCAACTGTTCAAACTCCGCATCCGCCTCCTTCCCATCAGCCGCCTCCTTCAACAAACTCATCGTACTCTCCAAACTTCTCCTCCTCGTACTCGGACTCGTCATTGTCGTCCCCAAACTCGCCTGCCTGCCGTGTCCCCTCCTGAACGGATGTGGAGACCCAGCCGAGCCCGTCGTAGGCGAGGCCGGGATCGAGCCGGGCGTGGTGGCAGTGGCGGTATTGATGGACGTGGGAGACGTGGCGCCGTTAGAGATGGCTTTTTCGAGAGCGGCGGCGACGCCGTTGGCTGGTGGGGGCCCGCCTGCGTCCATGGATTCGCCGGGGGTAGTGGGTTGTGACATGTATGCTTTGCCCTCTGCGGAGTCGGCATCGACGAGCTCAGGAGGAAGACGCTCGTTTTCGATATCCGATTTCCGGCTGGTGTAGAATGGGGTGGTGGAGGCGATGGAGCGTGTAAGTATCGGTCAGATCCTAAGAGAAGGGAGACCAAGAACTTACGCATCGTCGAAGGTATTGATGGCCTCCTTGATACCCTCAGCGCCCGAAGCCAGCGTCCCGTAAGGCAACTTGCTCGAGCCAGAGATACTCTTGAGCTCAGACACACGTTCTGATTCCTCACTATATCACGATCAGGTAAAGGATCAGACAGATGGAGTCAGGAATAAAAGAACAAGAACAAGAAATCACACGGACGAAGTCAGTCAACAAGCACACGGAGGAAGATCATCAAAACGTACCGCAAGAGCGAAAAAACCCTCGACATCCTGCCCACAGCCAAGATCTTGTTCCTGATGACCTTTCTCCTCTCCGCCGAGTCCTCCGCCGTCTTCGCCGGAGTAGACACCTCCGATGTCGTCTCCTCGTCCGAACTCTCCTCGAGCTCCTCTTTCGTGCACGTGTTCAACACCGCGACCAACATGTCCGTGACTGTAGATCATGTATGTAGATGCAGAGCGCACGTCAGTACCCGGTGAATATTGCGTATAAAAGAAGTGGAGAACACGAGATACGGGTAAAGGAGAAAGGTACGCACTCTTCTCCCCGACGAAGGGAAGACTCCACGTGAATGCGTCCATGAAGTTAGGCAGCCAGTACGGATGAGGCGTACAGTTGAACTGCCGGATGTTCAATACATTAGACTCGTACTTTAGGATGGCAGCCTTATTGTTGTACACGTCAAGATAGTTCGGTGCTGAGAAGAGCGTCATGACCGACGGGAACCCTGTTGACCGCGTTTTGCGGTACATCCGGTATCTGTGCGTTGTGATCAGCGACCACATCCACGAATGACAACCACAACCAACATCCAACATCTAGCCAAGAAAAGACATCCACTCTTCCGCTCCCTCTAACCGAAGATGAAAGAAGAAGGCTTACCCAGCGTCCTGCGCCTCATGAGCCCTAATAATCGACAACAGCCTATTCCTCTCCAAGAACTGACAAGCAGCCTGATACGTGAAGAAATACGAACAACCCCTAACATGGTTATGCACAAAACTTTCCGAGATCTTCTCTTGCCCAAAGTCTTCCACAGGATCAGACCATAGGATATCGCACATGATACCAGACGTCGGTGGCTCGCGGAAGCGGTCGATCTGTCCGAGTCCAGGAAGAACAGAAGTACTCAGGATCAGCATGATATCAGAGATTTCGTAAGGAAGGATGGTCGGGAGGGTAGGTAGTGGATGGTGGAATGGGATGCTCACGTTGCGGATGTCGTCGAGGGTGTTGAGTTCGGGCGAGAGACCACCGTGGATACAGAAGAATTGCTTGTTCATAATGGCGGCGAGGGGGAGTGCGCAGAATGAGTCCATGCAGGCGTCGTATATCCGCTCAGAGTACTTGCGCTTGCCTATATATATGCAATATATATAATGAGAAAAAAAATAGGTGCGACATATCGAATAGGGGCGAATATGGTATGAGGTACGTACACTCAAGTTTGAAGGTGAAGTAGTCGGTTAAATGGCGACATTCGTGATTGCCACGGAGGAGGAAAATGGTGTCGGGGTACCAGATTTTGAGAGACCAGAGGTAGAGCACACACTGATACCGAAATATTCATCAGTATATAGAAGCAATCTTGTTCCGCCTGTGCGGAATCAGACGTTAGGTCCAGCCATTTTTGTAGCTCATGCATGTCGTAACTTCTCGGGTATGTCAGCAGCCGCCAGAGATGTATCGTACTCGTCGGTTCTTCTCGAGGCACATATGCAATCGAGCGACCAGGGGAGGATAAGAAAACATAAGCACATATGTGCCTATGCTAGGCGAGCTGCCATAACTACCCAGCGGGTGTGTAGTAAGGGTCACCGCCATGATTATCAAGCTCGTACGAGAGCGAGATGCTCGCAAGGGGTTCCCATATGGGAGACTTGCAAGAATCACCGCACAAGCATGACATGACTGGGACCGAGAAAGAACAGTGATTGCAAGACATACCTCGATAGAGAAATATCCTCTGTCAACGTAATCACCCAGGAAGAGATATCTTGTCGTTGCGGGGTTTCCACCGATCTCGAACAACTTCATCAAGTCATACTAAGCAAAAGACGGAGGGACAGGTGCATCAGTTTCAATCAAGAGAGGTAGTGGGCATGAAAGAGATTGGAATTGCGCCAGACGATGCATCGACAGATGCCTTCAGTAGTGCTGCATGTTCGGCACGGAGCATCTTCTGAAGGAGGGTAATAGTAAAGCGGAAGTCGTTCGATATGTTGTTTGCGGTCGAGTAAGTGGCGACTCCACAAATACGGTCAAGATGGGCTCAGAGTAGTAACAGTATCACCACAGAGCGTGCTTTCCATTCCATTTCGTTGGAAAACGCGACCTCATGGCCGAAGCAGGCGAGGAAGGGACCATGAGGAATGATCTGCGAACGCGCCACATTTCGCCCAAACGGTGGGCGATGCAAACGACGACGACGAATCACCAAGATAGGGAACTCACGTATTGTCCATGAATATCACCGCATACTGTATCATCACACATCACACGAATCCGTCCATCAGCCAACACGAAAGATCTCGAGAGGAAAGCACGCACCGGTGACGGGAGCGTCGACACTGAGGAGATTCGGCTCTGCCTTCAACACTTCCGTTGCTTTTTCGATAATAAACATGGCATGCTCTTCCGATAGTCTTCCCTCACGATACAGATGATTCTTGAGGAACGCAATGTCAGGTTTAGTCGGGTCCTGTCGCGAGTAGAACTGCTCGTCTGTCGGTAAGACCATCGCGGGCGCTTGAACCTAATAACAGCCCAATAAGAGTGTACTCGTCAACACTCATACCTCGACCTCGACCAGTCAGATAGTATGTATATTGTTCCATACCTCCTTCACGACACGTTCCTGAGTAGAGATGGTATATCCATTGTCGAGCTGATGTTGGGTAAAGTCGATTTCAGGAATCGGGGCCTTATCTTGTATTTGGTGGATCGCCCGCTCAAGCTGTGTATTCCCCGACATTGTCGCTGGTATTATCGTCAAATATTAGGTAGCAAGAGAGCGACGGTCGTAAAAACGAGACGAAGAGCGGCACGGCGGGTGCTAAGGAATATTGGTGATGGGGGTGAAGGGCAAGAGTCGACGCTCTCTTCTCGTCCATCTCGTCCGCTCGCACGCGGCAAAGGCCGCCTGCGACCGCCACTCGTAACGAGCTCATTATTTCGCCCTTATTAATTGCCCGTAACCACGACCACGGCACCGCTGGCAGCGAACCTCGATCTTCTTCTGGTCTTGAAAATGGTGATAAATTCCTGTCATAATTAGCCGTGCACAGATGGTTCGATTAAGGGGCATGCCGGTGGTCATCGGGCCACAGTGGCACTTTACGAGTATATGGGTATCTGTACGCCACAGATCAGTCAATTCTTCTCCTCAGACGCCCATCATCGACATTTCAGACGCTGTGCTGTAGGCTGGCGTTCTCGGATTCTGCTGTTTTCCCACCCGCATAAGAGCTAGAGCACTTACCATACATAGAAGCACCATGTCGAATTTCACCTTTGATTTTGACCTCGACGATGACCTCGACGATCAATTTGACTTTGCAGTAAAATCCACAGCAGAGCCCACAAAAAGCGCGACGAAAGTAGAAGAAGAATATGAACCCTTTGTTGAAGTGCCCATCGCAGAGCTCGTGCGTATTTTTGACTATCATCTTTTCGGGTCACATTGTACTCATACAGGTACCATTTCCCTGAAGTGCAGCTCGCATCACTGCCAGAGAGCATCTCATACTCACCACTCGTGATTCAGCTAACATCTCCCTCATCCGAAACCTTGCAAAACGAGACTACACCGTCCGTAGTACTTTCCCGCCGGGACCTCTTCGATGCCCGTCTTCAACTCATCGCCTCGAGCACGGAAGAGCAAGAAAACGAAGAAGGAAGAGTCAGCGGACTTGACTTCATAGAGGCACCTTCGGATCTTGTTCCTGGGGTGTATGAAGGTGGGCTGAAGACGTGGGAATGCAGTATGGATTTGGTGGACCATTTGCACGATAGTATTCATGGTGCTGGTGAGGCTGGTAAGGGTTCGATCGGGACAGTGAGAGGGAAGAGAGTACTTGAGGTGTGTCCTACTTTCAACGGAACTATTCATTCAGTCGAATATTGATGGCATGTGTTCCTGTAGATTGGATGTGGGACGGCTGTTCCATCGCTATACCTCATGCAAGAATTATTCACCAATCTCGTCTGCGAAAATGGCTCTGATTCCAATCACCCCGTCGTCGCCACACATTTCCACCTACAAGACTACAACCGCTCCGTCATAGAGCTCGTCACACTCCCCAATATCATACTCGCATGGTGTATGTCCGCAAGATCCCCATGCTTGACTTCCCCTCGAACAAACCAACTGAACCTATGACCCTCTTAACAGACATGTCCCCCCTCTCCGCATCCTACCGCTTCACTCTCCCACCTCCTACCCAAAACTCCGAAGAAGACTCTGAAGAAACACAAATCGACCACCCCAACCCCTCCTCATCCACTCCCGGCGAACTCACATTCACACCCTCACTCCTCACCGCGTTCACATCCAGCCTGTTCCAACATAACATCCATATCCGCTTCTTCATAGGATCATGGGACGGGTTCAACGTCGGTTCATTGTGGCGCTCTACTCCTTTGAAATCGGACGACGCGGGGAAAGGGCCATATTACGATATAGTCCTAACATCGGAGACGATCTATCGCAGCGAGAGTCTACAGGCTTTGCTGCGCGTCCTGCGCTCCGCGTCGTCTGGTACCACAGAAAAGACGCTGGAGGAACGCGCCGCAGACCTATCGCTAGATGGTGTGGCCAGCGGCGCTGGTTCAAAGAGAGGTGATGTAGAGGATGAAGGCGGACATGGACAGGGAATATGTCTCGTAGCAGCGAAGGTGTTGTACTTCGGAGTAGGCGGCGGCGTGCAAGATTTCATCAGGGCGGTCGAGGACAGCCAAAGTCCTCAGAACGAGAGCGAGGGCAGGAGTAAAGGCAGCGTACAGACTGTTTGGGAGAGGAAGGAAGGCGTTGGGAGGAAGATCATGCGGGCTAGATGGCGATGAATTCGAGTGTCGCTGTCTCTTTCATTATAACGTGTATGTGAGTGCTCTGCTTTGGCATGTAGACGTCGGGTGGAGGTTTGAGTCGGATTTGACTTCGATTTTCAGGTTGGTCGACGTAGGTCCAGATATGCCAAGTAGACTCGCATTTCGAAAAATCGAGCGAGCAATTCGATCGAGTCCTCGTAGGTCCCTCCGGGTCAACCTCGTACCATCAAGACCGGTTCGGCAGAGCGAAGGAGTGTGTCCTGAGCGCATGGAATATGCACAGAACTGTGGGTCAGCGTACAGTTATGTGCGATGACCCAGGGTTTTGTGAGAAGTCGAGGTGCGACGACACCTTTGAAAATCGTTGTAAATTTTAGGAGGCTTTAAGAAGGCTTGGATGGCTCGCGCTCTGCCTCGTACCGTCGAGTTCCTGCCAACTTGAACATGTTTACTTCTCGTCAGATCGGCGGCCAACTGAACCGCGATAAGAGCAATGTGGCGCGGGGAACGCTTCTCACGCCGGAGGCAAATTCCAATTCCATTTCTCCTCCCACCGTTCGAGTGGCCTCGCCGCCTCGGCGTACTCACAGGCCTCCTCCCTGAAATGTTTCAACTTCTCCCATGGCCAGTCCACACTAAACAACACCCATAGCCGGTGACGCGGATGCGTTGACGTTCTTCTTTCGAGAAGCCTGAGATAGAGAACATCGATCCAAGCCATGGCCATATACTTATCTTTATCTGCTCGAGCTCATGACGACCCTCCCAGATTTTGCTCTTGCTCTTCTCCCGGGTTTCTGCTTCTTCTCGCACTCTCACCCTGCAGCTTCGTCGTGCCAGTCTTGAGCGCCTGTGAACCTTCGTAGCTTTGGGCGTCATCAGCAGTCCAGTTGGCAATGCTTGACTTCGAGAAGAACAGTTCGGTGGACAAAGTGGATACTGAGAAGCAGGTGCATATTGGGGAGGTCGAGGAGAATGCATCTTCAGACGGTCTGGAGGTCAATGCAAGTGGACATGTATGTTTTATCTTCCTGGCTTTCCGGTCGTTTTGACCTGGACTGGAAGAGAGGCTGACTTTGGTATTGGTGTTTTAGAGAGACCAGTTGACTAGACAATATGGCACGCTAAGTATTTGCGCTACTGCTGTAACTATCGGTGAGCAGCGTTATTCGTTTCTCATTGAGTTCAAAATTGAAGTGCTCACATTTTCCCCCTTAGATAATGCGTGGGTGGCGTTTGGAGGCAGTATTACTACAGCCATCTACAATGGTGGGCCACCGGGGATTCTATACGAACTGATTGCCGCTTGCTGCTACTATGGGTATGTGTTCACTCGATTCACAGAATGATATGCTCCTTATTCGTCACCGAAAACAGATTCATCGCAGCATCGCTAGCGGAACTAGCTAGTTCCATACCTTCTGCGGGAGGAGGTACGCGATTTTAGCTTGGCCTCGTCAAGACAATCTGAGCACAACTGACTTTCGACCTTCGACCTCTCAGTCTACCACTGGGCCTCCGTCACTCCCGGTCCCCGCTGGGGTCGTAGCCTCGGTTTCCTAACCGGTCTCCTCAACTTCTACGCCTGGATCTTCGGCATCACCTCCATCGCCTTCGTCTTTGGCGAAGTCACAGTCCAGATGTGGGCCCTTTTCCACCCCGACTACGTCATTCAAACCTGGCACGTCTTCGTCTCAGTCGCGCTCGTCAACGTCCTTTCCTGCGCTCTCGTTATGTTTGGGAATGGGCTGCAGCCATTACTACAGAAGTGCGGGATTGTCGTGGTTGTGGGGGGTGGGTTGACGACGATCATTGTGCTTGCGGCGATGCCAAAGGAGCATGCGAGTAATGCGTTTGTGTGGACGGATTGGGTGAATGCGACGGGGTGGAGCTCGGGGACTGCGTTCTTGACGGGTGAGTATTATTTGATTTTGTGGAGAATATTTGGGGAGTACGTGACTGATTCATTTACGCGGTGCTTAGGCATGTTGAACGGGTATGTGTGGTCGTGGTTGAAGAAAGTCGGCGTTCTAACGGTTTATTTGTTGGTTGAAGTTCCTTCGCCATTGGTACACCAGACTCTGTCACGCATATGGCCGAGGAGCTACCACATCCGCGAAAGGATCTTCCCAAAGCGATAGCTGCTCAAATGATTGTCGGGACGCTTGGTGAGTGATGCGTCTCTTCCTCTCTCATCATGTCGCTAACATTAGACGGGCCACAGCATCCTTCATTTACGCCATAGCACTACTCTATGCTATCTCAGACCTAGACGCCGTAATCAACAGCAGTGCATCGTTCCCTTTGGCGGAGGCTTATATCCAGGGGACCGGGAATAAGGGAGCAGCCTTTGGACTCCTCTTGATCATCGCATTGGCTATCTTCTGTGGTCTTCAAGGCGTATACATCACGGTGAATACACTCTTATTTCTGTCCTAACCTTGGGTCTGACGATCGACGCTCGATTGTCCTGCAGTGTGGACGTGTTCTGTGGGCTCTTGCTCGCGACAACGTCATTCCATTTTCTGGTACATTTTCGCAAGTTAACACAAGGCTCAGTTGTCCAATACCCGCCACAATCTTGGTTTGTGCGTCCATCTATCGAAATACTCTTAAACTTCCCTGGCTGACTTGATTCATTTACCCACCAGTCTTCCTGAGCGTCGGCATCGCCGCCATCGCCCTAGGCAGCGAAACCGCCTTCTCCAACCTCGCTAGCTCTTTCTGTGTCATCAGCACAGTCTCCTACCTTATCCCAATCGCTGGCCACCTCTTCACCGGCCGGCGCAACATCCCCCGCGGTCCCTTCTGGATGGGCAAATACGGCTTCTTCGTCAACGGAGCCGCCGTTCTTTTGATCGTCTTCATGAACATCATGTACTGCTTACCGTACTCGATACCGACGACGGTGGAGACGATGAACTATAATTCGGTGATATTTGTAGGGTTCGTGGTCGTGACGGCGGTGTTGTGGGTGGTTCATGGGTGGAAGAAGTATGAGGGACCGAAATTGCCACATTTAGATGAAGCAGGGCGGGTTTTAGAGGATGAAAAGTAGTGTTGCACGTTTAAGGTTCGTGTATCTTCTTCTGCCTAGTACTATGAGCGCTGTCTGAACTCTTTTTTTTTTGCAGTAGATAGTGATAAAAATGTGCAGATGATTTGAAGTCATAGGTCATCCGCTTATGTCCTGTCTGACCAGTTGGAGATTGTGCGGTGCAGTGATACAGAGTCGTCCACCGATAAACAACTCCGACAATGCGGCATACTCGTGGGTGCTTTCTAACTCCTTTGCTGTCGTCGTTCTCTATCTGACGGGCGTTCAAGGTTCAGCGAACCCATATCGCCTATATCTAAAGGACTATAAAGTTAGATCCCACACACTTGTGCGCATGACGATGGCGCATACCACAAAAGCTCTAGTCATGTTTTGTCCGTTCAGAGCTTCCTCGTCTGTTCAGAGCTTCCTTGTGGCGCTCAGACTGACCGGCTGAATGCTTAATTTGTGCCTATGAGTCACGCACACTGTCTCCTATTGCAGTCCTTGATACAAGAACTTCTATCAAGCGCCGAGGTCTCCTTAGGACAGTCATTTCTATTCTTGTATGATAGTCGCCTGTCGAAGAATTCTCAATGTGCCTTGGGTCTTCACACGAGGATACCTCTGCTCTCACACTGAGGGGCAGGAATGGAAGATGTTGCCTCTGAGTTTGTGCGACCATGCCATAATCTCCGTCCTGTTCAAGACGCTCAGTGGTGACGGCCGGTGATGCCCTGTGCCCCGTTTCCTTCCTTCTTACATTCACAGTCTGCAACTGAGCTCTAATCCTTATGTCGGAGCTCGAAGACAAGACCTCCCTCGAAAAGGTCGACAGAGAAAAGCAAGTGGCTCAAGCAGCGACAGTTGTTGAGGTCAATGCTAGTGGGCATGTAAGTCTTCTGCGCGGTCATTCTTTCATAACGCTTGGAGCCAATCAAAGCTTATTTCTCTAGGTCGACCAACTCGACAGACAGTATGGACTGCTCAGTGTTTGTGCCACAGCCTTGACCATCGGTGAGCTCTCAACCCCTAGCGCAGGGTCTGTCAAGCAGAGTTGAAAACCGGAGTGTTGACTTTACTCATTACAGATAACGCGTGGGTTGCATTTGGTAGTAGCATCACCACGGCAATATCAAACGGCGGCGCACCTGGACTCCTCTTTGAACTTCTCGCTGCATGTTTCTATTACGGGTGAGTAACAACCACTCGCTGAGTAGGACAATGTTCATGAGTCGACAGGTTCATCGCAGCCTCACTGGCTGAGCTCGCCAGCTCGATCCCTTCCGCAGGCGGAGGTACGCCATATGTTCATACCATTCATATTGTGTCTGATAGCGAGACGGATCTCGCAGTGTACCATTACGCGTCCGTAACTCCCGGAAGGCGATGGGGACGACCACTTGGCTTCTTCGCCGGCTACCTCAACTTCTTTGCCTATGTGTGTGGCATTTCGTCGTTTGGCTACGTCGGCGGCGAGGTTATCATCCAGATGTGGGCTCTCTTTCATCCAGAATTCGTCATACAAGATTGGCATATCTTCCTTCCTACGGCTCTCATCAACATAGTCTGCTGCATGATCGTCGTATTTTGCAACTCGTGGCAGCCAGCTGTACAACGACTCGGCAGCTTCGTGGTTATCGCGGGTGGTTTGGTGACGATCATTATTCTGGCAGCCTCCCCGAAACAGCATGCGTCCAGTAGGTTTGTTTGGACGGACTGGGTGAACGTTACTGGGTGGAGTTCGGGGACTGCATTCCTGACAGGTAACACGCGTCTGTCCTCACAATCGAGAAAAAAAACCTGACTTTTTTTTTTTGGTTCAGGCATGCTCAACGGGTATGTGCACTTTCAAGCCACGACTAAACAGACTCCGCTGTGTTGACACTCGTTGAAGTGCTTATGCGATTGGGACGCCGGACTCCGTTTCCCATCTTGCAGAGGAGTTACCTCATCCCAGGCGAGATCTTCCACGAGCTGTCGCTGCCCAGATGATATTTGGCACACTGGGTAAACGTTTCCCCCTTCTAGTAAGGCAGGCCCAAAACTGACCGCATACATATCAGCGTCCTTTGTCTTTGCCGTCGCACTGCTCTATGCCATTACCGATCTAGACGCCGTCGTCAACTTTCCTGGATCTTTTCCATTGGCCGAAGCTTATATTCAAGGAACCACAAATAAGGGAGCTGCGTTTGGCTTGCTCTTCATACTCTTGCTAGCGATATTTTCCGGCATGCAAGGAGTCTTTATGACAGTGAGCTGTGTATTTTATCTTCTTCGAGTTCAATATTGGTGCTGATCGGATACCTCTTCCAGTGCGGACGTACATACTGGGCACTTGCCCGGGACAACGCCACACCCTTCTCTGAATTCTTTGCGAAAGTCGCGCCACAACTGAGTTGTCCTGTTCCGGCCACAGTTCTTGTCGGTGCGTCTTATGTGAATATGCTTGTTTTTCTCCTCGTGAAGACGTTCCATCCTTGTTTTATAGGCGTTCTCAGTATAGGACTCGCCGCCATATCCCTCGGAAGTAAAACCGCATTCTCAGATCTAGCCGGGTCCTTTGTCATTCTCAGCACTATATCCTACCTCATCCCTATCGCGGGCCACCTCCTCACTAGGCGACGAAGCATACCTCGCGGCCCGTTTTGGATGGGAAAATATGGCTTCTTCGTCAATGCTATGGCTGTTCTCCTTATTATTTTCACTAACGTGATGTTCTGTCTCCCCTTTGCGATGCCTACGAGCGAAGAGACGATGAACTATAGTTCGGTTATTTTTGTAGGCCTTGTGGTGCTCATCGGTGGTTGGTGGCTCTGGCATGGGTGGGGGAGTTATCCGGGGCCAAAATTACCACACATCGACGAGGCGGGTAGGATTCTGGAAGATGAAAAGTAGCGAGCACAAGATCTCCGCGGCATTGATCATACAATATGCTCATGTGTTGTATTATTGGCACTTGCTTGGCGGTTTTCTAATACCGGTGGTATTATATCACACCCTCGAACAACAGAGACCTTCCATACTCGGATAGTCCGAACATAGCGAAAGGTGCAATTTCATGTCCGTCATGTCGCCTTATCAGCAACCATTCCTTTTTCTCTGGGCAACGCCGCCGATCGTTCAACCGCTACTGTTCGAGTTTGAGTCTTTGCATTCGGGGTTGTGCATTCCGCGTTCTCGGCGGCTTAGGCTCTGCCATCCACATCCACTGGCGCCATGACCTGCTGATAGGTCTCGACTTGGATCTTCTCCATCGAGATATATGGAAAAGTCTCATGAGCCTCTTGGTTGCGTAAATTTGGTGAGTTTAATCCCTGACTTGTATCCGTAGCGAACTCCATATCTCAGCTTTCAAGGCCTTCTTCAGACTCCAAGCCGAAATATATGTTCTTCTCAGCATCAACTTATTGACGACTTCTCTGTTGAACTTTTCATCTCACGTTGCACAAGACATACTGGGGTGAGTTTCCTACGAGGTTCCGGCATGGGAGCAGAACTACATTACTTGTCGAAAAGTCTATTTTGAGAGACCGCACATGCAGGTTCTTCAGAATGTTTCTTCGAAAGGTATAAACAGAACTGAGCCGCATAAGGGCGACCATGGACTGCCTGTTATCTAAAAGCTGCAATGCGATTCCTCGACGTATCTGTTGGCGCCTCCTTTGTTCGCCCATTCACCACTTCAGAGCAAAGCTATAAAACAATTATCTCACTAAGAATCTTCGATGGCGCTTGAGAAGTTAGACGGAGAGAAGCAGCTTGATGAAGACTTGCCGTCAGTGGAGATCATCGAGGTCAATGCTAGCGGCCATGTACGTGATACCACTACCACTTGTCTGCTGGTAGAAAGCTGATTCAGTATTGTCTTCGCAGGTTGACCAACTCAATAGACAGTATGGGCTACTCAGCATATGCGCTACAGCCATAAATATTGGTTGGATCTCTACGTTTCTCTTCTTTGTGCCAGCTTCCTTTGCTAATGACCATCCCGGCCCTGACAGACGGCGCCTGGATAGGTTTTGGCGGAAGTATCAGTACGGCCATATTGAACGGCGGCCCACCTGGGATCATGTATGAATTGCTCGCAGCATGTTTTTATTACGGGTGAGTAAGATGCTTTGTCGTATGTAGACTTTCTTAACGTATCAATATCACGCGGTATAGGTTCATCGCGGCATCTCTCGCAGAACTGGCTAGCTCTGTACCATCGACCGGCGGAGGTATGCTCATATGTCCCACTGGCGGAGACTGACAAATTTCCTCAACGTCGACTGCTATTACAGTGTATCATTGGGCCTGTGTCACTCCTGGCCCCCGCTGGGGGAGATCCCTAGGTTTCTTCGCCGGGGTCATCAATTTCTTTGCCTACATATTCGGACTTTCTTCATCCGTCTATATCGTAGCAGAGGCTGTCGTCCAGATGTGGGCTCTATTTCGCCCGGACTTCGTCATTCAAGCCTGGCACACCTACGTCACACTTGTCCTCATCGCCTTTCTTTCATGCGCAACGGTCATATTCTTGAACGCGTTACTTCCGGCGGCTCAGAAGATAGGAGGATTCATCACTACCGTCGGTGGGCTCGTAACCATAATCACTGTGGTTGTGATGCCACGGCATCATGCATCACATACATTCGTTTGGACCGACTGGGTAAATCGTACGGGTTGGAGTTCAGGAACTGCGTTCTTGACAGGTGAAGGCTCTCTTCTTCTATCTATTCACGAACATAAAATTAACAATTATGGTTGACAAGGCATGCTCAACGGGTGCGTGCAATTCAGGAAGTGTCCAAGCGATGCATTGATTATTCGTACCTTTTGGAAGCGCCTTCACCATTGGGACTCCCGATGCAGTCACGCATTTCGCAGAAGAGCTGCCCCGTCCTCGCATAGACCTCCCTAGAGCCATCGCTTCTCAAATGGTCATCGGAACGATATGTACGTTGTACCTCCCTCCTGCCCAACTGTCTTGCTTTAATGGATTTGCAATACAGGGTCTTTCATATTCGGAGTTGCTTTATTATACGGTGTATCAGATCTTGACGCGATCATTAACAGCAGCGTCGAATTCCCATTGACAGAAGCCTACATCCAAGCTACCTCAAGTAAAGGTGCTACTTTTGGTTTACTTCTGATCATTGTCCTGGCTGGTTTATTTGCACTGCAAGCGTTATATGCAATGGTAAGTGAGTCGTCCCAGATTCCGCTTGACTGGACTTATTCGAGTCAACAGTGCGGTCGCCTCTTCTGGGCTCTGGCGCGCGACAATGTTACCCCATTTGCTACATTCTTCTCGCAAGTGTCTCCCAAGTTAAGCTGTCCTGTACCGGCGACGATAGCTGTTGGTTCGTCCACAACTCTCTCTTAATGTCTGGCCCTTGGTGATATATTTTACGGGCGATCTTCGTGTTCAATAGTGTCCCTCAGCGTGGTCCTTGCTGCCATATCTCTGGGGAGCAAGACCGCTTTCTCTGATCTCGCCGGCTCCTTTTGCATCCTCAGCGCTACCTCGTACCTCATCCCCATTGCCGGACACCTACTCACCGGACGACGCCACGTCCCTCGTGGCCCTTTCTGGATGGGACAATATGGATACTTCATCAATGCTGCCGCGGTGGCTTTCATCATCTTTACGGATGTGATATTTTGTCTGCCATTCTCGCTACCTACGACCGCAAAAACGTTGAACTACAACTCGGTGATCCTAGTAGGATGTTTCTTTTTGACAACAGGATGGTGGCTGTGGCATGGATTGCAAAATTACGCTGGGCCTACGTTACCGCACACGGATGAGGTGGCTCGAGTTCTGGTGGAAGAAAAGTGAAGGTCGCTACATAATATGAAAGCTTGATTGAATTATATACATTGCGAAATTTATTACATAGCAAAGATTCCAATATGGACCTACATATGCAAACACAGTCCGAACGCCGCACATGGTGAAGGAAAAACAATTCCTCAAAAAACTGCATGGTTCAACCCAGGTTCGAACTGGAGACCTTCTGTGGGCACCATGAGCGGTGTAAGACAGAAATCATAACCACTAGACCATTGAACCATAAGTAGAAAGTACTGACAAAAGTCTATCAATAAATGATCACGAAAATTGAACAGATGTTCAACTCGCTGTCGTCGCACAAGTTTGAGAACAGTTTGTACCCTTACCGTGGACTAATTTGAATGAGCCATTGACATAACGCAACGACCGACAGGAGCGACGCAACAAAAAACTATGATGTTTAAATTCACAAGAAGGGCTCAAGACCGAGCATCAGACAGATTAAAAATTCGAGGCCAGATATTCCCACAAGACAACACATCGACCCAGCATCCAATCACCGTAATAGCACGCCCGCCATCCCTTTCCAAGAACCTCATTCATCGTCTCCCCCTTCTCGGCTTCCCTGACCTCCTCCTACCCCTCCCCCGACCTTCTGCGCCCCCACCCCCATTCGCTCCGCTCACAAACGCCGGCACCTCACTTGGCCCATCTCCCCGGTCCCTAATCCCATTCACTCTTTTCTCATCCCTGCTTTCCATCTCATCCATCCCGACATCTACATCCTCATCCCTCCCCGAGTTCGACGGTAGCATGTCCGAAGACAGTCTACTCAATAACGACAACCCTTTTGGCTTGGTATCCCTTGGGCTCTCACTCTCATGAAGCGCGACATTCCCGTTCCGGCCATCTACCTTCTCATTCTCCAGACGCTCCCGAGGGTATTCCAGTGCCCGACCGTTGTGAAGGTCCGCATCGGCCATGCCTCGATATTTATACGAGTCCTCTACGTCGATCCTAGAGCGATAAGACATGACAGGAGCGTCCGCCCCACGAACAGAAGGATCTTCGACGGCGCCAGAATAATTCGACAATGGTGGGGTAAGAGCACGCTGTGGCGCCCTTTCGCGTTCGCGTTCCCTGTCGGCTTGATACGGCGGTCGCGATGCTAGGGAATCGTGTCGTGCAAGCTTGTGTGGAGGAAGGTCCCTCGGAAGAGACCTATCCCTTCCACGGATATTCGGAGACGTCCTCGGCGGGGTATCCTTATCGTATACTGGGACGTAGGAGCTCCCACCACGCTCTTGTATGTTCGACCCGCGTCGAGGGAGCACATAAGGTGGAGGTGACCTTTGTCTCAGCGGCGGTGGTGATCTGTCTCTTCGCGGTAGGGACCTTTCTCTCAAGGGTGGTAGTGACCTCTCGCTTCGTGGTGATGACCTCTCTCGTAATGATGGCGGCGACCTCTCCCTCTCCCTTCGCGGAGGGGACCTTTCCCTCATCGGCGGAGGAGACAGGGTTCCGGTCGGAGGCGGGGGCCGTACGTCTGGATCCGAAGCTCGCAGCCTCGCTGTCTGGTGTATAAAATTCTCATCAAGAGAAGATGTCGACGCGCCGACACCCCTGGCAGCTTGAGAGCGCAGCGGCAATGGAGACGCTCGTCTGCGAGGAGGATATTCGTCCTCAGGTGTCAAAGGTCGACCGTCGCGAGCGACGGGTGGCGAAGAGGAAGCCGGTGTCGCGAGTGATGGTGGAGGGCCGAAGCGAGACTGGAGAAGGAAGGTCGCCTGAGCGTTAGAATGTGCTAGAAGTGATCATGTGTATGGAACAAACGCTTACTGCTCGTTCAGGGAGTCGAGTATCTGCACGTGTACGAGGTGGAGACATCTGGACAGCATTCTAAGCAATGTGGTCAACACGAATGGTATAGGGGCACAGAAAAGAAAACACTCACCATTTCCTCAGGACGTCTTTTCCCAGACGGGGCATCTTCATCCATAGCAGGACGTACAGGCATATGAGGTGGCTACCGGGAGTCGTTCAGTCAAGCAAAAAAAGAGTAGAGGGGTTGCACAGGAAGGATAAACGTACCGGTTGTCGTCCCATCCTATCCCAACCACCCGGACGATCAGGTGCCCGGGATACGCCTGACGTCGAATCTCGTCTCTTAATAGGCGAAGACGGTCTCTGCGCCGGCACAGATGTTGGAATAGTTGGTGCCTGAACTTTTCTAGGCCCGATAGGCACGTTGTTTGTACCAGAGAGCTTAGGAACTTGGTTGTCCAGAGTACGTCGTGGTGCGCGAGCCGGCTCGCGTGGGATCTATCGGTTAAAGGACGAATGAGAATGAGACACAAAAGGATAGAAGGCGAGGCGGATGTACGAACCGAAGGGGCGGTTGCTGGGACTTCGGCTCTACTAGACCAATCGTACGAAGTCCTCACACTTTCTCTTTCCCTAGCAGGTTCGACAGGTGGTCGAGCTGGAGCGACTGGAGGCTCCCTATATCTCGCCGATGGGGCGATCGGAGACCTCTCCCTCTCTCGTTCCCTATCCCTTGCCCTCGAAGAAGCGACTTCGGCGACAACTGAAGTCGTAGACTCCCGTCTAGAGTACGCTGGTGCCGTGGGGGAGCCCGACCCGCGACGCACACCTTCGTAACCACTGTCCCGTTCCCGTTCCCTCCCCATCGCCCTAGGAGCGCGCGGGACCGGATCTCTAGACACAATATCATCTCGAGGTGGATAAGAAGCCGGCTGGCCATCTCGTCGAGCGCGAGGCTCATCGTACGGGGAATGTTTAGAGGTATATGGATCCGATGGGTCAACATCCATGCGTTCGTCTTCTCTATCCCTTTCTCGATCACCACGTAAGCCACGCCCGGAGCTACTATCGGGCGGAGGAAGACGGCTATGACTGTCGGGAGGGGTTGGTAAGCCTAACTTTGGCATGTCTTCAAAGGCCGCCGAAGGCTTGTGCGGGGGAGGATCACGGGCAGCTGCTCGGGGTGCGTTCCGTGAGGCCAATGGTTCACTGACAGACATTTCTCAAGATATTAGGACCAGGTCAAGAGGGAAATGTATGATCAGGATGTACCTTGGAAGAGGTGCGTATGAACGGTTGGCCGGAGGAGATCGCGGTGGAACTGGTGGAACAGGTTGATCCGGACGCTTTGGGGGTGTGGCGGAGGACATCTCGCGAAACCGAGCCTGCTGTGGTGGGAGAGGTAGACGTTTTCGAGAGCCTAGAACCGCGAAAAGTAACGCCCAAGGACGAGGTGAGGTTTACATGAGGTCTGGAAAAAGAGCGATGCAATGATACGAATACATACGAGTTTGGTCTGCGGATGGGGAGGGGTACGATTCGGCGCCATGGCCAGAGGAAGACATCGATGTTCGCGTCACAGAGGGCGGGATCACGGCCTCAGGAGCCACCGTACGACGAGCTGGCGCAGAATCATTGCTTCGCATGCCGGATGTCCTTCGACGTTTGGCCTCGTTTTCTTCGTCATACCTTGACATGTCTGGCTCTCGAGCACGGCGGGAAGGTACGGCGATGTCGTCTGGTATGTACGTGTCCCGCTGACGCACCGGCGGTGAAGGCCGTACTCTCGGGGGAGGGCTGGCTGGTCGGCGAGTACTCTCTTGCCTCAAAGTTGGAGGCGGGGGAGATCGAGCACCGTATTCGTGCTCGCGATCCCGTTCGGAGGGTCTGTGTGAGGAGGTCGCTGGAGTCCATGTGTCCATTCGGGGTGATTTCGACCTAGGTCCTAGACATGAAAAGAAGACGAAGGAAAAGGCAGTATTGAGAATGGTGATGATCATCATGAGACGCGTCAACGAGGAGATGAAGAATAAAAGAGCGGAGGCCGATGGGAGTAGTGTGAGCGTCTTGTGAAGCCGACCAAACGACCGAAAGACGAGACCAATTGAATGGTGGAACAAGGGAACAAGCGGTGCCAGGTTCGGCGACTCGACCCCCAAGGCTTCTCGAGACGAACACATTGAAGTCGATGCGAGTCCTCCGCCTCGGGAGGAGTTTTCACGCTTGGCGACGAGAGCTGGGTGGTGCAGGAATGTGGTATGATGTGGATTAACGTACTTGGAGCCGAATACCTGCCAGAGTTTTGGGCTGGTGAGATTGACCGACGTCGCACAGGAGCGCCTTGCGAATGGTGAGGATCGTCATCTGAGCGATAATGTCGTTCGCGGTCGTAAGTGGCAGATTGGCGGGGCGGTGGAGAATCAGCTCGAGAGGCGGTATATGTGGTGTGAGATCCATGGTCGAGGGGTCGGCTGCGATAGACAGAATCGACAGGGCGCAAACGATCGTCAGCAGCGCCGCGGCCGTTGGTTTCGCGTGAAGGCGAATGTTCCCGGTGTCCCAAACGAGAAGCGATGTTGTGTTGGTGGTCAGTCTCGGAGTGCACCGACAATGCTCCTTCGTTGCGTGTTGATACCAGCCTAGGGGAAAGATCAGGATGAGAAGTGTGAGGGGCATCTCCAGGTCGGTAGTGCCGGTCATCGTAGGAGAAACTTGATGGATTTTCGGCTGATAGCTTGCTATGAGATGCCCCGGCCGCCCTTGGCGACGTGTCCTTACCATCAATAGCAGCCACCCACGAATCACCGTTGACAAGCCTCTCGTGCAGGATGATTGGTCTGCCTCGGGCTGGAGGCGAAAGCTCGACGGCTTTCGGCTTCGGCGCTGCAGGCCGAGTCCACTGCGACTCCTTCGTCTCGGGGTTGTAAAAGTAAACATCTCCGCGTCGAGACTGCCGTACCTCCCATCCAGGCGGCGGAGGTTGGCTGTCCGCGACAGCTTCCCGACGTTCCTTCTCTCTGCGAGCCATCGACATGGGACTTGCAGCGGTCGTCGAGGGTATGGGAAACGCAGGACTAGCGACTACAGGTTTGGGTGGAAGTGCGTGCTTGAGTTGTTGTTGGGAGCGACTCCGACCATGATTAGGCGATAAAAGGGGTGTCGGGCTCTGTCGTCGAGTACCGATGGATGGCTCACGGTCTGCATCACGTCTCCCTCCTCTGCTCTCGCTCCTCGAGTACGCCCTAGAAGGAGGGGCTGACTTGCCTGATCCTTGTTGTAGGGGAGTATTCGAGTAGTCAGCATATTCCTGGATGTCGTCGTCGTCGCCACCAAGCGATACCACATCCTCCACGTCGACCCCCTCTGCGTCTGATCTTGGGTATTCGAGTACGTTACTGCCGGCGAGCTCGTCGTCGTCGTGGCCCCAGTCAAGCTCCTCGTGTTCTTCGTCCATGATTGTCGTTATGATTTTGTTGCGCTGTTGGTGATGTTGTTGTCGCTGGCGGTGGTGGTAGTGGTGGTGGTGGCAGAAGAGAGGCCTGCGCGAGAACTGGACGCCATCGCGGTGGCCAACGCGCGAATCATCCATTCGGTTTCGAACTCCGCTCTCCGGCTAACTCCGATAATGGGTGTCCGTATATGCGAATATTCGAATTTCTGTTTCTTGCCACCGTACGCCACGACGACCTCGACGCCCACAGCCTTCGAATCCTTATTCTCTTTATTCTTTAGTCTTTTTAATCTCGCGTTAAACCAATCTGTCTTTCCCGAGGCTTCGCATTCTCAGAGTCCATGAACCGGACATGGCCATTCTACCCACAAGCGCAGGTCCACACCAGAACGGGTTTCCTCAACGGCCATCCCAGTCGGTGACGAATAGAGTGCCAGTCATATTTCGGAGATTACTTAGATTTCACTCCATGGTACGTCACACACAATTACTATATCTCAGACGCGAACTCATTATCGCGCGTTTGGTAGGACTTTGAGCTGGCAGCATGGCAGTTAACGTACCTATGCCTTGCGCCGAAGCGAGTGTGAGTACTTCCGACGTTGTGTATTTTGAAAGGTCAGTCCTCGAATAAGCTGCTCTCTGTTCAGGTATCGGAACGTGTACTTTCACAAACGTATGTTCCAGGCCACTCCTCCTTGGACTCTTGATTGACTTGAACGTGCGCTAGAGACCAAAAACACCTGGGCAAGGGATGACCCCGCAATTCTCATTCTCATTGCAGCATGTCTGTCAGGTGCGTCGGCGATTTACTGTTGCTTTCGCGCCGTAAACGTATACTTCAGCATTGACTCCTGCTCTGCTCTTTATACAGTGGCCGCCATAGCCTGGTCGGTCATGTGGTCATACGGCATTCTCGACACCCTCAAACTCGCATTCCTCATGATCTTCCGAGATTACCTCCTTGTGGGCGCCGTCATGGCCACTTTCTTCTGGTAAACCTATCTCTTCCCAACTCCAACTCCAACTTCACTCCAACTTCATTCTCGCCACCGCCACACCGATTACGATTGAGGTTAACATGGCACCCTTGAAATAGGTTCTTCGCGAATCGTGCTCTCCTCTCTCCCCCGTCGCACTCAACACCAGCCGACACCTCCGTTGAATGGGCTTATGCATTCGACGTGCATACCAATGCGTTCTTCCCTCTATACCTCACGCTGTACCTCGCTCAGCTCTTCCTCGTACCCATAATCATGAAGAACAACTGGGTCTGTCTATGGGTTGGGAACACCCTTTATCTCGCTGCGTACGTCTGTGATTCCTTCAACTGCAGCTTTAGTATCTTGAGCTTACCCGTAACGATAGGTTCGCGCAGTATATATATGGCATATATCTCGGACTTAATGGTAAGCCCACCCTCTCATTATTTCCATCCTCCTCTGTTCCCATGTCCACAACCCCAAAAAGCAATGGAGTAAGAGCTCACTCGTCTCATTCGTTCTCCTCATCGGACCGCAACAGCCCTCCCATTCCTCATACGCACAGAACTGCTTCTCGCCCCACTCCTGCCTTTACTAGTGGGCTACATAGTCTCATTGTTGGGATTCAACGTCGGCAGGCGTGTACTGTCTGCTTATCTGGACTTGTGAATGATCCTAATGTTATTGATTTATGGACGTTGACCGGGGCGATATATTCCTTCTCTATTCATCCGCACATGAGTTGGCCCGTGGCCTACATCACGGGTAACTTCCGGAGCTTGGTCCTTGGTTTCTATGGAGCAACTGGCTCACTTTAGCAGAACCTTACACCACAGTGTGGGCGTGTTGTCTTCTACGGTCGAGTGATATGGGCAAGCATTGTCTTGGTTTTTGACCCGTCACTGCCGTAAATTACTCGTAACGACGTTCCCGGCGACCTGCACGTCGAAGCGACGAATTTTTCTCTACAAGAGCGGAATTAGACTCAGCGGCTGAAAATATGCGCTTGTTGAATCCTTGAGAGGATAGGTAATTTTATCTTCTAATCAAGCAGACCTTCGACTTCGCATTTCCGCGAGCAGTGAGCACAGGAAGCAGGACCCAGTGTTGCTGCCCGTCTCGCGCGCCACATTCTCTTTGAAGCACTCATTAGGAGGTCTGGCCCACGGGAAGAGAGTCTGAACTGCGTGTAGAATCGCGCACATCACACGAGGCACTCCAGAGTCCAGACTGCCTTCCCCTCTTGATGGAGAATAGTGATCTTCAATTGTGCGTTTGGGTACAATGTCGGTGCCACAGAGATCAGTGCGTGGGAAAATATGGTTACCGCAGTGCCACGTCAAACCGATCGAAGACGTCGCTGTTTCCATCTTGCGTGGTCTGCAATCATGACGTTTGACATTGACGACTTGCCGCCTGCGAGCCTAGCGGCAAGTGATCACAGTCCGAATACAGTTATGCGGAGCAACAAAGTGACTCAAAGAATAATACGACGCGGGGTCCAGGCGTGTCAAGCTCCCTAGCAAGGGCCAACACATGGCACAAAGCAACCACGGCGACCAAAGCCAGGTTGCCATCGTGTTGAGCTTTTCATGCAATCGTGCCACTCGATTACCATGAGCTTCTGGCACTCAAGGCATCGATGCGACGGCCCTAGCGTTGGCAAGTAGACGCTCTTTCTATCGATGTCCGTGGTCAGTGAAACCCCTTTGTCTCTTGTGTCTCGTTGCACCCATTTGAGTGCCATCTAGTTTCGACCGTTCCTGTATAAAACCACAGAAAGAGGATAGTGAGCCCTTCAAGCTTCGAAAACCCACCTGCATCTCCTTTCCACCACTCTATCCTGCTTATTCCTCGCAAGCATGTCCGTGCGAACAAATATCGATGTCCCCACCAAAGGTCTGCGTTCATCTCCTTCTCTGTTCTGATTTTATTATATCATCCTGAACGTCGAGTCTTGAACGTCGGAACTTATCTACACTTTGTCTGCCTCCCCCGCACTAGATTCGCTCGATGAGCTCAACGACTATCTATGGTCAGAAGAAAACCCTTATGGCCTCGCAAATCTCCGCTGGCAGATCTCACAGAGCCATAAAACCTATTATGCTTTGATGACTAGTGAGTCCTATATTCCGTCTTCCACCCTTCGGTCATATAGCGAACAAAGAAACTGTTGTTGATCATACGCCACACAGTCGAATTTGCAGTAGTTTCTGCAGGCTCTGGCCGGACGGAGAGGAGCGCGAAGATGGAAGCAGCGCGGAAATATATGAATGAGGTCAAGGGAGGGAATCGATAAATTCTCCTAATGTTGGACTCAACTAGCTATGAGGGTGCATTTAGCGCGTCTTCAAACCCCACAGCATTGAAACCTGTGGCTCGATATCCCAACTTTTGTGTATTTCTATCGTCAATCACAAATAAGTACTCGAGTACAGTTAAGACCGACCGCATCCCGCTCGCCTCATTCCTTTCTCCCATTTCAATGTCCCCCGTTAACAACCACAACAAACCCATTGTAATAATTCGGAACCCTATACATCGGTATACACCTCTTCCCAGGTCGATGAAACGGATTAATCGTCACAGGACGTGACCTCTTCTTACTCTGATCCAGCAATGCAGCCTCAAGTGGCATAAACGAGCGACACTCCGCTGCTTGATCGCTGAGCAGAGTTTGAAGATTCTGGACAGCTACGTTGAGTATGTGTTCGGCGTAGTCCGTCACTGCGAATGGGATGTTGAGCCTGTTTATCGTAGGAACGCGGTCAGCCAAGGTGAAGGGGTCCATGTCCGACGTTCAACAACGTTCACAGATTGAATGACTGAGGGATCGATACAAGCACTTACATGCCCGTCATCCTAATCACCTCGTCCCAAGTTGCATACGTACTCAACCCCGCATTACAAGCAACCACAGCATGTGGGACCTTGGGCTGATCATCCCGAATTACGATATGTCTGCTCCACAAGACCGTCTCCGAAGAGAGCTTGATGTCGATGGAACCACCGCCGGACAGTTTCGGTGCTTTGTAGGACCAAACTATATCTTGAGCGGCGATGGAAGATGGGTGATATTCCTTGGCGGAGTGAACGAGATCGTGGGCTGGTTGACCGAAGATAACTAGAGTGATGTGAACGTTTGGGAGGAGGAGAGCGAGTTCGGAGAATCTGAACAGACGAATCAAGGTCAATATTCAGTATCGGCCTAACGCGCGGATAACGGGATGATATATACAATGGCAGAAAATTCAGCTCGATCTCCGCACCGAGGTAATGCACAACAAGCTCCGAACGCCTCTCGTTCAAACGTGCGGGTTCAACGACTTTCAACACGTTCACAAGTAGATGATATACCGAAAGCGGATAATCCATCAACAACGCAGCGGGGGACTCCATACTCAGCCCACGCCACTCGTACCAGCTCTTCCAGTCCTTGACCTGGCCCGGCAGGGGTGCCTTCGGAGGAGATGCCTTCTCGTCAAAAAATAGTTTCGGGACCCATTCTTCTTTTATCTTCCATCCCTCCACGTCCGTCGGCCAACTCTCTCCTAACATGATCTCTCCATGCATATACGCTCCGGGTACAGGTCTCTTGATTGTCGTGGCGGGCCTCGTCCGAGTCGAGGGTTCGAACAGAGCCGCAGCCATGCCAGGCGAGGTTCTCAGTTTGTGTAATTCAGCTTCGCCGTGGTCATGCGGCTGTTCTTCGTATCGTACGGACCACCAGCCGTAGGAGGAGCCAGAGCCCAGAAGGCTAAGACGTGCCTTGAGCAAGTCGGCGAGGAAGACACCGTCAGATTCGGATCGAAGCCATGGGAACTGAGAGTCGACGCGCTGAAATTGTGGAACTCGCCCCATCTGCGTCTAAAAGCCCGTTTGGATGAGGTGGATGATCATGAGGCAGAAATACTCTATGACATGGAGACAAACCTTGAAGGCCGGACAGGACTCTTTATGAGGCTTCTTATGGCTCGGATGCCCAGTCTTCCAGTCCTTTAGTTGGCACTACGCAGATAAAAGGTTAGAAAAAGAACCGACATGATGCGTGGGGGAGGTAGCGCACATCCCGACTACAATAAATCACTGCTTTACAGCCCGCTGTGATGTGATAACAGAACGTGAGCAAAACCATCAAGGATGACGACTTGAGAGGCTCACAGCACCATAGAGACTACATATGCCAGCAAGCAAGAACGCCAATGAGCACTCATCCTCTCAAAATACTGACAACAAGACACGTATAGTCATACCTTCTCTTTTCCGGTCTTCGTATCTAGTGGCGGTCGTTGACATTGGACACACTAACCATCCACGATCAGCACATAGATGAAGACCTGAATGAACGAATAACGAAAACAAAGGGGATCAGACCATACCATCAACTCAGCCGGAAAATCCAACGACCGTATCTTCTCCACATCCCCAGACTCCATAACACGATCATATACCTTCGCGATCTCATAAGCGTTCTTGATATGTCCGTTCGCAATGGCGATGGCCATCGCATCCGAGAAAGTGGCTGGTTTTTGGATCGGTACCGGCATCGAGTAGAACAGTCTGAGTGGCAGAAAAGCGCTGCAGAAGTGATAGTCAAGCAGATCAATGGCAAGGTACAGGGGGATACGTTAGTGTTGGCCCTCACTGGCACGCAGAGGCCTGACGTTTACACGAATGATAAGGAGGCAAGATCAGACCCTGCTTATATATACTGTAGATTTGAGCCACTCGGCGTGCATGAAAGGAACAAAGGTCACGTAAGTTATCGTGCTTCCTACAGAAGTGATGAGATCGATGTTTAGAGAAGGAAGGTAGTATCGCATCGATCCATGACCACTATCGGGGTCAGATGATTGAGCCACCGCAACTGGGAGGTGTTCGGACTTGCTGGGCGCGGTACTTCGCGATCTAGGAAGGAAGGAAGGAAGGAAGGAAGGAAGGTTTACTCAGGGTACAAAGTAGGCCCTTAAGGACCTAGGAATTTCAGTCTGGCCGATGGTGTGAGAGAAAGAGTGGGTGATTATCCGTAGCAGTCTACGACTCGGCGAGTGTTTCTGTATCCACAGAAACAAAAAACACAGGGGCCTCATCCAATAAAGAATCGACTTGGGCCTCCTTCCTGTGCATCTAAACCTCTAGGATCTACACAACCCACCTACGGACAGTCATCCAGTAGGAGGTGATGACTTCCCATGGTAAGTGTCAGGGCAAATTCGCGGAGTGTGGATGTGGCAGAGGTGATAGGTTCGGAGTCTGAAACATCTCCCGAGAGCCTTCGCCGGATGGTCCGATATGCTCCGAGCAGGGCCACTCGTCGCAGACTTTTCTTTTCTCGAGCCGCGGAGTCTCATTTTTTTTGGTTTTTCATTTTGGTAGACAGCCATAAGATCAGAGCGGTGAATACACATGTATAGTTGAGATATGACCATGAACCTCGTCGAACAGTAGCAAACAATTCTCCTGAAGCATGAGTACCGTCACCGTAATGTTACTTCGTCGCTTCATTGCTTGACCTTTATTATAAAGAGCCGTACATGCGAATCTACGTATCGAGGTTCGGAGCCATCAACAAAACAAATATACATAATAAAACGATCCAAAACTCGAAAGCCAAGACAGCTGCGATAATGACAATGACAATGTATGATTGGGATCAGGATACAACAACAACATCATACTTCCTCTTCCTCTCCCTCGCCATCACCATAACCCGAATCCCAAGTCCGCCAATCCCCTCCGTCGTCTTCACCCTCCGCGTCTTCTTCTCCCTCCGCATCTTCCTCTCCCCCCTCTTCGCCACCGTCATCCCTACCCCTACCTACTCCCTCCCCATCTCCCTCCCAAAACCCATCCTCGTCAAACCCCTCCCCCTCCGCACCTTCTTCCCCTCCCTCCTGCTCCCCCTCCTGTTCAGATCCCTCCTCCTCCTCATCATCATAATCCGGCTTACAAACCTCCTGCACCTCCTTCCACCCGCTCTCCGACAACCTCTCCAGTCTCCTCCCCACCCTCTCCACCCTCAACCTCGTCAGCGCCAAATCCGGCACCGGCGTCTCCGCTGGTAACTTATACAGCTGCCGATGTGGCTGCGGCATCCTGTACGGACTCGATCCATAACTACTTGTCAAAGAGATCGTAGACATCATGGACCGGTCGGAGTCAAATGACCGGGAGGGAGAGGACGAGGAGGGGGATGGTGGCGCTCTTTCTCTGTCGGCATCGTCGTCGGTGGAGTTGGAGTAGAAGGGATCGGAATGCGAGGCGGGAGGAATGTAAGCTAATGAGATGAACCGCTCGAAAGCGTCATTCTTGTTGTATGGTCGAGGATCGTGGCTTGCTTCTCTCATCCAGCGCGTTTCTTCGTCGCGGGCGATCTTGTCACGTCGGGCTTGTTCGCGGGCTTCCTCTTCGGCCAGGAGACGGGCTGCGATTGTTTCTGGGTCTTCGGGGGAGGGCTGTAGGGTCCGGGACTTGTGTTTCATGGGTTTTGCGGTTGTGTGTAATGGAACGGAGGGGCGAGAGGGGCCTGGGATGGGGATGGAGAGTGCGGTGGAGGGTTTGATTCCGAAGATGGTAGGCTTGGTCGCATATTCCTTCGCGTCTCCACCACCACCACCTCCACCAGCGGCGTCCTTACTTATATCGCCTAGAACCTTGCGCTTTTTAGGGCGAAATACAGGCGTCGGCTTCTCCGCTCTCTCAGCTCTGTCTCTCTCCCTCTCCCTCCCCTTCATCTTCGCACGCACCGTCGGTATCGCTATCGGTGCAGCAGCCTTCCTCGGCGAAGCACCCGACCTAACATCCACATCCGCCTCCGCGACTCGTTTCCTAGGCGAACCCTTTCCTACATCTCCATCTACATTCACCACCGTGGCCGAAGAAGAAGCCGCAGGTGGCGGTGGCGCGAGCGGGAAGATACGCGTGATCCTAGGTCTGGGTTTTGGGAGACGGGAGGCGAGGGGTGGGTTCGGTGGTGGGTCGAGGTGGATGGCGCCGAAGGCGCGGAATAGGAAGGGTCTGTTCGAGACGCCTTTGCGGCCGGGGAGATCTTGGGTGCAGACTGTAATATGGATGATTGTGTTGCGGTCGTGGTGCTGGATTCAAAAAGACAAATACGAGTTGAGATGGGATGAGATTTTCGAGTGTTGTGAAGAGAAGGGAGGCAAAGGTGAACTCCACTCACGTATACTATCCCTCGCCTATAATTGGGTCCGTCCGGAAACGCGTGCTTGAGCGAGAAATCCTCCTCAGCCTCCCAACGCCACTCGCCTCCCTCCATATCCTCCTCATCCAACCCGAAGCTCGCTTCGACCTTCTCCGCATTCGCGACAAGATCCATGATGGACTGTGCCGAATAGTAAGGATCCCGCACGCTCGACAGCTTCGCCCATGTCCGACCTTGCTTGATCTGGCCTGGTTTGGCGTATGGAGGATAGACGGCGACCTTATCCTGAACTTCAAATAGATGTCCATCTTCTGGCCGCGTGGGAGGAGGCAAAGTCGGGTCGCCGTTGAAGAGGAAAAGGATAAGTTGTCGAAGGAGGCGGAAGCTGTACGAGAGCGGGACTTGTACGACAGAATAAGTCCCCTCAGACTTGAAATCATTGTCAAACACAAGACTTCCAGATCGTCGCAGTGGCGCACGGAGGTGTGGAGACTTGATGCATTGAAATCGGAGCGGGAGGTGCTTGCCGAATGAAGTGGGTTTGGGGAGGGTGAGTTTCTGGGATCGGCGTTTGAAGCCAAAGGGGTTTGTGGGCGAATCGGAGGGGACGGAGTAGGGCGTGTAGGGCGTTGAGAATACTGAAGATGAGCTGCGCGCTGGTGTCGATTTGGCGGGAGTGCAGCTGAGGTCGCGCGGACGCTTTGCGGGGGACGTCCAGAACTCCTCCTGCTCGTCCGCTGCACGCTTCGACATCTGAAATTTTCTCAGAAGATAGCAGAGACAAAAAAACAAAGCAAAGACAACAAAGCTGATGCAGAGAAATATCGAGATATAAAGCAGAAACTGAGATGTTCAGACTAGAGTGCTCGTAACAAGAGCTAAAGTAGCCAGGCTGTAAAGCGTGACAGTAAACAAGATGTGACGCGACTGTTTGCGCGTCAAATCACGTGTCTGTGACAGGCGTGTTTTGGCGTGGCACCGTCCGAGCCGCCGCCGTGGCATTTGTGCCCTTCTGACTCTGACCATGCAGTCGAAGTTACCTACAGTCTCCGAATAGCGGTTCGCCTCACGTATTTAACCACAGCAAATCACCTGATCCCCTCACCATCTGCCTTGAGATGCGCTTGCAATTGCACCTCTGGACACCGCCCTTGCTCATCGACACCTAAACTTTCTTTGGACACAACCACAGTCGACTTTATCTTGAATCGTCGCTTAAGTTTCGGATCGAGGAGGTCACGCCATAGAAGTCCTCCGCTGCCGAGGCTGCCTCGCCCATAAACGCCGAAGTCATAGCGAAATCGACATCTCGACCATACGCTCCTCTCTGTATATAAAGCAGTGACGGAAATGTCATTTCACTCGTGCTCCTGCCCATCTCACTCCAAATGATATTTGCTGGCGTACGTCTGGTGGTACCAGCCATCGTCGCGGTCTCTGTTGCTGCTTCCGTCACACAGGAGGCGTACACTTGGGACAATGTTTTTATTGGCGGAGGTGGAGGTATATCGTATTCATGCCCCCTTTATCTCCGTTATGCTGTACTGATATGGGCTGTCGAAGGATTTATACCCGGAATTGTCTTCAACCCGACCCAAAAGGGTCTCACGTACGCTCGGTATGTCTCTCGCTCAATGTCCCGATATTCAATACAAGTTACAAACTACTCTACTTGGCAGTGCCGATATTGGTTGGCCTTTACTTTATGCACCGTCAAGATACGTCGGAAACTCACTGCGTTCATTGCTCAGGTGGCGTCTATCGTCTCAACGCGGATGACTCGTGGACACCTCTGCTTGACTGGGCGAACGACACGACTTGGGACTACTGGGGAGCCGGTGAGTTGGACTTGATTTTCTATATCATTCTTCCAGGCTTCCGCCTATGAATTATCCTTCATGCCCTGGCTCAGCAATGCATTGTGGCGAGCCACATCGATGAAGGGCATCAAGATATCCATGTTGACTAGCTTCCTTCCACCCCTCTCAATCTCTTGAACTCTCCGTACGTAGGGGCGTCTCACTCACTCATGTCATCCCAACTTTCTTTATAGATGCAATGGCCACCGATCCCATCGACTCCAACAACCTCTACCTGGCCGTCGGAATGTACACCAACGGTCAGTTTCTGCGTCATTCCCCCGTATAAGTATAAACCATATAAGTCAGGCTAAACTCGGTGGACTGATAGATTGGGACCCTAATAACGGCACCATCCTCAAGTCGAGCGATCAGGGGAATACGTTCCCTGATAGGATATCGCTACCTTTTAAGCTGGGGGGTAACTGTCCCGGCAGAGGAATGGTGCATTACCACTATACTACATCTGCCGGTCACCCTTTTCCACTCCTCAGACTGACATGTTCTTTCTCTTTGCACATCAGGGTGAACGCCTAGTCATAGACCCCAATAACGTGCGCTTCATTCCAGTCCCCTCCATATAAACCTAGCGCGAGCTCACGCTCACGCTCACCTGAACCATTACACTGGCTACAGAACGACATCATCTACTTCGGTGCTCGCTCAGGTAACGGTCTCTGGCGATCCACGGACGCAGGCCTGACCTGGTCCAACGTCACCTCTTTTCCCTCCGTCGGGACTTATTTCCAGTCTTCCACCGATCCCCTTGGGTCCGATATCATGGGTATTGCGTGGATCACGTTCGATTCCAACTCTGGCTCCAACACTTCGCTCACACTCGCCTCGAACTCCGAAATGTCTGTAAGATCGAGCCGTATCTTCGTTGGCGTCGCGAATATGGGCTCGGATAACGTGTTCGTGAGTGAGGATGGTGGGGATACGTGGGGTGCGATAGAGGGCCAGAATAATACGTTTATTCCACACCATGGTCAGCCCTTGCTTCCTTTCCTCCTCCTCTTTTCCTTCATGTTTGTAGCTTGCTATAAATAGATACAAATTAAGGACGCTGACGAGACGTGGTCGTACATAGGTGTCCTGTCACCAGCCGAAAACGCGTTATATCTCCCGTACGCGAACGGGATTGGACCGTATGATGGCACGGCGGGATATGTGATGAAGTATTTCATCGGGAATAGCTCTTGGGTCGATATCACACCTGCACAGGGAATCGCGGACAACAGGTTCGTTCTTCCAAACATCACCTCTCTCGAGTACCGGTAGGTCATTGCTCAGCATTCTGCGGGATAATATAGTTATGGCTATGGTGGCCTCGCCGTCGATCTTCAAAAACCCGGAACCGTCATGGTCGCTCCTCTGAACGAGTGGTACCCTGACGCCGAGTAAGTCATGCGGTGACATTCATCTTTCCAACAAGGATATCTATTGACTGACGAGTAATCTGTGCCTCGTATTCAGCATCTATCGCTCGGCAGACGGCGGCGCCACATGGACTGGGATCTTCACATACGATTATCCTCCTCCGGACTATACACTGGCTGTCCATCCTTCATACGCGTGGGACGTCTCGCGCGCGCCTTGGATTACTACGTTCACTGGGAACGACACGAAACTGATAGGTAGGTACTCTCCCACAATCAGATAGTTGACGAGGCTGAAGCTGATTCTCGTACAAGGGTGGATGATCGAAAGGTAAGCCCACGCTACAAAGACGCGGTTGTCAATCATATCGTACCTTATTCTCTTCCTACCTTTCATCCGCTATCAGCCTCCAGATCGACCCCTTCGACAGCGACCACTGGCTCTACGGCACCGGTCTCTCCCTCTGGGGCGGCCGCGACCTAACGAACTGGGACACCAGCCCTCGTCAGAACGTAACCGTAGCCAGCCTCGCCACCGGAATCGAAGAGATGGCAGTGCTGGGGCTCACGGCGCCGACCACTGGACCGTTGTTGGTTTCGGCGATGGGTGATGATGGGGGGTTCGTGCATGATAGTTTGACGAGTTCGCCGCCTACGTTCTCGAATCCGACTTGGCCTGGAGTGAGTGCTCTACCTGCTTGCATGGGTCGTTCGTGAATGCTGATTGTATCCACGGTGTTTTTGTTGTTGGCGGTCCTGTAGTCGGGCTCCGATGTCGATTTTGCGGGCGCTGCACCGGAGAATATCGTTCGCCTTGGAAGCATCGCCGGTAGTGCGCTCGCCACATCTACAGACGGCGGTGCCACATGGAGCCCCTATCCGAACGTCCCTGCCAGTGCAGACTCTGGAAAAATCGCCTTGTACGCCCACTCACTCCGAATCTCATTTATCAACTCATTCCTAACATCATTCAACGTTCAGCTCCGCACTGGGTGATACCCTTCTCTGGGCCCAAGGTTCCGGATTCTCAGGCATCCAAGTCTCCAAGAACGGGTCCGCATTCACAGCAGCGAGCGGCGTACCCAGTGGCTCTGCCATCGCCTCCGACAAACAGAACAATACCGTGTTCTACGCCGTTTCTGGATCTGCGTTCTACGCCTCGACGGATGGAGGGGCCAGTTTTGCGCAGACGGCGACGTTGGGCGATGCGGACTCTTCGACGCAGATTGCGGTGAACCCGTGGAAGGGAGGGGAGGTTTTCGTTTCGACTAACGTTGGGGTGTTTCATTCTACGTACGTGATTCTTTCATTGCTGCTGCGCTGTTGCTGCTATTACGGTACTCCTCGTTCTCATACACTCTCCACATCTTTCAGCGACTTTGGTAACTCCTTTACTGCATTACCAACGGTCACCAACGCCTGGTCCCTCGCCGTTGGAAAACCCAACTCATCCGACACCAGCAGCACTCCCACTCTCTTCGTCGCTGGCACTATCAATGGTGTCAATAAACTCCTGCGTACGGACGATCTGGGGGAGAATTGGGCCATGATTACGACGGAGGAGAAGGCGCTGGGGTCAGTCTCGGGGATGGTGTTGGCGGCGGATAAGAGAACTTATGGACAGGTTTATGTGGGGACGAATGGGAGGGGGATATTTTATGGCCGTTTTTGAAGTGAGAGTGGGTGGGTGGGGAGGGATGATTGGAGTTTACTCATGCTATATGTGACTGCGATAGAATCGCACACGCGTGTCTAGAACCGACAGTGAATTCATGGTAGTACCGGAAGCATTATCATACAGCACGATAATCAATCTGCAAGAGTCGGACCGCCCCCTTCCCAGGCAGAGTAGGTGCCGGGATATCATGCGCCTTCCGAATTACTTCAATCCTCATCCGCGTCATACTCCCCATACACCAGCCTATTCAGCTGGTCCTTGGTACCGCGTCTCGTTTCCTTCAATAATCCGGCATTGTCCAATAACTCCTCTACCTGTTGTACAACTCCGCACGTCTTCTCCCTCAGCCTCTCGAAATGAGCAAAGTACTGCGTTGCCATCAGCATTCCTTCGCGCTTGATTAATTTATGGATGAATTCCGCCGTGTACTCGGGCGGGTAACGGGTATTGGGGTTTGTATGATAGCCCTCTGGTTGTGTCGAGCTAAAGGCGGTTGCTCGTGTATATTGTTGAATGAAGGTATCGGGCACAAAAAAGTCGTATTCTGAATCACGAATCCAGGATGATCTGGCTACAAAATACGAAATGTAAACAAAGGTCAATCAACGAAAGGAAGAGTCAAGCACGGCTTACAAAAAGGTAAAACGACGTATAAGAGGGAAGGGCACAGTTTCGCCCATTCGGCCGCCGTCTTGAAGTCTTCATAATAGGCACGGTCTGTCCCTCCGGGACACTCATCTGCTCTCAATATCAACACTTTCAGGTTCTTGAAAGACGGTAACAGAGAGTGCGTGGCTCTGAAAATTGGCCCCTGAAGAAACAAAATCAGCATCTGAAGTACTATTATCAGATAACGTAGCGAGAATGAACATACAATGAAGTCCTGTCCGCCGCCGAGATTGTCTTGAGAATAATACAGATATCCAAGAAGACCCAGTAGCTCAAGTCTTGGCAGATACTCTGGCGCCTTGTTCATGAAGTTCGAATTCCACGAATTGCTCGCGTAGGACAGCGTCCGGATACCATGAGTTGCTTTTGACTTCTGCAAAGATTGAACAAGGTCGAGAGCCAGAGTATCGACGTCTATGTCTTCGGCATTCCACCATGATAAATTGACATTTTCGACGTGAGATCCCGGGATGAGGTGCAGAACAAGAATAGGAGAGCAACTCAGAGATGTGTATGCCGGAGAGTATGATGATGTTTCGAACGACGTTTGGCCTTCTGATTCATCGTCAGATTCCGTACCAGGCTCATCGGAGAATATCTCTTCTAGTATGCTGAGCTCGTTGGTGACTGAGCCGGCCTCGTGATAGAGGGCGAGGGATTGTAGATCGCGACGATGGGCCTCGACGAAATTGAAGACGGAAATATTGAAAGTAAATTGGAGCTCGAGGTGGCGAAGATGTGGGAACGCGAGTCCATCTGAATCCTGGCTAGCTGTAATGGTACATCCCTTGAACAACACAGTGAAGGCATCTGAGATTGCTTCGTCACGGTCGCGGGGACTAACCAGCGACAGGGTGTGGAGATTGGTGCACGTCTTGAGCGCTAATCGAATGTGATCCAACATCAAAATGCTGTTCGCAGAATATAAGTAGAAGTCTGACAAATTCAAAAGCCTCCAACATCACCTCTTCTCCCCGTTCTTGACATTGTCAGGCAAAGTTCCGTCGCCCCTCATCGAGATGCTCCTCACCGCCATCGACGGGTTAGGGCGACCATCGGCAGGATTGTCCTTCAACAAAGTCCCGCAAAAGCTGCGCATGCCCTTGTCTGTCGAAAGCTTGATTGGATGGCCGTACAGAGAATATGTACATGACGAGTTACAGTATTTGTTAAGCTGGCAAAGAGCCAAACTGGTCTGGAGGTCGGCGCATGTGCTAGAGGCTATGACGCTGAGGATCTCGGCCGGTAGCCTATGGAACATATCGGTTGCAAAGCCAGTGACCAGTCTACTTTTTCTCTGTCGAGGTTATGGATCAATGAGATGATGGATGACTCCAATATAAGTATGGCACTTGGACGATTCATTGTTCGACTCCGGCACGTGTCCAGGAGGGCAGCCACAGGCAACGCCCGAAACTCCGCTGAGAGGGAAATTGAAGCGACTCCGTTCCGGTTTGAACTTGAAGTACAGCACTTACCATCAGTATCTCATTGCCTCCTTACGCTACAATCCGTCGAATTGAGCTCTCCTAATCAGTCCTGCTGATTACTAGAACACTTGAATAAAAACAAGGGGGCAGTAGTGTCCCTATCATCCAAATATTCACGCCGCAGTTGTTTTTACGCAACGTGCGCCAATTGTGAACCGGGATCAGATCAACTGGACACGTCAGGAAGGAAAGAAGTGTCGTACCAGTGTGTCCCTTGTACGGTCAACTATTGCCGGTGTTTGGAAAGTCAGCTCTTGGCACAAGACTCTCCTCTACACCAATCCACCTTATCACTTTCACCCACCCCCACCGTTCAACCAAGTGTTTAATCCTCAGACATGTCACTTTCCGCCATTTGGTTCGGTATTCATACTACAGGTAAGTCAGAAACTTTGATTCCCCCAAACCCACCGACTCAGAGTGGATTTGTATCAGAGGCGACCTTCTATTCGCTTTTTCAATACCCCTGCTATGGTTCAGAATCTCGAAAATGGGGCCCATAGGTGAGCATTCGGGATCATGTTCGTTCATCAACAGATATCAGTCACTCAATGTACTATTGGCTAGGGGTTTCTGTGTCAACACAAATATTGCACTCAGTGATGTTCGTTGCTCGCTACCTGGACATCTTCACTGGGATGTATGTATCCCTCTACACGATTATCATGAAGGTCTTCTACATCCTTGGGTCTTTCGCCACCGTCTTCATCCTCCTTCTTGCCTTCTGGACCACCGCAACCACGCCAAACGAAAAGCGCATCGTGCGGACCATTGTTTACACAGTGCTGACGTGCTTTGTTCTCGGGATGGTATTCCACTACGGGGATAACTCCAATTTCACGGAGATCTGGTGGGCGTTCTCCATCTATCTAGACGCTGTGGCCGACATCCCCCAGCTGGTGGAATACTACAATTCGGAGGAAAGAGACACCACCCTGACGGCATGTCTCATCCTGATATTTACGTCTTGTATTTTCCAAGCTTTGAGCTGGCCTCTCCGGTATGTTGACTCTTTGAAGCTCACTCAGACCCTTCACCAAACATTTGTGGGCTGTTACAGGTACCTCTATTATGGGGCTCTTGACCCCATCGCCGTTACTGCTGGCTCTGTTCGCATCCTGTCCTATCTCGTCTTGGGAATCAGTGTCATGAGGCAACGTGCACGCCTAGAAAGCGGAGCTATTCGTCTTCCCAGAGACAATGAAAGCGATTCCTGAACAAGATCACTTCAATATGTAAGCGTCAATTTATTGGATTGAGGGTATCCATTGCTCACTGGTGCATCTCACTTCGTTGCAGATGTGGACTCAATCCAAATCGTTCCCTCAATCACCCTGGTGGGGGAAGATTCGTTGCTGGGCTGCATTATCTCACAAATGCTATCGCATCCTGTTCGGTTGTCTCAAGTTCTTGCCGTCCTTATTTATCACAATTTTCTGCCTCGCTCGAGTGTTTTTTACGGGTTTCTTGTAACGCGCAGTTTGTCCTCTGCCCTCTACGTCAGGGTGCAGATATTCTGGGTGACCATTATTTAGCTATATCCACTCTGTCATGTTGTACTGTCACGGGTTTCGAAAAGCGAGTGTACATGTCCAAGCGAGTTTCTATATATATTACAATGCTTTATGTAGGGCCACATCTCTGTAGAAACGCGCGTCAGGATCCCTGACCCAGAACTCTGAAGAGAGGATCACTCACTCAACCCGAGATGTCCAAGATGAAAAAGTCAAGAAACCGGACTGAACCCAATCTTCTTCAATCCATCGATCGCCTGTCTCGCCATATTTCCCAGCGCATTTCCATCCTTCTCATCATCCGTCACGCTCTCCGCAGCCTCGTCTCCCTTTTCATCCAAACAAGTATACCCCAAGCCTCTACTCCTGGCTCCCTGCTTAACAGCCTCGTCCGTCCTGATAGCCCTCCCAACGCCGCCCTGCACTTCCCAATACCTTCTCACTTTCTCCCTCAACTCGTCATCCCGCAATATTGCCGCTCTGGCCAGGTTCAACAATGTGAGTCTTCCTAGAGCAGCGTCCGTTGTACGAGCCGTGCGGAGGAGGGAATCATTGAGCGGCGGGGGCGGCGGGGTCGAAGGTGGGCGGAAGGCAACTGCGAGTGGATAAAAGACGAGAGATAGCGGAAAGGGTAGGCGAGAAAGGAAGCGGAGGAGGGGAGAAGGAGGGGTATGGATGGGTTGTTGGGTTGAGCTGGATGGTGGGTAGATAGGCGGCAATGGCTTGTATGTGTTCATGATGAGAGGCATGGTGAGGAACAGGAGTTGGCGGAATGTCCAGCAGAGGTCGTGCCACTAAAATTTGCCAACGAAGAAGAAGTCATCGGTTGGGAATGTGGTTAGAAGTGAAGTTGAAGTAGGGTGGCGCTCGCAGGTCCGAGCTGCGCCACCCGAATCAAAGGCGAAACCTTCGATATCGATGACGCTCTCCCCATCCAGAACGCTTCAACTATTTTTGAATTGCGTCCCGGGCACATGCGCCACAGAAAAAGTATTGAGAGTTAACGGAACACACCATATAAATGACATCCCTCGTATTCCTCAATGCGATTGGGACTGTATAAAGCCAGCCAGCCTCTCCGATTCCGGCGGTCATCAATAATGCAACACCGAGTGTCCTCCGTCCTTGCATAACAGGCCCCGACCCATGGATGGTAAGTAAGCCTATAAAGGCCACTTCGCGGACGTACTCCAGCAATGGTCGTGGGAGACTATAGAGTGCGTAGTCGAAAAGTGTGTGGCAGTGTATGCAGGATTCGACGGCTTGTTGGCCGAATCTGTGAAATAGCACACATATGTATCAGTAATTGAATGTTCTTTACGAATAGTAGGATGCTAAGAATGAGTAGAGGGAGAACCTGATGAAAATGGTGCGCACGTCGAAAGACGATAGTCGCGTAATGAGGTCCTCCAAACCGGGGCTCATCACAAATTCTCCAGAAGCGTCATTATTGATTCTACTCTGCAGGAGATCCCGAAGTCTTGGACCAGGGATGGAGAGTGGCGCATTCAAGAAAGTGAAAATATTGGGCGGTTGAGCGAATATAAGGCGGTACAGGATGAAGAGGGTGTGGATGGTGAGGGCTAGGCCGAGTTCCGGTCGATATGGTGCTATCGACTCTGTGATTCTACGAATTTCTCGAGCATTGGCAGCTGAACTGGGTGTCGATGTGGCGGAAAGTGCTGCCAATATGGTGGGGATGAGAATGGCAAGCAACGTAAAGATAGCTGAGTCCACTGTCGGGCTCAGGAAATACATTTCTAGTCGTTTATAATCAGCCTATACCAGCAAATTATATATTAGAGAGGTGTTATGAGAGGTCCATCCGCACCGCTGGCAGTATGAGATGGTGGCGGCGAGAAGACAAAAGCTGGTGCCACACGCAACGTCATCCAGCAACATTTCCAGGAATTTTGAAATTCGTGTAATATGCCCACGGCGCCACAGTGGCACGCTCTCGACTGACTTAGAATCTTCCCTAACATTGAGATATCTTCCTCCTACCTTGTTCGCTGGAGTACTGGTACAAGGCTTGCTTAGTTATAAGCATAGTTATAGAGAGCCTTCACGATCACCCACAGGATAGTACATTCACTAGATAGATACTCAGCAAATAAACGGCGACCACCAAAAATTCAACAACCTTCCAGAACCCTCCGATAATAGTCTGTCCCCATTATTCTATTTATTCTCTGTCTAGATGCAAGAATAACGATCCAGGCGACACTCCAAACCGAGGACTTCATACTCACCTAGTCTGAAGTTACCGGTCAAGTTGTGAACCTTGACACGAAAGTGGATCAAGGCCCCCAGTACATAGATAGCGAGTCTCTGAAGCCCGAAACTACATGAACGGCTCCCCGACTGACCTCCGAAAAAAATGCTGCAAGATTGCGCCCACCAAATGACAGTGCGCTGCGTGAGTGGGAGAGTACAACGACGGGGTAGATCGGCATACTTCGAGGGATGTCGAGGAGAACCAGAACACTCCAAAGAGTCGAGGCCAAGGAATCGACGGGGTATCTGAATGAGTTGACCGCACCAAAATGTAAGCGACTCTATAGTTAGTGTACCAGATTAGATAGGGCTGATGGGTAGGCGACGAAAGCCCGGAGAAGTTCGAGTTCGTGGAATGCGGATAACCGCACTTCGTCAAGGAACGAACGAAAAACTGAGATGAACCCTCGTCTAGACCCAAAGCATAGTTCGTGAAAATCTCACCGTGAGTGACTTAGGCTTGAGATAGAGGAGGTGAGAATAAGCCAAGTATCAACTTCGTCCCCTCTTTTCCGAGATGAAGTCCTCAAGTCGGTCAATTCGGAACCATTTAAAGCTATCGGAAGAAGGAAGTACTTGGAAACACCGAAGACACAGCGCGTCCCGAATAGTAACTTCCGTCGGGACCTGAGCGGCATTCTATGCAACTGCATCCTAATCGACCGAACATCCGTTCCGTACTTGACAATCTCGATTATGGAGCTCCGTGCAGGTTAGTGAACGAGTTTAGACAACGAGAGCCGCTGCGAACGTCTCTTGCGATCCGTTGAATTTGACCTATGGACCGCCGGGAGACCGTTCTCCTTGTTCGTGGTAAGTCAAGGAAAGAGAGCCCGCTACTAGGTCCGGGGTTCCAGAACACTGCAAATGGTTCGGAAACCTCAGGAGTCGCTAGCTTTGAATGACACCAACCTCGTGCGGTGCAATGTGGCGTTACATGTACCCTGCATTGTTGATTCATTCTTCCATGGTATGAATTCCAAACAAGTTGAGACCATTGCCTTGTTCTGTCCGATCAGAGTTGTAAGCCTTCTCTTCCACCAAGACGATCATTATCGAGGGCAACAAAGATACCTTCAACTTTTAGTAGAAAATGGAAACCACCAGCTCAATCAGTGATCCCAATCTCGTCCTTACTCGGACTTTGCTAGTCATCGTCGCCGTAGATACAGTTGGTACTCACGATCCGTTTGGGCTTTGTGAAGAGCTTGAGGAGACCGGTGAGCCGTAACACAACACTGTCAGTCAAAGGGGTGTCAGCTGTTCTTGGTGAGGTGCAGCAGAGTGCAGCATGGCTCGACGAAGTCGGGAAAATACGTACGTTGCAGAATAGTACGATCAGGGCGTCTGCGCCATTTTTCAACTAGCAGAACATGTGACAACCTTTGACCACGAGAAAACGCAAATATGTCGTGGACCTCCTATGCAGGCTTATTAAAATAGAACATCTTTCGCCGCCGGCTCATTGTCAGTGGACAGAAGGACCACAGAACGATTGGACCTCGATTCTGGGACTGCAGGCGCCGGGACGTCCTGCAAGCCCTCTAACGCCACAGTTAGACGCATGAAGCCGGAATAGAATAAAAAGGACAGTTAAGTTCACGAAGAGAACATGAACAAAAGAGACTAACCTGTGCGATATGTCGTAATAACCCCAAGAGCTTGAGCTTGAGGATAGCAAGTAGAGCTCCAGGAGAAGCGGAGACGGAAGGGTTATCGAGTCAACGGTACCAATCGGAAGTTACACCACCGGAGCTTGAGAAGAAATAGAACTAAGGGATATGTCGATGAACGTTCAACGTCTCCTAGACCTACATAACCAGAGAATAGTTCACTTGAGCACATCTCAGACGCACCCCGAAAGCAGAAAGGAAGTCGACTGGAGGCTCCACAACTATGCTGTATTTCGGCATGTAAAGAGTGGGGAGGTGGAGGGAAGAGATGCAATGGAAGAGTGGTGCGGGCGAAATAAGTTATGAGTGATGGGTGTTCCTACAAAGCTTTTTCATCGGCCGTCTGAGTATGTATCATAGCACAAAAAAACACTGAGAAGAATGTCCATTTACAGAACACCCACCACCAGAAGACTGCTCACACTAATCTTCTGGTGTCCGCCTCCTCAACGGTAGAGGCAGACTAAATGACCTTCTCCTTTGACCTTGTCTTCTGCCCCGTGCATTGGCCGAGAGTCCGACCTTTTGAATCTTGGCCAGTCTAGAGGTTTGAGAAGAGCAATATAAGGGTACGAAGGCGGAAAGGAGCAGACGAGAACGTACTTTCGTAATCCACCCCAAGCGACAAGCATCGCCACAGTGAACGACATCGCAGACATAGCCGCGAATGCGTACGGTGTTTCTTCCATATAACTCGTCAACTAATTCAAGACAGCAGACAGAGTTAGTTGTGAGAGCTCGAGGAAGCAAAGAAGGAACGCACGTTCATTCCGAAGATACCAGCTATTAGAGCACCGACGCTGTCAGCCAGTGGTGAGGTCAGTATAAATAATGTAAGGTGCATAGTCGAAGAAGAAGCGAACCCAATCCCCATGGTCCCGATCGAGACCTAAGCCGAATACCCAGTCAAGCGGTGAATGCGAGATCCTTCAATGTATACCGACGCACCTTCAGGTCGAGTGCAAGTAATGAATTTCGGTTGGAATCCAGGATCAACTCCACGATCTCCTGAGTGGATTGTACATTGGTCTGTACCAAAGATCAGCAAAATCAACCGCAGGCCAACCACAGATGGCACTCACCTGAGCATTCTCCGCCTCATTAACGATTTCCTCCGTTTGTTTAGAGAATGTCTCCAACAATATCTCGAGTTCATCATGGTCGTTAAGTTCTCGTGGGCTTCCCTTCCGTCGGTCTGTTAGGTACATAGCACACAGATCCTCATCTATGATAGTTCGACAGGTTAGGTAGGAACATTGCGGCGACCTACGAGGAAGTCGTACCTTGCTCGAGGACTTCCTCGAACGCCTCCTGAACCTACGATAATAGTGTATTCAGTGGTTGCAGAGTTGATGACGATGAGGACCGATGACCAACCAACTTCGCACGGTTCTGAAAACTCGCTAGTCGGCGTGAGTAATGTAGCAGCCGCTTAAATTTGTCGTGGTCGATGTCATCTTCGAGTTCCGCCAAGAGTCCCCCGACAAGGTTTCGAATAAAAACCATTTCGGCCTCTAAGGCGCTGACAACTGAAAGGAATATGGATTCAAGGGCTCTAACGGGAGTGGTAAATTAGCTAGGTGGTTTGAAAGCGCGCCATATGAAGTACCCACAAGAACTCATAAGGTAAGCCCGTGCTTCGGGTCTTGAGATTATGCTAGAGGGACCAGGAGTGAGATTAGCTGAGAGTTGACGATTGACAAGGGAAGACACACCTCTAGATGGTATAGAAACACTGAATGGAGCTTCGAATCTGTCGACCCATAGGTATCGAAGAGAACCACCGTGTCCGCCTTCACAAGGGCACGAATATGAAGAATATTGACCTACCAAGACAAATTAGTCGGGTGGTGGCGAAGTGGGACGGTCTAGGATTCATAGAGACGTACTAGAATGGCTTCTTGCCGCACCAGAATCGTCGGGACCAAATTGGGGATCCTGGAATCAATTTTGCGGAGGTCACGAGGCTGGATGACAGGAGAGAACCGAGACCGTCAGTCACTCGCATGTGTGGCAAGATTGGAGGTGGATAGCTTCTTACGTGTAAACGATGCTCTGAGCACAGTTCGGACCGCTTGAACTGTCCTGAAATTGTCTTGACGTTCCCTGGCGCCACGTAAAGATAATCGACGTCAGCCAGTATGTCAGACGTCCAGACGAACATAGGTAGAGGTCTCAAGACGAACAACGGCCGGCAGAAGATTCTGGAGTTTGACGGAGATGAAAAGGCTGGGATCGTAGACCGCGCGTAAGCACAGGGGGACATGAACGCCCGCGGGTGGGTGGACCATCATATGACAAGAGCGCCACACAGATTGTTCGGGAAAGGGCCAATCTCTCCCTCGCCATGGCATTCAACGATAGCGCGATCATATCAATTCCGATATATAATGTGCACGCTCACCATGGGCATCAAGAACAGTACCTAAATGAAGTCATCTTTAGACGTGTACGAGGGAAGTATTATGGGAGAGAGCACGCACATCGTAGCATAAGATCCGTCTGCTGACGACCCTTCATAGCTTTCTCCAATATGGCAGCCTTAGCGACCTCCTCCTGGCCGTCCGATGTCCCTGACCAAGGATCTAGAGGCCGAGCGAACCTCGATCCCCAAGACATAGACCTTGCACCGCTGCGTACGCCGTGAGGGTCGGAAAACGGTCCAGGAGCACGTTTACGAATGGTTCGGGTTGTGTATTGCGCGACAAACGTGCTGGAATGTCTCTTCACGTCATGAAAGCAGAAGCGTAAAGAATTGGAACGCCATGGGAAGAAACTGTGGGGTGGTAGGCCAGAAAGAGACTTCACATTGTGGGTACAAAGCTTCTGTAGTTCTCTATACATGCGCGGCTCGGATGAATTTTAGATGTCAACTACGGAGGTTGATATTGTTCTAGTACTCAGTCGTATAGAAACTGTAGGGTGACTAGCAAAGACAAGCAAGCAGCAAGAGAGGTATCACGTCGGAGACCGGACGGAGAAGATGACGGGCGCTAAAGTTGGGGACGCGTAAAGAGCAAATTGTGACGTTTCCCACGTGATGTTGTTCTATCAAAACCGAAGAAATGGCGCCCCACCTTCGTCTTCTTCCGGCACTTGTCCGTCACGTTTCCGAACCTGCACAAGAAAACCGAGCCTGCACCAAGAAGATCGCACTTAGAAGGCATTACTTTCTGAGCTCTGGGTACAAAGGCAGGCCAGTGGTCTTTCTATAATGGCAGCTTGATCCAATTGGCTGCAAATTACCAGACTCATTTAAATTGGCCTGTAAAGCAAGTGGACAACGGCGATGAAGTCAGAGTTTCTGCGAATTTGTCGGTCAAACGAGGCATGCATACAAGGTACGACAGTATTATGTGCTTCCCTCGAGGCCACCGGCCACTAAAGTGTCCATTATGAATCCTCAAGGTCTCCGAAGAACCCCGTGCGCTCGCTTGTGAAATTGGCGTTCGCACATCAGCGCATGTGACGCCTTTCCCGGACCCCTTTGTTGTAAATATACGAATTCGGTCCTGCTGTACAACGTGTACAAGGTCCTCCACTGACCGGGTACTCCCGCTTCTGCGGTCCTGCAGAAGTGACCCCAACTGGGACCTCTTTCCGCCCTGGGAGGCTTTTGGTCACAGAACCGAATCATATCCCACCAATCGTCCTCTACCTGGCCTTCTTGATAGAGTTCTTCCTCTCGTCCGTTCAGTCATATCATGTCTCTGGCCTCTTGCACTCTCTCTCCCTATGCTCTTCACTATGCTTGACGTTCGTCGTGTTCTCGATGCGGCCGGTGTACTCTCCTCGGCACTTCGCGCGAATGGTGTACCCCATGCATTCTACGGGAACGTCTTCACCGCTCTCCTCTCCAATAGTCCGCAGGCCGAGGTACGTTTGACCATTTGCTTCCGGCAATGTCTCCGCTCATTCCACAACGTACTTCTAGGAGATATTCTGCATTGTCGAGTTCGGTCCAACGACCCACCCATTCCGTCGTGTGAGGCAAGCGATACAGGGCACTCAGCACCTCTCCACGACTGCTTCACCTTGGAGTAATCGGTACGTGAGGGGTCGAATTTCATCTCGGCCACGACTAAGCGTCGTCAACCCCGTTCAGGCTGCATGTGATATGTCACCGCTACATCCCCCCAATAGAAGTGAGTTCACTCTCTGGATCCGGCTGGGCCGTTTACATTTGACACTGTATATGTTGGGTGTCGACGGTGAGATTGAAATTCTGGCGGCAGGGGAGCATGGGCCTCGTCGACTCGACGCGCTCACGATCATGCCCCTCAGCGGAGTCCCTTTTCTCTCGATATCAGAGTATGTGCGGGCGAAGCTAAAATCATGGTCAATGTGAGTCCATTCGTCGAGTGCTCTTCCTCGTGTACCGTCTCTAAGTTTACTAAGACATAAATTCTCCCGCAGCCGTGGGTCAGACCTTGACGCACGCGACATAGTATTTCTCATGCGCCAGTACTGGAACAGCATCGATATCAACCGCATTCCGGAAACCGATATGAACTATTTCGTTGACTCGTTTTCCGCAGCCGCTCCAGCGTGGGCTGCGATAAAAAGCAAGTATGGTATGTAACCGTGACCGGGCGTACATCGCCGCATGCCCTGCCATGCACGGACATCCACCGTTGCTTGTGGACATTATGGAAGTAGTTGTTAGTTATTCGTTGCTGTAACCGGCGTGGACACAAAAAGGCTTGTACGACGTGTCACGCGGACTGTATTACTAGGCAGGGAGGCCGGAGGATTGGACTCGGGGCAGGAGGTTGTCAACTGTTGACCAAGCGGATTTATTCTTTAGCAATGTCACCATATTTGGTCGGCCTGTTCAAGCTATTACATTCGGCCTCGAGGAATCAACGGTTTCTCTATGGCGCTCCACAGGTACGAATATATGTGCTAGCTCCATGCCCCGTCGTCGTTCCTTGCACACAACGATCGTCCGATATCCTGCTCTCTCTAGACTTCTGACTGGACATCTTGACGAAGTCGTACACGTTTGGGGCCTTGCTGCTTGTTATCCATCAGGATACCATCCGATTCTCCACAAACTTACCATGAGGCGCTGCTCGAGGTTTCGACGCGTATAAGCTCTATCTACTCCTTCATCCTCCTTCGGCGCCATGAACTGCATGGTCGACGATTAACTCGCATCAGATTATCGTGTCAATCATCTCGGGAAGGCATTTATCAGGCTCTGTACATGTCTTTGAGCGACTGGTTGCGATGCTGCTTTATCTCTTTCAATGGCGTTCAGCTGACTCTGCTTTCGGGTCGTCAGTGGAACGATAGGCTGCGTAGCGTGTTGGTGGCTATGTTAATTTACTGCAGGCGTCTCATCCTCTTATCGTCGTGTCACAGCTCCACACGTTGAGGGACCACGAATAAAGTCAAGCCAAACACAGTCCCACAAATGCTCGGCAGAAAGAGCTCAATCGCCCCGACTCCGTGTTCCCAGAAACCTGCTCGTCTCACTCAGTTTTTGCGAAGCCCGCTCGATATACAATGGGGCCAGAGCGTACAAGGCCTTCTCTGCGAAGCATCTGCTCCGAAGAACTTCAAGGGTAAGATAAGTAGTGGTGCTAAGTATCCTCTCACGGACACAGGGGATAGCGCGATTTCTACGACTTTATACATAGATCCCCCTAGCCTACCGCGCTGATCATACTAGCCGTGCTTATATGGTTAGGGAAGCATGGAACTCTGAACGATGTGTTAGGAGACGTCGAGAAGGAACAGGTCTCGCCTGATGTGCGTATAAAAAAAGGAATTGCAAATGCTGAAACCTTGCAGCTGGATCACACGGAACACTTCTGCTAAACCTACTGGAGGTATGGATGAGAATGTGTGCCTGCAACTTTAATCCAGTTGTTCTTGGGCGTGGGAGGAGGAGGAAAGCAGCCGGAACTCTACTTGTGTGGCGGTGGCCTAAGTTGAAGCGGTCGTTGGAAAACAAACTTGAGAAATTGAAACTCAGCGATGCCTGTGACATCGTGACAGAAACGCGTGATTCCCGTCACAGGTGACGCGTACGCGTCGCCCGCGTTGAGGTTCTGTGGCGAGCAAGTCGCTCCATCCCACCACCATCATCACCGTCGCCATGGTCGTCGCTGTCCACACTCCTACACCGCCAGGCGGTGTCAAGTCTTACTATCAGGCCAAGATTGAGGCGGCCGAGATTCTTATTAACCAGAAAACACAGAACTTGCGCCGTCTAGAAGCACAACGAAATGCTCTGAACGCTCGAGGTATGTCTGGATACAACCTTCAATTCGACGTGTCTTCATGCTTGGTTTATAGTCAGATTACTTCGGGAGGAGCTTCAGCTTCTACACGAACCGGGTAGCTACGTTGGAGAGGTCGTGAAAGTCATGGGGAAGAACAAGGTGTTGGTGAAGGTACAGCCTGAGGGCAAATACAGTGTGTATCGAGTCCATGTAGGCTTAGCCTTTGTACTAACTATTCTCGTTCTAGTCGTGGACTTTGACCAGGAAGTTGATGTCGCCACTCTGACCCCGTCCCTTCGTGTTGCCCTTCGGTCCGATTCATACACCATCCATAAGATCCTTCCAAACAAGGTCGATCCTCTGGTCTCGCTCATGATGGTCGAGAAGGTTCCGGACAGTACCTACGAAATGGTCGGTGGTCTCGACAAGCAGATCAAGGAGATCAAGGAGGTCATCGAGCTTCCCGTCAAACATCCCGAGCTCTTCGAGTCTCTTGGTATCGCTCAGCCTAAGGGTGTTCTCTTGTACGGCCCTCCAGGCACCGGAAAAACCCTGTTGGCCAGGGCGGTGGCACACCACACCGATTGCAGATTCATCAGGGTATCTGGTTCGGAGCTAGTGCAGAAATATATCGGAGAAGGTAGCCGGATGGTCAGGGAGTTGTTCGTCATGGCGCGGGAGCACGCTCCAAGTATCATCTTTATGGACGAGATTGATTCCATTGGAAGTTCTCGTGGAGACGGGGGGTCGGGAAGTTCGGATTCGGAGGTGCAAAGGACGATGTTGGAACTGCTCAACCAGCTCGATGGGTTTGAGCCGACAAAGAATATCAAGGTTATCATGGCTACTAACCGCATAGGTATGCACTCCATTACACGGTTTCAGCATTTCAAAGACATGTTATTCTACTATCGGTAGAGCCTGCGCTGATTTGATTGACTAACCTTACCTATAGATATTCTTGACTCAGCACTTCTTCGACCTGGTCGTATCGACCGCAAGATCGAGTTCCCACCTCCTGGCCCCGAGGCACGCGTCGCCATCTTGCGGATCCACTCACGCAAGGTGAGTTCATGATCTCCCTACATGTCTCAATAAAGCTCGGTTAGTGTTCAAGTGTGCATGCTAATCTTGGAACATCTGTCTTCTCATCAGATGTCTCTTCAGCGAGGTATCAACCTTCGCGCGTTGGCGGAGAAAATGGGTCAATGTTCTGGTGCCGAAGTCCGCGGTATATGCACAGAGGCAGGCACGTATAACCCTCTCACCCCACCTCCTTGTGAAGTATCTCTCGCTTACTTGATGTTTTTCGCTCCCATAGGTATGTACGCACTTCGCGAGCGCAGACAACATGTTACCCAAGAAGACTTTGAGTTCGCTGTAGCGAAGGTATGCCACGGCCTTTTTTTGAGACGATAACCGTATCCTTCGACGTGCTAAACTTCGGTACCACAGGTTTTGAAGAAGAACCAGGAGGGAAATACGTCTGTCAACAAGTTGTTCTCGTGATCGGCCCATTGTACCACTTCGGATCGCTGTGTATCTCTGTATCTATCACTTTCCTCTTGTTTGCTCCGTTCTGCGTTGCCGCCGGCAAGCTCTAGGGCTGGAGTCTTGAACGAAGGCATTGTGAGCTTGAGTGTCGTGGACTACTTCAGCCTCGTCCCCCTCCGGCGGTCCGTGGACAGTGACGAACTACCTGAATTTTGCATGCGGCTGGGAAAGCGCCCTTATAGTTCAGTTAACGTTCTTGCGTAAATTTCCCGTGGGAAGTTTACACCTTTCTTATGCCGTTTTCTCTCAATTCTAGATCGTCGTTTCAACCTCACCATGAATTTGCTTGACTTTTTCTCCTCATGATTCAAATTAGATCGCAGACGTACACGAAAGGCTGGACTCACTGTATAGCGGACGAAGATTGTCGCTCATGATGAAAAGAATTTTTGGACATTGAAGGATCAATGAAGGTGCGTTCATCAGATACTCGCCACTCAAGGACATGCTCGAGCCAAATTGACATCTGAAGCTGATGGGGCATGGATATCGCCTGTAGCGCCTGCCGCCACAGGAATTACGACGACCAATAGCAAGCCCGTATTTTGCTTCACGGCAGGCGCTAAGAAACACATAAAGCCTCATTTCGACCTTGAGGTGCTTGGTAGTCGGTCCCCTTCAGTCCCTTTCTTTCAATCGTCCACCGTGACTTTCGTCTGCTCGACCATACATCGCTATGCCACCTCTCGTATTACCGGTCGTTTGCCCCCAGCTTCAGACGAATGGGGTCTGCAATGATCGAACGTGTTCTTTTGGACACGACGTGACATTCTGCGATCCATGCCAGTGCGTTATCATCAGTCGCGAGGACTATGCTGCCCACGTCCAATCTCGGCCACACAAGGCGAAAGTTTCTGGAAGATCTGGGGATGTCTTCTGCTCTTTGTGCCGCACAAAAGTCCCTATCTCTGTATGGTCGCAGCATATCCGCGGAAGGAGGCACCAAAACCACGTCACTTCCACAGGAGTCCTTGGCGAAGTAGAACCAGAGGAGGTTCCCGTCGAGCACGGACAGATGCGATGCGATTTATGCAACATCGTCGTCAGCCAAGTGGATTGGTACATACACATTAGCCGCGTGGCACACAGAAGACGAGAACAGTTTATCTCTTTCCGTTCTGTATTTGACGAAGCTTCGAAGGACAAGCATGGAGTCGTCATGTCGCATACCGCAGGCCTCGACTTCGACGTTATCGAACCCGCGATCGCAGTCCGAGGCATCAGTACGGCCATCACTGTGAAGACGACTACCCCGGGCACCACTATCAAAATACTCGATATCAAGCTCGCTTCATCGCATTCAGCTTTTCGTACCCCAACCTCGTAAGTCTCAGTCGTTCGGCCGTGTACTTCGATCTCCCGCTGAAGCATTATTTTGAAAGATATATCATTACACCACTTTCGTCCGCTAGCTGTACTATTCGCTATGCCCAAGAGACTCGTATTGTCGTCACTTTTCGTCAGGGTTACGAGGGCCGTGCAGAAGATCGACTCGAAATCACTTTCGAAGATCCAGCTTTACGACAACGCTTCATGATCATACGACTGCTCAAGGCCACAGTTGGAAATAAGGCCGAATACGACGCCATAAAACCCACCGCACCGTACGTGCCAAAAAAACGCACGAAGCGTACGATAGAGCGGGAAGTCGTCCCCGGTGTCCCACCCCCTGCTGTTGAGGTGACGAAGTGGGTGGTACGGCTTCCGCCGGCATTCATTCCTTCGTCCATTACTTCGGTCTTGTTCTCGGGGATTGTGACAAATATCATTGAGCAATTGAAGCGCACAGTTTTGCCCTCTACGCTGGATATTGCATCATATGCACGTTTCTTCAAGACGCTCTTGTGGATTGAGGAGAATCAGATGAAGTCAGTAGCGATATTATTGTATCTTTCTTCAACGCTGATATCTTTTCTCAGGAACGATTTGCAGATTTATGACATCGACGACGCTGTGCTCACGAAGCACTTTCAATACTACTAGTCAGTTTCTCTCGTCTTTCCTTATTTTCCATGCTTTCCTCAATGCTCCTCCCAGCGTCACTGTTCCAGGCCTAGCCGAAAAACGCCCAAGTGTTTTGACAGGTACGTTTTGAGCATGTTTCTTTGTCGATGTCTAGTAATTGAGTTTACTTTATATTCAGGTGACCGGATGCTCGTTCAACGTCATGGGACCGAAGACAGTGGACGGTGGTTCGAAGGCCATGTCCATGTCCTTCGTAAGGAGGAAGTCGGGTTATGTTTTCACAGTTCCTTCCCGGTCCCACCTCCTGGACAACGCCACAACGTCAGATTCAAACTCAACCGGATTCCTCTTCAACGCCAGCACCAGGCCCTCGATACTGCGTTCGCCTCGGATCGCATACTATTTCCGAAAGAGCAACACATCGTCGGCCTCCAGCCAGTTAGAACGCCTATCACGCCCTACAGTCCACTAATCGGGCAAAATATCCCGCAGATGGTAGCAGTCAGAGCAATCACCTATCGTCCGGCTGGTTCTGTACCATTCATTGTGTTTGGGCCGTAAGTGTTTCTCGCGGCTCTAACTTCGAAGTGTGTAATTAATCATGTCGTAGGCCTGGTACGGGGAAGACCGTCACTGTCGTCGAGGCCATCCGCCAGCTTCTCAAAGTCAATCCGGCTGCAAGTATCCTGGCGTGTGCTCCGAGCAATTCAGCGGCCGACCTCATCGCCTCAAAACTTACTGTGCTAGGTAAAGACAAGCTTTTCCGATACTACGCACCCTCTCGTCCGAAAGATAGCGCCCCCGGCGATCTAGCCGACTTCACTCACAAAAACTTCGATGGCTACTATTCTCTCCCACCATGGTCTGTACTTCGGCGATTCAGGGTTATTGTCGCGACTTGCGTGTCGGCCTCCTTCGCGCACAACATCGGAATCCCACGTGGTCACTTCAGTCATATCTTTGTAGATGAGGCCGGTCAAGCAACCGAGCCGGAAACCATGATTGCCATCAAGACTATGGCGGATCTGAAGACGAATGTGGTCTTGAGTGGCGATCCGAAACAGTTGGGCCCCGTCGTCAGGAGTAGTGTGGCAAGGAAGCTGAAGTTGGACATCAGCTTTCTCGAGAGGTTGATGAAGTCTGATATATATCATGAGGGAACTGGGCATGGGCGAACGTATGCGTTTTCTACCTGGACCGGACTTTTATTGTCTCTTCTGACAATTTATGCTGCCTACAGAGTTGTCAAGCTCACGAAAAACTACCGATCTCATAACTCCATTCTCCGTTATCCCAACGATCGTTTCTATAATGGTGACTTGGTGCCGTGCGGCGACAAGAGCACTATTGACTCCTTCATCGGCAGTCCACTTCTGGTTTTGAAGACGTTCCCAATTGTATTCCATGCTATGTCGGGGAAAGACAATCGAGAGGCGTCGTCCCCATCATTCTTCAACATCGAAGAGGTCCTCCAGGTGAAGCGATACGTCGAAAAATTGCGCTCGTCGATGGACAGGCGTTTCCGAGTTGGTCCGTCCTCTCGTGCTTGACTTGCGAGACGCCCTGACTTACAATTATGCCTGTCTGTATGTCTCTGCAGCGGACAAGGATATCGGAATCATCGCACCTTACCACGCTCAATGCTTGAAGATCAGAAATACTCTCCGTGGGGTTGCGGACGGGGTCAAGGTCGGCAGCGTTGAAGAGTTCCAAGGCCAGGTGTGCACCCAGACTCGCTTCTGTGTTCCTCAATACGCAACATTTATTAGACTTTGTCATTAGGAACGCCGTGTGATTATAATTTCGACGGTCCGTAGCAGTCGGGAGTTCGTGGAGTACGACCTCAAGCATACTCTCGGCTTCGTCGCCAGTCCACGCCGCTTCAACGGTACGTATCTTCATCTGCATTGCTCTACACTCTGTGACATGACTGATCACTGGCATCGTATCACAAATATACCTCGCCTCTCAGTTGCCGTCACCCGTGCGCAAGCCTTGCTCATAGTGGTTGGAGATCCGACCGTCCTGTCTCTCGATCCTCTATGGCGCTCATTCCTGAATTACATCCATAAGAACAACGGCTGGACTGGTGTGCCCATCTCCTGGAATTCGGATGAAGTCGTTCGCGATGCAGGAGGATATGATGCGGAGTACAGAGACCTTGGCTTGGCTGACATGAATGACTTCACGAGAAGGATGGAGGCGATGACATTGGGCGGCGTGGGCGATGGCGAGAATGGGGTGGGTGAAGCGGAGGCAAATGTCGATAGGCCCTGGAGAGAAGTTGAGTAGAAGATACGCTCGTAGATCTGAATTCTTTGTTCCCTGGTTAGAATCCATGCTTCAATGTATTTCTCTCGATAATCCTCTTGCATTCACGAATACATATAGGCAACATGATTGTCTCTTCTTAGATCACTGGCCGTGCAATATTCTTTTTGGAGAGACCGAAGAGCTTGGCTGGTTTATATCCCTTCATCTCTTCTACGTATACAAATACCGTGTTCTCGTTGTGTCGGTCTCTACACCTGCTCCTTCGGCATCTTCTCGCTGCTTTGTGCCACCGCCACTCCACAATACAGCAGCTACATAGCACTTGGTCTCTTATAGTAATTATAGTAGTACACGTAGTAAGTACACGGTAGGTTGAGAAGTATCATCATAGGTAGATACAAGTACAAGTACAATCACGCACGAATAAGTTATGCACAATGATTAGCGAAGAACCTGCTTCCGAGTCAGTCAGGGTCAGCAGACCAAAGTCAAGCAGGCAACTGAGAAGGCCTATCCAATAGGTACCTCAGCACCGACCTATCCACAGTCCACCCCCTTCTGTGCACCAATACCTCTTCCCACCCCAGATCCTCGCTCACGTCCTCGCTGGGTACATCGATACCCACATCATTCTTCTGCGTCCAACAACCCTGCCCGTCGCCACAAGCGCGATCACCCCAGCTCCGTAACGCTTCCTCGTAGCTGTAGCCTTCCCCTGAACAGCCACCCAAACGCGATGCATTCTTTCCTGGATGGCCAGCCGGCAAAAAGACGAAAGCGTCCCCATTTGACTCTCTCGCCATCTCCCTCAACAACCGCGTCATATCGTCAAGTTGATAATACCCCGAACAACAACCGCATTGTTTCTCAGGTTTCGGTGGTAGAGCAGATGGATGTAGTATGAGACGTTCAAAGACGCCATGACGAGGAAGAATAGGAGGCCATTCGACGGGTAAAGCGGTGGGTATGGAGGACCATTGGTCAAGTTCGTGAAGGCCAGGGAGCACAGAAGGGACGACGTCGCGCTCGACGAGCTCGGAGAAAATGGTGCGCGCGAGGTTGTAGTCGGTAGCCTCGAGGTCTGAGAGTCGGATGTGGGAAAGTGAGGGGGCGAGGGGTTGGATTTTACGAATGAAAGGTTCGAAAGGCGTGGGAGATATGAGGTGCAATCGTTTCAGAGATGGAAATATAGCAGATGAAGCGACTGCTAGCGTTGGTTCCGACGATTCAGGATCTTCCGCGTCCCCTCTTCCAGGACTAAGGTGTCCATTGCCGCTCTCCAACCGCGAAATGGTCTCGGACGTATGGCCACCTCCGCCAAGATCGCCAAAGTCCCTCATCGACATCTCTCCCTCCCGAAACCCTCCTCGAATCGTCACCTCTTCCAACTTTGGCATCTGCTCCCTAAACACCTTATCCCACTTCAACCCGTTCTTCGGCGAAAGATGAACGTCGTAAGACATGAGCGTGAGCATGCGGAGGGAAGGAGAGGCATATACGAGGATCTGGTGGACGGCGTGAGCGAATTCTGCGGCTTCGGAGTCAAAGGCTTGGTCGATCCTGGTGCGCTCGGGGAGATGGGATACGGCATTGCGTTCGAATGTGCGGCGATCCCGGGCGCAGGAGGAGATGCGGTTGGAGAGGAAAAGGTGGGATATGGGACGTGTGGCGGATGGCGAGATGAGTGATGTCGATGCTGATGTGCGGGTAGAGGAAGAGTGGAGGACGAAAGCGTTGAGCGAGGCGACGAAGCGTTTGACCCGAGGGAGACCGGAAAGGACGAGGTTTTGCCATTGATACGGTGCTGAGACGAGGCGAACGTATCTCGACACAGAAGAGAGTGAGCATCCAGTCCGCCCATCGTCGGTGCAGGCCAGAGAGAAGATATGCGCATGAATTTCTGGAGGACAAGAGTGCATGGTTAATCTCGAGCTCGAAGGACGCGGTCAGTGGTTTGGGGGATCTCCACTACGGTGTCTATGGAGCAGCTGAGTTGTTTCCAGCGATGTTATCCGAATAAGTACCCTTTGCCCTCCGAGTACAGCGCTAGCAAAGATGGACCAGATCCAACACAGTGTCATAAATGAAGGCACGTTTGACAGGACACGAGTAGGCTTACTCTCTCTGGCTGGGTTAGAGCGATGGGTTGAAAGCTAGATAAATCCGTAGTGACGCACACGATCGAAGGGTGATAAGCGAAGTTCTTCCACCAATGAATTGAGGCAAAACCGCGTGGAAGGCGCTCTGTGAACAACAGGATGTAAAATTCGGTATGCGTCAAAAATGATAGACACAACACACTCACTGGATGTAAGGTTACGACGGCGGGGGAGGGGACTGCTGCCGATCAGGCCAGTCAGGCTCCAGTTATAATACCCAGCCACTGACCGGAACCGAATAGACTCTCCAACAGGCTGCCTCGTAGATATCCCTCCGAGTTGTTCCTTCGCCCATGCGCTGCATCGTGCCAGTGAACATAGCATAGATCGCTGAGATATCGCAAAAACAAGACAGACGACGTCAAGGATCAGCAGGTCTTCTCGAAGATACGCGAAGATTCTGTTCGACGACAGAATGAATAGGCCAAGCCACATACTTCAAAATAGAGTGCATTCACCCAGAGATACACAGCCCATAGCACTGGCTCCAAGCACAACTGGAATCTTATACCGGCAACACTATATGCCCATCATCGCCATCCATCCAAATCTTGAACCAACTCCACCCAGGAAAGCACACCCCATCCCAAAAGAGACGACAACGTCTACAAAATAAAAGGAGAAGATCAAACTGGGGTAATCTTGAGAGCACGAGGCTGGCGCGGGAACGGGATTGCGGGATCTGAGCAGTCCTCGACAGGTATAGCCGGGGAGCCAGACGCGCTATCGTGTAGTCCACGTCACCAGTTGTCCATACAAACCATTCTGTTCATGTTATCAGAGTACATAGAAGGTTGAGAGCGAGCGAAGGAAGGAAGTCGGTGGCTGGAAAAGAAGCTTATCGGAGTTGTTTCTTGGCGGCAAAAATCAATGCTGGTGCACCGACGATCAAGACAATTGTAACCGAGACTTGAGCAACAACACATCAGATAACACAGGAAACACTGAAGGACGGTGAAATAAATCAAAACAACAGCTAGAACAAGATGAGGAAAGAGTGCGCGACAGCAAACATGAATATTTGGAGTCTCAGGTCGTGTCTGCCGAGTTGAAGATGGAGGTACTGAGGAGCTCAACACGACTCTCGAATGTTGATTGTATTATGAAAGGCGAAGAGTCTGTGGCCATGAACAGCCATAAACAGTGACGCGCAGGGTTACTGCACTCACTAATCACCGGCACCGCAAACGACACCCTCGATCCTTAATCATACGCATCGATGAACTACATCGCTAGGATGTCTTCTGAGTCACCTCGATGACCCAGAAGCGTGCGCACGACATATTAGAATTATAGATGGGTGTAGGGATGAAGCTAAGACGTGTAAGTGGTGGTTGAGAATAAAAGACAACTCGACTGGGCACAGTGTTTGTCTTGTCCGGCCCGGACGCCCCGGAAGTTGCTCCCGGACTCTCCCGATTGGCCAGTGCCACAATAAAGTTTAAACGGCACGCTCAAGCAGGCTCACGCTCCTCCTTCAATTCACCCAGTTCCTCTACCAGACATTTACGGCGGGGAGGAAAATGATGTAGGGTGACTCGGTGTGGATACTGAGAATATTATAGGGCCATGAAGTACTTATCATAAACCATGACTGACGGTCGTGCTCGTGCTCTGAGGTACGTACGCAGGCTTCGATTGAGTGGCGCACAGGTCCTAACGAACGTTCTACTTATCAAGTTATCCTCGTCAATGAAGAACAGGAGGATTCCAGTGGCGTTGAAGCTATCTATATCTAAGTAGCACAGCCAACCAAACGAGAACGTCTACTTGAGAGATAAATGGGGACACGCCAAGGGCTAGCCGAGGGAGTCAACAGCAATAAAATTAGGTGCAAATACACTACAGTTCAACTGGGAGCCCAGGAGGATCCAAATACGTCGCGCGCATGGACGACAGCGAGTGAAATAAATGAAGATACCCATGGAGGGCTGACGCTTCCTAAGTGGCCCGTGGGTATGATCAGACTTGAAGACTCGGGATGTAACCATTAATTTAAGGTGACGTACGTGGATGAAACTAGCGATCGTTCAGCGATGATGCGATACCTAGCAGCCTGTCCGTCGTCTGTCCATGTATGATGTCGATGTCGGTAGACGGTCCGGCGGGACCTTGCATACAGCAGCAGGGAAAGAATCGACATCGACATCGATCCGCGAGGTGGATTACATGCAGTTCGTCACCATTACACGCTCCGATCTTCTTTCCAGTTCCGAGTCCCTTTGCACGCTTGTATCTGTTTGACGGAATCCGCGCGCGTGCGACAAAGGATCGCTGTCGCAGGAGTGTGAGACCTGAGAATGAGAGAACGGAGACCAACCATCCATAAGATCACGAAAAAGGATCAGGTAGTTCGTCGACATGATCATTCCACGCTACGATCTTCTCTCAAGTCCCTTTGCAGGCTCGTATCTGTTGTGCGGGCTTCACGCGCGTACGGCGAAGGATCGTGTCCCAGGAGTGTGAGAGGCTGAGAGTGAGAAAATCACGATAAAACGAGAGGATTAGGATCAGGATAAAGCAAGAAGATTAGGATCAGAATCAAGATCAGACTGATTGTCGATTTCGAGGTATTCGCCGTGACTGTGAAGAAGGAAAGGACGCCTCAATGTAGAGATGTCGCGTCCGAACTGAAGGGCGCAGGGCGTAAAGAAGCCAAGTATCCCAACTGTTGACTGTATGCAGGCACAGTCGATTTGGTCAGTATCATTCGATCCTCCTATCATAGATCATAGCCAGAGTCCGGATTGCAGTGAAGACTCAAATAGCGGGAAGGAGGCAGATCGAGGCCAGCACAGATGTCCTTTTTCAGCTGGTCAGGACTAGTCAGCTGATATATTGAGAGCACTGGAAAGGTAGACGAAGAAGGAGGGCTGGCGTCAAGAGGTACGTGGCGATGGCCCTCTACACTCCAATCAATCCGCGGCCGCTGCTCTCCAGCTGAGAGCATCGCATCAGAGGACTACAGCTGAGTGAGACTAGTGCACAAGGTTCCCGACCAGCACTAGTGCGACTGTGCACGGTGGGAAGTCCGGCCAACGCGACGGTCGGGAAGGATCATACTTCAGTGATCTGAGTTTTAATTGGGAACGAGGATGCGAGGAGAAAGGAAGGTCAAAGCGCAAAAGGTAGATGAGTCGATATGAGATGCCTTGAGGGAGCGGTGAGGAGAGCACTGAGCACGTTCCGAGGCTCATGGCGGCCGGGAAGGGGCCAAAAACCGGACACAGAAAAAAGAAAGGAACCGAAAGGGGAAAGAAAGAGCCCGGTAAGGAAGTTCTCGGAAGACGAAGGAACAACAAGGCCGGCTTACGTCAGCTCGGCTTGAGGCCACGCACTACGCGCCACTTTCTGACAGCCTCCCGATCGCTCAGCCAGAACTCTCCCATCAACAGCCACCATCCATCTTTCATCCCCCACCGACTCATCGACGCCGCCAACGACGACCAGCTCACCCCCTTCGATACCGACGCCGACACTGATATTCACATCGACACAGAGCAGAAATTCTCGAACAATAGAGTCATGCTGGTAGACAACCTGCTCCAGCCGTCGCCATTCGCGACGAACAACCCCAACGCCGCCGAATTATCAGACTTCCTCAACATGGACCTCTTCGCCCAGTCTGCCACCGCCGCCCCATCCTCTAACAACGGCGGCGGCTCCTCGTCGCGCGGCTCGTCCCACTCACCCTCTGCCCCTTTCTCTTCCCTCCCATCACCACCCTCGACCGGCTTCTTTTCCAACCCTTCCATCGTGGATTACACCAACGCAGCGACCACCGATTGGTTCAACTTCAACCTCCTCGATGATGAGTACACCAAGATCGACAACTCCATGTCGATGTCTGGCATGAGCGCCGCAGCACCCGCACCGTACGATTTCTTTGCGGGCTTTAACCCGAACGCATTTGGTGCGGCCGGAAGCTTTAGTAGCCCAGAGAGCATCAGCGCCGGTACTAGCTTTGGAGGCAGCCAATCGGACGCCGCTGCTGCCCAACAGCAGTCTTATTCTATTGATCCTCAGCTCGTGGGCACACCCTCTGCCGCATCACCCGCCGAACTTTCCTCCCATCATTCGACTAACGACGACGAGAAGATGAGCGACGGCGAGGACGACGAAGACGATGCCGAGTCGCAGAAGCCTGAGGTAGAGTCTGAGCCTATCATCGCGCCCGTCAAGGTCGGTGGTAGGGGAAATGCAGGTAGGAGAGGCACTGTGCAGTCCGGCGGGATCGCGAAGAAGACGCCGCCGCTGTCCTCCGTCGTGCGCGTTACCGGCGGTTCGGCGCCAAACTCCACCATCGTCAGCGTCAAGAAGGCCGTCGCGCCGGTGGAGAAGGTCACCGCCGCTGCAAAGAGGGAGAGGGACGACGATGACGATGAGAACGACGATTGGAGGCCGAGCCCAGAGGAGTACAAGAAGATGAGCAGCAAGGAGAAGAGGCAGCTCAGGAATAAGATTAGCGCCCGCAATTTCCGTGTTAGGCGTAAAGGTATGTTCGCCGTTTCCCTCACTTCCACTTTTGGTGTTCCCTTTGCCATCTATACCTCGTGTGCTCATCAATACTGTTTTTATTGACTTTCCTTTTCCTTTTTTCTTTGTATTCCCCGATGCATTAGAGTACATCTCGACTCTCGAAGGTGACATCGCTGAACGCGACCGCCTCATCGACGCCATCCGCACCGAGCTCGGTTCCACCAAATCCGAGAACAACGCCCTCCGTCAAGAGATTTCCGAGCTCAAAAAGGTCCTCCTCGCCGCACGTGACCATCCCGACGCCGCCACCACCCTTCCACACCTTCCCCCTCCCGGCCCTCTCCCGCCCGTATCACCCTTCCTCTCACCCGTTTCCGCGACCAGCTCCGTTCACTCAACGTTGAACGTTATCAACGCACCACAGAGCCCGAATCTGTTCAGTGCGCCATCAAGTCCTGCGCTCGCGCCTGTCGCTGGTCCTTCTACTTCACCCATTCCCTCACTTCCCAGCACTGGTGGCTTGGTGACGCCGAACATGAAGAAGGATCTGCCTACCTCTCCAAGGGTCGGCGCGAACGCCTTCTGGGGCGGGGCGAACTCGCTCGGGTTCACACCCGTGCACACGACACTCATACCTGATGCGAACCCGAACCTCAGTAACACTCTCAGCGGAAAGCCCGCGAATGCGAACAGGAAGACGACGAGGAGCCCTGCGTTGCAGGAGAATATGAACCCTGGTCTGAATGGTTCCGGAGCTGGAGGGAACGGAGGCGCGAATTGGAATGGATTGTTTGGTGTTGGAGGTACGAATGGGGCGAAGGTGGCTGCGGGGGCGGGCAAGCCGTTCGATGCGTTTGCGGAGAGTAATATGTTTACGATGAAGATGCTCGATGCGTACGTCCATCTTCTTCTTTCTCAAAATTATTCCCTGGACGTGTTGAATTCGTGAGGCTCACCACGTGCTTTTTTTGCTTCTTCTGTGGCCTTTATTTTTATGACCGATCGACTGGACGAATACACAACATACCGAACAAACAAACAACAGTTATCGCATGCAACTTTGGACCCGCATGGCTCAACAACAAGCACATCAACAGCAACACATCCAACACTCGAACCCGCACCAACACCCCTCTCCCTCCTCTTCTCACTCCTCACTCTCGGGCTCGCCATCCCCACCACCGAGTCTCACCGGCCTCGCCTCGAACCTCAAGCCGCATTACTTCACCGACTCGAAACGATCCGCCGTTCCTTCCTCGTCGACGCTCTCCGCGTTGTTGGCCGGCAAACATACCGGTGGCAGTGGGACGGCGGCGGCGCCGTTCAAGGTCAAGAAGGAGGAGCCGGAATTGTCGGGTGTTCCGCATCTGGGAACGCCGGGCGTGGGAGGTATGCCACCGATGCCGACGAGGCAGGAGGCGATGGTTGCGGCTATGGCGCATCAGACGTTATTGGGCAGGTTGGGGAATGCGTTTTGGGACGCTTTCTCCGGAGGTTCTTCGTCTGGGCATTCTGGAGCTGGTGCTGGGCATTCGCATGCATCTGGTGGGCAGAAGCACCAGAGTATCGATGCGGATAAGGTGAAGAGGGTGTTGGAGGGGAGAGCGGTGGTTAGGGTTGTTGATGTGGATGAGAAGCAGCCGGTTAAGGCGGAGATGAAGGGTGAGCCTATCATGTCGAGGGTGAAGGCCGAGCCGGTGTCGCCGAGGATGGGTAAGGCTGAGCCGATGGCGACGGTGAAGACGGAGAAGGGAGAGGGTGTGAAGGTGGCGGATATGTTGGAGGAGAGTATGAGGGCGCTGAGTTTGGGGAAGAAGTAGAGCGTTCAGCGCTTCACGACGTCTCGTTCTTTTTTGGATGATGGGAGGGGAGTGAGAAGAGAAGTGGGACTGTGTAGAGTTTGAATTTTCTTTTCTGGTTGTGTGTGTGCCTATCGATAATCCCCCGCTCCTTCCCCATTTTTTTTCCGAATCTCTCTCGCCTCTCGTCCACGTTGGTGGTTGTCGTGTCTTCGTCTGTCGTTGGGTCCAGTTCAAATATTCATCGAACTCGATGCCAACTTCGAGATCGTCACCACCAGATACATCCAATCTCTTTGTTCTCCTCCATTCCTTTTTTGTTTTCATCTCGCATCCCGTCTTCGTCGCATTGATTCTCTCATCCTCATTTCATTTCTCATTTTCATTTTTCATTTTCACTTTCTCTCCACTGAATCGAACGAAGAAACCTTCGCACCCATACTCATCCTCCAACTTAGGACTCCTTGGCCTTTAATATGCCTTTTCCTTCCCTTCCCTTCTCTGCCCTCCCTTCCCCGCGACTAGGTCATTCGATCGTGACCCCGCTCCTTTGACTCTTTGATCCCTTGAAATTTGACTCGTGCATCGTGTTCTGTTTGTTTGTCCGTTTCGCTGTTTGTCGTTTAGTGTACAATATTTGGGTATCGGCATCGGTATGAGTTTCGGTTTTTTCTTTGTCTTTGACGTGTTCAGATACGTTGGCGTGGAGGCTCGTACGCAGGGAGAAGTGAAAGTGAAGTGAAAGTATAGTACGGTACGGACAGAAAGAAGGAAGGCTCTGAATCGTGTCGGACTTGAATATATATTTACTTCCTTGTATTTGTGTGATGTGAAGTGGCAGAACGAAACGAGGTGGGGGGATCAAGATGAGGAGATATCGAGTGAGGGAGAGGTGCTGAACGTCGAAGATAGGTCATCTGAAGAGCTTGTCATATACTTGACGCCTCGTCATGTTGTATGGCCATATCGTATAGCGGTTTAGTACACGGGATTTTGACGACTGTGCAATCTTCCCGTAACCCAGGTTCGAACCCTGGTATGGCCTTTGCCATGTCGAAACTGTGTTTTCTGTTTTTGTTCCTTTGCCTCTTCGTCTGTGTGTAGTACTAGTTTGTGAGGTTGTGTTATTTTTGAGGAAGTATGGGTGTGTATGGACGGCGTGAGTGGTACTAGGCCGTCGTCATGTTTCGCTTGTAGGTCATCATATACTTGATGTCGACGTTCGTTACTTATTCCTATGGCCATCCCAAGCTTAACGCTATCACTGCCTTGTCATGTAAAGCGATAAAAATATTACAAGATATGTCTACAGTTAGGCAAAGCCCCAACTCCAACGCGAACACCAAAAAAGTAAATCCTCTAAAATGTCTCCCATGCGCCTCACAGCACACCAGCAATCTCCCCCTTCTCGCCTTCCCCAACGACCCTCCCGAGCTCATCCATCTTCGGCAACTTCGGCCCCTCATACGTTCTCCTCCCATGCACCAACCACCAACACTCCGTGATGAACAAACAGCCCACCAAGATCACACTATTGTAGTTCATCGTGGGCACAGTCACCGGCAGTCCGTACGGCAAGCAATAGATGATGACGGTGAAGACGATGAAGAGGCAGGCGAGGATGTTGACTGTGTAGCCTATGAGACCTGGCATTTGGAAGGGACCGAAGGGGATCGCGGAACGGCGAGTGAGGACGTGGGCGGCGATGGGGATTAGGAAGGAGAGGGTGGAGAGGATGATGAAGGAGCCGACGAGATCTGTGAAGGCGGTTTTGGAGCCTAGCGATATGGCGCCGAGGGCGATGCTGAAGACGACTGGAAGGATGGTAAGTGCTTATGAAGGGGAAAGCGAGAGGAAAAGTGAACTTACAGCAGAGGAGTGTGGCGGGTATAGGGCAACTCCATTTCGTGGAGACTTGTGAAAAGAAGGCTGAGAAAGGAGTGACGTTGTCTCGTGCCAGTGCCCAGAAAATACGACCGCACTAGCATGACGTTTCATGTGAGTACTGAGACTAGGTAAGGAAAAGACAGAGTGGAGTGGCACATACCGTGATATACGTCCCCATCGTGCAAATCAAGATGGATATGAGCACAATAAACAGCAAGCCGAACGTTGCCCCATTACTTCCCGTAGCCTGAGCATAGACTACAGCGATGGGGAACGACCCATTACTGGATATGACAGCGTCCAGATCCGAGATAGCATACATGACGGCGATGGCATAGATCAGACCAGCTGTGAAAATCATGTTCGGAGTACAGTAAGTGATATGTGCCTTAAATAACGCTAAAAAGACGTACTAAGAGTTCCAAGGGTCATTTGGGCAGCTATGGCCTTGGGAAGATCACGACGAGGATTGGGGAGCTCCTCTGCCATGTGAGTGACGCCGTCCGGAGTGCCGATAGTGAATGCTCTGTCGATACACACCAATAAGCACGGGTTTCACGGCCACTAACATATCACAGGATCGACACGTACCCGTTCAACATGCCTTCAAATCCGACAGTCAACACACCGTCAACACCCTATCTCAACAAACATCGACAGCATGGTGATGGACGGCAACTGTACTCACCAGTCAAGAACGCCGCTCCTCCACTCCAGCCCGTCTCGTTATCCCAATCTTTCCACACAAACGAACTACTTGCGTGCTGTCTTGGCATCGCAGCAAGCACGATGACCGTCACCAATCCGCCCACCACTACCATAAACAGCCCCAGACTCTGCAACGCCGGCTGGAACCTATTACCGAATATGACGGTGGCGCAGCATAGGATATTGACGAGGACGAAGGCAATGAAGACGTGCCATGCTTCGATGGCCAGGTCAGGGTGGTAGATGGCGTACATCTGTACGAGAACGTTGGCGGGGATGAAAGCGATGGAAGAAAGGTCGAAGAGCCATGAGTAGAAGTTCAGGGCGCCGGCGAAGAAGCCGAGCACTCGACCCCAGCTCGGACCAGGAATTACAGAGGCCCAGTGGTAGACTATCAGGGAAATCGAAATGTAGGTGCGTGAGCAAATGTTGGCATGAGGTTGGTGAGCAGAACGCACCTCCACCGGCGGATGGAATAGCACTGGCAAGTTCCGCTATGGAGGCAGCGATGAAGCTGCAGAAGCATTAGTATAATTCAATGAGTTAGCGCCAGAGGTCGTTTCGCACCCATAGTAGAAGCAAGCAGCGATGAACTCGTAAATGACACCGGGAGGTCCACCATTGAGAATAGCGATGGTGATACTCCCACCCATTGCGACCCACGCATTATCTGGGTAACAGTATCACTGGACATCAGAGTCGTATATCCAAGGAAGTGAAGCGCAAGCCTACCGATCGTAAGAGCCGTCGAACATATACTCAGCACACCATACTGCCTCTGCAGCTGGTCTACCTGCATAAAAAGCCAACTCTCCCGTAAGTATGACGTACCAGAGAAGTCTCTGCGCAAAAAAAAAGACATGAGACTTACATGACCACTAGCATTAATCACTGCAACACTCGTAGGAGGCCCATGTTTCTCAAGGTCCTTATCCTGAGATGACGAGTCGCGCGTCTTCAAATCCGAGTCCGTCATCGTCGACATCAGCCCGAGTAGCTACTGACGAGATGGAAGTACAGAACAGAGAGAGAAAAACAAGCGCCTCAGTCGTTGGTAGCAATCAACATTTCCTACTCTTTGAGGTAAGCTGGGACTGGTTCGCCGGCGGGATGAGGCAAGAAGTTCACTGCGATAAGGGAACGAGCCCCATGGATCATGGATGACAGACAGCCGAGTCGCCTATCACCAGAAAGAAAATCCACGGGTGAGAACAATTCGGGAGCATAACTGCACCCAGGGGCCAGGAGACTACGAGGGATTTGTGCATGTGCTTGATGGTATGAACGTAACGTGGTAAAGTGTGGTAAGTGAAGAACTTCAAGCGCTCGCAGACGCTCATGGAGGTTGAAGATAATGGTGTGGCGCGCCACAATACAACTTAAATGACCGGCGAGTTTCTTATCGTCCTTATCGCTCCTGGCCATGGGCGAAGATCGCTGTATAAATTGGCGTCCACAAACCAACAACGCTGCGCTCCGAAGGGACAGGTCAAATGTATAAAACGAGGTTGAAAATGTTTTCGGGAAAGAGATCCAGACTAAGACTTATATGCCGCGGCGCCACAATTTCATTCCCAATCTAAGCCATGCCTCCGCTTTAAACTTGACGGCGTCAAGACGGCGGGCGACAACTCGGGGGAAAACTTGGCGTTGAGGATGATCGATGATTTGTTTATCGCAACAGAAAATTTATGGATGTCTCCGCTAGTCTCGGCACTAAGCAAAAGTAGTGACATCCCGTGTTTTTTCATATCCCGACCATCCCAGAGTTCATGGCTGAACATCTCGCTTGTGAGTCTATATGGTACCAAATAACCATTATGATTCTTATACTGGAAAAACGAGGAGGCAAAAAGCGTCTGCTGGTTTCCCCCGGAAGGTACTCGTCCTCTGAGCCACGAAGAGGCCGACGCCGGGAGAGAACTGCACAGAAACAGTATCTCCCTAGACCAGAGGATACGCACCTTAACATAGTCTTGACCCTGGACTGTATTCTTCGGCGGAAGTGTATCATCTTGGCGTTCTTGAGCCATAGTCTTCTTCTGTTGATGACCACTCCGATGGCGACGCGACTTGCCTGCGCCTTTCAGCCATTATTTTGACGCTTGGTCTAAGTCTTGACGCTCGAGAGAATCGTCCTAGATATAACGAACACTATATCAGCCGATAGCCCACATGCGGACTGGAAGGAGACGAAGGAGGGGAGACACGAAGAGAGATAAAAATATATTGCCGCACCTTGGGCAGAGGTAGTTGCCGCCTTCCGGAGCTATTTCACGACGCGCTCATGGAGTAGCACCAAACGAGCAGGAGTAAACTTGCACTGGTCAGAAATAATCAGTTGAACAGGACAGACGTCGGTTGGTCGCAAGGGCTGCCTTCAATACCATTCCTTATTTCGCACCCTCGAACCCGCAGATTCTATGGGAAGCGGACCAACAGCCGTCTCTAAACCTCCTACACTCCCGGCGCGCCGATAGAAGTCAAGTAGCCCTGTCGACGATAGGCACTTATAGCCCCAACTGGCGTGTCACGACCAGCCAGAAACCGTCCGAGAACGAAGCCACCGGAGGTTAAAACAACCAAGTCCGCAAGGCTGCATGCAGTTTACTCGGGGGTAAGAGCCTGGCCGCGGGGGTCGCAGAGCGAACAAATCGTGCCTAGATTAACTCACAGGTGTTAGACATGTGGTCTCAAAGTGCCATAGCGAGACAGAGCAGCTAATAAACAAGAGAGAGAGATCGTAAGCGAAGGAAGTGCGTAAGATGGTCGATGGAAAGAGAATGTATATAGTTACTAGGAGTGTAGACCACGCGCCTCTCAATATATAAACTGCCAATGAGCAGAGGAGAGAAAGAACTGGTTCAGATGGACGTCAGTGCAAGGGATGGGGGGAGCAGAAGAAGGCTTAAGGCCCTCCTTATATACCTCGAACATGGATATTCAAGCTCCACCTGAAAGAATGCAGCGGGCGCAATAAGACACAGAACAAACGGACATGCAAGGTTCCAGGATCTGATGGTAACAATGGTAGAAGCAGGTAAGAATATAAGCACATGGAATAGTTCAGGAGCCTATGAGATTCAGAGGCATGTCCAAATCGGGTGGAACAACAGGATCAATGGCAGACCGCCACCGCATCGTCCATCCTTAGTATCGTGGGCAGTACGATAAGCGATACACTAATTCAGCGCTCGTATCATAACATATACCTGCATCTCAGGTGTGCGAAGAAGTGAGAATGTTGGGACAAAAGACCTAGAGGTTCGTTGGCGGAGAAGGAGAAGACACAAGAAGACATTAGGATGGAATGATGCCACGTGGAATACACGGCATATCCCGAGAGTAACTTACTTCCACTTTTTGGTTGTCAGTGGTTGAAGCATTTGTGCCGAAGACGAAGATCCAACAATTATATACACTAATATACATATTCTGTACTATGGATATCCCGTTAAAATAGCGCCGTGTGCAAGCTACTAGATATATCCGAAAGCATATACATCGATCCATCATGAGCGTCCATCACCACCCTCAGGCCGCGCTCTAAACGAACACTGCACCGGTAAGGTATTACCTCCAGCGCGGTGCTCACTCCGACTTCAACTCGAACTCCTCCACCAAAGGCATGAACAGCTCGTTCAATATCACAGCCAACCTAACGCCCGCTTGGGCCAACAACTTCTCGAGCACCCATTCTTTCTCGATGCGACCCGCGTACTTTGGCGTATCCAGCTCGAGATAGGGGGTTCTCGGAGCTGTCGCATGCGCATCAACCTTCCCGTCCATAAATGCCTGCCACTCGCGAACTTCCTCTGCAGCAGACGAAGCGCCATGACCACAACCGTGCGCTTCCTCGTGTCCATGTTCTTCGAGTGAAGAGGAATGCCGGCCAAAGCGAGCATCACGGTTGTAAGGAGGTTCGTCGATCTCAGGTGGCCAGATAAGGTCACAGTTGAGTTGATGAAGAGGTTGCGCCCAGGCGTAGGGACACAGAACATTGTCGTCCCATCCCAACTCCACCTTCTTCCTCTCGTTCTGACCTGTGACCCATGTCCATGTCGGCCACATATATCCCATCACCGTCTGCATCCAGCTCATGCTGATGCCTCCGGTGGCACTCGTCTCGACCGTATTGTCAGACGAGAACGAGGTGGTGGTGCCGAATTCGGGAAATTCAGGACATTCGGTCCACTCCTCGGCTTCGAATTCCCAACGTCCGCGAACTTCGCTGGGGGGGCCCACACCGAGGCCTTCCCACATGATCTTGCGGATGAAAGGATCGTATATAGTATCGCGGAGATTGGCTTCGATGCCTGGAACGGGGAGTGGACGGGTGTAGTTCGAGGGGATGCTACGCAGAGCTTTCGCGATCAGGAGACCGTCCCACAGTGAGTGTAAGTCTAACAAACAGTTCACGTAAGCGCAAGAAGATGGGAGACAAATATTTTGAAGCGAAATGACATACTAGTCACTCGATTATCCCAATGAACTTTCACGCCGTTCCCGCCCCTCTCCCTTCCACTGAGATGCAAAGGCTGATGCATATCCCCCACAAAGTGTATTAAGAACTTCAACATCTCCTCCGCATCATCCACTCGACCAAGCGCGCCCACCAAACCCCTCTTCTCTCTCAAATCCACTCCGACCTCTTCAACGAATTCCTGCAACAGGTCCGTCACGTTTCGGATTGCACCTAGGACGTTATGTCCATCACGGCCAGCCCATCCTCTCTCGCCCGGGAACTTGCAAGTTTCGGAAGGATGATCGTCGAGAGCATTGATGTAATGCAGGGTTCCGGACCAACCGTAGCCGCGTTGACGACGAACGGTGTCGGCCCAGGCGGCGACTGTGGCAAGGTGACATGGTGCGGTTGAGGTCGGGGTTGGGATTGAGTCAGATGAGGAGTTGACGAGCGAGTGGATGTCGTCTGGGTTGAGGATGGAGCAGATGATGGGGAGAACGGGTGGGTATAGATGCATTTGAGCGATGGTGGCTACAATCTCATGCCCTATGCGCAATCGCGGTCTAGCGTTAGTTCATCGGTCATAGTAGAGATGTGATGAGTTATGGAATTGCAAGACGCAGCGCCGACATGGTCGACAGCTCTTGCCTCAGAGCATGTTCCATGGTGGAGCAAGAACGCACATACCTGCAGCACCCCAAGCCAAAGCTCCTGGGAGCGAGCTCACGGCCGCAATGGCCGTCAAACCAGACAGCTTGTCTATCCGCATGCTGTTTGCTGTGGTCTACTCGATAGTGTGTGTGCTGTAAATCGAGTCGGTTATCGAAGTGATGAGGCCCTGGTGAGTGGTAGAAGCTGTATCGTCGATGTGGTCGTAGCGAAGAGCAGATCAATGTAAAATTCAAGCATCCAAGGTTGTATATGTCCCTCCAAGCAACAAACCGAACAAGCAGCGTCAGCCTAAAAGGCTTCCAAAGCGAGCGTCAAGAGGCAAGAAGCGTGTGGACTTCGGCTTTGTTACCCCGCAGAGACGCGACGCGACGTTCCAAATCCGGAATACTCTTGCGCCACATGCGTTCGAATTTGATTTTGGGGTTGGGCCGCAATTTAGAGGGGCCTCACATTCACCCACTCCAGTGAAGACTTTTCTTACGGGGCACTGAGAAGCTACAAATATTAACTCGTTCATTACAGGCTACATTTTCATCGTGAGATACGAATTTATTAGTCCTTAGATCACGAGCTGGCGTCCTGCAGCTCCTGCATAACCAACGCCTCCACCCCTTTCGACCTCGGGACCAACCTGCACGGGAATGGCTTTGCATGGCTGTCATAATATCATTAGTGCTTGTCTTCATTGATGAGTTAGAGAATCATTATTTACCAGATAAATCCATCATAATCGACCTCTGGCTCAATCTCAGTACCATTGTCGTCCTTGGCCTTCAAGATGTCGAACACGTAGAGTAATGACGCGATGGAGGTGAAGATGGAGTTTTCGGCTAGGAACATGCCGGGACATATCCTAGTATACCATATCAAAGCAATCGAAACACATGCGTTGGTAAGAGTGCTCGAATACTTGAGCCAGTATAAAAAGGCAGAGGGGGCGCAGAGAGAGGGACACAGGCTTACCTCCGTCCAAATCCAAAAGCGACCCATCCAGGATCTTCCCATTTCTCCAGCTTCTTCATATGTCCGCTTGAGTCCAAGAATCGTTCGGGCATGAATGATTCGGGAGACGGGTATGTCTGTGGATCATGGAGCATAGACCTGTCCAGTCACATCCAGAGGATGAGCCCTGATTGACGTTGAAGGAAGCGGGCATGGTGCGTGAATGAGCACAAGCTCACCAGATATTCGGGTATACCGTCGTTCCCGCCTCGATGAACATTCCCTTATACACATCATCCTGTGTTACCCGATGCGCCAGACCTATCAATCATCCACGACAATCACATTTTCCCCATCATCAGTCCCACTCCAGATCTGTCTCTAAAACCATCACGGCGCGGAACGAAATCGTAACACTCACCCAATGGAACGCTCGGATTCCACCTCCAAACTTCTTTCACAATCGCGTCTACGAAAGACAGTTGTCCCCTATCCTTCGCAGTCGGAAGCCTATGCAGCTCAGAATCTCCGGATGAGCTTGGTGATCCGAGGAGTGCGTCAAGTTCGGCGTGAGCACGGGATTGAACTTCTGGGTTAAGGACCATGGCGAGGAGGAATGTCACGAGCGTGGCGGGTGTCTGAAGGATCGGTATGAATGAGTCAAGTCTACACTTCGTTCGCAAACTCGAATGAAGTGACAGGGAGAAGTACTTACGGTTTCAGCACCACCTGAAAGCATATGGTAAGCATGAAGAAGACAGACATGGAAGAAAGTTATACGGCGAAGTAAGAAGACATCCGCACCAGAGTATAAAGAAGCTGCAGCTGCCTTGATGAGTTCCGCATCGGCCTGAAGGCCTCCCAAGTCTGCTGCATCGACGTCTTCGGCATCTTCGGATTTGGCAGAGAGATATGTGGAGACGATGGAGGGTAGGTTCTCGTTCTTGTTCTACATTGCACCGTTCGGTATAAGTGATCAAATAGTACGAGTTAGCATGTGAGGAGATTTGGAGGGCTGGAAGATGTACAAGAGGCGGGAGACGCAGAGAAGAGGGACGAGGCTTACGGTCTGCGATATCACGAAATCGAACGGAACATCGTATAACTTCTCCCTATCTTCCCTCATGAGTCTCGCTTTCCGCTGGAACGAAGCTCCAGGCATCCATTCGGGAATATGCTTCACTAATGTGAGATATCAGCATCTCCATCATCTACTCCGTTACTTTTACACATCTTCACTCTGAGATGAGTCGAGATCACAGGGTTGGGTCTTTCGGAAAGAGATAGGATCGTAAAATATGGGGTATAGGGTAGATATCGAGAAAGGCAGAAATCGGAAAGTTTAAGGCTGGTAGAGAGGGAAAATACTACTCACAGATAGACAACCTATCAACCCAGAACGCATCCGGCTCGGAAGCCCTAGCGAACCCCAACATCGCATCCTCCACGATCTTGACCAGAGGATCGCCCGTATCCGTGTTGACGCGATAACCATATGTTAGGAGTAGGATCAGAGCGCCTGTAGACCTAACATGATAGATCCATCATCAACGCTCGTCCCGATTCCACGTCTTTCGTCCTTGCTTCCCATTCAAGAGCGAGTCCGAGAAGTGACAGTAGTCCGGCTGGCTGGTGGAGAACGAGATTAGCTCACTGTCGTATAATATCACCCACATCTCCTCCCTTCCCCACACTCCGTTTCCCAAACTCGATCAACCGACCAAGTAATCGCGTCCGTTCTTGTTCCTGCATGAGGACGAGATCGGGACTGAGGGAGGCGCGGGGACCGATGGAGGTGTGGAAGAAACGGCGGAGGGCGCGGAAGCGGTTTTGCGAGTGGAGAGGAAAGGAGGAGTTTGTAGGAGAGGTGGTGGTGGGAGATGATGTAGAGGGAAAGAAACGAGCATATCCGAGCCCGAGGTTCCATCCTACGCTGTGTGGTGTACCACATCCGTGTCAGTGGTGATATAGAGAGGAAGCTCAAGCAGAAGAACTGGGAACGTACAGTTCTCCGGCCATAGTTGCTGGTGGTCTATCGGAATAGATGTTTCCTGAGTGGTGAAAGAGGATGATGGGTGTGGCGTCACAAAGTATGAGTTGGGCCACACTCACCGCGAGCATCCAAGAGATCGTTCGCTGCCTCTACGGATCCTAAAATGATAGTCTTCTCTCCCAGAGACGAGATCTGAATCACGTCGCCTATTGAGAGCACGCGCAATGATTCAACAGCGTTCCGGACGTCAGCTTCATATTACTTTTCCACGCACAGTGGACTGAACCTCGCACGTACCGTACTGTTTCGTCCATCGGTCATACTGTAGCCAGTGCTTGTTCGTGGGTAGTTGGAGCATATTCCCAATGATGGGGAGCCCTGGAGGACCGGGAGGGTATGCATGGCGTTTTTGGGTGTAGCTGCGGGTTATCAGGAACGTAACGAGGAGCAAGACAAACGGAGCGAGGACGTCGAGCACCAGCGAGGTCGACATCGTGGTCCTCTTAGCCTCACGGTCCAGGGAATAGTCGAGGTGAACTTCGAGGAGTCAGCGAGTGGGAACACCAGAGAACACACAGAAGCCCGATATATATCATTGAGTATTCGGAGAATCCGATATTACGAGGAAAGACTGAAGGATATGAAATCGTAAATGAGCGGAACTACGCCGCTGCAAAGAGGAAAGCCGCAAGATAAGATTGGTTGGACAGATAGGTTGTAAACCATTCTACAAGATCTCGTGGTCTTCATAAAGCATTGAAGAGTTTCCCATCCAAGTATAGAGCTCGGAGCGGATTCTTATAAGAAATTGCTACTTAGGCGGGCTCAAACCCCGACAGCAACGCCGCACGCAGCAGCGGCACGCTGCCGTAGGGTGCTGTAGTTTGTAGTGCATTTGAAACCAGGATTTTTGTAGTCGATCAAATCAAAGCGTGGTAAGCGGCCGTCCGCCGGCTTCGACGTTCGGACTTGGTCAGCGTCATCGCTCCGTTCCGTCTTCGTCCTCACCGCCATCATCTTCGACGACGACTAGCAATCTTTGGTGAAGGCAGAGACGGTGACGAACGAGGGTCACCGTCGTTCTTTCTTGCTCGCTTTCTAGCTCTCTCCTCCCGCTGCCTATTATACCCCGCTTTCTGTACATCACCCCGCACAGTTGCCTGAATTTTTGATCGCCAGACCTTTCTTGGCAACACACACCGCCCCCGATTCGCCTACAAATATCGAAAGCGCGGCATGTCTAACGAACACGAAGCTGTGCGGCCCGCCGCCAGCAATAACAACGACAACATATCAACGAATGGCCTGCTCACGAAACAGCAGTCCGATCCCTCCAATGCCGCTGACTTCACTCACGAGACAAACACCACTTTTTCCGCGTTGCCCACCTATGCTTCGTTCCCGCAAGAGGACCTCCGAAACCATACACAATATTACTCAGACGAAAAGCACTCGAACGGACCCGTCCTTGATGCCAGCGCCAATGCGGGTGGGAACGGGACTCTGGCAGATATGGATGCCGCGAATGCGAATACGAATGTTCCCGCGGGACGTCTCCCGGAAGAGGTGTATACGAATACGCTGAGTCCTTGGAGGGCGGCGATGAGGAGGCAGTTGGTGGAAATTGTTGAATGGGAGAGCGGCGTGTTGGCGAAAGTGCAGGTTCGTGTCATCTATGGTCTCATACAGAGCAGGTCTTGTGCGCTGCTCGGAAGCTCTTTTCACCTGGCACTGGGGCTAAGTCATCTCACAATGACTTGCAAGACTATCTGTCTCGCTCTTTCTATTGTTTGTTTCGCGGGCATCGTTCCATATCCATCAGGTAAATGAGATGGGCGATTGTGCTCCGCTGAGGCATCATCCTGTTTTTACGTGTCTATATTTGACTTAGTCATCATATCAAACTTTCATGGCGTATCATGCGCCTTATTTATGAAGGTAACGAATATAGTGAATGTGACGCTCTCCGTAATTGTTATAACGGTTAATGTTTATCGGTTGAACTTGGCCAATAAATGTGGCCACATTCTGATGCTTGGAGCTCTACAGAGCAGGCGCCAGACAATTCCGACTGAGCCTCTCCTTTTTCTCTTCAGATGGTTTTCGCGGGTCACTCATACTTGTGCTCTTCCTACAGGAATATACACGAACGCCCTCCCTCGATGCTTATTTCGTATATACATCGATGCTCGGAACGCATACTTTCTTCATGATGTTCCTCCCGTCACTTTTCTTCTTTGGATATGACGGCCTAGGGCGCGGGTGCGTATACTCTGCTTACTGGATAGTGTTCTCGCCTGATCCTGTTTTCTCAGTCTGGTTTATGTACTTGCCCTTGGTGGATATTCTGCGTCCTTCTTGAAGGACCTCATGTGCTCCCCGCGCCCCTTTGCGCCACCTGTCACTCGTCTCAGTACGTTATTTGTATTCTTTTGTAGGGTCCTTGCCTCCCGTAGTTGCTGAATTTAATCTACTTCTGTGACCTTAGCCATTGGCTCGCACCACCTGGAATACGGGTTTCCCTCTTCCCACAGCACTAACGCTGTGTCTATGGCGCTCTTCTTCCTTGGACATGCCTACGAACTCCTTCGTGAGGATATGATCGCGCAACAGACATTCGGGGTGTGTATCGCTCTTGCGATCTTCTACATACTCAGTATCGTCGGTGGAAGGCTGTACACAGGGGTGAGTCCTTCTTACTTGTTACTCACATGAAATACGGTCTATATTGCTTTCCATGACCCTGTGATGCAAATTTTTCTGATTCATCTTCCCTTCCGTACAGATGCACGGTTTCGTGGACGTGACAGCGGGTTCTCTACTCGGAACGGCAATGTGGCTGGTCCAAATCTATTGGATGCCTCACGTCGAGCAGTGGATTATGGGTGGTGGATGGTATGGTCAGTGTACTTTCCCCTCATATTTTATTCGTCTCCGCTCACTTAACGTCAATCAACTAGCACCCTTGACGGTGACCGCGATTGGCCTCCTTCTTGTCAATCAGCACCCTCAGCCCGTCGACGATTGTCCCTGCTTTGAAGACGCAATAGCCTTCATCTCAGTCATGCTGGGTGTTCTCCTCGGCTTCTCCTTCTCCGCCAACTTCCCCGCCTTCTCGTCGCCCACAGCACTCTCCTCTCTCCCCGGCATGTCTCCATTAAACTCAAGCTACACTCCTCCTTCTCCCTTCTCCGAACCGTCGACCATCACGGCCACTTCCTTCCTAAGCTTCCTATTCATCTCAACACTGAAAATGGTCTCCGGAACACTCGTCATCCTAGTCTTCCGACTGATCGCCAAACCAGTCTTACATTCTATCCTCCCGCCCCTCTTCCGTTTCCTCGCCCACACCGTCACCAAGATCAGACCAGGCTGGGGCCTGCCCAACCGTCGTCATTATACCCCCGCCACCGAGTACGGCCGCATGCCGGCGTACGTGTACGGTGGGTCGGGACATTATAGCGGTGGTGGGAGTGGTGGGAGTGGAGGTGGGGCGATGGATGGAGGGAGGGGTGGAGGGAGGGGCTTGGGCGAGTTGAGACCCATTCCGAGTATGATTGATTTGAGTTTGGAGATGCAGGGGGCGGGGTGGGAGGAAGTTTCTGGTGGGCACGAGCAGGGAATCACGAGTGGGCAGAGGGTCGGAGGTGGGAGGGGGGCTGTTGGGGGGTGGAGTAAGATTACGAGGAGGGGCGCTGGCGGTACTGGTGCTGCGAATGAGGGATCTGTGGATGAGAAGAAGGCTGGGTGGAGTGGATGGCGGGATGGGGAGAATGAGGACGAGGGTGGGGAAGGTGAGAGGATAGGACTGGGATTCTCGGAGGTGGATGAAGGAGGGGCAAGAGATAAGGCAGATATTGTGAAGCATTATGATGCCGATGGTACGTTCTGTGGACCACTAATTCGCCTTTCACGACTTTGGGCTGAGCGCTGATTTTTTTGTTTGGTTTCTGGCTTATAGTGTTGACGAAAGTCTTCGTCTACGCTGGCATCGCGATCATTGCCTCCGTCATCTGTCCTGCTTCCTTCGAGGCCGTCGGATGGGGTGTCCTTCCTCATCTTGGGTAGACCGTTTCCGCGTTACCGCCGATAGTTGGTCTGTGTCCGCACGACGCCTCAGTTCCCTTCACCACCAGCATATGGCACTCTTTCGGTAAACTATACACTAACCCATCCATTAATTGCTCCTTTTTTTTGCCCTTTTTTCGTTCCGTTATTTCTCGGATTATATCGTCGATATCTATGGATATACGTACTCCACGTTTATTCTCCAATTCTTCGATTCTTTTCTTCGTACAACTTTTCCCTTTCCGGCACTTCTCTCTCCGTATTATTCACGCTTGCTCCGACACTCCAAGTTGGACATAGCTGTAACTAGACTCGCGTCTCGGTCATAGCGAACACGGTCCTCTGACCCTTTGTTCAGGCCAAGTTCGTGCGCCACGATCATCATCTTTTCTGTTGTTTTGCATTATTGGCATGCATATTTCGTCTTTTGATTCTCATTCGATTTGCCTAGCTTCGTTCTCGTTTGTTCTTCGTCTTTTTTTGGTTCTTCAGGCTGTTGTAGATGCAGATGTCGGGGTGTACGTACTTGTATGTTGAGTGAGGCTGGGGCTTAGGAGACTCAGAGTGGTGGGAATGAGGTAGAGAGAGCAATCACATACGATCTTGCTACTCAGAGCGCAGTCGATGGCAGTATAGCAGGACGAGTGTTTCGGATGTGGCGATCGTCGGTGTGGCACCGACACGAAGCTTACTGTTTGTCCATGTTTGGTTCTTGTTCGCGCGAGGCAACAACGCCACTTTTTTCTCCCCCAAGATTCACGGTAGTCACGGCGGCGTCTCGGTCCCCTCCATTTTTATTCTTCCTTCTATCTGCCGAACTGTTACTTAGTCTCACATATCGTACCGTGTTTCAACAGGCATCAGCTTCAGCACCAACAACCCAACAACAACCAGGTAGCGCGGCGGCAATGGCGCGTTCACTGACAGACAACTAATCATTCCTCCCAGATGGACATGCAAGCAGAACGTGAGCGTCCTTATACTGTTTTGACATCCTTACACCCGGGATATCACGATTGAAAACACGTAGAACAATGCGGAATCGTCCCCCAGGCCATGCTGAAGGACCTTGATGTCTACCACAAACTTGTGTATGGCGTCAATCCCCCCCCTCCCCCTCCCCTGTCGTCCCTATTGACCGAATGTTCCATAGGAACCCGCACATTTTACAAGTATATGGCATTTCTCTTGAGCCTACAGCTTTGATGCTGCATGGAGGTAGGTATATTCATCACGCTCTTAGCTTGCTCATAGCTCACCTTGCTGACCTCTGCAGAGTCTTTACGCCCCTGGAGAGACTACATTGATTCATTGACATCGTCACAAGACATGTTCATCGCACATATCAGGCTAGTGAGTGTGAACATGCACTAATGGAGTTATCTATCTGAAAGTGTTGTAGTTATCAGACTACGTGGTACGATTCCTCGTAAATATATGGTGATGGGAGAACAACGAATGAACCGATCCATTACTGGTTTTTGTAACCGATTTAGAGGGTGGGTGAGTATCTGCACGCACAGCGCATCATTGGGGTCAGTCAAATGAGGGCTCTCATCTATACCCGCTTGTCTGATCTATCCGTCGACAGGCTTTCATAACCCATTCCACACCCGTGAATACGACGACGGACCGACTCTGTGTGGCCAACTTTTATGGTTATCCCAGTCATGCTGAGTGAGCACTGAGCATCTACGAATACGATCTGAATTTGAACAATCAGCTCTGTTGCCTGATTTTAATTGTTCCCGTAGAACATCGTACACTAGGGCGTGGTCTACGCTGCACCTGGCAGATTGGGCAGTTTGTATACCCTGATATATGGGATGGATCCGTGAGTAACAGCGTCCATCTTGTTGGCGTTGACTCCCACTCCCACCCTTGACCAATTGTTCAAGTTCGTATTCAATCTAGATTTATGGATGATACCGTGCAGGTTCGTAACACGACTGATATATTAATCTTCAACAGATCTTCCTCCTTGACATCCATGGCCAAGAGGGCTTTATTGCATGACTTTTATAAACTCATGTCCTGCCTTAAAGACGCAACATATTTCGGCCTCGGGACATGGTCCATGATTATGGTCGACGCCACGAAAGGCACAGATGCTACGTACTCTATTCCGTATACTTCTGGAAACATTTATGGTCAAAATGTTTCAATCGAGGAAGACGTCATTCACTACAATTCAGGTCGTATACCTCTTCTTTCAAATGGCCCATGGTCGGGGAAATTGCGTTGGGAATCAAGAAATTTGGATGTGGTTCATCCAGGATGGTCGAGGTAATAGAAATCATCTTTACCTGACATATATTCCATCGAACGTTCACGACCATATCACTAGATTTGAGATGTCGTCCCCTTCGGATTTACCTGTGTTTGTTTCGCTAGACAGGCCCACACAGTGCTCCATCGACTATAATGCCTGGCTGTCTCAGGCTCATTACCTGATCTCCAAGCTCTGAAAGCAAGAGCTGTTCGACCACTTGATCCCCGGTAATAAGGAATGTCAATAACAATTTTTGTACCTCGCCACTCATTTAGTGAATAACAGCGGAGTTCCCGTTGCACGTTCGGATTGGACGCATCGAGGTGCCCAAGATCGTCGACCGTGCCTTCTTGTTGGCAGGTACTTTCATGTGCGACGACGAAGAACTATCAAAGCCGGAAAAACTATATCTATTTTTTTTCGTGACGTCGAGGTGGAGGAGGACGGGTGCATGACGCTCCCAGAGGTATGTATACTGGTCACCCGACAGCGAAGGCAGAGAGAGATACGGGACAGAGCAGCTCCAGAGTTACTTGAAGGAGTGGGGGTATGAACTGCACGATGTCAATATGTACATCATGGGATCTACGGCGAGATGGAAAAGGTTCCATTACGATGTTCTTGCCGACGTGCACAAGGCTTGTGGGTTCACTCCGGAGAGTGACGAAGTCGCAAAGTTTCTGGGCTTTCCTCTCATAGAACCCTTCAAGATGCGTGAAGAGCAGCTTCCGCATTACAACAGTACGTGTATACCCTGGTTATCTGTGCCATCTTCTGATCCGACTTGTTGCTGCAGATTTTGTCCCCTCCGCATACATCTCACCGCCGTCTTCGCCCAGTCGTCAATCGAGCGACACGGCTGTCGACCATGGCCCTTTTCTTGCAGTAGGAGACTCGATTACGCTTTTTACTGCAGCGGGCTCAGAGCTTTATACCGTGGGTTGGCCCGTGGTGACGATTCTTTCATCTGGACTGCATGTGCCCCCAAGCGAAAGACGTGACCTAGGTATGAGGGGCGAGACGACAGGAATAGCATCAAAGCTGTACAATGAGAAGACTACAAAACGCATCTAAAAAACAGTGTTTTGACAACTTCGACTGCGAAAAGTTATTCTTGACATCCCGATGAGATTGTGGGTGTGAAGCAGAGTCGTATAGACCTAGGAGCGGAGGATGTCACTATCCAGAGTGTTGCGTCCAGAGCCCCATATGAAAAAGTGCGTACCACGAACGAGAAGCCTCGCGAATTCATCGGTATGCGATGGCGTGTAAGAAATATTCCTCAACCACAGTAGTCGATAATCACCCGATGGTGACAGGACATATACACGTGAAGCGATCCTGAGATGCATGTGAGATCGCTTTGAGCACCGGCCCATACTCAATTATTCATGCGATTTACGGCTCTGATGGTAAGGTAGCCTTTAAGCTACAGTGCCGGGAACGAAGGTATTCGCGAGGTAGTATTGCACTCGTTGGCGGTCCTACTGTAGCGGTGAGCGTAAGGAAGGAATAAAGTTGGCGGAATTAGTGCGTAGGCGCGTGCCCTCACCGTATAGTAGTAGATGGATAACATAAGTTCCTGCCGGCGACAACCTATATCACTGCTCCTAATCCTGTGGCTCCTGAGGTAAAACCGCAAAGTCAAGCACCGAGATCATCGGTACATGAAGTTTGCACAGAGCAGCTAGGAAAGGTTTGTAGAATAACGTCAGGTCTCGGTTAAAACTTTGGGTTGGGGGTAAGGGGAGAAAACACTTCTCAGATATTCGCAACGTATCCGATGATCATGAATGTCCTAAAGGAGGTGCAACACTATCTCCTTCTGGGTTATTTGTACGAATGAAGGGACGATGAGCGCAAAATACCGTATCAAGTGGCAATCTACCTGTAGGCAGATGATCCATGCCGTGAGGATGAAACCCATATTCATCTGTTCAGATGATCAGAAATGTGAGGATAAAAATGCGGCATAACCACTTTCAATATACCGTCAATATTCCGTAGCCGCAACAAAAGCTGCGGGGATTGCTTCGGCAGCCAGCGGGTCTCAACGACCTGACTGACATCGTGATTTAACCGCTGGGAAGCTCCAAATCCCATGAGTTTAACGTGCCGGCGGTTGCACATTTTCAACGACGATGTGGCCGGCAATTCAATGCGCTGCGACGAAGCCCACAGAAGCATATCTCGGGACAGAGAACCGCAGATAGATCGACAACGACGGAACAGAGTCGCAATTCAAACAGTGGGGGATAGAGACAGATGACTATGATCCACGCATCAGCTGAGTCGGACGACAGGACAGCTGAGCAGAACAGCGAGCAGCTGCTCGTCTTCTTCCGCCATCATATAAGAAGGTCGCTGATGCAAACGTGTCAGACTCGAACTTCACCCCCTCGACCACCATCCATTTCCCCCACGAGAAAAGTATCTCGTTCGTCGTCTCGTCGGTCTCGGACTAGCCACAAACTACTAGCCAGTTGCAATTCTACCTGCATAGCGCCTCAGTGTGGAAGAACTGCATGGATCATTCATGGGACAGAAAGACGATCAAGCTTCAAAACGCAGGTAATTGCATCTCTCCTCTAGCCCATCCGTTGTAGAATCCTGGATGAATCCAAGACAACCCTTTCGAGAAAACAGTGGTGGAGAAGAGTCTGCATAGCACGCCACATGGGCTCGGTGAGTGTGATTATTCTATTCAACGCTGGGCGGCAGCTTAGTATTCTTTGATTTGATTCGATTAATATACTGACCTTTGGCCTTTTGTGCAATATCGGATTGCTTTTGTGTCCCGTAGTGCGGTTTATAGAACGGATCAACGGACCAACCTCGGCCAGCCATGACATCCATGTCGTAGACGGGGTGTTAGGGGTCTCTCCGACAGTCGGCTATGACAACCGAAACCGGACGCTGTGGGCCCGGCGCATCGGACGACGCGATCATTGGAAGCGCTCGCCCCACTCCTCTTATTACCCCGCAAGATCTCTGCTCGATATGTCGTGAACTTATTTTCGCCGACAAACCCCAAACGCGTTCGCGTTCTTCGCGGCCCACTGCTTAGTCGGGTAGCTTTGGTCAACTGTGCGGAACATTCTGCGTGTGGCGGAGGAGGGACGACATAGCACTGCTGTAAGTAATGCGATAATTCATTTTCAAGTAGAGGGCTGGCACGAACTCACTTGCGGAACAATACAATAGCCGTCAGTATGTGCACAGAGGCACAAACCATAACACGACCTTCTCTCTCGACGAAACTGTCGACTTCTGCTACTACTGTGGACCTCGATCTTTACGGTGAGACCTACAGGACGTGAGCTGTAATGATAGGCATCCCACGGTCATGCCCGTCTTTCACTGGAAGTTCCACCACTCGTCAGGGAGATTGGTCCTTTGTCCCATACGGGAAGCTCGCTCAATCGATGGACTGATTTCCCAGGAGTCAGAGGAATTTATGACCCAATCATTCCGTGTACCGTCGGGGTAGGTCTTCTCCTGGTTGCTACCAACTCTACTACTAATGCTGAACAGAGGTCTTCTCTTTCTCCTGTAGCCCGAAGCTTGCAACCATGCGGTACGTTTCATTCTCCTCGGCCCTGTGCTTCGTGTGCACCAAAATTACCTCCAGAGTACTCCTCTAACTGCCGATGGCTTACACGTAGTCGTCAGCGAGATTTTTTCAGGCCCATACCTCGGACACGTCTAAACCGTTTTCGGGATTGTTGGTTGATTCGGCGCTACCTGCACGGCAAGCTTACCGCCGATTTTTTCGCGTCGTTCAGGCGCAAAGGCCATCAGAAGCAATCGAGAGTTTCCTTTCAGAGCTCTGAACGCTCTTGGACGAGGTATGACGTTTGTCCTACCCTGCTCGTCATGCATCCATATGCTTAGGTCCCTGGACTTCACGCTTACCTTGCGCTCTTTCTGCGTATTGTTATGTAAAGAAGGTTGCACTTTTGCCAGCAGGGGTATGGCTTTTGTTGGCTATCCTTGGTGTGCGGTCTTCGCGGCTTGTGATTAGCGGAAGAGAAGTTCGGAACACCATCCGCTCGTTCTGTGATACGTTCCTGCTCAGTTTTCTGAGTATCTCGTCGCTCCCTCTGGGCACCTGTCGTCTTCTCTTGCATACAGTATCTCTACACTGCAGACCAAACCTCTTGCAACTGCGAGGACAGACAAATTAGAGAGCAACGCAGTACGGTCCACGCTAACTCTTCTTACTCACGGGCTTCGATCCGCTTCGGTACCGCAAAACTCCCCACACTCAGCTGACCCCTTCCCCACATCCTTCCCCGCATATCCTTCCATTCCCAAGATGCGCTTTGAAGGGCTACGTCTGAGAGTAGCCCTTCATTGAATGTAGTTCTGATTACGATCTCTGCACATCTCCTTGTAGTGCTGACTCCTCGGCCAAATTGCGCTAGCCCTGTGCCTTTGCTCTTTTGCATCCGCTCGCGTGAGTGTTCCCCGTTCCAGCACTGTCGGGCCTCGCGTTTTCTTTCTGGGAGCCAGCAGCAGACTCGTTACCAGCTTATATGTAGCAAATATGTCGGCTTTCTGTCGGGCGAAGCGTAACTACCTTTCTTTTGTACAGCGCGATCGCTCGCATCGATGCGTATACTTGTCCTTGTGGATCCCCGTTTTGTCTTTTCTTTCCCTCGTTTTGAATGGCTGCATCTGTGCTGCGCCCCACCAATCTTGGCTGTCGTCTCACAGACATCTTGCCGGTGCCACTCGGTAAGTGCTGGCAAGTGTAGCTCAATGTGGCTAGCCTGAAGCTTCGGCGGCGTGGCGCAGGTTCCACGGCGGCTACTTCGTCTGCGTACTGCAGAGACTTTCATTCGTTGGGCCGTTAAGATATCGCAGCGATGATACGCCTGCACCAAGAATCCGTATGTCCGCCTTTTACCCCCGACATACTTCCTAGCTCTGAGTTATAGGCAGACTTTCGCGATACCTTTGATGCGCATATGGTGGACTACTTCTGATGACGTTATAATGTAATTCCAAGCTTTTGTTTTGCGACACGATGCATCCTTAGGCCTATTTGTGCGTCGGATGTTCTTGCGAGTGCACGCACCAGCGATCCTTCTGATGTTCTATGCAATAGCGTCGCTCTCAGTGGCACATTGTGAGCTAATGGGTGGCGGAGGCGCCGATATAATATGAGGGTGTTGCACTGGAAAGGCTCTTGTGCGGCTCTAGAAGGTATGTCTTCTCTTATGTGTGTATCCACACTTTCGTAACATTTTTACCGTGGCATTCACTCAGACATGGCATTTATAAAAACGGCTCCGCGACGTCAGGATAGCTCTGCCTCCGACGCGTATACAGATACCGTGATATTCCAGCGCGCATCACCACTGAGTCTCATCAGAAGTCCCGTTCAAAATGTGCGTTTATGTTGCAACATCACTGGGTGACTTTCCGTAGGGGGATTGTGCACGTTCTAGAGACCTAGAACACAGAAAAGAGGCTCAGATCGATTTCTGATTGGCTGAGAGCCTCGTATTTGTGCTTCTGTGCGTCAAGGAACACTCCTAGACTGCTACGGAAAGTCACCCACTGAGATTTTTCTGTGTCTCGACTTATCTTCGGCTAACGACTCAGTTGTTTTTCCGTGATGCACACTTTGAATTATGAAGAACCTTCTCTTCTACCCTCTTCTTGTAAGTTATGTTCTAGTTCCTCAACCTGTTGGCTCCACTCATTAAACCCAATGTCCTCGGGATTTTCGCCCTCAGAACTGGTTTAGGTTTCATCGGACACAGTACCTCGCGTCCGATATCTTCTCTCGGCCCTGAATAACTCCTAGTTCTCCTCTGGGCTCTCACACACTGCAGTACTCCTCCCCTCCAACCACGTGTCTCACATCCTCTATCGGCCGTTTTTCGATACTGGCGGAGTTGGGCTCGGGGCCATTTTTCGTACGAGCTATGGCGACGACAGCCTATACGTCCAGCGGCACCGCTCGCAGAATTGCGACCACGCTACTCACGGACCTGTTAGACATGGGCCTGTCTTCCATGCATACAATGAACGTCCTGTTGCCTGTTCCTGGCAGGTCTAGAAGTCCTTCGCGACTCTTAACTGCTCTGGTTTCGCTCTAACTTTGGGTAGTAGTCTTTGCTTCACAAGGCAGAGTTCCATTCGACGGGATTGTCTGTCCCCGCCGTCCTATTGCTACTTGCGTCCTTGACACTATTGTCGAGATAAAGGACTTCATCCCGCTCCGAAGTACGTACCTCGGAACTCCGGGGAGGGGTCTCCGCGCTTCAACGAGCTGCACCGTTCCAAGCCTATGGGTCCATCAACTTATCTTCTGTTAACTCTTTCTACCGGGTCTTTTCTAACTTTAAGAGACAATCCTCGCGTGGAGACTCGGGCGTTCGAACGCTTCTGCTTCATGCAGCCTGGTGTAGCAGAAGGATAGATGTGCTTAAGCTCGCCGTATGCGTAGCGCGGGCTCCCACCGGAGCGGCATACATCAATCCTCTCATTATCAAGGTGATACCATACGACTCCGCTCGCTCCTTGGCTTCGATATTGTCGCCTTGTCTCAGTGGCGGCACCTGGATGTGCTCCATGAAATACGAGGATTTTCCGAATAAATCTCCGGCGCCTTCGTTAATTCATGGGTCGGGTGCATATGTGCTACTCCGAGTCTATGGCATTTGGCATATTACGCCCTGCTCCAGCGGGGATAACGCACGACTCGGAGGCGTGCACCGCGGCCTGTTCTTGTGCCTGCGAAACTCTTGGGTCGGAGTTGCAGCTATTGGGAGCCTGAGGCGTACAGGAATGGTTCGGCAAGACTGTAGAACCACTTCGAACGCGACGGCAATGCAATCATCGAACTTCGTCTTCTGCAATTGGGCTCTATAAGTATGGCTTTTGTGATTCGCGATGAGGGTTCAGATCTGCGCACCGTACGGACCTTGGACCCACTCGGCCCAGGAATAGGAACTGTGGAACCCGAGAGCGAGAGGTCTCTTAATAAGTATGTTACGCCACATGGGCCACACCATCCCCCGAGTCCGATTGCAATGCGGAGCGCCTCTGAAATTAAAATCTAGCGCTTGATCTCGTCCAATGGGCGCAACGGTGAAAAGTCGTTTCTACTCTATCCCTCCGTCATCCTCTTATATTTTTCTTTTTTGTAAGCCACTCATCGTTCAACCAAAACGTGGCCCAAACACTCAGTAAGATCTACCCACTCATCCGGACCGAGCATCGTCATCGTCCAGCTGACCTCCTTCCCCGCACATCGTGGCCAGTGCGTATTGCGGACTTAGAGCGTCCCCAGACTCCCAGACAAATCTCAATTACGGTTATCCCTCGGATCGGATTGAGTAGCCGGCCTATTCTCGTCCTGTGATACAATCTCTTTCACGTTTGCGGTTGCGATTTGTGGACAGGGGTTGTGTGGCGTGTGTGGGTACTCAGCCTGGGTAACTTATGCACGCTCGGGTGGGGCGAAGGTAGGAAGGCGTTCGAAGCGCCGTTCGACTCGGACATCGCGAATGTCAAAGCGTAAACGGTTCAGCGCATGAATTTTCCTACGCTCACGACTTGAACAAGGCCATGAATATTCCAGAATTGGTGTTGCCCGTACGTCAGTTCACCTCACCGTCGAGACTCTGAGGGCCTTTGGGTGGCGATTTTCATTGCGCTGATATTCCGTGGAGAGGAGAGAGACAGGAAAAGACTATGCATGTACGTTGCTCGCCGGGAATGCCGTTTACGTATGATGGAGTGTCCCGCCAATGGCTGGCCATGGACCTTTCGTTTGGGCTTTCCATCGCATGGAGATCTATGGAGATGAACTCGGGAAAGTGATGCAGTCTTGGGGGGGAGGGGATTGGTTGCTGTTCGCTGGAGTCTGAAGATGAAGATGAAGAAAACCCAGGGAAGGAATGTGAGTTCTTGCATCTGTATATAGTGCACAGAGAAATAATGTGGCGACGTTTGCCTTCTGGACATCCGATCTACATACAGCATCGAAAGAAGGCCGAAGTCCCACATCTCCTCTCCACCGTGGACGCGTCGTGTATACTCTAAGCCATGCCGGCGCCATTGAAACATTCCTTCTAGTTCAGCGCCAGTGGCTCCCACGCGTACACGCATGCGACGCAAGAACGTACGTACAAGGGCGGGCTAGTATCGGGCCTCGAAGCTGCGTAGAAAGACTGGGGAAAAGAAAGTGGCTGGATGGGGTAGAGGAAGTAGAAATCCAGACGCTGGTCTTGTAAGCGGGAGGCGTTTGAAGGTGTTACTTACTGCCAGATCGGTTTAGACGTTAAAACAAGACGTGTGAAGATACGCAGACAAAAACCTACGATCGGGGACTGGACATCGACGGCACTTCACCTACCCCTTCTCTCAACACCAACACCACTCCGAGTCATCACTCTATAAATCGAGGAGAGACCTGGAGACCTTTGGACGTCCAGATACTCGTGATCACCGTGGCGAAGATCATTGCGGCGCGGGATAATTCGAAGATGAATGAACCACGGAACCCGAACGGGAATAACTCAGAACGGGAAGTAAGTAAGTAACTCAGCGGCGCCGCTCTCCTATCCCAAAAAGCATACTGAAGGCGGCAACGTTTCAACAGGATGGTGATGCTCAATGATGGCTCCCTAAATGAACTTACATGCGGTGAATTCTATACTGCGAGGCTGAAGAAAATAAAGAGGCTCGGGGCCGCTGTGGGTTGAGTGGCGGATGTTGCTATTTTCAAGAAAGACCCGCGGCAGGCATGGAGGGATAAACATTTTGAGGACGGGAACGTTACTATTAGGTCCCCGAACGTACTTACTGTCCAACCGTATGTCGACTCCATCCGAGTCGGTCAAGTAATACACAAAACAAAGTCAACGTCCACAGAGTCCCGCGCGTAGTACTTACCGCAAATGTCCCTGAAGTCTAAACCGGCCGGCGGCTGACCTTTGAGTGAGCACCAAGATCGATAGTCTCATGACCGTCAGATCGAGCCTGAGGTGAATGTGAGTAATTTATGCGTGGTCGAGTGTGGGTCCGTGGCCACATTTTCTTTGACCTACATAAAGGAGCGCCGAGTGAGGCGTGACTGCGTGTAGTTTATTGATCTCAAACCTCGATATATGCGCTCAGGCCAGTCCATGAGAATGGTAGTGAAATGAGGCTCAAGGCTTCGAAATGCGGCTCGGGAGTCTGGCGAATATAACATACAATCAGCGTGAATGCTAACATAACGAACGGATGGCTGTCAATGGCTCACAGCGGTTACGGATACGTAGTAGTCAATACCCTCGATGTATGCGTGATTGATAAGTCTATAAGGGCCGCTTACGGATGTCTTCCTACCAATTCTCCACAGAACGGACTGCTTGTCCTGCTCAACTCGGTGAACTATGCAGCCTCTGATCATGAGCAAAGGAGTCGCATCCAAGTACTCTCCACTCTCCACTCATCGCTCCTCGCCCCTCACGGCCCCATCAGCTCCGAATAACCTCTATCTCTCCTTCCGGATCTAACTGTCGATCGTCGACGGAATCAAACCTCCCTCCCTCCAGAAAAGAAACAGAGACAGAACAGAGACAGGGGAAGCACGGAGAGACAAGTCAAGACGCGCCTCCGAGACACGGACGGCGGCGCAGTACTTTCTGCCACGTAGTGCGGAACATGAAGGAGGAGGGAAGGAAGCAATTGATCGACGGTGTCTTGGCGGCTTTGACAGAAGGGTGATGAGTGTATTTCCGCTCGTAATTGGAGGCCGAGGAGCCGTGGGTAGGTGGGTTAAAGTATTGGCTTGTCGGTGTAGGCTCGTCGGTGTTGGTGTTGGTGCTGTTCTGAAAGAAAGGAGGTCGTCAATGCTAGGATTACTGTGCGTTTGCGGATGGAAGATTAGGTCGAGAGGGAGAGGATTCAGAGAGGTGCTAGTAGGTCCAACTTTAAGTTGGCCCGCCGGCACTCTAAGTCGAGAATCAACCTCGAACATGTCGATGTCGCTGTCGGTGGAGCCCTCAGCCCCTATCCTCCCCTATCCATCACATGCACATGTCCGTCGCGTCGCGGCGATTTCTTTTGGGAGGTGTCGTGCGGCGTGCTTGCAATTGGGAATGCTTACTATTAATGTTGGACGAAAGTGTTAGGTCGACCGTCGCGCTAGGTTACCACTGGCAAACTCCTTTGATTCTGAAGAACGTACCTTCGCGTCACATCCTACGGAAGAGGTGAACTGTTCATCAGCAGAGAGGTGGAATCTACCTATTTATTCCCCCTACCTCCGGATCCCCAGCGTCGAAACCAAATCGTAATAGCATAGCAATTAGTAGGAGACCCGTCCGTCTCAGGCTTGGCAACCCTGCTCGAGCTGACATCAAACGTCGGCTCTCAAGAATCAACAAATCTGGATCGTCTTTGAAATCTGAAATCTGCGCCCCACATTTGAATCGCAATTGTAACCTTATGTATACGTACTCGGTCTGATATTTGATATTTGATATGTGGAGCAAGAGGCTGCAAGAGGATGGGAGGCTGTGGGGGTTTGAAAGCCGACGCTGTGTGTGTGTGTGTGTGTGTGTGTGTGTGTGGGTGGGAATTTTGGGCTGGGTGTACCGTGTTGGTTTGAACTTGAAGTGTCGTTGGGACTCGGATTCAGAGGCGAGGAGGATGATGGGATGGAATGGAGAAGGGTGATAGAGGGTGATAGGTGAGGGTGAGGATGAGGATGACGAGGGGCCGGCTACTTACTAATAATCGGCGACCTGAAGCCTGAAGGCTGTATGAGGGTGACAGTGACAGTCTTCCCTCCAATAACGAATAAGTAATAACGAATAACGAATGATGAATATTGGACTGCGACGTCGACGGTCGACTCCTATACGTAGGCGTAATATACCATAAGTACTTACATCCATTGCATGACGAGTATCAGTAGACGGTCGTACAGGGTAACATACCACAAGCAATCAACCAAGCAAACATACGGTCACGTATCATAATCATAATCATAAGTATAATCAGCACTTGCTTGTATCATCGTCATCCTCAATTTAAATCCGAGAGGCACGAATACAGCCGTTTGCATATGAGATCGGAGTGACGCGCGGAGAAAAAAATGGCGTGCCTCAGCCAAACAACGCCATAAACGGCAGTTCACTTCGGCGCGACTTCGGCAGGCTTGTGTGGCGAATGAGTCTGATAAGTTCAGCGTTCAGCTCTGCAAGCTCTGTTTCGTTCTGCCATTGCTTGCGCTCATTGCTCAACAGGCTTATCCAACATACGCTGAATGGACCAAGACTGGACTACTCAGGCTGCCTGGGCCCTCATTGTCCGTCGCCAACTCCATACATCTTCAAATCCTTTCGCAACTTCCATGGTTTTCGAACACTCGTAGGCACTGGTGTAGGTACGGGATTTTGTGATGACGGATGGAAGGAATCGCAGGAGTTCAGATGGTCAGAACTTTGTCAGATGGCTGATATAGAAACATATGTGAGTCGTGTTTCCATCCTATATGCTTTGGTTTCTTGCCTATCCGAGTGTATGTTCGCAGCGAGCACTCATGCTCCTGCAGCCGCCGTCGCGGTTGATTTCCTCTCACTCTTGGTATCAACTTCGTAATTGTTTCCCCGACGAAGATTCAAATCACGCATACAACATCTGGACACATCCCTGTACGACGAATCCTACTGTTCCCAAACTGTCCTCGCTTGAATGTACTTCTGTCGAATTCCCTTCATTCATTACATTCCCAACATCATCCCTATATGTAGTTGATTTGTCTACAGTTGCACCCCCTCTTGAGCATCACGGCTCGGCTCTTTCAATGAGTTCGGTGCTTTGTTGTGGAGTCGAAGTCCGCACATTTGTCGAGTTGACCGTCCATCGTTTCATTGACATTCTGATATCCTGGGGTAGCTGCTCCGTGTCTCTTAGTTTTGCATGCTCGGTTGATCGACATGATACATATACTTTTCTTATAATAAGATAGAATACACAGAGAATTGTGCCTAGAGGCTGTCGGAAGATACCCAAGGAGCCAAACGCCCTCGGTGCCACTGCCGAAGTGTGCCGAGAAGAAGTCCCATTTATGGCTTTGTTTGGTTGAGGCGCGCCCATTTTTTTCACCGCGCATCACTCCGATCTCATATGCAAACGGCTGTAAGTACTTAAACCAAGCATTGAAGCACGCACGACTGCAATTGGCCGATGCTGATCAGAACCAGATCGAAAGATGCCGATTGGTGCGTTGCGCAGTTCTTCTCCTCCTTCTCCTCCTTCTCTTTCTCTTTCTCCTCCTTCTTGGATGGGGATGGTGACGAGCGAGGATCGAGGATAAGTAAGTAAGTGCTTACACATGGAAGGAAGTGGAAGCGTCGACAGGGGGAACCTTTACATAGGGAGGCAGGAAGGAGGCAGAAAGATGCTTCGGGCCCGCGCGACGCCGGCGGGAGACCATAATACGAGGGATGAATCCGATTTGAGGGAGGTATGATAGGTACGTAGGTAAGTTATGTAGGGAGGGATGTGATACGAGCTGCGAGCGCGTGGTGTTATTGGGTATGAGCGGGGGATGTGGTGAGTTCGGAGAGGAGATGGTTAGTTCGGAGAGGAGAGGCGAGGAGAGTGCAAGAGATCTAGGGGGAGGAGAGAGAGAATAAATGTCGGCGATTGTCAATGTGTAACTCTGAATCACACTGCTCTCTCATTTTTTTATCGTCCACTCAGTAATCCAGAGGTTATCCATATCCATATCCGTCTCGTCACCATCCGAACCCGACGGGGAGTACAATAATAAGTTACCGAGCAGTTGTGGGGTGCGGGGTGCGGGGAAATACTAGGTACTGTAGAACTTATTTATGAACCATCGTGCTTTGAATCTGGGGCTCCGCACTCGGACGTATTACCATTTATGGTCTGGGGTAGGTCTGCGTCTGGCGTCGACGGGGGAAACTTGCCGCCCGCGCAGGTTCGAGCGTTCACTCGCGAGGGTTTGACAGCGCTCTATGACGCTTTACGATCTCTTGTCTGTGTTTTTTGAGTTTGTTTTTCGCGTGAACGGAAGTTCCGTCGATTTGTCATGGTGTTTCACTATTGGCGAGGAGGCCTGGAATGGGATGTGGTGGTAAACGAGATCATTGAAAGAGCCGAGCCGGGCCCTGCGGGCTTTCGGACATACACTTACGGGGCTGTCTGGCGGGGAGAACGTTGACACCAGGGCCGGTCGCTTTGTTCAGCGTCTGTCTGTGGGGGACCGCGTGTGGCTGGGGACAGAGGGAGGGCAGGGAGAGGAGGGGCGAGGAAGGGGGAAAGGGGGAAGCGGTGTGGGGAAAAGGAAGACTTGGGAGTGTGCCTTGGAGGATGGATTGCGGGGGGGCCGAGCCGTTGTGGCGGGGCGAGGGACGGACTTGGGGGCGAGGGACCGGAGACCCCGAAAGGAGGGGAGCGATACATAGTCCTTCTGCTCGACGTACCGCGCTACGACCGCCGCCATTGGACGCCTACGACTTCCTACGTACTCACGCATCTTGTTTTCATTTGTTGATCGCCCCACAAAGACGCACTCTCGGCCGCCCCAGTCGTCCCCCCATCATGTCTTTCTTTCCCTCCAACAACACCTACAAGCCCCAGGTCCGCCAGGAGGGTTTCCACTTGCCGTCTCCCCCGCCCTCGAACCCCTCCCCGCCACCGTCCGCGACGTCCCCCAACGGCCACGCGTTCGACCCCAACAGCATGTTCAGCATCGGCACCCACTTCATCAACGACCCTTTCCGCAAGTCCGCGAACGACCCCAACATGGACTTTGGCGACGAGCTCGCAAGCCTGATGGCACACTCGCCCGCGCCAAACCACGGCCACCACCAGTCGCACGAGCGGTCAACGCACTCGCCGGACGCGCCTGAGCACCACGTCAACGGCAGCGGGGCGTACGACAGCCAAGGCTACCGACACAACATCTTCGACATCTCCGCCCCGAGCTCACACCACCACAACACCGGCGGACACCACAACAACGGCTTCTCGCTGCCCTCGCAGACACACCACCGCCCTGACCTGCCCTCGCTCGCCCACCCGTCCTCCTTCCACGACCCGTACTCGCCCACCTCCAACGGGGGCAACAACCCCACATCACCCCACACCTCCGGCCCACCCCCGCACTTTAATTCCACCCTCCCCGCATTGTCATCCTCCCTCCGCTACGACCCCCACGAGCCCCCGCCCTCGTCCTACCAGCACCAGATCGACTCCTTCAGCCGGTCGCACCACTCCCCCAGCCCCGCCTCCGCCCCTGGCCGCTCGCGCTCTCGTTCGCGAGACCACACAGGATCCGCCCTCGCCAGTCTCGGTGAGCCCCCCTCCACCCACGGCGGTCCGGCCCGAAACACACGCGCCAAACGGGGCAGCATCTCCTCCACATCGCCCCCCCGGCACTCCTCGCTCTCCTCCCATCTCTCCTCACAGGGACAACAACAACAGCAACAACAACCCCCGCATCCACATGCGATCCTTATCCCGTCGCACTCGGGCTCGACTCATCGGGGCACGCCGACGATGCCCGTCTCGCCCATGTCGTTGCACTCGCTCAGCAGCAGTACGACGAGCGGGTGGTTCATGCCCCCCGGAAGCGCAGGCGGACACGGTGGCGGACACGGTCAAGAATTCAGCCTGCCTACGCCCGAGAGTCTCGGCGGGGGCGGTTATGGGCCCTTTGGGACGCCCCAGGGAGGGCTGGGCGTCAGTCCGAAGGACGTGAACGGCCTGGGGGGTATGCGGGACCAGAGTCCGGCGCAGAATGGCGGCGTTATGGACGCGGCGGCGAAACAGTGCGTGTTCTCTTTCGCAAGGGAAATGTGAGTGGTGAAAATGTATAGACTGACCTTAGGTCCAGGGCGATGCTCGCGAACGAGAAGAGGCGCAGGAGGCGCGAGTCGCATAATGCGGTCGAGAGGAGGCGGAGGGATAATATCAATGAGAAGATCAGCGAGCTTGCGACGCTCATTCCGGAGTGTATGCTCGATCCTAGTGGTGAGTCTCTTCAGTCCTTCGACGTGTTGCGAGTCTCTTGAGTCCTTCGACGTGTTGTGAGGGACGAGGTCCTTTCTTGTGCCGCTGTGAGGGACGAGTCCCTGGTTTTAAATGTGCTGCTGTGAGGGACGCTCGGCGCGACCCGTGTTTGGAAATGCGGTATGAACGGCCGTGACGCATATGGCCGTCTTCTAGCTCATATTCGCAATTTTGAGCGTATATATGCGTGGTTTGGGCGCATATGTCGGGTTTCTGAGCGTATATATGGCGTGTATGCACATTTACAACGCGTATATCTATCTTTAACCGCATACAACGACATCTACGCATATATCGTGCGCTGCATTTTGAACACATATATGGTTATATGCACACTTGTAACGCATGTATCGTGTGCTGGCTTCTGAACGCAAATATGGCTCATAACGCGTATATTCATATTTTATCGCATGCATCGTCCTCTACGCATACATCGCCCTTCCACCCACCCCCCTTCTTTCTTCCCACGAACATCAGACTGACCACCTCTTCCCTTTGCAGCCGCATCCCAGCCACCACTCTCCCCAACCACCGAAGACATCCTCTACGGCAACCTCGCGCCTCCACTCGCCCAGCCGGCTTCGACGGGCTCGCCGAAGGAGGACGAGAAGGGCGAGGCGGGCGGGGATGGCGTGGTCAAGGCGAATAAGGGGATGATTTTGAGGAAGAGTGTGGAGTATATCCGGTGCGTTCTGCTCCTTCATCCCCACCTTCCCTTCGTTCTCTCGCCACTTCCAGACGAACCAAAAGCTGACTCGATCGACATCATATAGGTACCTCCAACAGCTCGTCTCCGCCCAAGCGAGCCGCAACCGCGAACTGGAAGCGCAACTCCAAACCGGCGGAAAAATCCTCTCTCCGTCTTCCCTCATCACCTCTTCTGGAATGCTCAACGGCAATGCCAACGGGGCAAACAAATCGGAGACGGGAGAGACGGACGATATGGGCGGACTGATGCTGCATTCTGAAGTCCCGGATTTGTCGGGGCTTATTCCTGCGTCGTATAACAATAGCAACGGGAAGGCGGGGAAGATGGGCAATGGGAATGGGAATGGGAATGGGAGGTTGCATGATGTGGCGGAGGGAGATGAGATGGATCTGGGAGAGGACGGGATGGAGGGGAGTGAGATGGGGATGGGGACTGGAGCTGACGGGGATGGTGATGGTCAGGAGGGAGAGGAGGGAGAGAATGGGATGGATGTGGCGGATTCGCCGGGCAGTGAGGGTATTGGGAAGGAGAGCAGTGGGGAGAGGGGAAGACCTGCGACGAGGAGTTTGAGGAGGCAGGGACAGGGCGTGCAGGTGAAGGAGGAGCCGAGCGGGATGGAGACTTCATGAGTCGCGCACGACGATGACTCAGTAAAAGGTCATACCTTTGGCCGCCCCGCTCCCACCCCGCTAATAGTCCGATACCCGTCTCGAAAGAAACGAATATTGCATGGTCATGGTCCCGAACGCTGTCTACCGTCGCCCGTTGCCCACAGAATCCTGTACTGATTGTTCCGGATGGTGCTTTCCCCGCCGGGATGTGTTCCTGTCTTCGTCTCCTTTCTAACGTGTCCCGTCTACTGTCTCTAGTCCTCAGTCTTCTTCTCACCTTTTTCTTCTGTCTTGTTTGATCTAGTTGACGTGCTTTTGTTCATTGTCCGATCTACTATCCAGTCACCGTGCCCATGTCCTATTCCTATCCAGTCACCGTGCCCGTGTCCTATTCCTATCCAGTCGCCGTGCTCTTTCTTTCTCTTGCTCGTTCATTCTTCTCTTTTCTATTTCACATATCCACTCTGAACACCGCTGTATCATTCGTCCCCATCTGCTCATCTCACCACTATTTACTCCTCCCTTCGACGACGATGATGACGCCACCGCCGCCGACGCCGACAACGACGATGCCGATGACGCGTGTTATCGTTGTCCCATGTCCCAAAATGTGCATTAGTATTTCCATTCGACTCTTCCTCCTTATCCGACTTTGGTTTGTTCGTTTCATTTCATTTCGTTACGACTCGATGACGGTTTGCTTGGCCGTCTGTGTATATCATACCATTCACGTTCTCGTTCATTTCATCTCTATCGACCCTACTCCTCATGCACATTTCGCATTTGGTCGCTCGTCTGTGTGTTATTAGTTGGTGTGTGGTCGGTTAGGCTGACTACGATTTTTTTGTTTCTCCCTTTTGTTTCTTTTCTTTTTGATTAGTGACCGGTGACCGGTGATTGTGGCCGTTGTTTTCGATTCGTGCTGCCTTGCTCCCTGCTTCATACTTGCTACTACTCACCGACTACGACTGCTCGACTGCTTCGCCGTTACTGTCGGCGATCCTACCTATCTACTCACTTACCCACTCCGTGGTCTACTCACCTACTCACTTACTCACCCACTCACCGACTTACCTACCTACCTACCCCCTCCGCTCGATTTTACTCGCCTCGATCACACCCGTATCGACCGCGAGATGTACATGATACGATACTATGATACGATACTATGATATGATATGATATGATGTTATGCCCCCATGCTATGCCTTGCCCTTTCTCTAACCTTTCTCTGCTCTGTCAATGTCAATGTTGTGTAATGTAATGTCTCTATGAGTTTGAACTTTGGATGTGTCTTTAGGAATTAGGAATTTTGGATTTTTATTCTGGGTGTGGTTCTTTTCTTTCTTTCTTTTCTGTAAGGGAATGTAGTAGGACTAGGGGAGGTTGTGGTATAGATACCGGTGTTATGGGTGTCGGTGTCGGTTGTGGTTGAACTTTGATTTGTGGACCTGGTATAGCGTGTCGTTCTATAACAGTCGGTATATGGTCGGCAGCTCAAGTTCAAAGTGTACACAGGAGTCGGAATCAGGAGTCTTCATTGGCAGGGTGATATAGCTTGTACTCTACGTAGGGTACGGTCGACTCATTAATAATGGACACGGTTTGATACGGATTTAAAAAAGCGGTCGTTTTGTCTTTATATCTTTCCTTTTGTGCACTTATAAGGGAATGCAAAAAGATGGTGTTGTTGACTGGGCTGCATCACCTTCCTCTGTACTTTCAGGTTCTCTCCGTACGGGGAACGATGCGACCTGAAAGAAGCCTTGGATGAGGGGTACGTGTCCAGCGCCAAATTTCAGAGAAGAAAACGAGGGGAAATGTCTTTTCGTAGTTGATTTTCTCCAGTGTGCAGAATCCAGATATGTATATTGCAGCCGGCGAAGTAAGAGTCACTACTCATGCCTTGCTGTGCAGTATATCATCCTCGTCATCGATGCATGGCTGTGGCCTGTGGGGATTCGATGGAGGGTGAGTATATACAGTACGGAGTACGGGCCATCGAGCCGCAGAGGCGTAAAGTTCATTCGAGTCAGTGTCATAGAAATGGAACGGGCGAAGCAAGAACGATGACGCAGTCATGATGGTGCAGCGTGCTGGATGATGGTACCGATACAGTATACCGATATACCGTGGGTGCGCGGCGTTTGGGGATGAATCGTGAAGGCTGAGTGAGATCACTGGTGTGGCGCGGACGTGAGAACGAGGTGTTTGAGGAAGGTTCTGAGCTCAGAGTCTTTTCCGTGTCATAGTCAGAGTCACTTGCGATGACAGGAATGGGTGGGGCAATGGAAAATATTGACAGGGCGGGCGAGGAGTGCATTACGACGAGACGTACGACGACGACGGCATCAATTTCATCGCGGTTTTATACCCCGTCCGTCTGTCTTTGTGCTTAACTTTCCTCACGACTCTTCTTCTGATGGAACCTGAATCTGGTCGCTGAAATGGAAGTTGAGGGCTGAGGGCTGAGTCGGCCTTGAAGCTCGAAGCTTGAGGGCCACAATCAACTCGAGGTGATGCGCGGTCGGACTCGAGACTGAGGGCGCATGGGCGTGAGTAGGTAGGTCCAAGACTTTCGGTGGCGATGGGGCGAATAAAGTCTTGGTTGCGGTCTCTGGAGCTTTGACGACAATCGAGATCGAAGTGGTGTACTGTCGTGGGATAGGTCAGTGTCATTTCGGGTCCGCTAGAAAAGAAAGCCAATACCGAAGAAAGGTCTCTCGCTGCGATGTTGTGGACCACAACATATTACACGGACAGGAAGGCCGTAACTTGTCAGTATCCGCTCCTTGAGGTGAAGAGAGAGAGATGAGTTCGGACCATGACAGCGCTAACGCCGTACAAAAGCACTGCTACAAGCCCCGGTGGGAGCACGGGAGGCTCGAGCTTATTGACGATCCAGGATGATCAGTGTCCGAAGTAGTTGTGGCGTCATGGCTACGTACCTCTGTGGCGTCGACTTGCCACACCGAAGCTCGTATTTGGCGGTGGGATGGAGCATAGCCATAGGCACCGTCAAAGCTCGGAGCGTCGGGTTGTCCGTGTCACTGTCAGGACTCGGGAATCGGGTCGGCACCGTGCTTCATTGCGATGGAATACCCGGCAAGTAGTATGGAGGGTTGGTGCAGTGCGGGATGTCGACTGGCCGAGAAAGGGGATTCGAGCCTCTTATTGGTGATAGATTGGAGGGTGTCGGCAAATCCTTGACGCAGTTTGTCAAAAGCGAGAGTTCGAACTTGTGGTGGGATAGGAGTAATGCTAAGGCCTGAGACATACCGTACAAACTCTATACGCAGAAGTGGTGAGTCAGTAAGCAATTCGGGAAGGGGTCCACACTCGTGCCTACAAGTAATCGAGGCACAGCAAGAAAATATCATACGCCAGTCAAGGGAGAGGGGCCCCTGCAAGTAACATAGCATGTGGGTCAATCAGATACATCCAAGACCATTAGAAAATTATGGTCTAGCGAATGAGAGTGGATGTCATGATCTACTTACGAGGAAGCATTTCCGGTCTGGTGCCAGTCGCCTCCGGTACGCGGGATAGACGAGCAACCGCTGTGGACCCTCGCTGCATAAGCGCCATCTCGGTTTTTTTGGCCCAAGCCCTGCATAGATGTAGTAGAACCAGTCGCGTCAGTATTCCCATCGTAAATGTGTAGATACAACGCTCACGAATGGGATGAGAATCGTCAAAGGGTCTGGTATTTCATGGTTTCGTATAGGGTGGTGAGTCGGGCTGGTGGGGGTAGGCATGGGCGGGAGGGCCATCTGCCATTGTATAAGCCTTATCTGTAAGCGATGCAAAAGTTGCACATGGCCTGTAAGAGTCTGTAAGTACATCGACGAAAGTTGCATTGAATGGCACAGTGTCACTTACTTGTTTCAAGCTCCACTGAGCAAATGATCGGGTGTTATTGTTCCATGGGACTGATACTCTAATCGTCAGTGAGCCACCATTGGCCACAACACGACGTTGGATTGTCAGAGCTACTAAGTATATCTGATGAAAATATTGATGCCCAGGCCCGTCTCCACTAGTCTTCAAAGCTTAGCCCCGGGCGGCGCAGAACAGTAATCGTCGTTCTGCTTTGTTGGCCTTGGTACTCGTGAGGATATTTTTCAAGTTTATGCTATGATAAGTATGCGAACACGATGTGAGATTAGAGAGCAACGTGATCAGTCATGTTGACCCACGTTGACCCACATTGGACGAGCACGCCACCTTGTATTTTGCCACAATCCCACCTCTCAACTATCCACACTTACAAGACATCGTTTACTTTCAGACTTCCCCCATTCAATAACTGTGCGAGCACTTACATCTTATTTTGAGAGAGGTCGACACGGAAGCAGACGTGGATCCCGCCTCCGCCTATATATCCCACAGATGCTCTCACTCTGTTCCACGACCACCAGCACCCATCAACTCCTCCTTCAGTAGCAGTTTCCTAGAGACATCGACATGTCAGCTTCGCAGAAAGCACTTCTCTTGGAATCCAAGGGCAGTCCCTTCACCCTTGGTACGCGTCCTATTCCCAAGCCAGGACAAGGTCAACTCCTGGTGAGAATCATCGCGGCCGCCCTCAATCCCGTCGACCGTTACATGCAAGCCATGGGTTTCCTAGTCCCGAGTTACCCAATAGTTTGTGGGTCTGACGCCGCGGGTGTCGTGGAGGAAGTCGGCGCTGACGTTCAGGGTTTCGCGAAGGGTGAGCGAGTGTAAGGCAAATTCAACACTTTCACCCCGCAATTCGAGGCTGACCGCTTGGGTAAAGGATATATCAAAGCAATTTCACGATAGATAGAGATGCATTCCAAGAGTATGGGCTAACTGATGCGATTATTACAGCCAAAGTCTGTCGCAGCGCATTGTCAAGAAGTCTCCGCCGTTGACCTCAGCATTCACAGATTCCCCCGAACCTGACATTCGAGGAAGCTTCTACGATCCCTCTTGGCCTCGTCACTGCTGCCATGGGATACTACGCAGAGCTCAAATCTCGCGGCGGAGCGGGGCTCCTTGCACCCTGGGAAGAGGACGGCAGGGGAAAATATCAGGATGAACCGGTCCTGATAATAGGTGGTTCCAGTTCCGTGGGACAATTTGGTACGTATAGTGATTAGCTTATTCTTAGAATCACCATCGTCCTGTTTTCTGTCAGGGTCTAACTGAGAACTTCTATCGACCACAGCCATTCAGCTAGCGAAGATGTCGGGATTCAATCCCATCATCACCACCGCGTCGTCCCACAACGAAGAATACTGCAAAGCAGCTGGCGCGACGCATGTCATTGACTATAACAAGACTCCCTACTCCGTCCTGAAAGACGCAGTGGCCTCCATCACCACAAAGCCCATTAAGATGATCTACGACTCCATCTCCATCCCAGACTCGCAGATCGCCTCTTGGTCTATTCTTAGTCCAGGTGGGAAAGTGGTCGTGACACTCACTCCCTCCGACAGCATCGGAAAGCCGGGAGAAGAAGATAAAGACGGAAAACGCACCGTATGGGTATTCGGGAGTTCAGCCGAGCCGGAGATGGGAGATGCGCGTCTCGCAAGGAGTTTGTTTGCATCGTTGGAAAGGATGATGAAGGACGGAGACATAAAGCCGAATAAGGTCGACCTATTGGAGGGTGGCCTGAGCGGTATTCAGGGAGGGCTGGAGAGAATGGGAGCTGGGAAGGTCAGTGGGGTGAAGTTGGTGGCAAGGATCGCAGATACCCCATGAGATGGTGGTGCATACATGACGAATGAGTAATAGCGTTCCTCAAACGATCCATCTTTCAATATATGTATTTCTGCCTATAAAATCGACATATAAATCTCTCGGCATCCTCGTATATGGCTAAGGGACTCACCTTACACGAAAACTATCATCGTACTCGCTTCCAACGATGCGTGGCCAGCGCTACAAATAATGGTTACCCGTCATATAGATTGTCCAGCGTACGTGTGTACACCACTAGATTTCACAAGTGGTCAGCTCGAAAGACATATATGACTATTGTATCGGGGTCTGTACCTGACTTCGTTTTTATGGCTAAGAGGTTTGTCGCTCATAAGTCAAACGTGAGAGATCAAGGCTGTTCGTGTTGTTGTCAGTCAGGGAGCATGCATATACCACAGGACACGGCGGCGGCTGCGGTAATCTGAAGTCGGCATCTATGCCAAAGCCTGCGCCTCGTAAATTGTGACATATTAGAGTAGAACAAATGTCCAACAGCACGACTGAACCGTTACTCTGATCCTCTCTCAAATCAAATAAGGACAAGAGGAACAAATATGGGGAGACGGACGCACATACGGAGGGGGAAGCCATCCGGTCAACCGAAAGTTCCGGGATGCCTCAGATTGGAGTTCGGACAAAGCGGGAAACTATTGAGAGCGTTCCATCAACTAACGTGAGCATGAAATCGGAATGTGTAGATGACCCATACTGATGTTGCACGAGTCTGTTCACCGAGACCGCATGGCTTCAAACGGTAGTTTTCAACCCGTCATACCTGGGTCCTTTCACCAGTTGTATGAATTTTCGTACAGAAGAACGTACGGCCAGGGGGAGGTCGAGAAACAAAGCTTCCTATGTATACCGTAGTCGGCTGGTGCACTTCGAAGTCAGAAATTTTTCCACGGGAAACCTGTCATATCGCGTGGCAGAGGAAGGTAGAGAGGATGGTCCGAGTAAATGGAGGAATCTTCATGCTCAAAGATCCCGGTAAATGTGAACTTACCTGGGAACTGGGAAACCCGGGTCGAACTGATGCTAATACTCTAGGATGCAACTTCGATTGTAGGCCGGTACTTACGGACGACGATTGATGCTGAGAGCTAATACCCACGGACTTCCAAGGCGATGGTCTCTGTCAAAATTGCCGATGTGTGCGTGACGGTCTATGTTGCGGTTGCTGCGGGTTGTGCCTTTGCCTGAAAATGTCAGCGAGGTCGTAAAGACTTTTGACTCATGATAGGGTGGGATGGGCGTCGGTATCATGTACTCCACGACAAGTAATAGTTGCCGCAGCCTTCTGAGCCAAACTTGAAAGGTCTACTGTCAATGGTAGTTAGAATACGCAGTACGAGAATACGCACGGAGAAAACGATGCGGGCATGATTACAGCTCCCGCCGCCGGTCTTCCGTCGCCCACAGATTGGAACGCCAGGAGAGTGAATACGAGACGGAAGACAATGCAGGAACAACATGTACGAGTTTGTTGCAGCCCTTGAGACCATTTCCCCTCACGGAATGCGCCATAGCACCGTAAGTTATCTTCGGAAGAAAGAACAGGTGGCAGGTCATCGGAGTCGACGATCGTCCCGATGAGGACGCGTACGCGGTTGATTTAAACGGTTCCGTCAATCAAAGTTACCCAAGCATGTATGGAGATGAGTCTAGGGTAAGATGTGTGGCGTCAAGAACGGGTTCACTTGACCAAGCATCCATTGAACGTTCAAATGGAAGACCCTACATATACAACACTTCGCCGAGCAGCCTGAGGTGGTGTGACACTTACATGATCGAGTGCAAACGACACTGACCCCGGTTCAGAGGTCCTGAGGTATGTATGTACGCGCCATAGAAGTACCCAGAGTTTGTATGCAGGAATCGATGTGCCATGAAGGCAAGTGTATTCGTTCGGGACGGTGGATGGGGCCCGGGCCAAGATGAGGGCACGAATTCGAGTTGCCACAGTGAAGGAACAAAACCAAACACACGCAAACATCGTTGGGCGCTGGGGGCGCCACAGGGCGCCACACTCTTGTGGGTGGCCACATTCTTTGCATACGGCTGTCATGAGGATGATACACCTGCAGTCTTCACACTATGTATTGCGCTATGTTCAACCACTCCTCGGTCCTTTCGACGAGGACTAATCCGGAGCTCCATGGATTTATACTGTCTTCTTGGCATCATTACCCGGAATCTCATCGAGCGTTTTATTTTGCAGTGATTACTAGTATTCTTGTTCTCCAAGTCCTCAGCAGAGTTCGTATTCGATACTCCAAATAAGTTTCGAAACTCCCAGCTTCTCAGAGTCACTCTGTGTTCTCCTCAATAGTGGCCCTCTCTGTTATTATTTCCATGAGAATAATCATGGGCGCTTGTAAGGCGCTTCGCACGAGCTGCATGGCAGTTACATAGCCGACTCCTTGTCCTCTACACCTCAGGATCCGACCTATATCTCGCCGCCATACTGGAATTTCGTCTCTCGACATGAAGAAGTTTCTGAAAACTCCCTTTCTTTTACGGTCCAAAAGGTCATCTGTCGAGAGTTCGATTACTGACGATCATCACCGATCCGCATTGCAGCCTTCGGGTGCGGCACATATATCAGTTGGTATACACTGAAAAGCAGTAAACACCACGATTCTCATACGTCCACTTCATTGCGTGGACGGCATTGCACGACATCAAACGCCCTCCTAGGCCGTCTCACACCCTCGCTCTTTTTCCCTGGTCTCTTTCTGCTTCGTCTCCGTAATCTCGTCGCAATCAGCGTCATCGCTCCCCTTCTCCTCCAACTCTACTCCCTGCTTCCTCCACCCGATCCCACCCTCATACCCAATCCAGACATACCTCCCACAATGCGGCCCCCTCGCCAACAGCACCAACACCTGGAATCCCATCCATCCGAGCGAAACCGCAGAAGCGGCTTGCCATCCGTGTTCGACGTAGACGCGCGTGCTGACGGAGGTTCCCATTACTTGGCCTATGTAGTTCTGTCGATGACGAAACAAGTCGTGTCAAAGACAAATAAATGGGGAAATGAGAAGGTGTCATAGAAGATGATACACACGGATAGAATTAATAGGGCGTTCATCCTCGCCGTTGAGCCCTCCGATATACTATACGCAAAACACGATCAGCCTAGTCAGATCATGACCCAGAGTGTCTGGTAACAACAAGCAAGAACGCACCTCAACGCAGTCGCAGCCAAAGAAGTCTGCTGCATCAAGTCGAAAATATCTAAGCCTAGGCACGTAATCACGACCGCCGCCACATTCAACCCCGCTGCGCCCGTCTCGATCGCCCAGAACACGGTGAGACCGAGCGTGGAGAGAAGAACGGCGTGCCAGGCGTGGAGACGGTCGATGAAGTGGCCGATGAGTGGGGTGAGGGAGACGCCGAGGAGACCGATGAGGGAGAAGAGACCTATTACGAGCCTGTGTTGTGTGATATGAGTAAAGGGATGAAGATGAATGGGCAGAAGGGTAGGGATATGTTGGGGGAGGGTATGTAGACGTACGTGGAGTAGTGGTATGGCGAGTTGCCGAGGATGAAGGTCAGAGTGACCCAGTAGCTGACGTAGCAAGCGTTTGAGGCGAAGATAATGAGACACGCTTGGACGAGTATCGGCTCAGTGACGATGAGTTTTGCCATGGACCACAAAATCCCGAAGTACGACAGTCCGTTGGATTTGGCCGGATAGTCAGGTATCTGTGCAGCATATCAGTATATATCGCTTCTGAAATGAATGTCGGCCCATCATGTATGATAGCCATGGTGAAAGAGGGGACCAACCATCCAGTAAAGCACGAACAAAACAAAATACTGCTCCCCAGCAGCAACATAATAGATAATCCTCCAGCTCGCAAATTCAGCCACGATCCCCGCAATCAACCTCCCCAACAAATTCCCCAAGAACGACCCGCAGAGCACGATTGAAATCGCACTTGCGCGCCTTTTAGGAGGAGCGATGTCCGCAGCGAGCGGGATGAGGACTTGCGGTGTGACGGTGGTGAAGCCTACCAGAAATGATAGAATTTGAAAGGCAAGGAAGGATTTGGTCACGGCGAGAGAGACGGAAAGGGTTGAGCAGATGAAGATGAGGAGAAGGATCAGGGGGCGGCGACGGACGAGATCGCCAAGTGGCGATATGAGGAGGACGCCGGATGCGTAGCTGAGATGGAGAGAATGAGAATTAGAATCGGATGCCTTTATCGTGCGGTTGTGCAGGTACATACCCGGCTTGAAGAAGCGTTGGCACCCTGTTAAAGACAGTGTTTCATTAGCAACGAGGACCTCGACTAGGTGGCGTAGGGTCAGCTGCGGTGTGGCACTACTGACCTCGAAACTTCGCTGTACGACACGCCGAAAGACGCAGATATCTGGACTAAGGATCGGAGAAGTAGTCAGTATGTATCTTCTTTTCCAGGTGCGAGCGCTCGGAACTTACTTAACAGCGGCTGGCAGTAGTACAAATTTGCGACAACTGTCCCAAGGGGGCCCGTCATCAGCCCCGCAACAGCACCGGGAAAAAGGAGAGCCACATACTACAGCAACACGCAAACCCGAAGGTCGCGTTGAGCAAGAGACTGAATGGCGGACGTCCATCCTCCGCACTGTGGCGTAGTCGCCGGGGGATGGGGAGGACTCCGAAGTCTTTCCCCTGTACTGATGCAAATGCATCACTTTTCTCTGGTTTGATCTCGTTTCCCGGAGTCAAAGACATGACCAAGGCTTGCCAAAGAGACGAAGTAGCTCAGACCGCTAGCGTTGACAAGAGCCGGAGTACAACCGTATGTCACCCAGTAGAAGGAGGTGGGAGTGTCAGACAAACAGCGCGAGCTTCGTTTCATGAGGATTGATATTCGAGCCCGAACCCTGCTGAGCTTTGAAATCGAGATCGAAGGACAGAGGGCGAGCGACTTCGGACACATGTAATAAGCGCAACGGCGGACCGCCGTGGCGTAAGGAAATTCCGTTATTGTACCCATCTGTACCCATGGCAAACGCATTGCAGAGCGTGGACGCAGAAAGCCTCAGCGACACCATCGAGAGGAGGAAAAACTCGGTTTGCTCGAAGCGACTGCGAGTGTACCCATCGGAGAGGGGTATGCACGAGAAGTTTTTGAACTGGGATTTTGATGGGGAAGATACGGAGGGTTGCCACCGGCGGTTGGCTGTGTTGAAGCTTGAAGCCTGGCAATATATTCAGTGGAAGATGAACAATTTCTTCGATCCAGACATCGAAATGGGAGGCAAGAAGATACTTCGCTCAAGTGAGCTTGTGGTGGTCAAGCGATAAGTTGGGGGACGAAGTGATCCGGATGATTGGAAGGTGCCACATATTCTCACGACCGCATCAGACCTCGACGGAATTGTTCGGGGCATTTCTATCCTCTACCACATTATTGTTTCACACTATCGCTTGGTTTTGAATATAGTATTTTGGTATCATGAACTCTTCGCAAAACGACGCGTCCGCGACCGTGTCCGTCCCACAAGACACCCTAACAGAAATACTCCTCCAACTCCGTCGAATCGAACACAAGCAACGCGACATAGAGCAGAACCAACATGATACGATTCGAAGACTCAGCAGTCTCACCAGCGAAGTCAGACAGCTGAAGGAGGAGGTAGACGATATGAAGGAGGAGGTAGATGACTTGAAGGATGAAGTGGAAAGTGTGAACATGAACACGTCGAGCGGGATGGTGTTCAAGACCGGGATAGTGGGCATTTTCGCAGCAGCTTTTGATGAGCTGAAAGCAGAGATTGATTCCTCGTGAGTGACCTTCCACTACTGAATATTTACCTTGATACTATTACTGATGAGTCTAAACGTTGATTGTTCTCACCTATTGTAGACGGTTCCTTATGCCATACCGATCTCAGAACTATAGGAAGCGGGGACACGATCAGCTCACCCCTGTTCCGCATACGGATGGTCGCCTTCCTCCAGCAGAGCTTCGTCCAAAGACTCGAGACGAGCTGTTGAGTTGGTCGCGTGCGTCACGTTCACTCTTGTCCAATCTCATAGTCTAATCAGTCTGCGCCCAAATACTTGCAGTAACACAGCTGAACGCACTGCTTGCATGGTACGAGCTCGAAGAACAGGAGACATGGGATAGTGCTACCTTCGAACTGGGAAAATATCTTGGCGTGACCGTCTGCACGCCAGAACATTGAATAATGTCAGGTCCGTTCGTGTACCGCTTTTCGTTAATCATCTTTGACTGTGGTGGGGGTACCATAGCTGTCGTTGTTGGCACACTTTCGCATTGCTTTCTTTATCCTGTATATTTATTCTGCATCACACTATCATATCCTTCGCCACGAGGCCTCTATACCAATCTTGCTCTTCAGCCCTCGCCAGCTCCCCCCAAATATGCAAGGTCGCTATTACACGCTCTCGACTATGGTCGGACTTTTTCTTGAGTCTGGTGGATTTCGGGATCGACACTACGCCCATCACCACTTTTGGTCTCTTCCCCACACTTGTAAATTGCAGCGCTGATGTTCGGGGTTGGTTCGGGGACCGGATCCGCGGAAATTGAACCCCCTGTCGTTGAGTCAGAAGACCTCATGTTACAGGACGCGAGAGAAATAAAATAGCGCGTCACACCGCAAGACGCGCTCCCTTCAGCCCTTTCATCTCTTCCATTACCTTCTCCAGTCCTTGGTCTGCTCCTGACTTACTCTCTACCGCCAAGACCAGCGAGTACGTTCAGCCTGCTATTCCTGTGGCGTTCGCGCCAGCTGGCCTGTCTACTCTGTAGACCGCTTTACCAGGTCGTACAGCACAACATGGTCCGTCCAATGCCCTCCATCGCCGCCACTCTTGCCCAAGGTTCGCCCAACTCTTTTCTCATCCCTCCCGTCTCTTCCCCTTCTTCCCCATTACCGTCCTCAACAACACGTACCAATGCCCACAGATCCCCAAATCTCATCCCCCGAGTCCCACAAAGACGACCATCGCCCCCCTCGACTCGGCCTTCGAGACGCGCTCAAATACCTCGACGCCATCAAGGCCGAAGTTGGCGATGGAAATATCTACGGCGATTTTTTGAATGTTATGAAGGAGTACAGGTTGAAACAGTGAGTCCCTCTCGCTTCAATCTTCTTTGTGGCCCATCGTTGTTGTGTGTGGCATGTGGCCCACTCTGGTCCCACCATACTTATATCCTTTCTGACTCCCTTCGTCAAGGGATATCTAGAATCACCGTCCAGGATGTCAGCTCCCGCGTTGCGGAGCTCTTCGAAGGGCATGACGACCTCATGGATGGCTTCACTGGCTTTATGTCCCAAGGCGCGCAGGCCAGCTCCGTGCAGACGCAGGGGCAGGAGGCCGATACCACCGCCGGAGCAGTGCAATCCGTGGATGAAATTTCGGCGAAGTTGTTGGGGTGTGTGCGATTGTTCTGAATCCTGCACGTATGGGTCGCCCTCCAACGACTCGTGTTGGGTATGCATATGATGATCCTTTGTTCGTGGATGTTTATAGTTGTTGGTGTGGCGAGCCCCGGTGCATACTTGACCGTGCGCAGAGCAGAAAGACGGCCACTATTGTACGCCTTGAGGGCTACATCGTCGAGAGCAAGATTTCCCGGTACGATAATTGTGCCACGCCAACACGAAGATCATGAGAAGGGGCCACGGTCTTGCCTATAATGGTGCGACCCACTAAATCACTCTGATTCACCATTTTACAGAGCTGATGAAGTGCGTTTGCACAGGTCTATGGTGGGAAAATATACACGTATGATAGAGAGCAATAAAGAAAAATGCACTATGCTCTGGTTCACCAGCACGGACTGCCCGGCTGTTGAAGCCAAGGGGATCAGTGCGTTCTCTGCAACAAATACTAATCTGTGTCAACCATATCTCCACTCAGCAGTTTGCATGGATCATCTTGCTCACCTGTGACACACTCCTTTCACGCTGAACGTTCCGAAATGCGTACCGCGTCCCCAGAATGAATCGCAGATCGGAACACTTGATAGCATGTTTCGTCTCTGAGACAAATAGCAACTGCCACCCTTAGTCACTTGAAGACTCAGACATGAAAGCGGGACTTGGACAGTAGCCCTTGCATGAGGAGTTGGTTATTCCATGTTTGTGCATGTATACATTTGAACGATGAACGGCATCAATATTTTAGACCCGATTGTCGAGAAACAGATCTCCGAAGAGCGTGGAGAGTAGATTCTGCCCAAGGTATGATGAATCCGCCTCTGAGGCTTTGAGTGCCCTGGTTACACAGATAATTCCTCTAAAATGGGATAGTCCTCTGGGTCCCGTGCATAGAATTGTGAAACTGAGGATGATGGATGGCTCAGATGCCCGCCGCCGAATAAGTCAGATCAAAGACGGCCACCATCCAGGGTCCTGTGGCGACTGAGCTGAGACGTAAACTTGAGCAAGTGCGCCCCTTCTAGAAATATTACTTCAGTACCTTCCGTGGTATCATACCCAATGCACCACAGAATAAGGCAGCTGAACTGGCTGGACTCCGTCCAGTGAGCAATGTAAGAAGCAAGCCAGACTCGGAAGTGGCACGAGAAGTCTTTCCATAAGAGAGCATTTTCAGGTTCGGTGCTTGAAATGAAATCATCTCCCACCCGCAATCAACCGGGCCGCAATCTTTGGTGTCGTTCAACTTTTGTTGCTCCTGTTCGAGGCTCTTCTTTAGAACGTAGACTGAGCTTTAACCTGATAATAATCGATCACTACTAGTACCTACCCAGCTCGAGGCCCTCGACCACATATCCAGCATTTATTGTGTGGGCCCGTCCACAGGGCTCGTGGTGCGCTTCATATTCTAGATGATGATCGTCCTTGTGAATGGGATGTCACTACGGTCTTTGTATACTTACAATCAGTTATTCGTTGTTCCTTTAGCTGGCATCTTACATTCATCGTCCCCACGTCACCGTTTGTGAATAATGAAATTCACTCAAGGTCCGCTGTTGCCCCAGCTGGCGTCCTGTCACGATGATTGATTTCTTCAATGATGGTGGTTGAAACATCAGAGAGAAAGACGCTTGATCATTCTGGTTAAAAGGACTCCTCGCAAATCTTGGAATCGTGTTCTCGCGCCTCCCTCTATCCTGACACTAACTGTAGGTTGACTGTAGACGGATAAAAAATTATGTCGGACCTTTCAAACATGGCCTCTAAGTCGATCGCTTCGTTCAATGGATTATACGCTGGAAATTACCTGGCGGGTGTGTGAGTACAGTGTTTCGTATATCTGACCCATTCGATACTGATCTGACGGATCATCCATTGCCACAGGCTCTATGGTCTCACAACACACCAGACCTACGTTTACTTTCGCTCCAATAAGGATCGCTGGAGTACACGACTATTAGTGAGTACTCGTCGTATTGGAGGGCACATTTAAAATCAATAGATATACATATCGATGTGGGACGCTGACTCTTGACCACGCCAGGTACTAGCACTCTGGTTGGTCTTCATCTCGTCGCAGACATTCTGTGTATGAATTCAATCTATATTTACCCTGGAAGGATCTTGGACACCCTGCATGCTGTGTTTCTGGCAGTCGGACTTCGTCACCTTATAGAGGAGGCTACTTACCAGCCTGTGGCATTACTCACCGACAAAATACCATGGTAAGATAATTATCAACTGAGTGGTCGTTATGATAGCCATCATTTGACTGATCGTTTCTCAGGACACTTTCCGTAAGTTGATCTCATTATTTAGAATGTGGTTTTCACTCAGTTGTGCAATCGATGATCGACCGTGTTTGGCGGATTACAGGCCTCTATGTTCATAATGGCGAGCCTCTTTCTCCCATTTCGTGGTCAAATGCTTACTATCATATCCACATAGTCGGTCAGTGACAGTGGAGTGCGAGGGTATGTACAGGTCTCCTTCGGTAAAAGTCACTGGTGTCGGCTTAATGATTCATATAGGTTTTATTGTTATCGAATTTGGAAACGTGAGCTTACTCTCGATTAGAGACCTTTATCTGACTTGCCTCTTTGTCTCAGTCAGCGAGAAGAACTGGATTCTGACCTCTGTAGCGGTAGGCTCGATTCTTCCACGGAAATAATCGTGGATGCTAACAAGGGTATATTTGCGTGTCAGAAAGGCTGTTCCAGTAGTCTGTGCGCTGAGTGAGAATGACCTCTGTTTGTGACGTGCTCAGAAAAATATACTAATAGGTTGAGTCCTGGTCCATAGTCGCTGGTTTGTGTAAGTTTGACGATACGAAGTTTATAAGTCGAGTACGGAGGTCAATACACTGACTGCTTCTCACCCTCTCTCTTCAGATGTTATATGCAAGATGTAAGGCTGAACAGTCTCACACGGCTGTAGTGCCTGACACTCGAACCTCTTCCTTTTTAGCGCGGGTGCTACCGGCCTTCAAGCTCTCAATACAGCCGCGAGCGTGAGGACCCATCCTAGTGTTTAATCCCTCGTATCTTGATTCGGTTCTGATCATTTCATTCCAGGCAGCGATGGACGCCACTCTGATTTCCATCAGCGTCGCTGACATCACGCTTGCTGGCTTTCTATGCATCTTACTGATGAAGAGCAGGGCTGGTGGTCATCGGTATGTTCCTTATCTTTACTTTCCTCTCGACTGCATAAGAAAAAGAAACACTAAACGTTCTTCCGGTGCATCGTTAGCACAAACTCAATCATAAGCACGCTGATTCTCTATACTGTTACCACGGGTTTCTTGACAAGCGTGGTGGCTATCGCATCTCTAATACTGGTAATCTTTACTGTCCATAGCCTGAACGTATCATTTGCTAAATATAACACAACTACTGATAGATTTTCGCCGTGAGGGAGACCTATGTGTATACAGGACCATTTTTCGTGCTCAGCAAACGTACGTCTATATTCGCCCCTAGCCGTGTTTTGGACTGTACTTGGAGCTGGCGTCACATTTTGCAGTCTACTTCAGCTCTCTCCTAGCTACTCTCAATCGTCGGGACGAAATCAGCACACAGCTTAAGGGTGATGATGAAGTGGCTATTCTTCCTGTGTCAGGAACTGTTCGGAATGGTCACGGTCAGTCAAGAGGTGGTGTGCAACCTAGGTGTGAACAGCACAGACCAGAGGTCTCTCAGGTAAGCCTTGCGCTTTATCCCGGTGCGATATCTCTTGTCACACGAAGTGTTTTAGAGCCTGGGATCTGTACTTGACATAAAGAACCACGCCATGATCAAGGAGGGCTCAGATCATGTCTCTGATCCAAGGACAGATGTCAATGAATATAATGTGAGTCCACCGTCATGGCAGTCGGTGACCATTTATGTATCGACCTCCTCTTGACGTAGGGGCATAGGAGAATTCTACATGAATCGTACATCGAAACTGCGGATCGAGAAGTGACTTACTGGTAATGCCAGTGAGTTGCTCGAAGTACGATTCGCACTTATGCGATTATTTATCAGAGGCAACTGTATGAATGCTTGGAATATTCTTGAGACGGCACCATTTTCATTGCTGCTCTCGTCTTGTAGATGATAAGGTTCTTGGTTTTCTTTTCTTCAGTATCAGATTGCAGGTACCTCTGGAACATATGATCCGTATACCTAGAAACTCCGGGGTAAAGACTAACTGATATGCAGCCACAATTGTCAAGGATTGAGCAGGATTCAGCCCGACGTGTGAATTGACAGGACCATATGTCTAGCAGTCTGTAGATACGAGGCTGAGCTATGAGAGTACACTCTCGACCATGCATGCACGAGGAATAGCGGTGTGCTGAGCGAGAAAGACGGACGCGCTAGATAACATGGGCGCTTGCTCAAATTCAAAGACACCGCGAGAATAACAGACAGCATTGTATTCAAGAGAACAACAGCAGGACAGGTATCCAAATAACTAAAACAACTAAAGAACAAAGACACAAAACATAGGAACTCGAAAATAATAGTCTATCAGACGCACATGCCCCTACGCCACACTGGAGATCGTCCATAGACGCTTAATCATGAATCGCCACGTCAACATCCGTCCATCACCCTCACCCAGACGCACTCGTGGGTTCCCCATTACCTTCCTCGTCCATCTTCTTCAACCATTGCCTCCGTACCTCATTCCTGGCCTCCAATCGCTTCTTCCCCTTATCATACTCTCCAGGTTCCGATCTCCGCCACAGAACGTCCTCCGTATTCGAGACGAAGAAGAGGCGATAGGTTCGGACGCAGACTTTGATCTCAAGGGCACCTCGAGCGACGAGGTCTGGGGTTTTCGGCTTTACAGGAAGATTCCTGGTGAAAAATCACGATGAGACGCATACATGTGAATTACAATACAGGGTGATACGTACCGGCGGAGGAAAGGACGACGGAGTTTCGAGACGGGCAAGTCCTTCGTGGCCGTTTCCTACAAACGATGTTAGCCAGTAGTGCACACCCGAGGACAAGTTTAGAAACGTACCGAGACAAAAGAAGCGACGTATGACTGCCATCGACCCGTCAAGACTTCAGCGTCGTCTAAACTAGACCCATCTTTGCTAAGCAGCTGGAAAGTCATCATCTTCGACTCGGGATGCTGCAAGTGAAACGTTAGCTCGGACAAATGTATAGTTTTCAGGCAAAGTTGAGGCTACCTACCCAGTCTACACTGAACAAATTTTCCTCAGGACCTATGATCTCCTCAGCCTTCCTTCGGAAGATCTTGCGATCCTCGGCCGTCGGGTTCTCGATCTGACGTTCATCTAAAAGGAGTTTCGATATCTTGTCAAGTTTTGAATCCTGCTCCCAGCCTTGGACCTGCTTGATGAGTGCCGCAATAACCTTATCCAGCGTGAAAGCCTTGTACGACTACAACCAACCAAATCATTTATCAGTACACCACCCAACGCATTTAGGGAAATGAGGGAAAACTAACCTGCAAACCGAACGTCCCCCGCATCTGATCCTCGAAAGCGGGTACATCGAGCTGATTGTCGAACAGTTTCTCGCACGTCTCGAGGAAAAGCACGTAATACTGTGTAGGCGTGACCTGATCAGAACCAGGCGGAGGCATGGCGAGGCCGAGGGTGTTAGCGGCCTCTTTGGACGTTTGGAAGTCGCACAGTTCGGCGGAGAGAGTTTTGAATGTATCAAGGCGAGAGTACAGGACCTATTCAATGTAAGATACACTATAGTGACAATAAGGAGGAACCACGGCGAACGTACCTCGATCAGCCGTAACAAAGTATAGAACCAGGTATTCGTGAAGAATGACCGACGTCTGTTGGGCCTTCTCTCTTCCCCACCTGAAGGCAAAGTTGGCAGATCCGCAAGCTGCATGGCCTGACTGGAATCGTCCTCTCCCAGTGGTCTCAGCAATTGCGGCAGTTCTCTCTCGACCGAAGTACCAAGTAACGTCGGAGAAGGTAATCTTGACATCGAAGGCGACTGGCCTTGCCCAGCCTGCCCTCTCGACCTCTTCGCCTGCTCGTTCTTCAATAGATTCTTCCTCAAATCCGCTGGCTTTCCGGAAAGTACTCTCGACCCACTCGACGCAGGATTACTGCCACTCGCATCCGATGCATCACCTGCCTCTCCCTCCGTAGTCTTGTCATGTACAATCTCCTTATGCTCAGCCCCCCTCTGGAACACTGACTGCCCACTCGTCCCAGACCCAGATTTGACCCAGTCATCTGACAACATGAAGAACGTCTTCACAACGTTCAACAACCTGAGTTCCACTGACTTCTTCCTCTCCGCGTCCATTCTCATCTGCCCTGCCGAGCTGCCACTCCCGCTCCCCCCGCTCCCGCCCGACCCCATTCTCGCCACGAACGAGCTCGTCAACTTCAAGCAGTCCATCAACACCCCCTCATCTGCCAGCTCAAACTCCAATTGATGTCTCGGCCTCGCCCTCGCGAATAACGGATCGACGAGCATCGCCCGTTTCGCCATCTGTTCCTCCATCACCGCCTCGATCTGGCTGACGAAAGCCTTGGACGTGAGCGCCTTCTTGTCTGCGGCTTTGAACGTGATCGACTGGTGGTCGAGCGCTTTGTAATAATTATGCGCGTCGACCTCTCGCCAGACTTTATTCCATTCCCTCTGTGCGCGTTTCCATTCTTCTTCCTTTTGTTTCAATCGAGGGACAACGACAGGGATAGCGGAGCCTGGGGAGTGCTGGATCGCATCGATGACTTCGAGGCCTGCCTCGCGCCCGTAGATCTTCTTGATGATCCGCTGATGGATGGCTTTTCCCGATCCCCCAAAGTTGGGTTTGAGCTTCCAGGCGGCGCGCTCTTCGGGGGACATTTGAGCGCTCTTGCGGTCGAGGGGGTCAAGGACGCCGATCGTACGTGCGATGGCATCGAGGTGGAAGTCGTATTCGTGGCGTTCTTCTTCGGAGCGATGGAGAGCCTCTTCGTAGATGTTCTTCTTCTGAGTGAAGAAACCCGAGTCTTCGCTCGCGAAAGTCGGATGGGAGACCCACTCGTCGTTAAGGACTTGCCTGCACATCTCGTCCCTGCCGGAGCATTGCTGGTTGATCTCCTGTGATACGATATAGTGTTTCGTCAATATCGAGCTTTGTGTCGTAGATAGAAAGAGCTTACATCCGCAGGCAACCGCCTATAGCTCCCATATCTCACGTTCAACTCCTCCTTACTCGGCCTATCCAATCCCACCATAAACATTCTTCCACCACCCCCTATCCCTCCTCCCCCCATCGCCGCCTCCATCGCCCCTACCTCCCTCTCCATCTCCCTTCTCTCCGCCCCCTCATCCCACCCCACAATCTCCCTAAACTGTCCCCACAGCTCCCCACTCTCCCCAATAAAACTCCTAACACTTTTCGCCAACCTCGCCCTGTCGATAAATCCCTGCGTGAACAAATTGATGGTCTTCAAGAACTCGTTGTACGTCTCGCGAGAGTTCAGCGCGCGTTTGACGCTGTCGAAGAATTGTGATTCGTCGGGCGCAGAGAGGTATATTGCCGGTGAGCCGGAAAGGGCAGAGAGGGGCATGTCGGGGGCATACATTGTGTGAGAGTGGGGTGGCGTGGAGGGGGGCAGAAATTGGGACTGAATTTGGGATTGGGGATGGAGGTGGTTGTGGACGTGGCTGGGGGGGTGGCCGCGAGATGCTTGTCGAGGTGAAGGTGCGTATTGGGAGAACGAAGCCGTGTCGGCGGCCACGCTCGCTTTTTCTTTCGACTTCTTCACCTTTGAACCACAACATACTCAGCTATGTATCACAAAAGGGAGGAAAAAGAAAAAGGGGATCATTCGAGCTACCTTCGCCTTAGCAAGCTCCTTCTCCCTCTCCTTCTCCCTTTCTTTCTCCTTATCCGCCGCAGTCTTCCTTCTCCTCTTTGCTGGCACACTTGTCCCAGCCACACTCTCCGGCTGCTTCCTCTTACTTCCCGCCCTCCCACCAGGACCATGCGAACCAGGACCACGCTCGGCCGGAGTCCCATTCCTCGTCCGCGAATGTCTCTCCCGCTCCCTCTCGACCAGCATTCCCTGCAATCCACCGTCTTCGCCTCCATCTCCATCTTGTATGCCGGACCCCCCGGGTGCACCTCCGGTCGTCAGAGGCATAAACTCGCGAAAGGCGGCGGCGAGGTCGGGAGCATCTTTGAATAAGCGTTCGATCTCTCTGTACACTTCCGTCTGGTCGCGGAACTGGAACTGAGCGCGTTAGGACCAGTGACACAACGACGCGAGTGAGATGAAAAAAAAGACGGTGAGGGGAGAGGAATAGGAAAAGACGAGGGATGTGAAGGATGAAAGAAAACGAGACATACATCGTTCGAATTCGATTTATGATTCGACAAGATCTCCAAGAACTGCTTATAAGTATCTGGATCATGACTGAACCGCGTCTTAATCCTCTGCACATAATCCATCGCGGGGCCCAATCCCTGTTTCTCCACCTCAGAGTGTGGCATCCCATGCTCCATACCGACGCCCACGCCCATTCCAATTGCGACGCGGGCCGATCCTGTCCCGGAGCCAGAGCCAGAGCCTATATACGGCGCCGGGGCAGGCGGTAATGACGGTGAGCCCATCTCGATGTCCGCCGAAGTGAGAGGTAAAGACGGGGGAGGCATTTCTTCGGAGGATAGAGGAGGGTGGGCGGAGGGTGCAGTAGAAGGGTGATGGCCGTTTGTGGGCGCCTGGTGCATGATCTGACCGTCGGGCATGGTTACGGTGATAAAGTCTTCGAGGCCAACATTGATGCGGTAGCCTGCCGGAAGGAAGGTGTTGAAACCCTGGATGAGGGCAGGGTGGCCGTGAAAAAGCTCAGAGACACGGGCGATGACACCTGGTGTGTCGATGCTGGAATAGTAATCATGATCAGAACGCGAATATTGGGGGACAAAAATCTCAGGATGAATCTGAGTGCTGGGGAAAGACAGTACAGACTTAGTCCATCCGCGTCAAGAAGGGGCTCTGACCGCTTTGCACAAAAATGAAAAAGAAGACAAGCACAGAACAGAGGACGCAGAGCAGATGGGAAAGTGGTGCGGCAATGCATGGTGGCATGCGTGGACAGTAAAATGAGCCTCGATGCATTCCAAGCGATATCAAGAGATATTGGGTAAAAATTTGGCGTCACCACCTTCGAGCAGTGTGGCCATTTCGGCGATGACATGGTATGGCAGTACAGTATTGTACCGATGTAGGCAGCCGTCCTATTCATCGAAAACTGCGCGGCGCTCTATTTGTGCGCCCCAGTACCAGCGAACAACGATGTGGATATACGCTGTTCAGTTAGAGCCTCAGTTTCACATACTCGGTCTGCAAAGCGCACACATGCGCTTAAATAGCGGATTTGGACGAATAGGACAAACCAACATATGGAATGAAGTTCAAGGCCGCACAATCGTGTGGCGTCGCCACACGATCCGACCAACGTTGATGTGTGCCGCCAAAGCGTAAAGGAAACTGCTCTTTATTGTATGGAGTGGTTCAATTGCCCTTGGGATGGGGCATGAGAAGCACTCGTCACTGTACAACTATCGCGCGAAGGCACGACCCTGAAAGAAGCCCTATCTCAAGAGCTCGACCGATGTACGCGCATATATGCGGGCGCAAGTTGTGTATCACCCACCTTCCCTCATTCTGCATTGAGGTGTCTACTTTCCGCCCCATTCCGTCCAGCACCCATACGCAAAAGACGGAAAAACTCACTGTTGACTCTTGAACTCCTTCATGATATCCAAGAATATATTATACACCTCCGGTTTATCATGGAACTGGATCTTGACCGCATCAAGGTAGCTGAGCGCATCGGATACGTTGAGCACGCGTTCGCCACCGCTTGGTTGGGCGTCCTGGTTGGACGGTGGTGGTGGTATGGGAGTAGTGGCGGACTGTGGCGCGGTACTCGGCGTCGCTGGGCGTGATGGTGCTGAAGCTAAAGATGCGTCGTGGTGTATGGGGTTATTGGGCTCGCTGTTTTCGTTGGGAGGAGGTGTCGAGGTAACTGGAGTATCTGCTAGGCCTTCGTCTATGACGCCCTGGCCATTCATGCCAGGACCATGTTCTGCTGCTGTTTCCATACTTCGGCTAGAGCGTCGTCAAGTTCACTAATGCTGAATGTCGGCGGAAATTAGGATATGCGCACCAACAACGTACAGTACAGTGAGCAAGCAGCCCGTACTGGAGACAATCAGGTAGCGTTCGAGAGCAAGTGACGTTGGCGGGAACAAACCGAGGACGGGCGCTTGTTCAATTTCCACAGAAACACGTGGCGGCGCGCGAGTTGGCGCGTCTCGCCACAGCTCAGAGGGAGTGTTTGTGGCCCGTATATGAGTAGCATGGTAATTGTATGCGCGTACTGGGTAAAGCTAAAGATATCACAGACCCCAATAAGAAATCAGTCAGCGGAGAAATATATATACTCTAAGTTCGGCGAAAAAAATATGTCGTAGCCGCGCAATCGTGAAAGGATGCTGAGGGCCCTGTGAGAATACCTTGGTTGTAGATATATTTTTGAGACATTTTATGGTGTTTTTCCTTTGAAGTGTCAATTTTAGTGGAATGAATATGAATATAACTGTGTTTTAGCACGCAACAAAAGCGAATACAATGAACAAGTAGTATGATCGAACCACAGGTCAGCGTCCGAGCGGACAAGAGAGTGGGGGAGGTGGAAAAGAGTAAAAAGAGAATACCTGCCAAAGCGGCGTAGCGGAGGATCGAAACAGCGGCCCCTCAAGCCTTAAGACACGGAGGAGCCGATGGTACGAGCCTGGGACCACTACCCCACAAGGGCATACGGTGCCAGCTAACTCAATAGTATATATACACAACTCAATGGCATCTATACACATCTGGCCTCGGCCTTTAGCAACCAAGTCCACTAATCCTAATCGTTTCCGGCCACTCAACCGATTCTGACTGCTACATCAAACACTGCTGCACATGCGATGGGTTCTGTAGCTGTGAGGCTCTATACACCAGCGCAAAAATACCGGTATCAGAATATATCGGCAGTTGGAATGATGGTCTCGTCTACTTATTGATTACCTTTGAATCACCTGTGACTAGGTCGTCCTCACGAGTAAGGATCGAAAGTGGGGTCAAATTACATCTAGAGCATCGATGACATTACACACTGCGGGTTCGTATACTTATAGTAGGCAATGATTGGCATCAAAAAGTAGAAACAAAGAAGCTGATCGTCTTAAGAAATGAAGCCCGTAGGAGAAACAATGCAGACAGGAAAATTACTCCTGAGGACGCTAGGCTTGACCTTAGCGGAGTCATCGCTTTGAGATGTAAATTCAATGATCACAAGCATTTCCACGTTCCTGTTCAATAAGAAAAACCACAGTCATCAATTGCGATGATACTTCACCTATTTTGAGCAGATGTGTACTCACAACATCGTCAGTCGTCCCTGGAAAATGTATCTGACCCGAGTCCTCGTCAATAGTGACCTCAGGCTTCACCCCAAGCCTCACAGATCCGGAGTTCTAAACCACCAAACCATTACAAGTATGAGTAACAATACTGCTGCGTAATATTTGAGAGTGTTCTTACTTGAAAGATATCTAGACCGGGATGATCATCCTTGGATTGTGTACAGCTTGACTGGCCGCGCCAAACAATCCCGGAAATGGAGAGAGTCGCCATGCCATTGGTTCCATTCATCTGCGTCCTGATCTTTTCTCTGCGGTTCAATGTGGCGAGCAAAGAACTGAAGTAGACTGCCGATAGGAATAAACAATGGGATCAACATCGTATCTCGTAAGCACTAACTGTCAACATACGTTTACTGAGCATATAAAATGCTCCTGCATATGCGAAGGTTTCAGCCATGGTTAGCATCTACGTACGCGTATGTATGTGGCAACCACGGACATGTATGAGCGCTAAAAATCAATGCGAAGACATTGCTGAGACACACGATTATGAGGGTGGCGATTGCCACCAGGCTGGTCAAAAGTCCCGTGGTGACGGTGTAAAGGATCAACGTGCTGATGACGGAGTTCGTCCTATCCATCATTCGCCACGAGTCTCGATATCAACTGTTAGCGAATTTTTGTTGAAATCATACGCTCACCTCCCTACCCCTAACCGACTCTTCCATAATAAGATGCACAGAAATCCAGCGATTGTGAGGTCAGCAACACAGATGGAGATCAAAGTAGCGTCCATTTCGACCTGAGTATCGGATTCAGAATTCATAAATGCATGCCCAAAATACAATTACTCACGACGAGATTGAGAGCCTGTAGACCAGTGGTTCCCATGCTAGCGTACCAAGATTTTGCATATCAATGGATCAGACACTATAAGTTGGCCGAGAAAAAATGAAATCCAAGGACTGTGCATGATGCTCACGTCTTGGATGTACAATCTGTATACCGTTGGAAAGGGAGTCAATTAATCGGCGCACTTATCTTTCGCATACAAGACGAAATGGGTGTACTCACACAAACCGGCAACTAGAAACGATCATAGAGACGTCAGTCGACTTGCACAAACAGGGAAAATTGTTCTCTTACTAAGCGCACAGAGAACGGGAACTGCCTGACTTGATGCATGTACAATAAATAAGGATTGCATCTTTGTGGTGAGAAAACAAGCCTTACCGCCATTATCGTGAAGATCCCGTTCTGGTTACTGACTTCAAAAGATATGCAATTCAGCGATAAAAGGTTTCGTGGAGATAAAATATACACTCACGTCGCCAGATTCGATAACAATAATATCTATAGAGATTAACTTAGTTTCTTTGCCTGAACTCAACGTATAGAGATCATGGTAATCACCCTCTCACACCACTGTCACTCAGTGACTGTGCAGATAGCATAAATCAGAACGAAAGCAAAAGGCACGGGGAAGTGCGTGGTAAAACCAACCATCATGAGAAGTGAGAACTGGTCAAGGCCGTTCCAGCGCGATTGAGTAATTGTAGACCACGTTCTTGAGCAACTGTAGATGACCTACCGAGAGTGTCCTAGGAAGAGCAAACCTAGTTGTCGGAATATTTCACGTACCAGAGGGAACCCATACTCACCACGGCACTTTATCAAGCAAAATACTCAAAGGTTGCTCAATCGACTCCACTACAAGCTGGCGTAGTGCAACTGCTGCGAGGGCAGCGTGAAGCGTATCCAAGATCCTATAATTAGAATGTGTGTCATACTCTTATCAAGATACAATACGATGAATCCTACCAGAGAACCAAGACCTGCCACATGAGGCCGATGGTCGACGTTTAATAAAGGAGTACATTCAGAACAACAACAGTGGGTACGCACCAGAAGACGTGTAGACCAACGATCTTGACTAGATCTTCTGAAGTACACATATGTTTGATGTGTAGTTAGACCGTAAAATCTGCCACCATACAATGTCTTGTCAATATGCCATTGCACGCAGAAAACACCAAGGAGCCCGCGTACTCACACACCGGCAAGATAGCTACCTGCGTACAAGCCGTTCAGGGATTCATTCAATTTGGAAGCAAGAACCGAATTGATCGACATGAAGTCAGTTATCTGTACGAAGTGATGTGGATGCTCCAGGGGTTCGAGTTCACAACACAACACGTACCTCCATCTGCTTGACTAAATACTCCAGTCAGAGATCTCGAGGCGCTATCAGATAGTACGACGGGTATCAATCATTGAGAATGACAGATGGAAAGATGTCAGGCGGCACGGATGCTCTTGGTATGATAGATCATTGAGAGGAACCCGTACCATGAGTAGATCAATGTGCTTCGGCAACTCGTGTCACGAGAGCAGACCTAACTGAGGAAGTAAAACATTTTTCGAGACCCTTTCCCAAGATGATTGCGGTCTAACGTGTTTCATCGCACAAACTAGGCCTCGAAAAGCTCGCCTCGGATCGTCGTGCTTACGAAACCCGTACTCAGGCCTGTGATCTCTACACACCGAAGAGGGTGTGCCGCGATCCTGGGAAGCCTGTCTCCTGTAGAATAGAACGAGTAGCGGAGAAGGATAGGAGGCGACCATGCACTCCCAAGAACTAAACAATTTTCCTGGTGTTAAGGTGGCTGCGAGCATTCATCAAAAAAGACTGTATGATCGGAAGAACACAGGCGCCGCAATGGAAATTGCCGGTAGACCTACTTAAAGAATCACCCTTCTTGGGCGCCACCTAAACTGTGCTCTGCTTCATCCCCCAGTGGTACTCGCCTCCAAGATTCATCGTCCCACGTAGGCCGACAAAATCCGGCCAAATACTATACAGGCTAAGAGTACGTATACAGTACTAGTCCCTATTCGATATGGTAGGGGTCAACATCGTTCGCCGGCTATCCCATGGCTAGAATCCACCAGATTGTGGCGCCGAATGATGCATCAAGGGATGCGATGTGCGACTCAGGCGTTTACGAGCCTAGTGTACATCGCCAGGTTGTTTTTATACACGGAAACCCTTGAATAGTCACACCGCGGATGGGGCCCGCGCAATGTCTCTATACCTCGATTGAATTTCCCGGTCTCTCGACGAACGAACCGTTCTAACCGTTCTTCTTCGTCCTCTTACAGGAATCAGCTATGTTATTTTATCCAATACTTCTCCCGTGGCCAATCCTTCTGCACGCCATTGGCCTCTCCGCTCTCGGGTGTGGCATGTTTCTCGCCAAACCCACCCCGAAAGCCCCAGAAGACACTTCCACACTCGGTATCACGACGATTGCGCTTGGAATGGCATGTACGTAAATGAGACATATCCTATTTTCCGCGATGCTTACCTGATAAAAAAAATCGCGCCGTATTCCTTCAAAATAGATATTGCAACATCATACATGCCCATGGAAGAAAATCAATTTCTTCATGCGAGCGCCCCCGTCCGAGTACTGCTTGCAAGTCTGGCGGGTCTTAAGTGGATCACTATGGGCAAGGAGGATGCGAAGCTGTACAAAAACCGAAATGCTCTATTAGGTCTTTTCCTGTACGATGGACTAGGAGGGTTGATTCTGGGATGGTACCTCGGAACGTTCAGCGGGAAGGTCGCGGCTTACAGGTGACTCAGATGGTGCACAGTGCCTGGAAGGTGAATTGTCGATTTAGGTCAGAATTTAGGGACAGTCTCGAGGTTATTTTGTGAATGTCATAAAAACGAACATGGCGAGAACGCGACGTGCTTCTGGTGTTACAATGGTCACTGGTAAATCACACATTCGGTTCGCGATTCAGCTCTGTGCAGGAACTATGTAACTGAACACGAGTGCAATCAGCTAACACATATCGCATAAGTGAGCTGACTACCACCTCTGTAAACACCACTGTACGCCCGCCCAGCCGGCTACTCCACACATCATGACACCCAACCCAAGCACACCGACCATCTCAAGCCATACATTCCTAAACGACTTCACCAACTTCCGTCCACCCTCGTAATCCGGCTCGATCTTCTCTTTCTCCACAACACCTTCAGCTATCTCGCCACCCGCTTCACTTCCGTTCTCACCCTTTACTCCTCCCCGAATAAAGTCTGCGCCTTCGGGAGACGAGAGGCCGTAAGGCTGCCGCGGCCGAAACGTGGTCTTTCTCATCCCGAGGTTCCATCGCGTAACTCGGATGAGAGCCTCCCTGATCATCTCCCTCCGTTCTTCTGCCCATCCTCTTCGCGGATAATACCACGAGAAATACACCGGGACACGATGGGAGAATAGGGAAAGATGTAACTTAATATTCGTCCACAAACTCGTTGGCGGGATATTTAGGTGGTCGGCCAATACGTCGCCTAGCAGGTATCTGGACAGCGCGCAGTTATATTCGAGACTGGTGCGAAACGCTCCAGGACGGTTGGACATGGCGCGAAGTATGGGCATCGTCGGCGTGGGGAGGAGTTCGTATGTGGGAGAGTCTGATGGAGGGGTGAAGAGGTGGATGGCGATGGAGGCGAGGAACTTGTCAGATGTGGCTGGTGAACGGAAATACCGTCGAAGAATGGACGGTGAAATTCCGAGGTAGAAACCGATATGGCGCCAGAGAGCGAGGTAGGCGTTGGATTGTTCGGGAGTTGGTGTGAGATGAAAACGAGAGAGACACCATGGAGGGATTGTCGAGAATGCCGCTAGACTGTTTGTACATTAGCAAGAGCGTGGAACAGTGCAAGGTGCAACGTACGTAGCGCTCATATCTTCCTGGTTGATCGGTTCGAAGTCTATACCACCCGCATCATTCTTGTCGAGACGAGCCCGAGCTCTACGACGAGCAATTCCATGTAACATACGAACTCTGAGCGTGGCCTTCCATCCATCACCGCCAGGAAGAACGTTCTCCCTCGACACCTCCGGCGTCATACAACCCATTACCTCCAAGACAAACTGGAATGTCTCGTTCAGGCGTATATACGTTCGGTCATCCGACGATCTCTTTTCGTCACTACTGATATCGGCGAGCGCCACCCCTTTCGACTGACCATGGGGGACGAGATAAGAAACAGCATGAAGCGTGCGAACAATTCGTGGACTGCGAGTAGAGGATCAGCATAACGACGAAGCGGGTAATGCAGAACTTAGAAGATTGCACCTCGCAAACCCGCCCGCAAGACTATAATAGCTCAACGCTTGCGAAATTTGAACAGCATGATCCAAGAAAAAAGCGACGGCTACTTTGTACTCTTCCTCCGTGACGCAAAGGTCTGGTGGGGGTATCTGTGAGAAGGTATCGTAGAACAACCACGCGGCATCTTCAGAGCGTGTACTCTCAGTGTGTTGTTTAAGCGCAGTGAAGAGGTCGATTCCAGTGCTTGAGGAAGTGCCAGGGAATAGTATACCTAACGCCTCATCGCAAAGAGGGTCAGCGTGCTGACGCCACCTAGAGTACGATATCGCCTCAATCTCATGTGCGTTTTGAGCAAGAAAAATAAAGAAGCATACGCTCTGGCCTGGTTCTGCGACACGCAATTCTCGCTCCATTCCCATATATGACCCCAGCTCTGAACTATGTCTCCAATAACAAGCGAGTCGGTTTGATTCCCATGTTGAACGAGGTTGATTTTCCTGCGCTCGATAGGGCCAGAAAAGGAGCCAATTTTGACGGTCATGATGAAACAAGTTCAGGTGAGAGACCAGCGCAAAGATATCCGGGTGTAGAATCGTGGCCGAAGAAACCTAACATAGTTTTCGATGTCAGCCAGAGAAGTGACCTCAGTGACGATGTGAGGGCCGTTATCACAAGAGAGCGCGTCCATCCGGGTGGCACCATCCGGGCGGAGCTTGAACCAGGTCTCAGTGGGAAATATCGACGGCGGGGACCCTTTGTTGAGCGACTCCTTCAAGTTCTGCGGTTTGCATAAGAGCGACAGGCCTCATCGACAGCATAGCCAGTTATTTCTACCGCACCGCTCAATTTCTTCGTTTTTCAGTACAGTTTGCACTATGAACCTTCGTTCGGGGTCTTCAATCGACCCCTTGCCGCTGCAAGGTGTGCACAAAATCCCCTAATCATATTGCGTTACTTTGTTGCCCTTCCTTATTCACTAATATGCGTCTCAACCAGTATCTAGGGTTTTCTTTAATCGTGAAGAACATAGTATGGAGACGTCTGTCGCTATTGCTGCACCTGCGTTGACAAGGGTCCCCATCGAAATATGGGAGCAAATATTCGGACTCATCGCGTCTCCTTGCAAGATCCAGCTCAACCCAGCCTACGGGTGGGGCTTCTCTCCTCCTTATCGCGAAGCTCTATGCATGGCCCAAACACTTAATCTTGTATGCCGTGGGTGGCGTACTGTCTCTCTTCGATACGCCTACTCCAGTGTAAGTAGTCTTTGGCTCTCTGAGCCAGCTCCCGCGATTTCTCGAAACGCTCCGATCGAACCCGAAGACGATCTGCCCCATCATCACCAGTATCTCCACTCACTTTTCCATTCCCATAGGCGCCTCCAACGTTGTTCGTCAATGCCTTGGCGAAATCATGAGCCGTTGTCTATGGCTTCAAGAATTGACCATTGTCATCGATGATTTTCCACGCTGCGAAATTCCTTCGTGGGAAAATTGGGTGGCCCGTGTAGCAGCACAAATCTCCAGCCTACGCCTCGACCTACGCCGCGCAGCAGTCCTCACGGACAGCTCTACGTTGAAAGCTTTAAAGCTGTCCAAAAATCTCGTCTCGCTCTCCTTATCATTCCCACCAAATTATGGATCGGGTACGCCCTGGGAACCTACCAATGAAGAGCCCTACACCCTAGACTTTCCCCAGCTACGCGAGTTACAGTACTTCCTCTGGACTCGACAATACGCTGAGGCGCTGGAGATCTTCGCACAGTCCATCTCTGCCCCAAAGCTGGAGGCTCTCACTCTCTGTCTCGTTCAGAGGGGCAGGATCGACATCGAATACAAAGAAATTTCGAGCTCTATCCTCGTCACACTATCTTTCTTGGGCGACTCCCTTCGCTATCTGCACCTCGCCCATCAGTCCGGCCGAACGATCACTCTTGAAGACGACCAAGAATGGCGACAAATTTGGGACTGGACGTCTCTCTGGTCGAACGACCGTTTTCAAGCTCTCGTCAATCTCTGCCCCTACCTTGAACACTTCGTTGCCCCGCTCCCACCAGACTCGGCGCTCATCGGCATTCGTCATCATCCGACTCTGCGATACATAGACGCATGGGTCCCACCATTTGACATCGACAACTCTCTTCAGACGCCTGTCTGTCTTGTTCCGGACGTGAATGCGTTTCCTTTCCTTCGAAGGTGCAGGCACCTCGACGCGTCGCTCAACGTCTTTATGGACCTTCCGACGATATTCCCTCCCCGTGATCCTACGACCGCCGACGATCGCCTCGTGCAGTGGACCACTGCTGGCTCCGTCAAGGTCCTCGAATCAGATTGCTACATTGCACCGCCTGCAGCACGCGTCTATAATCTTCACTCAAATCGACCAGCCCTTGATGCTTATCGAACCCGGAGCGATAGAGAGATCGACGAGGGTGATGTCAGTAGTGACAGTGAAAGCGGAGGGGATATTGCGTCGGACGAGCCAATGCAGGTGGATTCAGAGCAGCTGTCTGCGATTGACTCTGACGAAAGTGACGACGACCGGTATATCCCGGATGATGAGTCAAACTATTCCGGTTCTTCAGAATATTGGTCGGACGAAGGGGGACTGGATGGCATCGGAGCTGAGGGGACAGTGTTGGATACAGATGTGCGCCCAGCTACAGAAGCGGACACAATCATGGCGAGCACCACTATAATCCCAGGGTATTTCGGGCAGGTATTGGCTGTGAGTGTCTCGCATGTTTGAGTTTGCTATTGTCTTCGTGGACTGACGCCTTCTCTGAATCGTTGTCTATAGGATCTTGGCTTGGATTAGACCATGGCTACGTGCGACTCTATTGGCTGGATGCGTCCGATATAATGGTGGTTTCTGTCAGGTCGAACTATTATTCACAACTACAATCCTTCCTGTACTTCTTTATCCCCTCGACGATGTGAACACAAAACAACACTGGCCTCCCAGCGAGGTAATTTAATCGGAGTAACGGTTTTCTAGATACCAAAGTCCTGTCGAGGAAGTCAGTCAATGGAGCAGCTAGACGCATACTTGTCTAATCCTCACCTCCAAATCCGCGGCAAAATACTCATTCCAGACATCCTCACTGCCCATATACGTGTCCAAAGACCATTCATATCTTGATAATTCCCGTGCCATTGATATTGTGTGCTGCTCGAGCGTCTGGAAGTCCTCGTCAGACCAATACTCGGATGACCCCCCAACAGAAGATTCTGATGGTTCAAATTCGTCGTCGCTCTCGTCGTAGAACGGATCGAGAGACTCGTCGACTAGGACGGGGGAGTTCGTGCTACTCTGTGGGCCTTTGTATTCGACACTGTCGATGTCGGATCGGTCAATCGACTCGTCGCATTTTTCGTCGCCAGCATCATCATTTAGATCATGCATAGAAGGAGAACGGACACGTTCAGGGTTCAGCTTGATGGTATTCAATGTCTCGATGATCCTGACCGAGCCACCAAGTGTCCAAAGAATAGGAGAATGGTCGAGTCCGGAGGAAATGCGGGGAGGAAACATCATAGGAAGATCGAGAAATACGTTCAGCGACAGATCCAGACGTCTACAACTCTGAAGAGCAGGTAGCGAAGAGCTCTCGTGCGTAACAAGACGCCTAACGCTCTCATTGTCGCATTCGTCCTGGACATCGTCCGGCTATAGCCAGATATCGACCCATTTGAGGTTATGATGGTCACGGAGCGCAAGGGAGGAATGATAGGGAGAAAGCGGTGCGATGAAATGCTCAAGTACTGGACAGAGATCTATCATTGCCTGAAATTCGTCGCTCTCCCATGTGGTCCACCAGTCCCAGATGTTAGACCACTCGCCGTCGTCCTGATAACCTATAGCTACGTTTGTTTGATCTGCGAGATGAAGATAACATAGATGTTCACCAGGTCGTGACAGAATGTGGGGAATGAATATGGATAATTGTTCATAGCTGTTATTTAGACCAGCGAATCGTGGTCTCACCAAGCAGATAGTGAGGGAGTGAATTTGGGGATTGACGAGGCCCCTCACGATGGTAGTCAGGGTTTCGAGGTTTTCGGGAGACCATACTATGAGAGACAACTCGCGTAGGGAAGGAAGGTCAAGTGGTACTTGATTGACAATAGAGGGCCTGTCAGTAGACGTGGTCGTCAACCAGGGGAAGGATAAGGTAAGGCGTGTGAGGCTGTTAGCGTTCGCCATCGCCGTGATAAGTCTAGAATGGTCATTGAAGGTGACTGTGCGATCAACACTGAGATGTAGGTCGGATAGACGGGACGACGCGCGGGATACCCATCTCTCCAACCCAGGCATATCGCAGTAGTCGAGGTAATCGATAGTGATCCTCACTCTTTTCAGCGAAACACAGCAAGCGATGATTTCATCGAGATACCGCTGGAAAATGCGGCCACTTCCCTGTGGAATAAGGGCTTGGGCAGATATGTTACGCACTATGGGGCAGAAACTCGGCGGGTTGGAGACTAGAGTCGCATAAAATGCGGGTAGTTGCGTGAGAGAGCCGAATACGACATCGGCGTAGAGGAATCGCAGGGTGATCTTGTGCCACTCGCGGCAGACAGCAGTCAAAGCTCGCGCGGTTCCTTGCGCGTTTCGCCAGTTGGACAACGGGCCCCAGCTGTAGGCGACGTTGATCTCGGTCTTGTTGGCTAGGGTGAAGATATGTTCCCATACTTCGATCGGGATATTCACAGTCGTATCGGGACCTTTCAGAGAGATCATAGTCAATTCTGTTCAATCCAAGCACGATTGCGCGAAGATTGCTTACCAGAAGACATATTCCTCAGGCTAGTTGTCCGGTATTGACCGTCAGAGACCATTCGAGAAGCTATTTAGATGAAGTTGTCATTTTGTAGATCGCAATGTAGTTACGAACGCGCTGGGGGTTCTATAGATCGTAGACAAATCTTGGAAGGTTTCCGATGTTTCGTGTCGGATATTCTCGAAGTTAAACTCTAGGGTAAGTCAGAAGGTCGGGTTGAAGTAGCGCACGAACACGATATGAGAGGTAAGAGGAGGCGAGGGTCGATGTGAGTAATGACTCCGATGTCTGCATACAATTCACGCTCGCAAACCGGCACCGCCCGTTTCCCATGCGTCGGCTCCACGGGGCCTGAAGTGAAATCACAAGCATATGATATGGGCACAGAGAGCAGAACGTCAACTCATCGAATAAAAGTTTATTGGAGCGTATAGCACAAATTATCTCTTTTTTTCCTATAACCAGCCCTTCTCGCACACAGTGGGCACCTATTGTATCCGAGTCCCGAATACTTATACTACTTCCTTCCTTCACAGCGAAGGATCCTCTTTTCTGCCAACGCAGAAATGAATCACGATTACATTCTGCTGTCACAGAACACATACCGCCTTTGTCCGCACGAGTTCTGAGCGTGCAGAACAAGATTGTTTTCATTTCTGCCCGTACAGAAAACTGGATCCGGCGCTGTGCTTCCTTCCTTGCGCAAGTTGCTGGATTCGCTCGCAGGAATGAATAACACAATGCAAAACAGTCTCTGGTCACAAGATTGCAATGAACGTACAGTATCCAGAAGCCTTGTTTCCATCATAGGCAGTTCAGAGTCTAGCCTTTTCGGCAGGCTTACATTTATCAAGAACATTGAAGATCGCTGCAGCGACGCCTTCCGGGTTCTCCTGGACAGCCTGCAGGAACAAAAACAGTAAGGCATAAGATGGCGGACAACACGTCAACGTTTACGAGGGAACGCACCAGATGCCCAGCCTTCGGTATGATTGACACGGAGGCCATCGTTCTTCCTTTCGATATGTCGCACAGTGAAGCCCTTGAATCTAGCGACCTTGATACCAGGCGGATTTTAGTGATCGGCGTCACCAGAAAACAGAGTCAGCGATGTACTGAGGTAGAGTCGAGACTTACACCATCTCCGGTCGTTCGCCGAACACACAATGGACAGGCACTAGAGCACAGGTTTTGTGTACCTCTGCACCAGCGATGAAATGCTCCTCGTGTTCGTAGAACTTCGCCTCGTTTTTCTTCGTGATGCGCGAAGTCACATATTGTGAGCCGTCTTCATCGTTTATGAGCTTGAATCCGTGTTTCTGTCATTTGGTAACCCGTCAACACGGGGACATGCGGAAGATGTGGACGATGAAACATACTAGATAAATCTCGAGGACACGTCTATCCCAAATCTTCCACGGATATCGATTCCCTAGCCACTTCTCCAGATCGTTCATATCGTCCCATCTGTTTTTACGCGATAACACTCCCTTGACGTTGTTTATGCCCATTCTGATACGGGGATCGTTGGGTGAAATGGGTGGCGGAAGCATGACCGGTTCAATGAAGACGAAAGCTACAAAGGGTAAGTGTCCTGTAAAGCGCGTAGAGGCAAGACACCTATACTGAGTATATTAGAACTGACAACTTCGCGAGAAAAATGGAAGGGGAGAATAATGGGGGCGCACCAAGCAGAAGTACTGGCGGAATGACCGACAGCGATCAAGCGGTGACCAGACACATGTTGGGACTGCGAGAAAAAGTGAAGCAGGTTTCCATAGTCCTGTAGGGCTAAAGCGTGCATAGAATCTCATTCAGCACATCCGACTCGCTTGGGGGAATACTCGAGGGCTTACTGATAGCTGACCCATCGCGCAACTTCTCTTCGTTTAGTAACGAGGACTCTCCATGGCTTTGACAATCCAATGCCCAGGCTTCACGAATAATAAAAGCGGAGGATTTGAGGTCGAAAAGCTTCTCGATGGTCGGTTCAAACTGTTCCTTGTCTGAATATGGCGAACACAAGAAGTTAGCGATGTGCCGACTTTTCAAGACCAAGCAAGCATGAAGTTGTCATCACTTACGAGCACTCGAACAGTGTGCAAAAATCAGCGTGAACGTATCAGGGGAGTTCTCGCTTCCGTCTGTATACCTGTTAGCAGCGCAGAGATGACCTCCTAGGCTATCAGGTAGGGCGAGACGGTACGTCTCTCGTCTCATGTTGGAGTGATGGTGGTACAGGTCAAGAGAGCCTGCGGCGGGTGGCGATTATTGTCTGGTCATTATACTGGTCTATCCTGCCGTGAGACCCGATCGAGAACAAAAAGAGTACAGCACGTGAGCAAAAGAAGCGAAAGCAGGTCGTTTCATGCTACATAGGTTCATCGTTCAAGTCCTGAGCATCGATGTAAATTCGACCACCTTTAGCGTCTTTTAGCATCCTTATAAGCAGTTCAATACTGCTCTTGAAGTGATCCAGTGTAATGTCGGATGAAAGACTCCGGTATGGGGTCACCCAAGTATTACAAGGTGCAGGTAATCGTTGCCACTAGATATTTGAGACGGCGCAGCCTGAAGTGCGATGCCACGCCACTGGGAATTCGTATATTATCCGGAAAAGTCCGAAAACGCCTAGGTTAGGGTTTGCGCCACAAACAAGCTAATGTTTCCCCCCATCGCCTTGCGCGCTCCGTATCCTTCCAGCACCATCACTTGTCACAGTCCTGGTCAGAAATCCGTGTTTCCTTCGACCTACTTACCTTCGTGCTCAGAAGCCTTCGACTCAGGGTCTAGCTCAACTTGCTCAGTAAACCTCCGATGTGTGAACGGAGGTTTACGTGAGAAAAGTACAGCTGATAAAGCACCTAGGATGGAGGACAAATCAGAATGTCCCATGGCGTGCTACAGTGTATATAAAGGCCTTGCGATTCCCAGAGCTCTTACTCAGACACACATCCCCATTCACAGTCTCTACTACATAGCACGACTCAAAAACTACGACAATGGCTGTTCCCATCACCCTCTATACCGCAAAGGTCTGCCCATATGCGCAACGTGTACGTACAGTGTTTCGTTTTCGCCTTATGGGCAGAAAACTAATTAATGGATGATCCCAACGGGGTGGTTGCGGGACGTGTGGAATATAGGTCGAGCTCGCGTTTGCGGAGGCTGGCATCGATGTGACCAAGTACTTCATTGATTTGCAAAACAAGCCCGAGTGGTTTGCCCCTAAGATCAACCCCGCATCCAAGGTACGCCTCTCTACCCCTGTCCCTTCACTTGTATTGTATCATTTACTGCGTCTCGCTCACAATTCTCTGCTCGTGCCGCACCCCACGCTATATCGGTCTGATCAGGTCCCAGCCGTCGCCTACGGAGGCCCGCCCACATCTCCTGAGAACCCTTCCCCAGAATCCGTCAAACTCGCCGAGTCCCTCATCCTCGTCGAGTTCGTCGCGGATCTCGCCCCCAAGTCCGGTCTTCTCCCCTCCGACCCCGTCCAACGTGCCCAGGCTCGTTTCTTCGTCGACACCGTCTCGAACAAATATGTCCCCGGCTTCGCAGCCTTCGTCATGCGCGGTGACTCTCCCGAGGGTCTCCTCGCAGGTTTCCAAGCCGTACAGGACTTGTTGCCGAAGGAAGGTCTCGCGCTTGGTGGGAATCAGTTCACGATCGCGGATGCGGCCTTTTTGCCATTCTTGGGCAGGACGGAGTTGTTGTTGAGGACCGGGGTTGGGAAATATCAAGCCGCGGAGGGAAAGAAGGTGTATTCGCAGTTGTTTGAGGACGCGAAGTTTGCGAGATTGCAGAAGTATTTCAAGGATGCGACCCAGAGGGAGAGCTGGAAGACCTTCTATACCGTGAGTGGGCTCCTTCGTTATTTGTTCGCTGTGATGCGGTGGTACTGATGCATATTCGATGTCCCTGTAGAACGATATCAGCGAGACCATGTTAGCTAGGATCGGAAGGGCGAAGTCTGACTTGTAATCGCGCTCACTCTCAGCCTCAGTGCACTCCTTAGGACGTTGTCGAGTTTCCTGTATGAATAAGTAACTGCTTTGTCTTGCATTGTCGCGTTGGGATCTCCAAATCGTCCTTATTCTGATGCACAGCCTCGCCTCATCATCGCTGAAAGCGAGCATAAGCATACAGGCTACCCGTGTCAATTATCATGCTTCGCTCTGGAGCATCTGGAGGGTCCTACGTCTATGCAGGCGCCACATCTACGATAGTTCTGGCGGAGCGGTAAAGCATGCTCTACATCATACTCTGGTGTGTTATCTTGCTGGTTCGATTCGAACATGCGGAGGTGCCACAGCGTCCTTGGACGGCTAGGGCCACCCGCGGAAGATGTTTGCTCCTGTTAGGATCGGAAGGCGTCGCCTTCCTAAATGGATTTTTGGTGACGTCACTAACGCATCTTGGCAAGCAACCGCGACTTGACCGCTGACCAGTCGCACTACGGACAAACATTACTTTGAAACCTCTGCATGACTCTACTCAGCCTATATCTAAGTCTCAAGGGCGCCACCTCACATCTTCAAAGGCCTCCTCATGGGCTCAACACTAACTCAAATTATCAATACTTTAAATAAGTATGCGCCGGCGTTCGTCATGGATCAAGAATCAACAACACCAGCGCTGCGCCGTTCTATGCTGGCGCAACCCCACTAGTATGTATATCCGTCGTATCGCCGTTGCGGTGGTCCTCGCTGATTCTGGAAAAAATATGTGCATTTTCACGCTCATATAATCACTACAAAACAGAAGACAAAAGACAAACACGGACACCGCTGGGCCAGGGCAAAAGTAGTTCGTCATGACTATTTCTTCGCAGTCATGTTCTTGAGCCGAGTCGTGTTGCTCAGTTGTTCCCCGCTCTGGTTCAGATATCTTTCCTGACTCGACTTCGTCCGGTCTGATCACTGTCCTTCCGAGGGACGAGCTATGCTCCTTGTAGAACAATGCTTGTTCTGCTGTAATAGCTGAAGGGGATACCCGGGCTCCGTTCGACACTTAGCCTCATCTCAGTGATTTCACATCTTATGAGCTACCTATGAGTCAGACCGACGGATTTGGAGACCACATCACCAGGGATCACCCAAGTAGCTCTGTCTTGTCAAGCATGGCGCTAACCATCCATCAGGTAAGTTATAAGACAACGCGTTAGCAGCAGATGCACAACCGCACTATCCAGATTTTTCAACCTTCTCGTCTTCCCAATAGCCAGCATGTCAAACAGTAAAGGAACCGTTCTCGTCACTGGTGTCACTGGGTGAACATAGTATTCCTTCTTGACTGCGCTCCACATTCTGACTTTGGAGAACTTCGCAGATACATTGGTACCGATGTCGCTCTTGCTTTCCTCCGGGCCGGATGGAGGGTCAAAGGAACCGTCCGTTCCAAGGCTAAGGCAGATGCATGGATTGCCTTGTACCCCCAATACATAGACCAATGTGAATACGTTATCGTCGAGGACATCGTGGTCGACGGCGCTTTCGACGAAGCTGTGAAGGGATGCGATGCCATCGCACATGTAGCCTCGCCCTACACGTTTACATTCAAGGTGAGTATCTCGACTATATCTTTGGATCATCAAGGGGTATGGAGGGTTATGTTGAATAATTTTATTTGGCATTCGCCTGTGGCATAGGATAATGAGAAGGAAATGCTTATTCCTGCCATCAACGGCACTAAGAACATCCTTGCGGCGACCAAACTAGAGCCCAGGATCAAACGCTTTGTTCTTACATCATCATTTGCTGCTGCCAACGACCCGTTGACTCTCCCCGCAATTGGGAAGACGTTCACTGCGGATGACTGGAATCCCGCCAGCTACGAGGATGCCAAACAATCGCCCATCACAGGTACGAATCTCGCTCAGCGGTGATAACAGCGTTATACATGGTCGCTCATGCTTGCGCGTCGTTGAATTGTGGCAGGCTATGTCTACTCAGCATCGAAGAGTCTTGCGGAGCACATATTCTGGGACTTCATCAAGACCGAGAAGCCTTCCTGGTCCGGGACGAGTCTTTGCCCTGCGTATGCCTTTTTCTGCTCGACCGCATCAGCAAAACAAACGATCTAAAATTCCTTATTTTGTCACCGTCAGCATGGTGTTTGGTCCGCCTTCGCAGAAGGTCTCGTCTATATCGACAATCAACACCTCCATGGCAATAATCTACCAAGCTATCGGTGGCACCTGGAAAGCGGATGGCATTCCACCGACGATCTTTCCCGTCTACACCGACGTCAGGAAACTGGGGATTGCGCACGTGAAGGCCGCGGAGCTGGACGTGGCGAAGGGGCAAAGGTATCTCTTCATCGAGGGCTACTATGTATGTCTCTTCCTCCTTTCCGGATGCATCGGTTCGTTCAGATGTGGAATGACGTTACTCAATCATCCGCACAGAAAAATGAACAGATAGTCGATATCGCGGCCAAGCACTTCCCTCAGCTGAAGGACAAACTCCCCGAGGTCGACATCTCCACTTTGAAGACAGGAGATCATTTCAAGACGGATGTGAAGAAGACGGATGAGGATTTGGGCGTACAGTCCACGCCTTTCGAGGTCGTGATCAAGGATACGATTGCAAAGCTGCTGGAGCTGGAGAAGGAGCTTGGGGCTTGATACCCCATGGTATAGATTTACGAGCGTTGTACGATTATGATGATGAGCTTGCATACGAATAGGGAACGCGATTACGGACGACTGTTCTCATTGCGGATCAAGGTGATACGTTCTAGCGTCGAAAAATCCGCCTGCGGCCATAGAAGAGAACTTTTCGAGAACTTCGCCTTGTATAACAAGTGTACACTAGGAGCTAAACCGAAGTTCAGGACTGGCCTGACGCATAGCCTGGCACTCAATAGACTGACGTGGCTCTGCGTCGGGATGAACTCAGAGAACACCTCACAGGGTATTGCAAGAGACGGATCGTCCAATGCATTCCACGATGTATTCTGTTCTTGGCGGTGGATTTACTGTTATGCCTTTGCATCCATGATGAGCCTCAGGTTGGCCCCACCACAGGCTCGGAACACAAGGTGCAAGTGGCCGCAGTGTAACTCGTGGTTCACACATCGAAGACCGAAGAGATAAAGAACACGCACTATTTCAGTAGTTAGACTAGACGATCCTCACGAAAAGTGCAGGCATAGGCAAGCATGTCCAAGGAAAGAAAGGCTGCGACTCCTCGTCGCTCGAGGTTGACACGAAGTCGGAGACAAAAAAGCGGCGTAAAATTGAATGCTGACAAACCCGGCATTGTCCGATATCTCGGAACGCCACACGAGATGAGGCGCGCCACAATCCCCAAGTTCATGTCGAGTTGCGTTGAGCTCACAAAGCCCAACTTCGAGTGTAGGTTCAAGTTTGACCATGATCCGACAACGTTACTGTAAAAAACATCGATTCTTGTCACCAGGTATAAACAAGAACAGCTACGATAAAACGCTAGGCTACAGGATAAAAGAGGGGACGATCCGAATCGATCGAACCACAGGACAGTAGACACAGAGTGTGAGGTAAATAAAGCAGTTTCTAGATACAAAGCAGATGCAACATGAGTGGGGGGTGAGATGGGATTGTGTGAAGGTACCAGCCATACTAGAGAGAAATGAGCGTGAAGAGTATACAGCAAGGGAGCGATTAAAGTGGTATGTAAGGAGTGTTATATTCGAGCATATGCAAGGTGGGGAGAGAAACAACAAAGAGGGAGCAGGATAGAGCTACAGTGGGTCGTTTCGATTGTGAGGTCATGATGGAGACAGAAACTGAGAAGACGAGGGGGATAGGCTATAAACGAGAAAACGTGTCCTGGATATGTGTGATATAATGCGATTATCGTCAAACCAAAAAGCAAGAAAACGCAGCAAGCTGCCGAAGTGAACAAAGACATTTACTAATACCGGCATACTAGTGAGAGTATGGAGCCATCCAGTGCTCGTACCTAACTCACCTGAACCACAAACCTACTGCCTCGTAAGCATTTCAAACGGGATCGGCTTCCTCCTCAACCTACTCTCCTCCTCGCTCGCAGATGATTCACTGCTCGCTTTTGAAAGCACACTATCCATACTCTTCCTCCCCATACCCAGTCCCATCCCCATCCCCGCCATTCCCATCCTCTTCTGCGCTCTTCCCGGAATATCGCTACTCCTCTTCGCAACATGCGACGAAGGCGACAAGAACGGCGCGAAGAACGCTGAAGTCGGTGAAGGCGAAGGCGAAGGCGAAGATGAGGTGTTGAACGACACATCCGGTGTAGCGCTCTTCTTCGGCGACTGGATGGTCGGGATGGGGACCTTCTTCTCCGGCGAGGCTTTCTCCCTCACCTGCACCTTATTAGCCGACGCGGACGACCTTCCACGCTTTCCGAACGTGAAATGAGACTTCAACAACGCTGACATCGATCCCTCTTCTTTCCGTCCCACCACGGTGGACAGCGTGGACGACGACCAACGCGAACGGAGGACCCGATCGTTAGTGATATCCCAGTTCGTGTCTTCCTCGTCGTCGTGGTCGAAAGAGTCGGAAGTGTTGGAGGGTGAACGATCGAGGTAGGAATCGCGGAGGAAGTACGGGAGGTTGAGGGGTGAATGTGTGATCGGCGAGGACGGAGGTGAGGCTGAAGAAGTGGGAGAAGGGGCGGGCGCGAGGGTGATTGCGGGCGTAAACGGGTGCGATAAGGCGGCATCGACCTGCAGAAAATTGAGAGCCAGGGGCGAGCTGCTAGGTACAGGGAGTCCAAAAGATCCCTGGCGCTCCCTTCTTCCACCACCGCTATGGCCTTCGTCGGAACTGGATGTCGGGGTCTTCGGGACCTCAGACTCTTCAGTCATGGATGCGTCGGTGGTCTGCGAAGGCGATGGAGAAGACGGAGAACGGTCGCACACCCACCCAGAGGCATCGTCGAGGAGCTCGAAGACATCGTCCGGTAAGCTCTCCTTAGGCGGTGGCCTCGAACCCTCCGTACACGTAACATCCGAGGCAGTAGAATCATGCGACCCGCGACGAGGAACGATGATACTCAAACTCTTCTTGTTCCTGAGCGAGTTGGGAGAATCGCGACGAACGAGCGCTGGTGATGGAAGGGTGGAAGGGAAAGAAGGGACAGGAGGCGGGACGCGAGTTGGTTTCGGGGGCAAACTTGAGCGGAGGGAGGACCGGCGTCGAGGGAAGGTAGGGTCCAATTGTGAGCTGGGAACGGGTTTGCAAGTGGCGCGGATGGATTGGAGGGAGGAACGGCGACGGCGGAGGGAGGGGATGGATGAGCGGCGAGCAGGTCCAAGTGACGTCCGACGGGGAGTCGGAGGGAGGGAGTCTGGGCGAGTGAAGATCGAAGATGAGGTCGCAGACGTGGTGAGGTCATAACCGGAGTGAGCAAGGGCGTAGAAGAGGCCATCGTCGGAGATGTAGGATTCGTCGTCGGAGTCGGAGTCCTCAGCCTCATCTTCTTCCACAGATTCTGGTTGGAGAGGGGGTGAAGGCATAGAAGACTCGGGAATCGTGAACTCATAAGCGTCAAGGATATCATCCATTTCATCGTCTGCTTCCGACTCCTGCGAATATTCGGGCACCGAGGCAAGTGCGACAGGAAGTGGGGGAGATGACTTGTTGATGACTAGAGGATGAATGGAGGCCCTCCTGGGAACGATCACAGGGCTATCTGTTCCAACATAGAACTCCATCGGAAACCTCTCATCATCCGAGCTGGTCGGTGTCCTCGGCATGTAACCCCATTCACCCTCCGAAGAACTCGAACCATTCAGACCAACACTCGACACCGACTCCGTTGGCGAACGCGCAACGATCGCAGGACGAGGACGTTCGGAGGTTGTGGGCGTGCGTGGGGGAGACGCGTAGGGTGACGATGGGAGAACGGGAGAAGTAGTCGAGGGCGCGGTCTCGTCGAACTCGAAGTCGCTGAGGGAGACAGGTGAAAGTAGAGGCGAGACATAGATGATGCCTCCTTCCTCCTGTTTGGGCTTGGGTGGACTGGGTGCAGGGCGCGGAGCAGTGAATACGCCATCGTCGCCTTCTGGGATTTGGAAGTCGGCCTTGCCGTACTTGCTCAATCGCTTCATACTCCTCGAGGTGCGTGGTGTGCTGGTCGGCGATAAGTGGATCGTCGAAGAGGATGCGATAGATGGAGATGGGAGAGGTGAGCGTGTATCTTCATCTTCTTCGGTCAGATCTGGGAGAGTCGGCGTATGTCTTCTTGACTTCGAAGAGAAGATAGAGCGTGAAGATACAGTTGGTTTGGGTGGTGATACAGTGTTGGGTGTGCGAGAGCGCAAAACGGGCTGGCGTTTGAGCGATGAGAATACTGAAAACATCGAAGATGGATTCAACAATCAGTACATGATAGATAGAGGAAAAAAACGCACGAGAGGACATTGGGTATGCGTTCGTAAGTTCTATGCTATATATGTTCGAATTCGTGTGGATGCTCGTGAAAGAGGCGGTCAGAAAGAGACGATCCAGTGTAAGTGCAGACAGAAGGAAGAGAAGATGGAAAAGCGAAAGAAGGACATACCCGGCGCACCTACCTTTATTATGGCCCGCGCCTGTCCACAATTATTGTGCGCCCAGAACATTGTTCGCCACGAACAAAAGAGGGAACAATGGACAGCACACAATAGCCGACCACAACGCCTGCCTTTTTCGGATGGCGCGTCGGCTGTGTTTTCCCACGCGGCATCCGCCGCCACCCGACTATTGTTTGCCTCCGCCACGGTCCTACGCCCCAAACAAAAGCAATGAGGACCGCGATGTCATCTGAACAGGTGTGATCCTCTACTTTTTGCGTGGCTCAACATTGTGGAGAGAAGTAACGGCAAACACACCTATAGCGGGTCTGCAGTTTCGTTCTCTGTTCCGCCCTCACGCCGCTACTACTGTCCGACTGCATGGCTTGTTACTACAGCTAGAGTGCAGGGATTCATCTTTCTCGATCAGTTTCTCCATCGAGACAGAAATATATCACTCCCTACGCCCGGAAGGACCTTCAATACCTGCGAGCGATGGGTGGCGCCGCTTCGCCACACGCTTCTTCATGTACTTTGTCGATCCATTTGTATGGCCGCATGGCGCCGCCAACATCATGGACGAGTAAGGAGGCACAACACATGTTTTCAACTTTGTTGTCTTTTGCAGTATGAGATGTGCGCAACATGTACTGTATGTACATCTGCTTGCTGCATCCATGCGTGGTCCACTTCCAAACTGTTCGGTCCGCCACCTAGAATGAACTCGGGATATCTGGACCTGTCTGGACTTGGATCTTTGAAGCTTCCGCGCTTGAACTTCCCTTCCATTCCATCGACGCATCGACGCATCATTCCTCGAGTTTGAGAACACTAAATATAGTAAGCCTCGGAACAAACGCTGAAACAAGGTCACTATCTGTGCACCGCTGACGGGCTAGTCGTGGAAACAGACAGGGAATTGCTAGTCTCTGATATCCTTGTCATACAAGGGAGTTAGTGAGGCCGTCTCCTAGGCTGCTTGCATCCCAAGACCTACATACCGAGCGAATTAGGCCTGAGACGATTTAGAAGCTGCACGTCAGTTTCGTCTCTTCAATTCCGGGGTCAGGATGCTGTGCAAACTCGCGATAGTATGGGTGCTGCTATAGAGGTCGAAGAACTCGTGACGGGGCTGAGTGAGTCATGCGCTGTGTCTTCTGTGTGTAGAGGAATGAGATAAGGCGTCTATGTGGCGTCGGAGAAAGTCGTCGATTGTATCGTGATGTCGTCCGTAACAGAAATGAGCCATGGCCAGTCTTCCCTAAAAGAGCGGAAATCAACGTGATATGGTTCTACAAGTGCGAAAGTCCGTGCAGTGTGATGACTTGACGCTCTCTGTATGGTGGCCTGTATAGCTCGCATATTGGCACACCAAGTCGTCCGCGATCTTGGTTTTTTCATAGGAGTACGACACTAAGAATAAATACTACTGAAAAAAAAATTACCACATGATCAACGACTCAACGATGAGATAGACACTCACATCGAACCCGCTACCTACGCGGTAAATCTTATCCTCTCCATAATCAACACACTCATCACAATATGATCCACCGTCTTACTGAACTCCTCTCCAGTCTCAGAGACCTGCCAATCCCGCATCGCATCCGGAAGTACATGTAGCTCGCTGGCTTGTTCGTCCTTCCGACGGTTTCGTAGAGAATTGAGTTCATGACGGGTGAAGTTTGCGAGGTGGATGGATGGGGTGCGGGCGGAGTCGACGAGAAAACATTTGAGGTGCTGCATTTAAATAGCATATGGATTTGGATGTGGATGAGCGGTGTATACTCGAGAGAAAGAGATGATGCGAGAGGAACGAAGATGAGTACCTCGTCTTTTTTGCGGGACTCTCGGTTTTGATTCTTTGGAAGTAATATCCATTGGAGTTTTGTGTCTTCGAACTCCCACTTCCACGGAGACTTCAAAGGCGAACACTGTCAGTCCGCCTAGTAAAAGGCAAGTAAAGGTGGAACGCACACTGCGGCCTTTAAGCGCTTTCGATACAAAAGTCTGCGTTTCCCCTATGCAAACCGTGCTCATCCGCGCCGTGACGCCCATCCTGCACAACATCATACGCTCAGCACATCACTCCTCAACCCCCCTTGCACGATTGGGCAATATAAAGGATAAACGTACTCGAAGTCCCCGACGAAATCCCCATCTACCCTTCCTCCCCTCCTTACGGTCGTGATAAACGACATCGGGGCCCAACAGTTCTGGCTCACCGAGATATGATACAGCGGTCTTGTTTCCTGCGAGTCAGCAGACGGCAATACTAGCATCGCGTTTGGTGTTGGAGAGGAAGGAGAGGCTGAGAAGGGTGAAAATGTGAAGGTTCTGGGGGAGGTTGGAATCGGGGGCCTGTATCTGTGATGTTAGATCTGAATATTAGTATGGTTGCGGTGGAGTGGTGCGTGAGGGCGAAAGGGACGTACGTAGGTAGCCTGGCGCCTGTTATCGAATAATCCGGCAATGCGTCCGCCGTTCCTCCTCCATGAAGAGTACTCGTCTCGCCACGGTTCTCCGGAGGATCACTGCTGCTCCTGGGAGGCGTCCAAGCCAATACGACCTCCGAGGTCGAAGGGACCAGGGCCCTCAACCCCACCACTCCACCCGTACTTCGGTTCCCGCTCTCCCTCGGACTCGAACCTTCGCCAGCCTCGCTTCTCAAAGACTCGACATGACTACTGCTCCGACTTCTGCCGTGACTTGTTGGTCCCGGAACAGCCAAACTCGTTGAACTCGCACCACCAGTATTTGCACCACCACCGTTCAAATCCACACTACTACCGCCTCTACTCCTAGAGTATAGACCCGATTGACTGTTCTCAGTAGCGGACGGGCGATAGCTCGGGGCTCGTGATGCTGAGCCGGACGTGGATCCGTTCGGGACTTGAAGATCACTTTCCATAATGGCGTAGGTCGAAGACAACGTTCCAATATCGTTCCTTGTGGTAGTTCGGCTGTCATTGCTTGAGCTGGTGGATCCGGAGCCTTGTTGACGGAGAGTGGGACGAGGAGAAGGAGTGGTGGTACGGGGTGGTGGAAGGTTGAGTGGTCGTGGTGAGGCCGACAATTGGGTCAAGTCATCGTTCTCATGTGGATCGTCAGGAGTCCATTGAACAGACGTATAGCTGGACGTTGTAGTATCCCCATTGTTCCGCATGTCAGCATGTTATTCCAGTCTGAATCTTGTGAACTGAACGTACCTGGGTGGGGCGGTCGAAAACGATGCAAGAGTCACATTGTCCGAGTCATCGCTAGCTCCTATGATATGATCTGCTGTAGGCCATGCAGAGAACGGCCTAGCAGCACCTTCCCTTGAGTCACTGCTGTCGTTCGCGTCGTTGGCAGTGGAACTTGAAGCCTGGCTCGTGCCCGGAAGTACTGCACCTGAGTTGCGCGAGGCTAGAAGGCGGCGCATCCTCCTAGTTCCGTCAGAAAGTAGAAAGATATCCAGAGCGGGAAAAAGCAAGAGCAGAGGTTTGGTCGTCCGAATGCGAGCAAATCTATGTATTAAATGACCCGTTGGTTGTGGTGATGGCGACGATATTGAGGCTGATTAAAGCAGTAACAATGATGTATGCTGTGCATTATGAGTCAACTGTGTGATGAGACCGTGTGGTTTTTGCTTGTCGGCTGAGACACTTAAATCTGCTTTGAGGCTATGAGCGTGAACTCCATCAACCCAAGAACAATGCGCCAAGACGAGTTTACCTAAATTGAAATTCACTCTGGAGGTGTGGCGACATGTTGGTGGCAGCGCCACATTGCGGCCGAGGATGATAAGTATACCTGCAGTTGACCTCAACGGTTGGAGTACAGCAATCGGTTACAAAGGAACTGAAGTAATTTTATTACTCTAAGCCGAACGCATACGCTCGATTACAAGGGCGGACATAAGTATATGACCTAGATACTGCTGCCCCTCAGGAAACATTAACAACTCAAACAACTGCTCATCCGTTCGCTTCGCCGGAACTACATCTGGATCTGGGCAAGTAAACGTTGCAACATGCTTTGTGACCTTGAATAATAGGCTAGATTTTTCGAGTTGGTCAGAAATACAAATATGCGGAACCCAAACGCGAGGCCACTCACCTGTTACTTAGTAGCGTCTGTTGGCTTCCCTCAGAGGATCAGACCCTGAGGTACTAGAGCCCCTATACCACGACAAGGTCGACGCTTCCCCAGGGGACCGGTCTTGAAGCACTTGGAGCCCGGTGTCGAAGTCGTGCTTGATCTCGTTCGTGAGTTCGATGTCGATGTGGTGCTTGAGCTCGTTCGTGAGGTCGACGTCGATGTCGCCTAGCCCTAGCCACCCCAGCCACAGCCCAGTAACCTAGAGACCCAGCTCTCGAGACCCAGAAACCTAGAAAACAAGACGGCGAGGGCTAGCAGAAGAAGAGACCCAGAGAGAGAGCAGACCCAGTGACCAAGAGATCCAGGATACCCAGCCCAAGATACCCCAGAGACCACCGTCCGTTGATGTCGTGCTTGAATGGAGTCATCGACCGGACTCGTCGTCGTGCCCGAGTGTTGAATATCAGGGCGTCGATCGTCTTGAGCTGACGAACACCCACACACGGCCTATGAAGAAAATTAAGCACAGAACGTCGGTTGAAGGTATGGATGAACGAGAATAGAAGAAGAACTGACCGGTTGGTATACCTACCACCCCTGCGTCAGTTGGCTTCCCTCAGAGGAGGTACTAGAGCCACTGGACCACGACAAGGTCGAAGCTATCCCAGGGGACCGGTCTTGAAGCTCTTGGGGCCCGGTGTCGAGGTTTTGTCGAGGGCGCTGCTGTTGAAGGCAGGTCGACGCCGGTCTCTTACGTTCACACAGTCACACAGCTGTAGAAAAACTGAGGATGGTGTCAGCGTGGTCACTGGCATGGGCGAATCGAAAGGGAATACTCACAGATCGATCGTGTTCCTCGCGGGCATCTATGAGTTTCGTGCTGGAAACCACTCCTGTAAGAGAAAAATAGTGACAGAAGTAGGATCAGGAGACGTACCTTATGAGCGTCTGTTAGCTTCCCTCCGAAGAGGTACTAAGCCCCTTGACCACGACAAGGTCGACGCTCTGCCAAGGGGAAGGACGATGCTGCTTTCGCAAGCAGAGCACCGCACCCACCTTTACTCACTCACACTCACTCACGCACCTACCTATACTCACACTCACACTCACACTCACACTCACGCACCTTTAAAGAAAACTAGACACGGAACATCAATAAAAGATATAGTTAAACGGAATTAGGAGACTCACCAGAACCACACTCGAATCCTGTAACATGATCTAAAACAAATCAGCGACATAATATAAGGAAAAAAGACGCACCTTGCGAGCGTCTGTTAGCTTCCCTCCGAGGAGGTACTGAGCCCCCTGACCACGGCAAGGTCGACGCTCTTCCAAGGGGAAGGACGATGCTGCTTTCGCAAGCAGAGCGTCGGAAGGAACACAGACCTACCTTGACTCACTCACACTCACGCCTAGAAAAAGACCTACCGTTCAATACTCAGACCTACCGTTACTTACATTCAGACTCACTCACGCACCTACCTTGACTCAGGCCTACCTTAAATCACACTCATACGCACTCACCTATGAAGAAAACTAAGTTCGGAACGTCAGTGAAATGTATAGAAGACCGAGAGTAGAAGACTCACCACAACCGCACGCCTGTAAGAGAATCTACAGGAAATAAGTGGAATAATACAAGGAGAGAGACGCACCTTACGAGCGTCTGTTGGCTTCCCTCCGAGGAGGTACTAAGCCCCCTGACCGCGACAAGGTCAACGCTCTGTCAAGGGGATCTTGAGGCTGTTGAGGTGAATCGTATCTTGAGATGATGTTGAGGCTGGCGAGGACGTTGCTGTTGCAGAGCGTCGGTCTTACTTACTCACACTCACACACCTATATAGAAACCTAAGCGCGATATATCAATAAACTATATGAGTGAACGAGAGTAGAAAACTCACCACAGCCCGAAACGCCTGGAAGAGAATCTAAACCAAATCAGTGACATAGCATAAGGAGAGAAACGTACCTTCCGAGCGTCTGTTGGCTTCCCTCCGAAGAGGTACTGAGCCCCTGGACCACGACAAGGTCGACGCTATCCCAGGGGACCGGTCTTGAAGCTCGTTGGAGCTCGGTGTCGATGTCGTGCTTGATCTCGGTCGTGAGCGATGTCGATATCGTGCTTGAGCTCGGTCGTGAGCGAGGTCGAAGTCGTGCTTGAGCCCGGTCGTGAGCGATGTCGATGTCGTGCTTGAGCTCGGTCGTAAGGTCGAGGTCGATGTCGCCTAGCCCTAGCCAGCCCAGCCTCAGCCCAGAGACCTAGAGAGAAAGCCCACGAGACCCAGCAGCCTAGACAGCAAGCCCACAAGACCTAGCGAATGAGGAGGCCAATCAGACGAAGATACCCAGCAGACGAAAAGACCCAGTAAATGAAGAGACCCAACACACCTGAGACCCAGAGACCAGCCAAGACCCAGCCCAAGGCGCCCCAGAGATCACCGCCGGTGTTGATGTGTCGTGCTTGATTGGAGTCGTCGACCAGACTCGTCATCATTCCCGAGTGTTGAGGGTCAGGGCGTCGATCGTCTTGAGCTTACTGCCACGCACCGCCCTGAAATAAAACTACACAGAACGTCAGTCAAAGCTATAGGGGAACGAGATTGGGGAGGAACTCACAGGTTAGCATACCTACCACACGAGCGTCTGTTGGCTTCCCTCCGAAGAGGTACTAGAGCCCCTGGACCACGACAAGGTCGACGCTCTACCAGGGGACCGGTCTTGAAGCTCTTGGGGCCCGGTGTCGAGGTTGTGCCGAGGGCGCTGCTGTTGAAGGCAGGTCAACGCCAGTCTCTCACGTTCACGCAATCACACAGCTGCAGGAGAACTGAGGAGGAAGTCAGCGTAGTTACTGGCATGCGCGAATCGAAAGGGAATACTCACAGATCAATACTTGTGGGCATCTATGAGTTTCGTGTCGGACATCACCCGTGATTCCTGCAGGAGAATCCAGAAGAAATCAGCGACATACTGAGTAGAAGGAAACGCACCTTTCGAGCGTCTGTTGGCTTCCCTCCGAGGAGGTACTGAGCCCCTGGACCACGGCAAGGTCGACGCCCTACCAGGGGAGGGACTCAAGCTGAAGACTTGAGACAAGCATACAGAGACGAAGATGGAGACGGCCCAAGAGTGTCACCGTAGTGATAGTAATGATGAAAGCGAAAGTGAAAAGAAGAAAGCAAGAGCGAAAAGAAGAAAGCAAGAGC